TCGAAGAGGCTGCTCCGGTCGAAGAGGCTGCTCCGGTCGAAGAGGCTGCTCCGGTCGAAGAGGCTGCGTCTTCAGTTGCCGAGGCGCCACAACCGGACGAACAGGAACATACTGCATGCGGTGTAGACACTGCCCCAGCCAGCGTGGTGGAGCCCGTCGAGCCGCGAGCACTCCAACCCGCCGAAGCACCCGCAGCCGAGGTGACTGTCGAAGAGCAAAAGACTCCAGCAATCGACGTGGCCGACGTCGATGAAGTTGAAGCTCCTAAGGTGCAAGCAAGTGAATCCACCGATGCTGCTGAAGTTGAGCATGTCGTCGAGGAGCAATTGCCTCCGTCGACTGGCGTGGCCAAATCCGAGGAAGCTGCTGCGGAGCCACAAGTGCTTGAGCCCATCAGCGCTGCTGAGATTGAGGCTGCTGAAGCCGAGGCTGTTGATGAGAAATCCCCGTCACCAAGCGACGCTGTCAAGATTGAGGAGGCTGTCCGAGAACCCACTCCCGAGGTCGCCCCTGGTGACGCAACTCAAGCGCTCGAGCATCAAGAACCAGTCCAGGAACCCGATCCGAGGGCCGATACCACTCCCCTCGAGGATGCCGCTTCCGTCCATGAGGAGCCTGAGGATATTGAGCAAGACTCAGTTGCCAAGGCCACCACAGAACATCTTGAGAGCGTGTCAGATGAAAATCTCGAGCCCTCCACTGAACCAGCCAGGCAGCCATCATCTCCCCAGGAGCCTGTTGCAGTTGGGACTTTGCTGGCAGTCGAAGAACATGCCACGGCCAAAAACTCGGAGTCCAGTGTCGAGCACATCAGGGCTGAAGACCAAGCGGTCCCCGTCACCGATGTGGTCCAAGAATCAAGTGTGGCTGTTGAGCCTTCCGAAGTCCAAGACGAGATTGCTGAGCGGGAAGTTCCTGACTCTGTGTCGGTCGGCGTCACCGAGCCCGTCGCGCTGGAGGAACTTGTTGAATCTGAGAAACCAACCAGTATTGAGGAACCGACAAGCTCGGAGCGGCCGGCAGACGAGGAGATGCCGTCAGCCGTCAAGGAACCAGTCTGTGCTGAGCCGCCCGTTAACGTCTTGGAAGCCGTCACTATCCATGAAGATACGGACGCCGAGCAGCCGTCCAATCCCGATGGTGCTCCCGAAGTGGACAACAAGGTCGCGGACAATGTCGAGGACAAAGCCGAGGAGCGTGTCCAGACAGAAATTCTAGAGAAGCACGATGACACAGGCAATGACGAGCTGTTCCGCGAGGAGCCGGTTGTGTCCGAGGAGCCTGTCGTTCCCGACCAGCTTGCGGTGGTTGAGCAGGAGCAGCCCCGTAGTGCCGAAGAGCCCTCCACTACCGATGATGCTTCCAAGGTTGAGGAATTTGTTCAACGCGAACCAAAACCAAGCGTTGAAGGCCCAGCCAATGATGAGCCCGCCAGCGCAGAGTCCGCTGTTGAGGCTGAGGAACCCGCTGAGGAACCCGCTGAGGAACCCGCCAGCATCGAGCAGCCTCCCAAAGCTGAGTTGTCCGGAAGCGTTGAAGAACCTGACGTTCCCGGAGACAGCACCCCAATAGAGGAACCAAGCCCCAAAGTTGATACAACGGTCTCTGAGGGTTTGGTCTGTGACAAGGAAGTCATTTCGGCTAAACCAACCGAATCCGACGCAGTCTCCGAGGCCATCAGTGCATCAGAAGTCAAGCCCTGCGAGACTGAAGATGTCAAGCTCTCGGAAGAAGTCGTTCAGATGTCGCATGAAGATGTTTCCCATGTCTCCCATGCGGTAGAGGCTGCCGACGTTACCCCGATCGTGATCGAGAATGTGCCAACCGACATCGACGTAGTTGCAGCTGATACGTCCTCGGAAGACTTTGTCCTGGTCGATGCCGCTTCAGTCCCCCCGGCGTCTGAGTTGGTTGAAACTGCACTGGTTGAGGAGTTGGCTAGTAACGACCAATCCACAGAGTCGATCAAAGTCACCGTTGCGGACCCGCTAGCAGCCCACAAAGAGACGCTCGTCCCGCAGAGCGCCGTCAATGAGGCTGTGGCTATGGGAACAAGCCAGCTAGCTGAGGAACCACTGCTAGTCAAGGGTGCTGTCACAGCTTCCGAAGCATCTGACTCTCTCGGTGACAAGCCAACCTCTCAGTCGATACCCGAAGACTCAGCCAATGAACAGGAAGTTCTAATAGTAGAGACTTCTGCAGAGCAGACGTTGGTCGAAGCCGAGGGTGCTGCACAAGAAACTCCTGAGATCACAACACTTAGCCCAGCTGAGAAGTCCATCGTCGTTGTGAGCGAAGCGTACCAACCAGCGGTGGCTGAAGTCCAGGACCCAAGCATCCCGCTTCCGGATACTGCTGCCGTTATGGAGGGCAATGGCACGGTTGAGCCGGACAAGGAAGCATGCTCACCGGGTATTGCGGCCCCTGTTATGGCCAAGGCGAGTGTGTCGCCGACGTTGCCAGAGGTTTCCTCAGACGGCGTTTCCGCTCTTGAGCAGCCATCATCTGAGGTGCTGCACGGGGAAACTTCGAGGACTCAACTTACTAGAGAGAGCGGCGCAGAGGCCCAAGCACCGATCGAACAGGTTGCAGACATTGAGGCTGTTCCCCAAGAAGTGATCAAGGCTGGCGTCGATGCTCCTGAGCCTATCGCCGAACCCCATGCCGAGGCCAGCACAGCCGAAGATGTTATTGCTCAGGAAACATCTGTCACCGAAGAGCAACCAGTTGAGACCGTTTCAGTTGCCGAGCTGGCCACAGCCCAGGTACCAGGTGCTGTCGAGGTTAGTGGTGACGACAAGAGTGGCGAGGAGAGCACCGCGGTTGGATATACGGTTCAGGACACTGCCCCGTATTACGACCCCAGAGCCACCAACGTCTCCTTGGGCACTGAGACGACGTATCCGCTGCCAACCGAGACAACTCTCACGCTGCCGACTGAGACGTCCGTCTCTCTCCCCGATATGACAAAAGAGGCCAAGGAGGCCGTTGCAGCCGCCGACAAATCCCATGCAAAGGAAATTGCCATCGGTGCCGGCGTTGTCGGCGCTGTGGGAATTTCTGCAACTCTACTTGCGCACAATCCCACCTCTGTCAAGGAGCCTACTGTGCCACCGGTGATTGAGCGCCTGGAGAAGTATGCAGCTAAGCTTGATGGGCCCGAAGGCTCGCAGGCCATCTTCTCTAAGGAGATTCCCGAAGAGCGTGCCGGACCAGAAGATTTTCCATCGCAGCGCGAACTGGCTGAGGAAGCCAAACCGACATCGATGGAATCTTCGTTGGTTGTGGACAATGCTGTTCCGCTCTCCGAGTCTTTCCACGTTGTTGAGAAGGACACACCAGCCCAAGAAGGGGCGAAGGAAGAAAAGAAGAATGCTCCTTCTGAGGATGGTGAGGAATCTACTGCGCGGTCTGCTGTTGTTGCTGGTGGTGCCGAGGGATCGATGGCTGACGATGGCTCTCTGGTTGCCCAAAGACCAACAACCCATGAAACAGGACCCGCCCCAGGAGAAATCGTTCTTGACTTCCGCGTTCCCACACCTGGTGTCGTTCTTCCTGATCTCGACGATCCTGTGGCTCAGGAGTTAGGCCGGATGCGCAGCCTGCGCCGAAAGAGGAGAAACACCATCAAGCAGGCCGAGGAGATGGTTGCAGCCGCCGTGGTCATTTACGCTACCGCTGAGGCTCTTAGTCCGCCCTCAAGTCCACCAGGAAGTCCAGAACGTGCCGGTCCAGGAGCCGTTGTCCGTGGTTCGATCGAAATGCATTCTGATGTGAAGGGGAAAGGAAAGGATGTTGACATGCCACTCCCGTCTGCCCAGGGTTTAGCCAACCTCTCCGAGAGTACTTGGGAGAGAGGCAGGACCAGATCCAGAGACTTTGGAGACTTTGGAGGAGAGCTTTCTGATCCTGTTGCTGACCTCTCAGTAGACGACAAAGACAAGACCAGGGAAGCAGCCAAGACAGATGGCAAGGCGAGACGCCATAGCCACCATTCTTCGCACCACCGTTCTCATCGGGATAGCCGAGATGGAAGCAAGGAGGGTTCCAGGCATTCTCACCGCAGACGATCTGACAGCCACACCTCGACACGCGAGCGGGTTGATACCGCACCGCCGCGCACTCCGACCAGACAAGATAGCGGCTTCTCTGAGCGCGGTAGCCCCAGATCCCGGAGTCACCGCACCCCTGAGGAGCAAGCTGCTCACGAGAGGCGCAAGGAAGAGCGACGCCGTGCTCGCGAGTTAGAGAAGGCCAAAGAGGAAGCTCCTGCATCACCAGGGAAGACGGACAAGGGTAAGGAGCGCTCCGTCCCTCGCGAGCACTCTGAGCGGTCCTCGGAACACCGCCGTCATCACAGCTCGCGTCGTCACAGCCAGAGCGGGACGAGTATGGAGCCGCCGACACCGACAGTCAGCAAAAAGTTCTTTGACATTAAGAACGGTGAGAGCGTGCTCGAATCTAACTTTGGCTCCAAGGAGACTGTGCCGCCTGCGCCGGCGTCGTCATCCAAGGCTATACCGCCACCCGAGCTCAGGCGGTCAAGCACGACGCGCAGTGCTAAGCTGCGCAAGTCGGAGGACCGCGGTGGCCGCAGCCGGGAGGAAGTAGTCACCCCGCCGGCCAAGGCCAGCAGGGAGTACAAAACCAAAGCGTCGGTCACGTCGGTTGGCGAGGAGGCGACGGCGGCTGGGTCGTCTTCTGCGAGCGCGGGCGACCCAGATTCACAGGCCCATCGGGCTAAGAGGCTGGAGAAGAGGGAGAAGGCGCGGGAAAAGGAGCAGCAAAAGGAGAAGAGCGGTCTGCGGGCTGCTCTCAAGCGCTTCTTTACTAGCTCTACTTGAGTTTGAGTTCGGTGCTGCTGCAGTTAGGAGAATGGAGGGCAGGGGAGAAGGGTTACGAAGTGATGAACGCATTTTCTTCGGCTTTGTTTCTGGATCGATGAGGGATTGGTTGACGAGTATGACGAAGACATTGATGATGGCTGATGACTATGATGGACAACTGTGGACGCTTGTTGGATGGCCACGGCGGACTGATGAGTTATGTACAAGTGTGTCTCTTGTGGTGTGTTCTCTTCTGTCGGGCAACTGACGACGATGGCTTTCTTGTTCTATTCCTTGTTACGATTACAAGAACACGATGAGTCTGTAACTACGATGTGTGTTCTTTGATGGACCCAAATCAGGAAAACCAGATGGAATCGGACATGACAGTTTCAAAATGTCGACAAAGTGACCATCTTGACAATGACTTCTCCTTTGACGCCTTTTCCCCGGCCTCTTTCTGTGCTTTTGAGAGAGGGTTAGGGTTGAAAGCTGATTACCTTGCACTGCAGGGTGAATCAACTGACGCCTTTCATCAAGTGATGCGATGGATAATGATTTTGGAATGTTTGCGTCCTAGTTGTTCCATATCCACCGACAGTCCCAAGTATCATTCTCTTCATTCAGAGTGACTCGTGGAGCCCGCCCATACATCATCATCGTTCCCAATTGAGTAGCGACGATCGGGCAAATTCCTCCCGTCAACCACGACGGCTCTGGACAGGCATCCAGACCAACGACAGTCGTCTTTCCAGCATGGCACCACCCATGATCGATCCCTCTCTATTCGACCAGCTCAAGGCCAAGATTGAGGAGGATACCAGCGTCCGGAAGGAGCTGGATCAGATCCTCGATGACCTGAACGAGCATGTCTCCTTTACTCAAGGCGTGCTCTCGCGGATACATGCAACGCCAAGGTCAAAATGTGGGTGACTATACAACATGTCATAATATGTTTATCCAAAGTTTGAGTATGCCCTGACAGTGGAGAGAGAATAGACGCAGCCCTGCTAGAACAGGTCGAGGGCGGCATCAGAAAAGAGATTGAGACGGTTGGAAGGCTGGCGACGTTTGCGTCACAGTATCCTTACTACAAGTGAGAGCGCCCATAGTCCAGACAGGAAGAACGACCTCTACGAGGAGTGTGTGCTAATGGCAACGACCTTGCCCACCTTTTTCTATAGGTACAACTACAAGTGGACACGCACCGTCCAAGATGCCATATCCACCGTCATCCTGTGCGCCTGGCTGGGCGGCATGTCAAGCGAGACGAAGCCGGGCGAGGTCGGCCGCCTGCTCACGCTCGAGGACATGGGAGAGCTCTTTGGAGGCATGCAAACCCCCCGGCATTTTCGTCATTTCCTGCTGGCTAGCTTTTACTGGTACTGACTACAATGCGCAGTCCCTGTGAACCTCAAAGACCGCGACGCGTTCCACATCACCATCGAGGAGTATCTGCTGGGGCTCATCTCGGTGATTGACGAGCTCGGCAGGCTGTCGGTCAACTCGGTGACGCTGGGCGACAACGCCATGGCAGTGCAAATCAGCGGCTTCATCAAGGACCTGCACGCCGGGTTCCAGGTGCTCAATTTGAAAAATGACACGCTGCGCAAGCGCGTCGACTCGATCAAGTATGCCGTCAAAAAGGTCGAGGATGTTGTCTATGATCTTTCGCTGCGCAATCTCATCCCGCCGCAGGAGGACAAGTGAGCGATACAGCGGTTGGAGCTGTGATGGGCTGGTGGGGATTGGGGTGTAAACTGTAAAAGCAGTTGGCCTACAAAGTTTAAAAATGACTGTTGAAAGGGTTAGGGTTGGCTGCTGAGGAGAAGCACAAGAACAAGAACCTTGCAGGCATCTTCAATTTAACACTTGACAACTGCCTCCCTGATCACCACGAAATCCAACCACCATCGTCACAATGCCCCTCGTAGACCCTGTGACAATGTCGTCGGCCCTTGCAAAGGGCTCCTCCTCGCGATTCGCCGCGCCGTCCAAAAACGACATGACTGCAGCATCGCAATCAACAGCAACAGCAACACCGCTGCTGCACCCAATCCAGATCAAGCCGAACCCCCTGGCCCAAAGCGCACGGCACGCCTTTCCCGCCCTCCTCGCCGGCCTCTTTGTCGTGCGTTTCCGCGCCCTCGTCGCCGACCCCGTCTGGGCCATGGCAACTACTCTCATGCTGTCCGCGGTTCTACAGGTCGCATACGCCGTCATCTGCCTGCCGCCCGCCGGGTCGTCGCAGGGCGGCGCAGCAAGGGCAGCGCGCAAGCCCCGGCCGGGGGAGAAGAAGCGGGTTGGGTTTGAGAGCGCCGCGGGGCCGAACGCGATTGCTGTAAGTCATTGTCTTGTGCTCATTTTATTTTGTTTTATTTCATTCTTGTCTATCCCAAACTAAATCTCGAGCATTCCATGCAGACCTCGCTCCTCTCCCTCATCCTCTCCGGCCTAGTCACACCCTTCCTATATATCTGCCTAGTGCTCTTCGGCGCGCCCTTCCTCACGCACACGGCGCACACTTTGCTCTGCGCGGCGCACCTCTCGGTGCTGGCTCTCTTCCCGCTGTTTTACGTGCACGGCGTCGACGCCGTGTCCTGGGCGGCCGTCGGCGGCTTCTCGGCGCCCTTGGACGAGACCTTTGGCGGCCTGGTCGGCGCGCTCGTCGGCGCCTGGCTCGGCGCCGTGCCCATCCCCCTCGACTGGGACCGCGACTGGCAGAAGTGGCCTGTTACGATTCTGTGTGGTCTCTACGCGGGCTATCTGCTTGGGAGGGAGTTGGGGGGTAGCTCGTTGGTGTGGGGGAAGAGGTTCTGAGTAATTGTAGAAGGTGTATCTTTTTCTTCGATGGGGGAGGGTGGAGGGAAGAGATTACTGTATAGTGATACCCGGTTTCTTTGGAATTGTTGGATGAGGACCTAAAGTGTTGAACTGGACTCGGCGTAGTGTTCATTAGATGGACAACCTAATCCATAGACCACGGCACTGCTATAGGATCGATTTCGGCGAGATCCCCTGACCCCCTACTCAATCTCAACATCAATATGTAGCTGTTATGAACTCATGACGCCCTCCGTCGTGTCCAGAGCAAGCAGCCCCGCCAAAGCTGGACCATGGAGCTGCCCCTGTCCGATACCGCATTTAGCGGGGTGTTGATCTGGATTTAGTTCGCATTTCCTTCCGACATTCATCGATCACAGCAGTCGGAGATGACTTACACCACACTCATTCGCACCCCCTAAACGTGTCAACCTATGCGCCACGGCAGTATAGAGACAGCCGTTCTTCCCTCTCTCTTGCCTCCCTCATAGACCAGTCCTTCCAACAGCCGCCGAGGTGAAAATGCAGTCGCAACAAGCTCCGACTCCGGAGCCTTCCCGAGTCCAGAGCAGCAATCCTAATAGCAACACGAAGAACTACAAAGGCTTCGTCGCGGGGGTTTTTTCCGGGATAGCCAAGCTCTCAGGTACCTCCCGTCCCTTTCGCAAATACATATACCAAACATACCCCAATTGACAAATGAAAACCAGTCGGACACCCCTTCGACACGATCAAAGTCCGCCTCCAAACCTCGCCTCCATCCCGCTTCCGCGGGCCGCTGCAATGCCTGGCGCAGACCATCCGACATGAAGGTCTCTTGGCCTTATACAAGGGCGCGACGCCGCCGCTGGTGGGGTGGATGTTCATGGACAGCGTCATGCTAGGATCACTGTCCGTCTACCGGCGGCTGCTGCACGAGAACCTATTCAGCAACAACAACAACAACACTATGCCATGGCACTCACCAAACGACCCCGCTGCAGCAGCAGAACCCGTCCCCCCACTGCCCCTGCCCGCGTACGGCCACGGACTAGCCGGCATCCTGGCCGGCGCAACCGTGAGCTTCGTGGCGGCGCCCGTCGAGCACGTCAAGGCGCGCCTGCAGGTGCAGTACGCGGCCAACAAGCGGGACCGGCTGTACAGCGGTCCCCTTGACTGCGTTGCCAAGATCTTCCGGCACCACGGCGTGCGGGGGGTGTACCACGGCCTGCAGGCGACGCTGCTGTTCCGGAGCTTCTTCTTTTTTTGGTGGGGCAGCTACGACCTCTTCTCGCGGTGGCTGCGGGAGCGCACGACCCTCGGCGCCCCCGCCATCAACTTCTGGGCCGGCGGGTTCAGCGCCCAGGTGTTTTGGGTGCTGAGCTACCCGAGCGACGTGGTCAAGCAGCGCATCATGACGGATCCGTTGGGCGGTGGGTTGAATGATGGCGTGAGGAGGTTCCCGAGGTGGAGGGATGCCGCTAAGGCGGTTTACCAAGAAGGTGGCGCGAGGGGGTTTTGGCGGGGGTTCTTGCCGTGCTTTCTTAGAGCGTTCCCTGCTAATGCTATGGCGCTGGTCGCCTTTGAGGCGGCGATGCGGGCGCTGCCGTAAGAATTGGGGGTTGGTTGCAAGTTCTACGAGTCCATATAAACGTATGCATGCATGATACCCAGGAGCACAGCAAAGGGATGGTTAGAAATGCGCAGGCTGCAACGCCTGGCGGCCGCAAACGGCGGGCCGTCAATGGATTTGACCCCTTTCCCGCTATGAACAACCGTCTAGACCCTTTTGTTTTTATGTGGTAACCCAACCAGATGATCCCGGAGAACTCCAAACAAATGGCGAGCCGTTTACTCATCATCCTCCTCAGCCTCGTCGTTGACGACATTGAAGAACTTGAGCTCGTAGACACCCTTAGAGGTCGAGACGACGCGGAGCCAGTCACGGAGCTGCATCTTCTTAAGGAACTTCTTCGTCCTGTCGTGCTTGTCAGCATCGCGGTTCATTTGTATCGCCAAATGATTGGGACGAGATGGGCGTCTTACAAGTACTTGAGGTAGCGACCAGAGAGCTCGTTGTGCGCAACGATCTCGATCTTGCCCTCGGGCAGCTGGGAGATCTTGATGGTCTCGCCGAGGTTGCCGACGCGGCCGTCAACCTTGATCTTCTCGTTCAGGAACTTCTCGAAGGCGGAGACGTCGAAGATCTTGTCGCTGGCGGGCTGCGAGGCGTTGATGATGAACTGTATGGGTTTGCGCAGTCAGCACCACGCAAGTTAGGGAGGCTGATCGTGATCCCGCGCCGACTTACCTTCTTGGTCACCTTGGGGCCCTTGCCCTTGGCGCCAGACTTCTTCTGCTGACTCCCGAAGGAGATTGACTTAGCCTACTGCTTCACGCCATGATCCATATCGAATCCAGATTGCATTGTAGTCTCTGGTCCGAGGGACTGGGCCAACAGCAAAGCGGTGTCAAGTACATACTGCGATGGGAGCCATTGTCTCTGGTTGGAGGGATCGGCGGGGATTGACCGTGCTTATTTAGGACGCAAAGAGGTTGATATCCTGCGCCTTGCGGTGTGGTGTGTCGGGCTGTTAAAAAGCGGTCGAGGGGATGTTGCGTGGGGAGCTCAATTGAGGGTTTTGAGAAAAGTGCGCTCTACAAAATTTTAGGGCTCGGCTAGTGGGTCGCTGCCGGAGTTGTGGGGCTGTCGGAATGCCAAGACACCGGGCCGGAGGAGGACCCAGCTTAAACTCCGGATGGACCCCGGAGTGCCGGAATGCCATAGGTACTCCGTACTTCTGCTTGCCTTGACGGTAAACGAAGAACTTCCAGTTGACATTGGTCTCAGCCATAGGTAAACCAGCCAGCAGTAAGTTAATAAACCCAAGACTAGAATCTGATGCTAGCCGAGTTCTAGGGGTACATGACAGCTCCAAGTCACTAACAAAACCTGATCCGTACCCTGCAAAGGCTTGCTAAGAGAGCCCTTTTTCTAAGATGGAATATAGTGCAAGTGAGAGGCGCTGAGATTACAACAAACGTGACGAGAAATACACCACCATATGTACGGGATGACACTGAATACTGTCGGGTGTACCAAGGAACTCCGTATGTCTGTGCGCTCTTGGAGGCAGAGGAAGATGCTAGGTCAAGATCAGCGCATAACCTGCTGGAGGCCTTACTGCTGTTGAGTACCGGTAAGAATGAACAGCTTGTTACCGGATGCCAAGTCTACCACGTACGCTATCTTGGACTCCTGACTGGAAGGCTAGGAAATCCTGACAGGGCAGGTGGCTGAAGGGAGGCTTGATGCGCCCCCGTTGACGAAGCGTTGTGGCGCTAACCGTCCTGTGACTCCTGTTCAATTGAGACGCCACTTCGAGTCTGGTGTTCGAACGCAACCCGGTGATCGGACTCACACAGGTTTGTAAAGGTAACGTTATCCCCTTAAGAACTTTGGCGTCCCTTACCGAGTCAGGTACACATGGACGGAGTACATTTGTGTAGTGTAGTTTGGCCGATTTCTACGGATACACCAAGGTACATACCTCGGGTACCTACCGATAAAGGCCTGCGCCACAAGTGTCCGTCGCAGTTTCGGCTGCTATGACGGAGTGATGTCATGGCCTTTTGATGGTGGGGCACTAAGGCTGCCCTGCAAACGTCATAGCGAAAGCCGCGGATCTACTTCGCGGTGGATGTCTCAGGAAAGCTGTAGACGCGCAATTGCAGCAAGGCAGGTAGTTCCGTTGATGTGTCTGTTTTATTCAAGCAGATACTTGCCGTCACGGTTGTGCAATGGCCGTCCCAGATTCTCCCGACATAGAGGTGCAAAGAGTTAACGGATGGACCAAATGGCGCGGAATTCGCCGGATCCAACACCGGCATTTCCATGCACTGAACCATGTTGCCGGCGCAAACATTGCAACGGGGCATCAACAAATCTCATGTACTCGGCTGCCTCAGGCGCATATGTATACAACAGACGAGTTTCATGCAGTGGCTGGATAGCACTAAATTCATCGCCCTGGAACATGCGCTTTTGTCACGTCATGTCATTGTCCAGTAGCCATTGGGCATCCGACCGTTTTGACGGTAGCTCCACGGAGCTGGCGAACGGTTGGGCTGGTCTCGCTTGGAGCTCGGCTGGCCACCGCACCACTTCCCGGGGCTTAGAACCTTGGCTCAGCTTGGAAGGGACTTGACATTGGGCTAGTAAGAAAATGGACCGGATGCGATTGCGTATGACGCAGCTATCAAGTCCCCAATCATCAAGTTTCGGGAGTGCCTTGGCGACAAGACCTTTGTCTAATGCCAACGGGTACATGCTGGGCACTGCATAGCGTCCGCCTGTCCACCCAGGTCTCTGCCGTCGACACGAGTACCCTATGTCCCCAATCAAACCAATTTCGACGTGTCACTGATCGCTCAGGTATATATACGTCGCATTAGCCACCCAACTGGTCTCGCCAGTCTTAGTCGACTGACTACCCTACTACGAATCCCATTGTCTAAAGCTCGGAAACCGACTTGAATTCATCCCTACTCAAACCACCTTGACGTCTCAAATATCTCGACGACCACAACACCACAATGGCTTTCACTGCTAGGTATGCTCATCATCGGCCCAAACCTCCCCGTTTCAAGGGACTCCCTTCGATCTATCCCATGCATCCATTTCATCCGCTAACCATTTCCCTACGCCAGCGACATCTGTAAGATCATCTTTGCCGTCATCCTCCCGCCGCTCGGCGTCTTCCTCGAGCGCGGCTGTGGCTCAGACGTCCTGATCAATATCCTCCTCACCATCCTCGGCGTAAGTTACATTACATATTGCCAAAGGGTTTGAAAAGTTGAGCAGCGCTTTTACTAACCCCGCTCATAGTACCTTCCCGGCATCGTACACGCCCTCTACATCATCTGCAAATACTAGAACTCTCCATAGCATCTCCCCCCAAACAGATTCGACCGAATCTCCTTCCTCCAGGAAACGGCGTTCACGGTAATCGAAGAAAAGAATCAATTTGTCCAGCGCAATGATAGGGCAATGCTCGGTCCGGTTGCAATTGAGACGGCGCTCGTCGGTGCTACCCCTCTTGGCGATCCGGGTCTTGGTGGGGCAGTTGCGATGACATAATGTGACGACATCCTCTGCACCCCACCATGGGCCGCCAATGTCGAGATTCACATCAGACGATTTCGTCGGACAGGAGATTCTGAGGAGGGTTGGATGAAATCCATATCCATGGGTAAATGGGAACCGGGAGTTCGGGGATTTATGAGCTGTCACTGGTCATGACTGATTTGATCTCTCCTTCTCATTTTGGCTTTTCGCCGCATCTTTCCTTTATGGCATCCCCTTTTCTTTTGGATCTGGGAATGCTCGACTCTGCTTGCTTGTCTCATGCGACACTGGTCAGCTAACCTGGAGTCGCTTAATGTCACGATACCCAAGTCATACGGCCACGAACTGTTAGCATAAATTCTCGGATTTTAGATCTAATCGAGCTCTTATGCGATCAGAATCTATATTCGCAATGTTAATCCAGATACGTTTCAGGTGCTTTAGGGACTACACATACTCGCTTCAACAGTTTTTCTCCCAGACAGATGTGTTCAATTCCATGCGTTTTGAGGGAGCCCCAGTTCGACTAGCCGTCCGTGCTATTTCCCTACTCGGAACGATAATATCTTTCCAAATGTCAGCAAACCGGGTCGACAGCATCATGGGCGTATAACCGGGGGGGTCCAGAAAAGAAGCCAATTTCAGAACTCACATCGTTTTTCCCAACTGAGACTATTTGATCCTCAGCAACACGGATTCCACCCACGCCCTCAATATAAGCAATCGGCGCATCCCCCATGATTTTCCTAGCCACGTCCCCCACCGTTGAGTTCTTCTTCACCAGAACACAGTCCCGGAATACATATTTCGAGTCGCTCGCTCCAGATCCGAAAGTTGTTATATTCCTGACCGGGAAGACGGGAACCAGCCCTAGTATCTCGGCCGCCTTAGAGAGCACCTGGACAACGCCCGTTGACCCGAACCGGTAGAGCACCATGTCCTTGAGGTTCTCTATCCTGTTCCTGTTCTTCTCATCTAGCTCCTTCAAACCACCGCCGTCGGGGTCGCCGGCTGCGATCAAGTCTTCCCTTGTGTCGACAAACTCGCTGCCCTCCGTGTACCGGATATACCCCTGTTTGGCCATCTTTCTAAGGAATATCTCCGAAATGGCCGAGCACAGCACGATGCTGTTTGGATCTTGCATTTTCGCAATCTTGGCAATGTTCTTGTCTGCGTCTGGGTGGTCGATCTTGTTGAGCGCAATCACCGTGGGAAACTTTTCGTCCGTAAACGCGTTCACCACGCGATCGATGGTCTCATCTGCCCATGACAAACCACCGACATCAGTAAAACAGATAACTCCGATTGCAAAGACAGGGAACGAAAACTCACCACTCCACTCCTCCAACGGTTCCTTCAACCCAAGCTTATCCAGCGTCCTAGCCACAACGGACGCGGTGCTGCCGTAGCCGCTGAACTGGTTCTGTAGTGTTTCGACAGCGGTCGACTTGGTAGCGATGTGCCGCCTCTTGATGGATCCCCACTTCTCCATCAGGTTGCCCCTGATCCAGGCGACAATCTCGCTGCGCAGCCAGGCAATGTCCACCGACGGGTCGTAACCCCGGGTGTTCTTGCCCTCGGCATCCGTCGTGCCCGACACGTCCACCACGTGGATCAGCGCGTCGGCGTGCCGCAGGTCGTCCAGGAACTTGTTGCCCAGCCCTTTCCCCTGGTGCGCCCCGGGCACCAACCCGGCCACGTCCAGCAGCTCGATCGGCACGCTCCGCCGCCCGCCGATACATGATCCGTAGTTGGGCTTGCACCGCTCCTCCAGCCCGAACCGCGCGCACGCGCAATCGATCTGCAGGTAGCCGATGGCTCGCTGTGGGTCGATCGTGGTGAACCTGTGGGTTTTTTTTGGTTTAGAGCGGGTACGTAATAGGCTAGGAGAGAGGACGAGGAGGTGAAAGGGAGGAACGGGTTGGGAAGGAGCGCAGAGAGGAAAGAATCGTAGCGTACGGGAAGTTGCCTGCGCAGGAGTGCCGTATCAGCAACCTCGGGCCTCTCTATCTTGTATGCTCGCGCTCGGAGGAGTGGCTTAAGGCGGGCACCTGGAGACAGTGTCCTACTCACCGACTTTGGAAATGGCGTCTGTCAGCGAGTTGAGCGTGCTGGATTTGCCCGCGCTGGGCTTTCCCACCAGGCCGATGAGAGGATCTCGCGGCATTTTCGAATGCGATTCTATGGGACTGTATGAAGAGAAATACGAAAAAGGCGCACGGTGTCAGAACCAGGTCCCTTGGTTCGCGATTGAGGACTCCGTAATGCGGCTTGTGCGGCAGCATTCAGTTGAAATGTCTGCCCCGCCTTGATAACGATAAGGCTGTGTGGAGGGGTGCCAAGCCTGAGTCTCCTTCAGTCTTTGCAGAGATGGGGAACTGTGCGAGTATCGTTCATGGGTAACGATTCCAACAACACTTCGTCAGACCGGGGAGGTCTAGCTAACAGCTTATTTACAGCATCTGATCGGTAGTCGCTGATCAGGTAGCAGCAGATGAGGAATCTAACTTCTGTGTTGAGTGCCCGTATCCATGTTCTACATCTTTTTCAGTTTCAGAACTGACAAGCACTAACAGACCCATCATTGAATAGGTAGCTCCCCTGCTACATAGGCATAATTCGGTCACCTGGAAGCTGGGCTCTGGGTTTCTCTCCACTCATCCCTCTCTCTCTTTCAAGTAGCGATCCTGGTCTTGCCTGGGCAGTGGGACTATATCCATGACCGCAACCGATCTAGCCTGTGTATTCCTCTTAGAGATAATCTCAGCACATCGAAATGCCGTGGCCGCAGCTCCCCATTGAAAACCTCGCAGTATGGGCGCACCTTAACGAGGTCTCCTTTGTCGACGTCAAGGTTACAACCACCAAAGAAAAAGGCTTCGGTATATGCTGCGAGAGAGATCTCCACACTACTGGAGACAGCTCCAGTGCTACCGCTTTGCTCAGAGTGCCTCACCATCTTGTCCTCAATGACGCGGCTGTCGAAGAGTATGCAAAAGAGGACAAGGATTTCAGGCACCTCTTGGATGCCGTCGGACACCATCGCGTAACCGGCTCTCCTTGAATCCAAGCCCTACCTCCGCGGGCGAAGTTGACTAACCTATGTCGTAGTCTGCGCGAGCGGACATATTGCTGTTCCTCCTCGTCCAAGCAGCTTTGGCTTCCCGACGCAGCCGCTCTTCGGTGGGAGTTACAAACCCTTGGACAGAGTATCTGCAGTTCCTGCCCGAGATGGTTCTCTTGCCCACGCTATGGACCGAAGACGAGCGGGTTCTTCTCCGTGGTACCTCTCTTGAGCCGGCGCTTGAGGCAAAGATCTCAGCCCTTGACGCCGAGTTCGAGCGGATCCGAGAGAAATCATCAGAGATCCGTTCCTGGGACGAGCTACTCTGGCAGGGCGGGTCTATACGCTTTACCGATTGGATCCGCCTTGATGCGCTATATCGCTCTCGTTGTCTCGAACTGCCCAGATCAGGGGAGTCCATGGTACCCTGCATCGACATGATCAACCACTCAGCCAATCCTTCAGCTTACTATGATGAGAACCCCGAAGATGAAGTCGTTCTCATGCTTAGGCCGGGAATTGACCTTTCAAAAGGTGACGAAATAACCATCAGCTATGGGGCAACAAAGTCCGCAGCCGAGATGTTGTTTAGCTACGGCTTTGTTGATGCCAAGTCAGCTGCCCACAGTCTTGTCCTGCCGCTTAGACCTTTCCCAGACGACCCGTTAGCCAAGGCGAAACTAGTCGCATTTGAAGGGGTTCCTCAGATTTGCGTGGCTCGGGAGAGCGAGTCCGTCCTCTGGACCAGTGAGTTCGCCTATCTGATGTGTATCAACGAGGAGGATGGGCTTGAGTTCCGGATCCTGCAAGAGAGGGACGGGGCTCAAGAGCTGCGCGTATTTTGGCAAGAAGAAGATGTAACAGATCGGACGAGGGAGTTTAAGACCCTGATTCAAGGCCATTCCCTCTTCGCAGTGCTGAGGCTACGTGTTGTCACTGTCATCCAAGAGAACCTCCAAACCCAACTGGAGCAGTTGCAGTCAAGCACACCTGGGAGCACACCTTCTGCCCTGCAGCGGAAAGAGTGTTTCGACGCCGCTTTGAGCCTCCGTGGCATCGAAACAAGTATTCTCGAAAGCGCCATTGAAGCTCTGGAGAAAGAGGTCAGTACACGTACATACCACGGAAATATCATGCTCGAGCCCCAGGCGATCGCCGCTCATGAGAGAGATCTTTTGTGCGGACACAAATCTGGTTTAGCGACTGACAGGGTCTCATGCAGAGAAGCTCGCTACTGCTCGACGAAAACGTGGTGGCTTACCTCGGACCGATGGAAACTACCGAATCAGATCTAGTTGGCAATGAGGCGTCCAATGATGCGGACGATTTTAGCTAAAGGTTACCAACGGCATGCAAACGCTCCCATGCTCTGCATCCTGAGAATCAAAACGGTGTTCAGGTCGATGGAGTGGAAAGATCGGGATTGGCAGTAACCGGGTGAAAAAGCCTCAGGGGACTGCTCCTGAACCTCAAGAGCAAGCCCCTACCCGGCGTGGAGTTCCTGTCTCTCTCCTCATCGAGAGGTTCCAGTCCTGTGACTCTCATTTACCCTTAAATCTTCAAATTCGACAAGACTCTTGATGCAACAAGGGAGATTGGGTCCCGCTTCAATTGAGGTCACGGACTTGACCAGCCCCTGACAAGGAAGCAGTGAAATGATTCAAACCAGCTGCCAGTGCCAGCCAACCCCGGCATTGCATCCCTACCGTCGTCAGGGACGAGCAAGGTTTCGACTACCCGGCGGTAAGAGTGGGAACTCGCCAGTCTATGTGCCTTGGATGTTGCGGGTACGGGTAAGGCAGTTAGCCATGCGGATGAGGAAACAGAGAGCAAGGCCAGCTGTGAGATTGCCACGAGGCATTTGCAGCCGGCAGACCATGGCCAATATCCGGATGGGGGATGGGCAAGCTTTTGCCGAATGGTAGATCCCGAACGGAATACTCGTACGGAGTGCCGACCTCGAGCCTACCCATCCCGGAATGCGGGGAAGGGCTGAGGTCTCGCGAAGAACCGGACAGGTCTATGTAGCGCATATTGCAGCCCAACGAAACCTTTAGGATGAGGGAATGGCATCCACTTCCCATAACAAGTGAGGCAAGGCCCGGGCAAAAGACCTGGTGGCTCATTTTTGCTCGCATCAATGTGTTGGGAATGAGAAGGCCATACCAGGTTGAGATTTTCTCTTGCTCACCTAAGCACAGCTCGCCGGATCGTCCGGTGTTGTTCCCCTGCTAAGTCAAACTGAAATAATACGGATCGGTGGGCGGGGTCATGCATCGTCTGTCTAATGCTTGGCTGTGAATCAATGGAACAATTCTATGGCTTCGGTTTCAACGGCTGATAACAATGCTGTCGTCAGCCTTACCTACACGTGTAGGATCCTTACCATGAAACCTAATTTGAGATTCAAGGCTAGGCATACGTATTCAGTACCGTCTAGCCCCTTGGAGAGTAAGCAGTAGAAGGATTTCATGTCATTAGATGCCTTTCGGACCAGAAGCATTCAAACTACGGATGTAGTCCTTAATCATATTGCTTTCAAGATGTTAGCACGGAGACACACCAAGCAGAAAGTGGTGTTGGTTACTAACGTTATCGGCCCGTCAGCTCTGAACTCAATCTTTGGGAATTGTACCGCCATAGGCAGAGCATAGTCATGCTGGGGCGTTGGCTTAGGCAGTCCCGGCCAGATGTGGTTATCACAATCGGATCTGATGTCGGCACATCGTGAACAGTTGCACTGCGTAATCACTTCACTCCCGATGGTGTAGATAGCGGACGATGTAAATACGATACAGGGCGTATGTAGATAGCCCCTATACCGGTAGCAACATCGCAGCAGCGAAGAGCAACCAACGTCACCACCCCAATTGAATTGGATGCCGAGCGTGCACCTGTCAAGACTGTACCAGAAAACATGGGTATCTTGCCTAATCAGAGCTGCGAGCATCGCGACATGACTTGTTTAGTCTCTTACTTACTGGTCTACTAGCATTGGCCCGTGATCCATGACGTTCGATGCTATTCCCCGGATTTGGGATCCTCGGCTGTAGGAAATCGTACCATACAATGACAGGTTGGGCGATCCCTATGGCGCAGCCGTTTTCACTCATTCACTACTCCGTAGTTTCGCATTCAATGACTTCTTTAGTGTCGCCATTTGCAAATGCGGGGGAATGTAGGAGGGCTGTGAGGATGAAAGAACAAGGGAAAGCAATTGCCTGCAGGAATATGAGCAGAAAATACTTCTGGGGCAATGATCTCGAAGACTCAAATGTGAACTTCGAGGCAATGTGAGGGCACTCGCATTCTGACGAGGTAGGGAGCAGCAGAGAAGATGGAGAAAGTGTAGGCCAGCATCCCTGCTCCCCCAGATTTCCCCTCCTCGGCGCTCATTGGGGAAAGCAGAACGAGCGGGGCCGCTAGCACTCCCCGCCAATCAGCGCTGCTGGTTTTAATCCATAACCCTTGTAATGGCAGCGCCTGCCTGCTGCAGATGCAGACCTACCGTTTCCACCTTCCCACCCGCAGAATCGGTGCGAGACCCCGCGTGGGTACTTGCCCGAGCCTGTCAATTTGCTCTGCATTTTTCCCTCATTCCCTGACCGTCGTCATCCCTGCTTGTTGCTAACAAACCTCGAATATAATGCCTTAATAACCCCCCGGCCCTGCCTGCCTGTTCCCACCCATACACACTTTCGGTCTCTCGCCTTCCTCTCTGTGATAATTTCGACATTTGCTACCCAAAATCAAGCCTTTGCTGGCCCAGTTCATGGTACGCGCCTGTATTACACTTCTCTACAGGGTGTGAGCGCCGGAGAGGCGCTCTCCGAATCCAGAAAGACGCCCGCCGCATACGCACCGCGACGCGATTGGACGGAACGTATATACGGCCACGCTCTGCGTAACGCAGTGTCTTCCGCCATAAATCTGCATTGTGCGAATGCGACCGACGTGAAGGGAAAAGGGGTGAAATACATAACACCGCCAAAATGCCGGGCATTCTTCCTATGAAAGTTATCAAGGTGGGCAATAGCTCACAGAGCCGCATCGCTCAGGCCTGCGACCGGTGCCGCAGTAAGAAAATCCGCTGCGATGGCATCAGACCTTGCTGTTCTCAATGCGCCAATGTCGGGTTTGAGTGCCGCACGAGCGACAAGCTCAGCCGCCGTGCCTTCCCTCGAGGCTACACCGAATCATTAGAGGAACGGGTGCGAGCGCTGGAGGCGGAGGTTCGCGAGCTCAAGGACCTGCTGGATGAGAAGGAGGAGAAAATTGAGATGCTCTCTAAGATGCACAATAACCGCCGTTCACCCGCTGAGTCGGCCCACACCTTGCCAGCGACTGAGAAGAAGGACGCTGCACCGCCCAAGGAGGACACGTTCCGAGTCCAGGCTTCACCGCTCCTACTCGGCGTGGAAAATTCCGACTCCTATTTCATGGGTGCTTCAAGCGGCCGGGCCTTCATCGGTTCGTTGTGTTCTCTTCTGCCGACCCCGTAAACTCTGCTAATTCATTCTCCTAGAATCTTTCAAACGCAAGCTCCAGGAGAATGGGAAGTCGTGCGCCGAGTTCAACCCGGAGGCCTTCCTACATATTCAGGGGTGCTACCCGCTCACGGCAAAGTCGCCCGCTCAAACCATGAGGATACCGCCTCGATTGTTCTCCGATCGATGCGTCAATGTCTACTTCCAGGAATGGGCTCCGTTGTTCCCTGTGCTTCACAAGCCTACTTTCCTTCGCATCTATGAGGAGTTCGTTGCCGACCCGGAGAAGGTTAAGAGCAATCATAAGCTGGCTCAGCTCTATCTAGTGTTCAGCATTGCCGCGCTGTCAGGAGAACAACCGGATCTCCACCAAATCGCCGCCTGCGAACAGCAATGGCAGCGATCCCTGGAGGCTGTTCTGATGGACAACACCATGATGACTCTGCAGTGTTTATTACTTGCTTTGATTTATTGCACCATCCGGGCCGATTACAAGAGGGTTCAACATTATAAGGGCATTGCCGTCGGACTGTCGCATCGTCTAGGACTGCACCAGAGCCAGAAGAGGTTTTCGTTTGGTGTGCTCACTATTGAGACGCGGAAAAAGGTCTTTTGGACTCTTTACTCGCTTGACTGGTATGGGAACATCCACTTGTCTTGTCTTGGTCATAAACTTACCCTGTTAGTTTTTCCGCCGCCATGCTCGGCCTTCCCAAACTTATCAAGGAGGAAGACGTGCATGCTGAGTTCCCTTCGGACGCCGACGACGAGTATGTCACCGAGAAGGGCTTTCAGCCCAGCCTCCCTGGCGAGGCTACACGACTGTCAAGCGCTTTGGCGCTATTCCGATGTTCCAGAATCCTCGGCAAAGTCTTGGAAAAGATCTACCCGTCCTCAACTTCACACGAACTCTCGCTCCAACAAATGTCAGCGCTTGCGACCGAGCTGGATGAATGGTATGAGAAGCTACCCCAGCATCTCAGACTCAACTTCAAGCAAGACAAGCCATCTACCGATGTGACCGGTAGCAGGTCACCCATCTTGGTAAGTGGATATGCCAGCCAGGCTCCGGGGTTCACGTCACTGACATGGTCCCAGGCTCTTGCATACTACTACACCCGTACTCTTATTTACCGGCCAGCTGTAACGTCTAGCCTTGGTCCTAAAGCTGCTCCAGCGCTGATCTCAGTGGGAGAGTCGAGCAAGCATATCATCCAAATCATTCAGCTTCTGGACGAGCGGAGCATGTCCTTTTCTTTCTGCCTCAACAAATCGGACACACTCATTCTTTGCGGCATGGCCCTGCTGTACCAAACCATGGGTCTCAAGCAGGACAGCAAGGTGCTGAAAGATAACGAGAGACTTGTCAATGCGGTGATTAAAGTCGTGGAAAAGGCAAAAGCGCCCGGCTCGTACGATTTTAAGCGTGTCGCCGGACTGCTGGTCACCGTCGACGAGCCCGCCCCCCAATCATTACCGACTCCGCCAGGACAAAGCCCGGATGTTGGTTTAACCGGTCCGGCAATGCACCGGGCTTCCTCGACCACACTTCACAAGATTCAGTCAACCCACGGTCGCCATTCCAGGGCCAGCATAAGTGAGACGGATCTACTCCTGCAGCAAGAGAAGCTGCGCAGGATGGCGATGCAACATGCGCAACCAGGCAGACCAGAGCAATATCCCGCGCGCTCACGTGGATCGTTTGACAGCTCGAGGCCAACCGTGCCGCTGGCACAGCGCGACCATAGACTATCCCTGACCCACGCTCAGGCCGCACAAGCAGCAATGATCGCCCGCGTATCGACATCGCCAACCGTCCCCGCAAAGCAGAACATTGACTATCATTACTCGCAGTCCCAGTCACAGCCATCCTCCCCAGTAGAGGGACGCAGTGGACTTCAGCAACGCCCTCCGCCTGGGCCCCAACAGCAGCAATCGCAGCTGTACGCTCAACTGCAGAAAGGGGCCAGTCTCTCGACCGCCGAGTGGGAGGCCATCCTCAGCTCGATCGAAGGCGGGCAAATCAACGTCTACGACGCCATGTACGGAGGGCCCGGCTTGACTGCGCTCGGGATGGATAATGGAGGGATAGATACTACGGTTGCTAATGCGGCGGCGGCATGGTCGCCTGATTCGTGGGACCTTGCAGGGTTTAACCTGGGAGACTTTGGTCCGGGTTCGGACTCGGTACCGGCGTCAGCACACAGCGTGCTGAGCATGAGCGAGGACGGGTTGAGCTCGAGCGATGATCTGATCAGCGTGGGCAGTATGGACTTTGGTGGGGTCGGGGGCGGGCTACTGCCTGTGACAGCCGCTGAGGGGGAAGGGTTTGTCCTTGAGGGGTTTGGCCTGTGAGTGGGCTGTTCTCTGCTTGGTTATCGTTGGTTGGTTACTTGCGACGTCTGGCGCTTGAGGGGTTACGTGTTTGTTCCAAAAGAGATTGGTAAGTATATTACAGGACTGAAGGCGTCAGATGGATGGTTTTGCCTACGCGAGGTCTGGGCGGGCTTTCTCTTGGATACCGTGTCTGGGGGTGATCTGGGTTTGAATGGAAGAGTGGCTGTGGTTATGCATCTTCCTTCTTCTTTGTTAACGTTATGGCGCTTTCGCGCTGAGCGTTTACCAAGTACACATTTTTTGAACCAAAATAAAGGAAATACCTGCACTCAACTGCCCCATCCCCCTTACGATGCATGTTGCTTGGCATGGCTAATTCGGGAGAGGCAGCAACAGTTAGGCACTACATAGACAACAAGGGCGGTACTGAGTACAAATCACCAGTATCACAGGACGACTCGCTCTCCGCCCTTTGAAACTCGACGGTGGGCTGCTTGTTTCTGTTGAGAACAGTGTTACCGGCTTGCATTGATCGTGTCAGGCCCTCTTTCAGTTGATCGTCTCCACAAGCAGGCAGTGGTCGGGGGTGGGTTTGTCAACTAGGCCCCTGGTATTGTATGTATGGGTGGCACTGTGTGGTCCCCCGCTGCCGTATGGAGTGTTTCCCCATCGGAACTGACTCGCAAGTCAGGTGTGCTGTGCCTGGCAGAGATTGGATGAAATCATCACCAAGACTACGTATATATAGTGCCGACGGAATAGGGGTTAGATAAGGGAGTCACCCCGACTATCCTGGCCTCCCACGTGTATATCTCGAGCACTACGGTACTAAAGATCTACACCGAGAATACATAGGAGCTTGATCACTTGCCGCACTTGAAACGTCTTGTATAAGCTCAGGGCGCTCTCCGGACTACGTCCGGTTATGGAGCGTACTAAGTGAGCTCTGAGGGAGTATTCACAGTACAGTACTCCGTACATACATCGCTTACGGTCATGTAACTCATGTTAGCCGATCTCATGAAGCAAGCTTTTCGTTCTCGACAACTTCCGTGCAATACATTAATATATATAGTAGGCATGCAGGGCGACTCGTTTACACACGTGTTATGGACGGATGATCCGCCCTTGGTGACTCCCGCAGTGCATTGCAGATGCAGGTATCCGAATGCTCGGGGACAGCCGATGACGACTACACCACCTTAAAGCTCCCCGTCTGCAACGTAGAGATCTCTTTAGCCTAAATCCGACGGGGAGTTGGGCATGGCTTTCCTTGCAGCCAAAGAAAGATGCATCGACTTCCAAAGACTGGTTGTTCCATCACTCAAATCAAATCAGGAACACAAACCGTCTGTGCCAGAGTGGGCAGCGGGTTACTTAAACAACTTGTGTACGGAGGTACAAGACAGTTGTGCACAGTGCGTATGGTACGGTGAGCTAAGCACATGGGGCCGGCGGCGAACGGTCCACAATACCATTTCTGTTCGGCTAGACCGGACTCGGAATGCCCGGCTTTAGTGGGGCCTAACTCCGCAAACTGGATCCCCGGGATCGGGAATTGAGTTCTGTCCGGCTCCGACGGCTGCGAGTCGAGCATCTTGTAAGCTGTGGGAGAGCATCCTGAAATTTCTGTCAAATCCCATCCCAGCGCAAGTCGTATTTTGAAGTATGGGCGTATTCCATTAATTTATCAACCTCTATCCATAATCCATTCAGATCACACCCTTGGAGAAATTGGATCCCGGCAACCCAAATGTCAGCAGAAGCCGTGCCCCTCCTTGCCGGACAGCGGTCACGGTCGGCATCCGATTCCGGTGAGCGGACGAGCAGACCCCCGATACCTATGTATTACCCGTACATACAACCGACGAACCAACGCTGACATGTATGCCCGGCCAGCTGCCGGCATGCGCCGTGCCGCAGCAGCTCTCGGGGACGGATCATCATGCTCGCGGCGGCCTGTGCCCCAGAATATCGGGCATAGGGGCTACAATGCTGCGTTCCCGGAAAATACCATGGTTGGGTTCCAGGGCGCGGTGCAGGTCGGCGCCGACGCCATCGAGACGGACCTGCACCTGTCTCGGGACGGTGTTGTCGTCTTGTCACATGTGAGCAGTCTAGTTATTAACTTGAATTGAATTTTCTCTTGCCCAACTCCCTTGCGAGACAGCATGTGACGGGGAGTGTTATTGCTCTTATTTGCTGCACTTTGTATTAGGTGTCTTGTTACACAAGACAATGTTAACTGAGTCGAACCAAACAGGACCCTACGCTCAAGCGGTGCTTTGGCAAGGATGAAAAGATTGCCGACTGCGACTGGGACTACCTGAGCGGGCTTAAAACGCTCAGGGAGCCGCACGTCGGCATGCCGCGGCTGGTCGACCTGCTCAAGTGGATGACGGAGCCCGGGATCGAGTCAATATGGCTGCTGCTCGACATCAAGGTTTGGTGACCGCCATTTACTTGTTTACCTCTTATACTGAACAACACCCCCCGAAACAAAGACAGATGACGACCCGGACGCTCTGCTGAGCGCTATAGCCGATACCATCGCCTCGGTACCCCCACCCCCCTCCCGGCCCTGGAGAGAAAGGATAGTCCTCGGCGGATGGAACGTACGGCATTCCCCCTCTTCCCCTTTTCTATCCGTTACCCTTTATTTCCATTATTTTCACGTTCTGTCCCTGAAAAATGAAAACAGGAACACTACCTCGCAGCAAGCCGCGCGCACCTCCCAGGCTACCCTTTAGCCTACATCGGCTTCTCGCCGCTCTACGCGCGCAAATTCCTGCCTCCTCCCTCGGGCACCTACCCGCACGACGATGTCGATTTTAACCTCTTGCAGGCCGCCCTGGTGGGGCCCGTGGGCGCCTGCTTCCGGCGGGCCGTGGCAAAAGCAGGGCGCAGGCTGTACGTGTGGACGGTCAACGAAGAGGCCTGGATGGAGTGGAGCGTGCGCAAGGCCGTTGACGGTGTCGTTACCGATGACCCGAGGCTGATGAGGGAGGTTTGTGATCGGATGGTTGGTGGCGGTGGTGGTGGGAGGAGGATTGTGGTTGAGGATGGGGGGAAGAAGTTGGACAAGATGGCAACGCGGAGAAGGAGTTGGCTGGGCTATTTGTCCCTATACGCCAGGGCTATGGTCGCGCAGGCGGTTTCGGTCGTTCTCATTGCCCTCCTTTGGCGGAGATTGAACACCAAAGGGGCAAAGCCCAAGGTGGTACGCGAGAACCCGCCGGTGTCGATACCCGTCAAGGTGTAGTTGTGGTTGTACGGCAGGAAGCTTGGGGTACAGGAGCAGCCGGGAATGGGACCTGTTGGGTCGGGAGCGCCAGGTCGTATTCTTCTTGGCTGTGCATGGGTTGGATTTCATATACTTTCGACTAAGCGTCTAGACTTGTGCCGGGCATCGGGTTGATGGAGGTTTTGGGACGAACAGATGCCTCGGGCTATTTTGCGGGCAATCTGGCGTGGGACTGGGATGGGTTGCCATATCGCCCATGCTTAATCGTAATCCTGTGTCTCTCTCCACTTACCTACCTATTCAAATCATTGATATTTAGAACATGAATTCGCAAATGTGAGTCCAGAGATATGCAAGCAAGCACCGCTATAGCGCATAGTACCGGTATGTCATTTTCTGGCGCAGTCAGTAAAGGATGGGGGGCAAATGCCTTGAGCCCGGATTTTCCTAGCTGTTCCTACAACGCCGCAGCTGTTACAAGCGACGTCTCAAGTTGAAGACCCCAGCTACTGAAAGGTACCGGTAGCAATTTGATAGCTCGTGAATGTGGCATGCGAATAAAGTTGGGCGGCAGACAGGCCATCCGGGTCGCGACGCCCAGGTGATTTGAGAGATATTCGTGTGAACAGCTTGGCTGGTCATGATGCCCCCCTGTCCGGCCCCGTAACGTAGGTACCTAATCTGTTTTATGGTGTGCGACGCAGTCTGGACAAGTCGTTGCTGACGAGAACACGCTGTGCCTCGTTGCGTCTTGAGCGACTCCCGAGTCGCATTTTCGATCCATTGTCTGGCGAAAATGCTACAGTGCAGGCCGACGATGCGTCGTCATCAGTCATCCAAGTCTCAGCGCACTTCGGGACAATTCCGGGGCCGTTTGCCTCACTGCGCACAGCTTGGCCTTTAAAACGGCAGGCTCCCTCCAGCTGCCCCACCAAGTACTGTACATAGCACACAGCCCCGACGGGCTGTCGGGCTCAAGAGGCACTTTATCTCCGTTCTCGCCCGCGCCTTACAGCGCATTGTCCGGGCATCAGTCCTTGAGCCACCGGAAAGGATAGTACTGGATTGTACAGTCACCGAGCTGTTGGACGCCTGCCATATCTGCCCCGTTCTCTTAGAAAAGCCGAACAGGACTCGAGCGTACCATTGCTGAAATTTCGCGTGATATCACATTACCGGTCCGGAACGTCATGGCAAACATGGAATATGCGGGTGGTGATGTAGGGGCAGAACACCTCTGTGTGTTAGTCCACGGGGTAAGTTGGGTTGTGTCCCGAGTCTCCCGAACCAACACGCCAATCGTCCCTATGTCAGCTCCATCTGCTAACACAACTACATGCCATGGTAGCTCTGGGGCAACCCGAACCACATGAGGTCCGTGGCCAAAGCCCTGCGAACCCAATACCCGCCCGATAAGCTCCACATCTTGGTCGCAAAGCGCAACAGCGGCTCCTTCACATACGATGGCATTGAACTCGGCGGCGAGCGCGTGTGCGTTGAGATCGAGGAGGAGCTGGAGCTGATCAAGAGCAAGGGCGGAAACATAACCAAGCTCAGCATTGTCGGCTACTCGCTCGGCGGCCTGGTCGCAAGATACGCCATTGGCTTGCTCTTCGCCCGGGGCGTGTTGGACAAGTTGGAGTGCATGGTACGCAACCCCTCCCCAAGACACCAAAGGCAAACGGGGGCCGGAACTGACCTTTTATACCCAGAACTTCACCGCCTTCGCAAGCCCTTTCCTCGGAGTACGAAGTCCGCTGCGCGGGTGGGCAAACCAGATCTGGAACGTCATGGGCGCAAGGACGCTGTGCATGTCCGGACGGCAGCTCTTCGGCATCGACAAGTTCCGCGACACGGGCAAGCCCATCCTGGCCGTGCTCGCCGACCCAAACTCCATCTTCATGTCAGGCCTCGCCAAGTTCAAGCGCCACACCCTGTACACAAACATCATCAACGACCGCAGCGCCGTCTACTACACGACCGCCATCTCCAAGACGGATCCCTTCACCGACCTGTCCAAGATGAAAGTGCGCTACCTCAAGGGCTGGGAGGACGTGATCCTCGACCCGACCGACCCGGTGGACTCGTCCTCCGCCGACGACGACCTTGAACCACCAACCCTCCAAAAGCGGGCGGAGCGCATCCCCTTCATGCTCGCGCTCGCCGTCTTCATCCCCGTCGGGGTGGTCGCGTTCCTGGTCAACTCGGCCGTGCAGACGGTGCGCTCGTCGCGGCGCGTGCGACTGCACGAGCGCGGGCTGGCGGGCATCAACCCGGAAAGCTTCCGGGTGAACCTCTGGATCAAGGAAATCCGCGAGGCGGTCGAGGACGCCTACGAGAACCTCAACAGCTCCCAGGGCCACGAGTACCTGAACCACGAAGGTGGGTTAGGTGGCGGTGAGGAGCACGAGGACCACGGGGAAGGGCAAGACGCGGCGGGCGACCGCGAGATCCTCGCGCTCGAACGCAAGGAGTCGCGCGCCGCTGAGGGAGAGCCGACGTTGGCTTTGGCGCCGTACCAATTTGCCGCCATCAGGGCGCTGGATGCCCTGAAATGGAGAAAGTATCCGGTTTGGATACACAAGCATCGGCATAGCCATGCGGCTATCATTGTGAGGATGGAGAAGCCTGGATTCGAGGAGGGTTGGGTCGTCTTGCGGCATTGGGTGACGGAGGAGTTTCTCATGTAGGATAGGTATTTGGGGTTGCGGATGGGTTACTTGCCGGCGTTTCTGTCTTGTTCTTTTCCTTTTTTCTTTTTTTCTTTTCTCCCTTGCTTTTTCTGCACTCCATGTCTGTTTATTCACGCCCCCATTTGTGACCATGGAGTCGAAGGCCGGAGATATAGACGGTTTGTTTGGTGTTAGGAGCGTATGTGTTATACGAGGAGAATGCGGCGCCTGGACGTTAATCGGGTTTAAAGGGCGAGTTTGGCGGAGCAAGAGGAACAACCACCTGACATATAGGCACTCTGTAAAGTAAATACCGTGCGGCATCAAGAATGTTCATATGCTTTATCCGTATTCAGCCTCGAACCACGGATCTTGAAGTCGTGCAAGTGCACTTTAAGTTCTTACGGTCGCAACCAACGGCATCAAGCCATCAATTGTGTACATACATGTAAATCGAATCTTACATACCTAGCGTTACCGGTCTCCGTATTAGTTACGTCAAGCTATCCCAAATTGGCTTAGTGGCGGCATTTCCCGGACCCGACAATTCGGGGCAAGGGGCTACCTGTATGTAATCAATTTTACCACGCCGCGTTGCATTGGACAAAAGACAAAGGTGAATTTCCTCCCGAAAGCTCTCACACACACGAAAGTGTTCACCGCGTGTCGGTTCAGTTGCATGTAGCCTCGAGACTCCTGTCTCGCTACATGTCCAGAATCATGAGGACTCCACGAGTCGCAAGAGAGACATCCAGATTCTTCGACGCCAGCTCGACGACGGTAACGCCCCGTCGCGTGACGCGCTCCAGCCTCGCGCGTTTCGCGTACAATGGTGCCTCGAACATTCCCGCGCCCGGCGTGACTGACAACAGCTTGGATAACGCCGACTCCGAAATAACGTTCGGCTCCGACATTGAAGATGCCATCGTCAAGAAGACGACACCCGCAACGCGCAAACGGAAGCGCACCGCAACAGAGCTCGCAGTAGTGCAGCCGTCACCACGACGGGCACCAACAACAACCACCATGACCACGAGGGCGACGACAAGAGCCGAGATCAAAACCGAAATTAAGGCAGAAGAAGACGCGTCATCCGATGTCGAAGCCGACACGAAGCCACCAAGACCCCGCGGCCGCGCTCGGAAGCCCGCGCGCAAAACGACCGACGCCGTCACAGGCGCAACGACGGTTGAGCCGCCGTCGGACTGGGAGGAAATCTACTCACTCGTCAAGGAGATGCGTCTGACGGGCCCCGCAGCCAACGCAGCCGTCGACACGATGGGGTGCGAGCGGCTCGCCCACCCGGCCGCTAGCGCGCGCGACCGGCGCTTCCACACCCTCGTAGCCCTCATGCTGTCCAGCCAGACCAAGGACACGGTCAACGCCGAGGCCATGGCGCGGCTGCAGGCCGAGCTGCCGCCCCACGAGCCCGGCGCGTTGCCCGGGTTGACCCTGGAGAACATGCTCGCCGTTGATCCGGCGGTGCTGAACGAATTGATTGGCAAAGTCGGGTTTCATAATAACAAGACTAAGTAAGGGTCCTTGGTTACCATACCTGCCTTTCCCTTCCATCTTCATTGGCACTTTCAAAACTAGGGAACATTCTACTAACAACCCCCGGCCGAACAGATACCTCAAACAAACCGCCGCCATCCTCCGCGACAAATTCAACTCGGACATACCCGACACCATTGAAGGGTTGGTCTCACTACCGGGCGTGGGGCCCAAGATGGCGCACCTGTGCATGAGCGCCGACAACGGGTGGGGGCGGGTCGAGGGGATCGGGGTGGACGTGCACGTGCACCGCATCACCAACCTGTGGGGGTGGCAGGGGCGGCCGGGAACAAAAACGCCCGAGGAGACGCGCCTGGCCCTGCAGGCCTGGCTCCCCCGCGACAAGTGGAAGGAGATCAACTGGCTGCTTGTCGGCTTCGGCCAGTCGGTTTGTCTTCCCGTGGGGCCAAAATGCGGCGACTGCGAGCTGGGTCTCCGCGGCCTGTGCAAGGCCGCTGACCGGAAGAAGGTTAATGAGGGTATCAGGAGGAGGCAGCGGAGTGTTCTTGTTAAGGAGGACGAGAGGGTCAAGGTTGAGGTGGTCAAGGCTGAGCCTGAGCCTGAGCCTGAGCTTGAGCGGAATGTTGTTGGTTGGGAGGGAATGGAGGGTGGGGGGTTGGTTAAATGTGAAGAGGAAGACATGGAGATTGATCAGGTGAAAGAGGAAAAAATAAAGATTGACGAGATTGAGGTGGAAGGGAATGCGGATACAGAAAGTAAGCAGGCGACCAAAAAGGGGGAAAGGGTTGGGGATCGGGAAAATACGCCAGTGATCAAAAAGGAGGAAAAGATTGATGTTGACGACGAGGAGGGCATGAAAATCACAGGGGAAAGCGTTGTGAACACGGACCTTGAACGGGCGGTTACGATAAAAAAGGAGGATGAGATGGCGGTGGACGAGGCTGAAATAGAGGTCAGCGGGGAAACCGATATGAGGATGGAGGACAAACAGGCTGTCAAAATGGAGGGTGAGATGGAGATTGATGAGGTCAAGCCCTCGGTCGAGGACAAGGCTGGGGATATGGAGTGTGAGCAGGTGATTAAAAATGAGGAAAAGATGGAGGTTGATGAAGCGAAACTAAAGGTCAAGGGGGAGAGGGATGAGAATACGGAGAGTAAACATGCGATTAAAAGGGAGGGGAAAATAGAGGTTGGCGAGGTGAAGCCGGCAGTCAACGGAGAAGGGGTCGGTGAACGGGACGGCGAGTTGCTTATGCAATCCATAGAGGTTGATGAGGTGAAGGTAGAAGTGAAGGGGGATATGGAGCTGGGGATCAAGAAAGAAGAGGGCTCGATGGACATCGACGAGGTGAAGGGTGGGATTAATGTTTGTGGAGACGGCGAGGTATTGGTCAAAAAAGAGGAGGAAAAGGAGGATGTCGTGGGATGGGCCTCGCACTCGTCGAGCTACCTCCGAGAAGCTTCTGCCAGAGTCAAGTCTGAAGCCTCGAGAGCCTGATAAGACAAGAGAAGATGGGGGGATTTGCGCCAGGGCTATAGTCAGATACTGTAAAAGGAAGGTCTAGCTTTTACTATATCTACAGTAATGTTAGGTATCTACGAATATGTGTTGTAAATACATAGGTATATGGACATCGAATTGTCCTTGATACGATCGAGGGTCTATTTCGCCAGATGCACACCCCACATGACAGCTCAATAGGCAAGTGATGTGCCTAGAAAGCCCCGTGATGCACCCCAATTTTTGGGTGGGTTGTAAGGTAGTCATTGGTACCGCTGGTAGAGCGATGTCGGAGTCTCGAGTTCAAGAGACAGATCGAGTGCAAGACCACGTGTCTAGGCAGTACATTGACAAGATCAAAGGAATTGGCACTTTGATGTTTGTTTGGTGAAATGGCGTATTTGCCTTGTCCACGGAATGTGTCTAAGCTGTCTAATTCCAACCGGCACAGCAAGTGCCAGTGGCAAATGTCAAAGGCGCGACAAATGCTCAAAGCAGCTCTTACATCTAGTCCATTCTAACCCCCCTGCTTCCGTGATATCCAGCCAGAGCAAATATGCAGGGCGCTATTCCTCCTATAACGCCAGGCCGAGATACAATATTACATGATAAACCCCTATACGCCGGGAAAGCGCTGTCCCCTCGCTAATATGTCGAAGTGAATCAAAAGGCGCGATGCGGCCTGCGCCGGTCCAAGAGACGGCGGCGGCACCGCAGGGCGCCTGCGACGGGCTCGGCTGTTCGCCTGTTCCAGCGCCGTTGCGTTTAGAATCGTCAATTCCACCCCCGGTTGCCGGCGTGGTATTCGGGCGGTCAAGCGGAAGGTCTTATAGAGTCGTAGCCTAGGCTGTCTTGATGACTTGGGTCCGCTCCTTGTAGAGCTGATTTGCGTTCTGCTCAAACGCTTCCCTCTTGCACTTGATAAGGGACAGCAGGTCAGTGAGCTGCTTTTCTGGAAGAACCCCTGCCAAACCGAAAAGGGACCAACCAGTAAAGGAACTTACGTCTTCCAAATTCCGGCATTTGTGGTCTTCTAATAGACGGTGGTTGTTGCAGAAATGCCCTTGGCAGAAGGCGCAATCTCCCGAAATGCGCTGGGCTGCCGCCTTGCAGTCCTCGAACGAGCACCTGAGCTTCTTAGGCATTTTCGGTGTTGAGGCGAAAGGCAGCAGCAGGAATCGTTTCGTTGGTAGCGCAGAGATCGATTTTTCCCAGTGTCAAACGCAATCCCAGCAGAATGCCCGACAATCGGGGGAGCGAACTCGGATCGGTGTTCTGAATCGTGCGTGTTGGGTTGGGTTGGCGAGCGGATGGGTAGGTAGGTGGGTCGGATACCTAAGGAATGCGAAGGGAAAGGGATCAAATGCAACCGGGAGACGACGATGGCGGGTGGTAAGGTTATATAACTGGGCGCTCGGTGGAGGTCCGGTCGGAAACAGCAAGCCACTCTCACGTGGCTTGTTATCCTTGATGATGGCGGTTGACTAACGTGGTAGGCAACAAATAAGTAACGTAGACCTGGAACAGGGTGGAAGTGGTTCGACCAGCTCGCCTCACCCAACGCCAGGGTGGCTGATGTACAAAGTACAAGTAGCTCAGATTGACGATGGCAGTGTTGGCAAGGGAGCGGCGCCCAATTGCGTTTGCGCTGCGCTTGCGTGGCGGCGGGTCACCCGTTGGCAAAAGGCAGGCCAGCCCCTGTAAGCCGACTTATCGTGAAAGAAACAGTGTGACTGACGGATGACCGGGGCATTTATACCAGCAATCACACCTACCGAAGATCATACCGGCACGCAGAATCTTGCTGGGTACCTCTGCATTATGCATTATCGTTACGGATACAGCATGCTTACATTAGGTATCGAGAGGGCCGCTCTGTCGATTCTCTTGAGCTCTTCCTTGTACGTAGATTGCGTTCGCCTAGTGCCCCGATGGCATCGACGTCGCTGGTCCACCCGGTAGAGTCCGTCGAACAACGGCTATCCAATTGGCCATGGGACGGTGATGGGAGACAAAACAAGGTTTTCTCAGATCGGCCATCTTGACTGGCCGACTGTTTCCTGCAGTCGGCAGTCAACGATCACTCAAAAAGGCGAAATAACCGAAGAAATTTTGGTGGTGTCACTGATGCGCCAGCCGTTCCAAAGAAAACAAGATCAAATACCAGTACGCCAACTTTACGTTTGTTGACGTTGTACGGAAGTCAACTTGAATGTGTCTAGGAAGCAATGCACGCTGCATTCCTCCTCACATTTGGCTGTGGCCCGAGATCGCCCACGTCATCCACTGGATTAGAAGGGGACAACCATCATTGCTCTTGCCTGCCCGACCCGGGTTGGACTTGCCCGATGTCTTCTTGAGTCCTTATCGGGCCGCCATCTGTACTTTACAATATGATTTTGCATGTATGTACTTGTACAGTAGACAGTACAGTACACTAACGTACCCCCTTGCAAAACCCCGGTCATCTCACTGCCTCGGTCAAATATTTGGCTGCTGAAGAGCACTCTGTTTCTCTTCTCTCATCTTTTCCCAAACCTTCAAAAGCATTTATTTACCCGGGAGATGCACAAGGCTGAGCAGCACGACAACACACAGCATTTTGATGCAGAGCGATCCGGACACGGATTGTCACCTAACGCTCTCCAATCTCCATACTCCGTAGCACGGTTCCGGGTCCTGTAGCGGCCGCCGGGTGGATCACTAGTTAAGCGCCGACCTGCGTGCCGACCTCCCGGGCCGTTGGATCCGGTGCATGCACATGGAGCCGAGGCTGAACCGCAGCCTGCCGATCCGGGGCGGTCAGGCGCTCATGACTGCCTTAAACAGCAGCCATTAGGTATAAAGGCCTCAACGCGAACCTTGACTCGAAATTCCGAAAATGTTAGACTGGCCCGATACGGTCGGTTGCATGAGACAGCATAAGTCGGGATCCAATCGTGCTCCATCAAGTACGGTAGCCTCTCCTAACTTCGCTTGCATCACACATTTGGCCGCCGGACTACTTCGCAGGGCCTGCGGAACGGCGACATTTGGCAAACTCAGAGCCCCCAGGGGCATACGAGCTTGCTGCAGATTCCGTGGTCAAGGCTGACGCCGCCTGGGACTGACATTGCACGTTATGTTCGCTAACAAAAAAAAAAAGTACAACCCTCATGGGTCCCGTGGCTCAGCGTCCAACATCCGCATTTCCAAGAGTCACAAGAGTCACTAGTCCTTCATGGTCACGACAGCCCGGATGCAGTCACCCTGCTTCATGACCTCGAATGCCTCGTTGATCTGCGCCAAAGTCTTGCGGTGCGTGATGAACTCGTCCACCTTGAGCCGCCCCTCGAGGTAGTCGCTAACGAGACCAGGCAACTGCGATCTGCCCTTGACGCCGCCAAAAGCGCTGCCTTTCCAGACACGGCCGGTCACGAGTTGGAACGCTATGTTTTATTTTTAGTTCGAGACCTACCCAAGAGTCCGGGGAAAGGGGTTTGAGAGGGGGACGCCAACTTACGTCTCGTCGAAATCTCCTGTCCAGCAGCGGCAACGCCAATAATGATGCTCTGGCCCCAGCCCTTGTGGCAGGCCTCGAGAGCGGCGCGCATGACGCTCACGTTGCCGGTGCAATCAAAGGTGTAGTCGCAGCCGCCGTCCGTCATCTCGATGAGCTTGTCAACGATGGTCTTGCCCTCAGGCAGCTTGGTCGGGTTGACAAAATCGGTGGCGCCAAACTTGCGCGCCCACTCCTCCTTTTTATCGTTGACATCGACGGCGATGATCTTGCCGGCGCCCTGCGCGACGGCACCCTGGAGCACGCTGAGCCCGACGCAGCCCACGCCAAAGACGGCAATGTTGCTGCCCTTCTCGACCTTGGCCGTGATGGTGGCGGCGCCGTAGCCCGTCGTGATGCCGCAGCCCAGCAGGCAGGTGCGGTCCATGGGCGCGTCCTGCTGCACGGCCACGACCGAGATATCGGCAACCACGGTGTACTGGCTGAAGGTGGAAGTGCCCATGAAGTGCAGGATGTCCTGGCCCCGCGCCCGGAAGCGCGAGGTGCCGTCAGGCATGACGCCCTTGCCCTGGGTCGCGCGGATCTTGCCGCAGAGGTTGGTCTTGCCGGACTTGCAGAACTTGCATTCCTTGCACTCGGGGGTGCTGTGAAGTAGGTTTGTCAATTGAGTCCCGTCGTGTTCTTAGGAGGGACTCGCACGGTCTGCGACTTACTATAGAGCGACGACATGGTCGCCGGGCTTGACGCTTGTCACCCCCTCGCCGACCGACTCGACAATGCCGGCGCCCTCGTGTCCCAGGATGACGGGGAATGCACCCTCGGGGTCCTTGCCGGAAAGTGTGTAGGCATCTGCGAGCCCGGATTGGTCAACACGGGATTGGGCAGCCATCAAGGTGCGAGGATGAAGGGTACAGTACCTGTGTGGCAGACACCGGTATAATAGATCTGGATTCTGACCTCGTGGGCCTTGGGCGGCGCTACCTCGACGTCCTCATAGCTAAGCTCCTGGCCTGGGCCCCAGGCGATGGCAGCCTTGCAGGTAATCGTCTGCGAACCCCCAAGTCAGCGAATACTGTTCAAACTTTGAGAATCGAATATGGAGGGGCCAATAGGATGCTGTGGGGTTGTGTTCATGGTGATTGTCAATTTATCGTCTCACTCACCTTCCCTGCTGTTGATGCCATTTCAGCTAATTTTGATATCGAGTCGATGAAAAAGTCAATTGGCCGTGTTGCACAACGATGTTTTTGTTTGTTTTCTCTGAACCACCGGGGCGAGGAGCAATGAATGACGAAGAAAAAGAGCCATCATCAAGCTGCCATGCTTTTCGACCCCGCCTTAGAAGGTGGGGTTCGAGGGGGAACGATTGCCGGCACACACGGATGGGAGACGGGAGGGATGTGGATAGGCAGGAGAGGCAGGTAACGTTAATGGGTTAACGAGTGAACACACGCGATCATGCCGTCGCAAGTTTATCCTTGTGGCTAGCATGTTGCTTGGCTGGGCGCATCTTCGCCTCTGCTTCGGCGATATCGCGGCATTCCGCCATCTCTTCGCTTGCTGGTATACCCTACGCTATACCTTTCTCCTTCTCCCGAGTTCCACGGTTCGGCAGTTTCCCCCCCTTTTACTCTTCTTGCCATGACATGTCATACACGGATAATAGGGTCTCCATATACTCTCCCTTAATGGCTGGGATGGTTGCAACGATAGAAGAGAGATGTTAAGCAGGGCATCTGCGAGACGCTTACAAGGAAACGGTTCGGTCATCGATGTGCAATTTTGCACATCCTGCATCCTGTCTGTAATCGGGCTGAATCGGGTCCTACTTCAACGGGCCGAGTCGGGTTGGGGCTGGGTATAAGACTTAGATGGAGCAGCCTAGACCGACTCTGATAACCCGGCGGATTCGAGAGGTGAAAAGCACATGCAGGATTAAGTTCCTATATATTGCCGCCATTGTCTTCGGCCGATGAGATGAGTGATTGGGACAGCTGTGAGATCCAGGTTCAATCATTGGATAGACGGTCTGTTAAAACGAGGAGCTGACCGTATCCATGATCCTATCACGAGCCTGTCGGATATCAAACATGGTGTAGGCTGAGTATTCGTCGGGCTGCTGAGTCGTACAGCGTAGAACGGATTCGAGTGGAAAATGAAATAAGCCTACGCCGATGTAGTGGAAGGTGAGAGCAGCTGTGGAGTGATGACACTTGACTCCGACTCCGACCCGGCATTGGCCCAGTGCGCCGAAACACTTCTCCTTTTCGCAACAAACACAATAAAGATCTCAACACCCTGATTTCTCACCTGCACCTAGACCCAATCAATCCAGTTATAAATACAGACACAGATACGTCACAGAAGCATCAAAAATACCTATTCAGGACAAAAAGGGAGATGGCCCCACTGCCTCCTCCCTCTCCGCTCCCCAAGTTTGTCTACAAAATCACCCCAACCGCCCCGCCCGACCCGATCCCCGAGCAATACCCGCTTTCGGAGCTAGACCGGCAAGATGGCTTTGTCCACCTGAGTGCTCCGTGGCAGGTACGTATACACAATACAATACACGAGATTGACATTTGCGCATGTTCCGGGAGGGAGAAAGACCGTTGGTGCTGCAAAAACCCACGAGTCCGGTTCTCCTTATTGTACCTATACATACATACCTATCTATGTAACACTTGGAAAGATACCATCTAACAGTATGAAAAACAACAACAACTAACAACATCAACAACGCCAAAAGATCCCCATCACAGCAGACCTCTTCTTCAAAGACACGCCCGCCTTCTACATCCTCAAGCTGCGCCTCGCCAACTTCCCCGCCTCGAGCGTCAAGTGGAACGAGGTGGACGGTACCAACGGCTGTCCGCACCTGTACGGCAGCTTTGGTGCCAAGGACGTTGTCGACGTCAGGGAGTTTCGGCGCGAAGGGTCCCAGTCCTGGAGGGAAATTCTGGAGGGCGAGGCTTGGTTAGAGTAGAGTAATTAGGTGGTGTGCGAGTCATTGGGTGAAATGTAATGGTGTTGTTGTTGGCGGCTCAGCTCAACCTGAGATTGGAAATTGTGGGAAAAGGTACGGAGGTAGTACACTTAGAAATGCCATACATCTCTACATAGACATCGACCACCGTAGTCTGCACTCTCACATGATGCGCAGTAGAGGAAGTGCTCCCGGGCCGCCAAGTTCCCCGTTTTGCTCGGCCATATCAAATCTAATCAGGGGCTCGGTCCAGGTGGGAGAAAATCACCAAACCATGGCATCCGCATCCGCCAGCCACAAGGTCGCCAAGTCCTTCGCCAACCCCAGCCTGAGCCGCCGCATGATGTCCGCCCCGGTGGTCTTGGCCGCTACCTCCGTCCGCCAGTCCCACCCCCTTTTAGCATTCACCTTACCCAGGCCGCCACTCCCGCTAAGCGACCGCTGCAGCTGGCTCGCGACAAGCGAGCTGCCAGCCAGTACCAGACAGCCAGACCCTCCTCCTCCCCCTCCGGATGTGCTCTTCAGCAAGTCGGCCGGTGTAGACCCTTTCAGCCCGCCGGGCGCAGACGCGAGTACGAGCTGAAGGAACTCGTCGCACGCGGTATAAACCCTGCTGCCGACGGCTTGCAGGTCCTCAATGGCCTTGAGGATTGTGTCGATCTGGTCGAGCGTAATGACAGGCGCGGTGAACTGGCCGTGGTGGACGTTGGTGTTGTCCGGGTTGCTGACAAACACGAGCGCCTCGCCGAGCAAAGCCAGGAGGAAGTCCTCGCTGACGATGCCGTCACGGGTCTGATCGAACAGGCCACCGCGGATGTTGTCGTCCGAGCTGGCGATGACGCTGATCAGCGCGGCCGCGGCCTGCTGGCGTCGCGCCAGAGGAGTCGCGTTCGGCAGGCTGCTCTCGTTGTCGCGAATGTCATAAAACTGCCGCAGTGCGGCATAGCCGCTGAGCATCTTCCCCAGAAGCTCGGCCGCTTCCATATCCTGCTTGGCGCATTGCTCTAGCGTCCTGCTGCGGTCCGTGAGGAGCTTGTGAAGATAATCGTCGAGGTCGTTGTTGGGCGGGAATGCCGTCGACTGGATCAACGAGTACGAGATGAGCAAGTTCATGACCTCGCGGACCTTGTTTGGCCGGTGCGCGAGAGCGTAGTACCACATGGCTTCGCCGTAGCGATGGGAATCCCGGGCGAGGATATCTCCATATGTCTAGGTGCAAGTCAATAAGTCGTCTCGTGGGGCAAGGGGTCCAACTGAATAGCTCTTACCTCTACCGTCTCCTCGGCATAGGCAATCATGCCTAGCTCATTCAACAAGGCCCAGAGCTTGTCCACCATCACATTGGAATCCACATGCATGCCTTGAATAATGTGATCCACCAGATCTCTGACCATTTCGTCAGACCGCTCCGGCGAGTCCATCCTGCCCAACACGCTGATCGCCAACTCCCAGCCATCCCGCGAGACCCCTGACTTGTGCGTCACAGTAGAGAGCTCGTCGTAGTCCGCGAGCGCCTGCGCATATTGTGCCAAGGTACTGTCCTTGATCCCGTCGATCTCGTCTGGCGCACCAGGATCCATGCCCAGAACTTCCAGATCGTCCATATCCAGCTCTTCGAGTCCGAACAGAGCGGAGGGCTGGTGAGGAGGCAGCCACTTTCCTAGAGATGCAATCTCGGCCACGGCGGAAGCGATCGGGAGCGACCATGCGCGAAGCAGGCCTATCACGCCCTTGATATTGTCCTCAAAAACGCAGGCCATGCCAATCTCGATGGGGTTCTGTGAATTGAAGTGGAAATCCGACTTGACCGCCGCGTGGAAAGCACGCGAGAGCCTGTCAAGGTAACTCTCGGCATCCGTGGTCGGCGCCGAGGCCAGCACCAATGCCTGTGACCGTGACAGCGAATTCTCCGTCTTGGCCTTCCGCTCATCCCACCAGCCAAAGAGACCAACAGTAGCCTCGAGCCAGTCCTGGGCCGCTTCCAGAATGGCGCCCTGCTGCCCAAGAACGATGTCGAATACAATGTTCAGATTTTCGTATATCTCCCACGGCACCTGGCTTTCGGCCCGCCGCGCCAGGCCGGCCATGGACTGCCTGCTTCTCGCCGACGCGGCAGACGCAGAGAAGGCCGACTCGCCAAATCCAGTCTCCTTCCCTTCTGCAAAGCGCCTCAGGTGGTCGAGCGCGCCCTGCGCCCGCACGCGGAACAGAGTCCAGTCGCTGCTCCAAATGTCCCAGTTGCCGTCGTACCCCGGGCATCTCTCGAGAACAGCGATCGTCTCCTCGGCAGCGCGCTGCACATTCTCCAGCGCGCGGTCAACATAAGCGTACTCGCCACGTTGGCCGCCGCGCCGGACGTGGGCCCAGCCGGCCTGCCTGAGCAGCTTCGCCGCGTCGCCGACGTTGCCGCGCAGCAGAGCGACGAAGACGGCCTGCCAGAAGAGCGAATGACACGCCGGACTGGGCCGATGACGCAGAATCTCGTCGACCTGGTTGCCGTACATGTCGTGATACTCGTTGAGCCACCGGAACATGGTCTCGGGGAGGGGTTCAACGCGGCCGGCGCCCGACTCGTCGTATCTCGTGTGATGGATCTGCAGCGCCAGATTGGCAAGGTAGTTCGCCTTCTCAAACGGGGTCGCATGCGGGCCAGGCCCTATCTCGGCAACATGCTCCTCGGTAGGCTGCGGGAGCGTATCCACGTAATCCTTCCAAAGCGCCGCCAGCTTGCCAGCCACCGTGGCTAGCGCGTCATCCATTTTCTCCTCGTCGTCCGCCTCGCCAACACCCTCATCATACAACCTGGCGACCAGCGCGTCCGTGCCAAGGATTACATTCGGCGGCTCGGTGATTGGGGCGGTTCCCAGCTGTGTGTACGTGTCTTTGGCGAGGGCGGCGTAGCGGAACTCTCTGCGGCGGTGTAGGCCGCCGCCGGTGTGCACTGCGGACGCGCGGAAAATATCTTCAGCCTCCCTCCTCACACGCTCCGTTGCCGCGGGCGTATTGAGCATCATCAGGTCCGACTCCTCGCCGATCCCGTTCCAGTCCCCGCCGCCCTGGGCAGGCATGTCGAGCCACATATCCCCATCACCCTCGTCATCGTTATCCCCAACCTCCTCTTCGTCCTCGTCCTCTTCCTCGCCATAGCTCTCATCAAACGGCACGCCAAACGTCCTACTCTTCCCCGCCCCTTCACCTTCACCTTCACCTTCACCTTCACCATCATTATTCTCATCATCATGGTGATCCCGATCCTGAAAAGCAACCGACATCCCCAACCTCGAACGAGGCGGCCTCTGCTCGCCGCCCACAATCGACCTCCCAAGCGGAACCTTTTTCCTTCCCCCACCACCACCAGCAGCGAACAAGTTCCTCTTAGGAACTCCAGCCGCGCCGCTGGTAAACAGCCCCTGCGGACCTCCCCCATTATTGTTGTTGTTGCTGCCGGCTGACATGCCCCTCATGATGGAGCTGCCCAGGTACTGTGCCGAGGGCGCGCCGGCCGGGGTGAAGCTTGCGGCCGAGGAGGACAATTTTTGTGGCGGGGGTGCGGCGGGGGTCGTGGAGGGGTGGCTCCCGAAGGAGCGGAGCAAGTCCGGGTTGACTTCGAGGTTTCGCGTGTTGTTGATGTTGTTGCTTCTGTTGTTAATACCGCCGCTATTGTTGGGGCGGTTTGGCGTCGAGGGTTGTGGGAGCGATGGGGAGGATGGGGAGGATGGGGGTTGAAAGAAGCGGTTCGACATTGTAATTTTCCCTTTCTTTCTTCGTGTTCTTCGTTCCTGGTATCTCCTGTCTATTGCTGCAATTTATTCTATCGGCAAGTCCTGCCAGGGTGAAAGGGTAAGGTTCGTCGTAGTCGGTTTCTTCGGTTCCAAAGTTGGGTGCGAAGGGTCGTTAGCTGGGGTTGTAATTGTTTGCTGCACAAGGTAAGAGTCAAGACTGCTCGCGCGTTGCGAATTGAGTTGGGCCTTGGGCGTCGTCGCAGGCCCTGGAATCGGACAAGTTACAGAGTAACTTCTTCCAACCTCTCGCAGAGGCAGGTCAGTCAGTCACGAGTAGCAGCACGGTGAAGGGCTTTGTGCTATGCTTTGAATCTTGAGCTCAGAGCTTCCAAATTGAGAGGAAGCTTCGTTCTTTTGGCGCTTTGACGCGACTTTTGGCAGCTGTCTGCGCGACTCGGAAAATTCCGCGGCTTGATTTACACCTCCGTACACTGCCGTACGTTCGTAATCTGGCTGTATATCAGGCATCGAACACCGTCCACAGCCAACTGAGCCAAACCTGCACTGGGAGCACAACACTGGAAACAATAAAATCTCTTCCACAATTGCTCTTTGCAATTCTCATTTCTCCCAAGATTCATCACTCCGACTCAATCAAGCTATTCAATCTTACACAGGCCAAATCGTCATCACAGTTAGCCCTTGCCTGAGGCCTTCGCTCTTGTTCCTTTGCCCTTCCAAAGGGACGCAACGCGTTCATGTACTTAGCATATCTCGGCACGATACTGGACAAAAGAGGAATTTCACAGGAAGTTGGTTTGACGCCATGGATGAGCGCCCCTCCCGTCTTCCTTCCCCATTGCTGTAACCAACCCAAAAAGAGCATCGCATTGGCTTTTGGGAACTAATCAAACACGTACCATCCTCGCGCCAGACAGGCTTGTGTGATACAGGAACATTATGTATTGTATGGGTATGCTGCGAAACTAAAACAAAAAAAGCGAGCGTCGCGCATCAAACAAGGGGTATTTGAGACGAGCAATCAACAGGAAAGCCGGCAGATTTTGGGTTTTGCGTCCAACGCCCCAACGTCCATGTATCTAGGCGCTCTGTGGGAGCACTGATGTGCCTTCCTGGGTACCAAGGTTGAATCCTCCAACTCCGGCGCTCTCGGCTTGGTGGAGTCCAAACTTTTCCAAGCCTCCGGCTGCGGAATCAGCCTCGCTGTAGACAATCCCAAGACCATTTGCATCCTTGCTGCCAGCTGCTTTCTTCTCGCCGTTGCTGGCCTCGTCGTTTGTCTCGTCAAGGTTCATGAGAGCCGGCGGCCTATGCCGCATCTGCCGGGCTTTGGCCAACGAGATCGTCTTTTGCTGGTACGTCGTAGTAATCGGTTGGGTATCGTCGCGGTCGATCGTCGCCTTCATAAGGGCCGCCATCCACAATCTCCCCTGCTTGATGTTGGGTACCGCAAAATAGTGCACTGTTGGCTTGGTAAAATTGACAGCGCGCGAAAGACCGGCGCGCGGTGGGACAAGCTTGAAAATGAAGATAGAATCCGACTCCTTGACCGGATCGCGTTCCGCGTCTGCGGCTGCGAGTGTCGGCATGTGGCTTCCAGCTGGCATTGCTGGCGAACTCGATACCCCCGTGAGGGTGGCATGGAGTCCGGTGAGCCGTTCGTTGTCGGCCGGCAGAACGCGATGGAAAGAGATGTCGATAAGTCCTCTCTCCTGGTCGTCGTCTTCTGAGTAGTAGTATGCGAGCCGTCTACCCTTGAGTACAAAGAGACGCGGTTTCCACGTCGTCATGAGATTAGCGCTTCTCTTCTTCATCCAGCCGCTGTAATCGGCGTCTTTCATCGCCTCTGCAGGGCTGATTTTCTGGAGGCCGCGAGTATATGCGCTGGTTTCTTGCTTCGTCTTCTTGCGGCTGGTGCGGCTGGCCGCCGTCGTCGCCGTGCTCGGGCTCTTGGCTGCATCGGGGGAATCCAGCTCGAAGCTCGGTCCAGCCGAGGGTGTGCTAGATCCCGTGCGCGCCGGCGAGTACATCGGTGATTCCTTGTTTGGGGAGTCAATTGGTGACACCTTGGCCTTTTCGCTGCCCGTAATTGCGTCCGAGGCGGCCCTCAACCCGCCTAGCCCACTTCGCAGCATCATCGCAACGTTGAAATCGGGGTGGTTAACTTGACTCAATCGTTTGATGGCAGATTTAGGTGACGCGCGAGATTGGTCCGATGTGTTGCTGTCCAACCTGGTAACAGTGGGATGAGTCGCTTCCCTGGACTCGGAAATCCGGCGCATGGAATCCGCAGTAGCCGTAGACGGCGTGCGCTTGGATTTGCCATAGTATTTTTGGGCTGCGGGCGACTCGCGCGTGGAATCCGTGCTACCAAGCCTCGAGTGTCTGGACAACGCGGTCGCGCTCCGCACTCGCTGCTCCTCTGTGTAACTGGACTTGGGCGAGGACTGGCCCGCCTGCAGAGTGTCACGCTTCTTAAGAACATTCCGGCGTCGGGTATCAGCGTCAGGACCAGAAAAGTAGCCCCGGTCGAGCTCGATGGCCGAATCCTGGAGCTCAGAGCTTTGTCCCACCGTGCCCTCCTGAGGCCCTGCAGAGGACAAGGGCCGCTGCGCATAAGCCGTGGCGCTCCCCAGAGTCCAATTCCTATCGAAGGATGGCTGCTTCTTATGGGGAGCGTCCTGCCGCGGGTATGGTCCAGTGGACGCGGTCTTGGAAGGCACAGTAGAAGTGTTGAGTGTTGTGCCTGTCAGGCGGAAATCGGTTGATGAGTGACGGCGAGAGTGGTGCAAATCTCGGACAGATGCAGCAGAGGGTCGCTTCTCGTGAAACGCGCGACTCGGGCTTTCTACCAAGGGCGACACGGGAGATACGGGCTCGTACGGCTCCAGCTTCGGCGTTTGCGACAGCTTTCTTGTCGAAACCGACAAACTGGCATCGTTAAGAGGAGTGAACCGCTGACTGGAGTTTGTCACAGTATTTGTCCTGCTCCGGACCCTTCCTGCCTCGGACCCCGCGTCGCTTCCGTACGACATGGTGTTTCTCCCCATGCTCGTCGATAACCCGTTCACTTCATCCTGCAGCTGCTTGATCTTCTGCCACGTCTTTAGCCTGCGTCCCACCGAGCCCAAGTCGAGCGCCTTGATAAAGAGCGACGTCTGGTCCATTCCCAAGATCACCTCGCCCGTGATTTCCTGGTCCCGGAAAACCTCGCAATGGTGCTTTTCAACGCCGACGGTGAACAGGTACTCGGCAACCTGATCCGCGGACCACGACTCAACCTCGGAGCGAGAGTGGACCGTTTCTTCCTCCTCATCCGTTTCTTCACCTTGGATGTACGAAATTCGATGGTCTATGTGGGAACTGTATTCACTGCCCGAGTCGTTACCATTACGAAAATTCACGTTGCTTGGTGCCGAGTTCAAATCCGTGATGTGCTCGTCGATAACATTTAGGGTCTCGTGCAGGACGTGGCTATCCGTGCTTGCGCTGGGTCGCGTTGTACTGCTGCTAAGACCAGTGCCGGTACCAGCAGGCAGGCTGTTGGCCGATTGCGGTGGACTAGGGGCGGTACCGGTTGCGAACGAACTGAGCGGGAGCGCGGCGGAGGCTGGTTTTGGCTCCTGGAGGGAGGCAGACTTGGTCGTTTCTGCGGGTGGACTTGTGGCGGTTGATGTCTGCTCGTTGGCAACCTCGGCCAAGGGTGTGAGGGGTTGTTTGGGTGCTAAAAACGGCGACGCGCTGCTCACGGCTGGCTTCGGCGCCGGTCTGGTATAGACTGTACTGGATTAGTCTCGATGGCGGGGGATTGCATCACGGCTGTCAACATACCCTCAGGGAAAAGACCGGTGTTGCCATTGCCTAGATGTTTGCCCAAAAACCAACCGTCTCCAAATTCATCATCACGTTCAAGCAACTCGACACGGTCGCCTTTGGCCAGGCTAAGCTCGTCGGAGCTGCGGGCCTGGAAATCATCTAGGAAGGAAACAGCATGGTCAGTCCTTGCTTTTGCTTGTGTTTCGCCCAAACGCCATTCCAGCATCGGACAGCCGGGAGCTGCCAAGGGTGGGCGCAAGGGGATCACCATTGCGACGGTCCGAAGCTAAATCGATGGCGGTTGGGTAATCTGGACGCAGGGCAACTCACGGATGACGAGCAACATGTCGCCCACCTCGGGCCTGGCTGAACCGGGCGTAGCCATCTTAGAACCGAGGCCTGCTGCGCGTGAGTGTCGAAACCCAATGAGTGACGATGACAATCAGGAGCAGCTCTTCGGAGTCGGGGCCTGTGTTCCTGAAAGGACGGCGACGTCGCGGAAAAGAAAGGAGGGATGCTTCCAGACGTCGGAGTAGAACCGAGGGGGCGGGTTGATGATCGAGGAAGGAAGAAGCAAAAACCGAGCCACCCAGGCAGAAAAAACAGGTCGCGGCCAGGGAAGGGGCCTTGGTCGAGCCCAAGGAAATGAGCGGCTGATGACAGAATGGAAACAGACGAACGCGAGATGCAAGCAGCGGCAAGACCGTTTTCTGTGTAAAGGCAGATAAGTAGGTACCCGTCGATATACCTAGAAAGTATGTGAGGCAGGCAGGTAGGTGTGTTCTAGCAGCGCCGCAGCTGTCCCACTCCCATGCTGTTGTGTGCCGCTGCAGACACGTTGGATCTATTTCCAGGGACGCTCTCCTCGGCGGGCGGGTGCTCTGAGTGGCACGAAGAGGCTAGGCTGGAGTGTATTGTACCGTGCAGCTAGACACGTACTCAGGAATTTATTGAGGGTTGAACGGCCTGGGCTGCTGCTGTGCTCAGAGGCGGCGGCGTGGCTCCGGATTGCTCTTTGCTGATTGGGGGAAGGAATTAACAGACGAGGGGCTGCGTGGATTGCCGTTATTGGCCTGCAGAGGCGAGCTGCCCCCAACAGCGGCAAAGCGCAAGATGGCGATTGCCCAGCAGGAAGTGGCAGCGGCGGGCTAAACGCCAAATCGAAGGCCTCGAGGAGTAAGAGAAAATTCGAGTGGTCGAGTTGTTGTCACCGAGTCGGAGTTTTTGTTGAGGAAGATTGGGATGAAAGATGTGAAGGACGTGATCCCTGTCAGTTATTAAGTACGGCCCTTTTTCAGGGGGGCGTTTCCTGGCTTTTTGCTGAAGAAGAAAGTCGAGACGACTTCGGCTGCAATCTGGGGCAGCCCACTTACGGATATGCCCGGAATGGTCCCACTTGGTAAGTACAGATAAATCAGTGTTAGAGTAAACCATATCACGAAATATCGAGCAGGACACGCTGTATTGAACCACCAGTCTTTCACACACAATATCGACACAGCCGCAGAGAAGGTAGGCTGGGCTCAGTGGGTGATGTGTTGCACCGAGGGTACGGTAACAGTTGGAAGTCATATTGAAGAGCGCCGGATTACGGAGTACCTAGTTCCAGCGCCGCCAATTTATCTTGATGGCTAGCTGAATCAGGTTGTGGTGACGAAGCGGCCATACGGAGTTTGTAATGACATACAGTACAGGTATGTAAAGTACGATTTCACTGACAGGAGCCGTTTGGCTGCAGAACCTGAGTGATATGGAAATTACACATCTCGACCTGTCTGTATTCTACGTATCCGTATAGAACGATGCTCCAAGTGCAAGCGATGGTTGTTTTGGGCTTCGTTGCCCAACCCCGTTAAAAAATTAGGCCGGGAACAACGACGTGGAATTCCGGTATTACTTAGGTTATCCTCCATACTGAAATGTGTAACATTGCTTGAGTGTCCGTATCATTCAAGTTGATTAGGACAGAGTACTCGTACGTCCGTACTTGTATAGATTGAGGTTTATATCCGTACAAGTCCTAGAACAGAGCACCTGGAGCAGGGCCCAAGAAGTCCAATTGACTACCTATCCATTTCATGTACCGTACGGTCATAAGTTGGCTCTTCCTTTCCATCCGTCAAGCTCCAGGTGTAGGTGCGCCGTACTTCGTACCCTCGTACCATTGACGCCATTCACATGCTTACCCGCCAGGCTTTCTTGGCACACCAAGGTGGACTCCACACCGACGAACCATTGTGGGCTTCCCCAGCTTCGGCCAAGCCCGCCCGCTGCCAGTGCAGCCTCGGCAACGCACTAGAGCCAGCGATCGTCGACCCAAGATAAAGATGGCGATGGCAACCCAGCAAAAGCGATTGCTTGAGCATCAACTGATATTTCGATGAGCTGCTACGGCGTATAATCAATTCTGCGGCACCAACCTCAATAAAAAGCCAACAGCCCGACGCATCCGCTCTCGGTGGAACGGTACACCGGTCGTCGTGCCACCCCATCACGTCCTCTGTTCACATCGCCCTGCTGCAGTCCCGCGGCACATCGTGAGTCCAAAGGTACAATACATAGGGGACACCTAGAACATGGCACAACCACAGAGACTAGCAGGCTATGCGGGGTACCAGTACTTCCTGGTCACGTCCCCGGCGGCCTTTGTGGCGCACGTCGAGATCAACCGGCCGGACAAGCTCAACGCTTTTTTCGAGGCCATGTGGCTCGAGCTGCGCCAGGTATTCCAGCAGCTGTCATCAGACCCGGACGTGCGCGCCGTGGTGCTATCGGGCGCCGGCGACCGCGCGTTCACGGCCGGGCTCGACGTCAAGGCCGCCAACGAGACCGGGCCGCTGTCGTCGACTAATAAGGGCGCCGGCGCCGCCGCCGACGGAGCGAGGAACGCGGCCAAATTGCGCCGGCACATTGCCGAGTTCCAAGATTGCATCTCGGCCGTGGAGAGATGCGAAAAACGTAGGCACAGTCATCACCCAGCGGAGGGAGATAGTAAACAAAAATTGAAAGTTTGAGCCCTGGCTAACTAAAACGCCCCGTGACAAGCCGTCATCTGCGTACTGCACGGAATTTCCATCGGTTTGGCGATAGACATCTCCTGCTGCGCCGACATACGGCTTTGCTCCAAGGACGTGGTGTTTGCTGTCAAGGAGGTCGACATTGGGCTGGCCGCTGACATTGGCACCCTAGCGCGGCTCCCCAAGGCGGTCGGCAGCGCGTCGTGGGTCAAGGATGTGTGCCTGACAGCCCGCAATTTTGATGCGGCCGAGGCGCTTTCGGTCGGGTTCGTCAGCAAGGTGCACGAGTCCAAGGCTGCCGCGCTGGCCGCGGCCCTGGAGACGGCCGGCTTCATCGCCTCCAAAAGCCCTGTAGCTGTGCAAGGGACCAAGGAGCTGCTGAATCATAGCCGGGATCACACAGTTGCTGACAGTGCGTCTTCCCCGTTGTCCAGAGTTTGTGTTCCAGACTGACCGTTCACAGACCTGAGGTATACCGGTGTCTGGAATGCCGCCGCTCTGCAGACCAGCGATGTGCCAGCCGCTCTGATGTCTGGAATTCAGAAGAGGAAGCCCACGTTTGAGAAACTTTAAAGTTGCGAGAACTGGATGTGCTATGGTGTGAAAGCTCTACGAAGGGTCGGGGAACGGTCGGAGGCTTTGCCACGGGACCGTTGTATTGTATATGTATGTACAATAAAAAACCAACGATGTGCACAAATCTTCCCCTGCGGTTATATGAGAGTTCTGATCTCTCAATCGCTGTCGGCTAAGGGCTCCTCGGGCCGGTATGTTTCCTTTAGACGCTTTCATGCTTGTCAGCAGGGAGGAACACACGGCAGGAAGAGCACTTACGTCCTCCAGCTTCTGCTTCAACACGTGCACCATGTTCTCCTTGACAACCAAATGCTGCTCGTCGAGGTCTTCAATGATGATGTCGTTGTTGGCGCTGTCAAGATGGACAATGATGGACTTGATGGCCGGCTCACACTCGATGAGCACGCCTGTTTAAAATGAGTGAAATGATATCGAGACAGTGCTGATAGGAGATGAGAGAACCTACCACGAATGGCCCTGACCATCTTGAGAAGGTGTCGAGTCACAGTTCAACAAGGAAGGTGGAGGAAAAGGGTCGTCGCGAACGCAGTGCTTTGATGTCCCATTTGGGGTGGAACAATGGAGGTAGAAACGCAACGAATTGCAGCCTGCGTTGAGTGGTGAACGATCGCACTCAGGTGTAGTGGCACAGTTTGGTTCGTACTGTATGCCGGACGCCGCTCCCAACCCCGGCGCCAAAACCTCAAGAACTCTCAACTTTGTTGCTAGAAAGTCTACTCCGTACCTACATCTCATCCCGGCCTCAGTTCCCGTCATCCCTCTCAACAGGATTCTGTTCTCCGGCAGAGGCTGGTGCTTAATCACACTTCCTCTGCAGCGAGAACAAAGCATCCACGACCGGTTTTGTATTGTACCAGGAAAGTCCCAGGCTACCATCGATGCAAGCAACCGCAGCCCGGCTCTCTTCTAGCTGCTCCATCTTCGAAGTGCCTGCCAGCGCTGCTCAAGAAGCGCCGGCAGTTCTGTCTTGGCCTTGTTGGCTGTCGGCCCGACCCGAGGCCAACGTCACTCCATTCGCGGGCTGAACTGAAACTCTACAGGTACTTAGGTTCTCCCTCACCAACATTCACACCACCAATTAAGAATGGGACCGTCCTGGCAGGAATGCGAAGCCTAAGCGGCCGGCTGGAGACGATAGCTATGGATTCCTGATGATTTGCGTCGCCTGAGCCGTCACAAGTGCATACGCAATGATGATGCAATTGGCATGCGAGCTTGAGATGGCGAGCCCGGAGAAGGCGCCCGACTGCTAGCATATACTAAGTACTAGCAGTTCATGCTGGATGTCGGCGGTGTTGTCCAAGACAGTCGAGCGCAACCTATGACAGGCTATCGACTTTGTATCGAGAATCGAAAGGTATGTAGCCATACTCTCTGAGCAGCTGGATGACGGACAGCACCAGAATTTGACTGCTACAGAAGGCCCTCGCGAAATTATCTTCTGGTTTGACTTTGGTCGAGACGGAGATGCTGTTACTAACTACTGTCACTGATCATGTCCTTCGGCCATACCCAAACTCTCCTTAGAGCAGCTGAGAGCGGTTAGCATATCATGTCGCCATCCCTTTCCATCTTGTCCCTGCTAAGACCTCCTTGTTCGCATGTACTGCATCAACCTTGAAAGCACACGTCCATGGCTATGACCGAAAACTTGAACCGCTCTGCTACCCAGCACCTGAGGCCTATAATGATGTTAGAGATCGACTTACAAGCTCCCTGACACCAGATTGCATATCAGCCACTCCCTGCTTCAACGCTAGTCACCACCGAGACGTGCAGCCGAACTAAATTGACCGGAAAGCTCCTTTTGACTCTGCCGTATGAGTGTTTGAGGGGATTGTAGTCGATTCGCGCTCCAAAGAGCTCCATCTCTCTATCCTCACGCTCTTCTCCTTCACCTCCTTTCGCATGGTTGCAACCACGACGGTACGCTCTATGAACGCAACCACTTGTATATGACATCTCATTGGGCTGAGAACCATCTCCAAGGTCCCATGTGTGTCATATACCGGTGCTTCACTTATAAACCGAATCAACAAGACCCCGAAATAAACCGCTACAGCCCTCTCCTTGCAGACTTCCTTCGAACCGTGACCCCCCCTTCAGTGGCAGCAAGACTTGATTTTCCCCCTTTTACGATCGCCTTCCCCTGAAGGATGACTTCGTTCATCCCCCCGGACGGCTTTGAACCCCTGTCTCCCTCCTCTGACTCTTCCTCCCCTGAAGATTCCTCATCATCGGCCGCGGACACGGCTTCCTTTGCCCGGCCACCACTCGCCACCGCCGCACTCATCTCACCCAACCGTCCCTGGGCATGGGCGCTCATCCCGGTAGGGCTCATCATCAGCCTGTGTACACTCGCCGTTTGCGTGCACACTACTCGGAAGCGGCGACGCCAACGCCGGCGCACCCACGGTCACCATCACAGTACTAGTAACCATCAACAGCAACCACGTTCCAATCCAGGCTTCTTCCCACCATCCTTTCATGTTCCTTCAGGCTCCCACTCCCATTCCCAATCCGGTGGCACTGGCACTGGCAGTGGCAGTGGTAGTGGTAATGAGCGAGACCTCGAAGATCAAGAAGCCCTCTGGCTGCTCCCAGCCCAGCCCCCGCCCGCTCTCACCACGACGTCATCAGCCTCAGCCTCAACCTCAACAGCGGCACTTCGGGATGTGGATGTAACTCCTCGGTTAGGCGGGGGAGGGGGTGGGGGAGGGGGTGGGGGAGGAGGTGGTGGTTTAGGATTCCGACCGGACTGGCAGTGGCCTGGGGCGTGGCAGTGGCACTCAGGATGGCAAGCACCGCAGCCTGAGGAGGGATTCAACGAGCTGGGGGAGGCTCCGCCGCCTTATGAGCAGCCAAAAATGAAGAACAATTTGAATTTCCCCCCGGAGGACTCGGACCTTCTCCCACATCAGCCTCAGTCTTCTTATTCTTGGTGCTGTCCGCCTCCGCCTCCGCCTCCGCCTCCGTTTCCTGAATCATCATCATCATCATCATCTTCTTCTTCTTCTTCAGAATTGTCACCTCAACAGCAGCAGCAGCAGCAGCAGCACCCAGAACACGAGAACAGCTTCGCCGCGGCAGTGGAGCTGGAGCCGGGTGCTGACCGTGCTAGTAGGGTGTCTGAGACTCAGACCGAGACCGAGACCGAGACCGGGGCCGTGGCTGGTGGAGGACTACGACCACTACCACACAGCGCGGGCTTGGGAGAAGGAGGAGGAAGTGGACGAGGAGGGGTGAATCACGGTCCGGGAGAGCGGTTGACAAACCCCCCATTTTTGACTGGAGAAGACAACGATGGCGAACAGGATGATGAGAGAGGAGGGGTCACGGTTGCGGCCCTGTCTCTGACGGTATTGTCGCGGCGAGAAGACGAGGGAGACTTGTTGGAAGAGGGGCCCGGGCAAAACCAGGAACAGGAACAGGAACAGCACCCAAGGATGAACCGGGGTGCCCAGCGGGATAGAACCGGTGTGCGGACACCATCGGCCATGTTGCCGCCGGATTACGAAGATGCAGCGGCGGCGATCGTGAGGGAGACGCCGGGGCAGCCACGGCCGGGATCGTCGTGATAGCCTCCACAGGAGCAGAATAGGGAGTTTCTTGATTTAGTACTAGCTTACATGTCGTTCTCGGGGCGGCGTTGGGGTGGCACACACCATCGGGAATTCAATGACTACGGGACACTAGGGCGCTGGAGTAACTAAGGACACTAGGAGTAGCTTCAGGGGTTTTGGCACCGCCCTATCACCCTAGCCCCGGAACTTAGGTCATGATATACAACGAGATGAGATAGTCAACGACTGAAGCAGCCAATGTCTTTCATTTCTGGGGCCGCCCGTCCTCACAATTCCTCCGGTCTACCTACAGCACTATCCCACAGTACAACACTACATACATGCCCGGCAGTCTCTTCAGCCAACGCAGGGAGTATTTGAAAGTCTGATCTCTCCTTTTTGCCAGTAACAAAACCCCGACAAAAACAACCAGCTTTCCCACCACAACGAGCCCCATACAGCAGAAAACAATGCTATGCTTCGCAGACTACCTAATACACCCACAAGCCATCTATGCATCAACATGCCGATTAACACTTGCCAAGTCATTTTATATACCCAGCCATGGCCGGATCGCCTTCATATCCCGTCATGTCCACCGCGCTCAAGTCAAGTGCGACCCTGTGCCCTTCCGTCATCCCAAGCGCATCCCATTACTTCTTCTCATTTGCCATCTTGTGCTTCTCCAGGTTCTCGGCAAGGGCCTGCGCCATTGCAGCCGTCTTGACCTGGATCATCCACGTCTCCAAGCCCTTGCCGTTGTCCGCCGCCGTCGTCACCTTGACATACTTGCCCCCGCTCGGTTCCGCCTTGTACGTGAACTCCGGAAGCACCATCTTGTTGAGTGCGATATGGCCGCGCGGCTCGGCCCGCAGCAGCAATCGGACCGACCCGGTAGTTTTGTTCTTGAGGAGCCGAAGGGGCCCAACACCCTGGACCTTCCACGGGTTCTTCTTGCTGGCCTTGTCCTTATCCGCGTTCGAGCTCGAGTCGTCTTCGGATTCACCCCCCGTCACGAGCTTGAGTGCCTTGGCGCGGACTTCATGGACGACGGACTCGTCCTCCTCGCCCGGGCCGCCTTCGGTTAGCGAGATTTGCTCCTGTGGTGCCTCATCGCCGTCAGCGTTTGTTCCTTGACCATCTTCAGTATTGGCAGACGGCTCAGGGGTTGTGGCCGCCGGCGTGGTCGCCAAGCTCGAAGCACCGCCGAAAGTAAATGGGGTATCTAAGTAATACACTGATTAATCATACTATAACAATCCACTGGGGGTGAGCTAGCACTTACTAGTACCTGTTGAGGTTCCCCCGCCAGGAGCCAGGGTACTGCCGAAGATGGAGCTTGCCGTAGGGGGGTTCTGGGTCAATGACGGTCCACTGCTGGGCTGCGATGCCCCGAAAGTAAAGATGGGTCCCGAGGTCTGGCTAGGGGCAGTTGTGTTCGAAGTGTCACCAAAGTTAAAGCTTGGGGTACCACTGCCAAACGTGAATGAGGCACCTGCAGGCTGGGAGTCACCGCTTCCGAAATTAAAAGAGGACGGAGCAGAGTAAGATCCTGAACCGCCCGCGAAGGGATTGTTAATTGTTGCCCCATTCGACGGCCCGGCTGAGAAGGTAAACGACGCATTCCCACCAGTTCCAAAGATGGAACCGCTCGGCTGAGCTGTGGTGGGCTGGGAAGCAGCAGGTGCCTGAGAAGAACCAAAATTAAAGATGGGTGTCGCTGCTGCCTGTGTTGTGGATTGTGTGCCAAACAGATTTGTCGGTTTGGCTTCCGCGGCTCCCCCCGCATTTCCAAACAGAGGTTTTGTTTCGTTGGACCCTGTAGCATTACCAAACAAGGGTTTCGCCTCTGTGGAGGCTGCCGTGTTTCCGAACAGCGGCTTCGACTCCACGGCGGGGGTCGATGTAGCGCCGAAGAGACTCTTGGTCTCGGTGGAGGGGGCCGCCGGAGTGGCTCCAAACAAACTCTTACCCTCTTGAGTTGGAGCCGCCGGGGTGGCACCGAAAAGGGGCTTGGTCTCTGTGGCAGGAGCTGCCGAGTTGGTGCCAAAGAGGCTCTGCGTCTCCTTGGCTGGGGCGGCCGGCGTAGCCACAGCTCCGAAGATGCTCTTCGTCACGGCAGGCTTCGAGGACTCGGATACGCCGCCGGGAGTGGCAGAGCCAAACAAAGATGGGCCAGACTTGCTCTCACCACCACCGAAAGCGAACTTCTTTGCTGCCAGTTCCTCAGTGCCGGAACTAGACGAGGTCGAGTTGGCTCCAAAAATGTTGCTCGCCGTCTTCGCCGGATCGGCTCCGAAAATGCCGGCGGGCTTCGCTGTCTGACCCCCGGACGTTTGGGTATTGCCAAACAGGCTCCCCGGTTGAGATTGTGTCGTTGAGGCCGGCTCAGCCTTGCTCTGATTGCCAAATACTGACGATTGCTGAAACGGAGCGGGCGCGGCATCGGACGTCGATGGCTTAGCCCCGAACAGACTCGAAGCCGGGGCAGAGGGAGCGGCAGGGGGAGCGGCAGAGGAAGCGGCAGAAGGAGCGGCCGTACCATCCTTCGCCTCCTCCTTGCTACTCTGCTGGCCGAAAGCAGGAGTGGAAGCACCAAACAGTGATGTGCCCGCGCTAGCCGCCGGTTTCAAGCCACCAAAAATGGGGGCCGCACTTGAGGACGTATCCGCACTTTTCTGAGGGAAAGAAAAGATGTTGGTATTCGGCGCCGGAGCGGCAGCCTGTACTTCCTTCGTTGACGCTCCAGACATGGCCTGAGGGGCCGACTCCTTTTGGGCTTCGGCAGGGGCAGGGGCCTCATCATCTTTCTTTGCGGCGGAAGCACCAAAGTCCACAGCCGACGAAGCAGCGGGCTTCTGCGACGCGGCCCCGAAGATTGACGTCGCTGGGGCCGAGAACTTGATCGGCGTGTTCGCGTTCCAAGTCTTGTCGGACGGCGCGGCAGGTGCCTGCTCTTTGACAGGGCTTACAGACCGGGACTTGACAGCGGGAGCACTGAAGAGGGCCCCTGCGTCTTGCGAAGAGGGCAGCTGCCTGAGAGGCTGACCGTCCGAGCCCCTGGTGATACGTTCAAAAATGCTACGACCTTGCGTGCTTTCCCCTGCCTCTGAGGACGCGCTCGACGTGCCGTTAAGCGCAGGGCCTTTCTTAGTATCGACGAACTGCGGTGTGGATACCCCGCCGCTTTCCGCCTGTTCATCGCTCTGACTAACATCCTGGGCCTCAGATTCGTCTCCATCGGCGTTAGTGCTGGTCTCGCTTTTTTCATCGGCACCTTCATTACCGCTGCCCTTGCTCTCATCGGAGAGGTGGCCGAAGATGTTCGAGGCGGCGGCGGCAGGCTTCGACGCAGCTTCAAACACAGATTTGCCAAGGGGGCCGTTGGGCTTGGGGCCTGTGCTCGCACTAAAAAGGGTGCCCTTGGCCGTAGGCTTCATGCCAGTGCTTGAGTTGGCAATTGTTTCAAACACAGACTTAGTGGCAGACGGGGCTTTCTGGGGCGTCGGGGTGGGCCGCTGTAGCTTCGATGGGTGATTCTCGTCAGGCTCGCCTACGGCATCGGCCTTGCGCTTGTTATTGGTCGTGGACTCTGGCGCACGCGCGCGTTTGTTACCGCCAGAGACAGATGCCATGAGTGCATTGCCGCTCGGCGTCAACTCCTCTTCAGCCTTTCTCTTAGAACCTCCGTTCGCCTTCCGGGAGTTCTCTGCCTCATCGTCCGAGTCGGCGATGCCGTGCTTTTCTTTCCACTCTTTCTTCACCGCCTCCGACGCCCGAACAGTCTTGAACTCGTACAGGCCGTAACGCAGCATGATCAAGCTGCGGCTCTTCTCATACTCCTTTGCAAAGTTCATAATATTGATCTTCCAGTCCTTCTTGGTGAATACCTCATCGGCAGCGTACTTCAGCCGCCGCAGATCGAGGATGCAAAAGAACTGGCGCCTCTGCTGCTCATCAAATTCGGGCGGGCAGTAATGGGCGAGGAACTCGTCCGCATAGATCGACCTGGTCCGACTTGGATCTTCAGGCACTTCTTTGGCCATCGCCTCACCGGTGAGATTACGCGGTGGCGATGGGATCCTCATCGGGAAGAGCTCCGAGGACGTCGTGTGGGCGGGGGTGCGGCCATTGACATCGACACTTGAGCCACGGGCTGTTCTGCCGGGCGTGTAGGGCGGAAAGCTCTGTGTGAGGCTATTAGGAGCTACCTGGGGGGAAAAAGACGGGACTCCAGGCCGCGGATACAGAGCTGAAGACCGAAAGATGTTTCGGGGCGTTGAAGCAGCACCGGAGAAATTGGTGCCCCTCAAGTGGCTCGGTGGTGGACGCAACGCGGTTGATGCGGAGAGAGAAGGTGGGGGCTTATTTGGGTTGTCGCCCGGCATGCGCTTCGGGGTAGCTATCGCTGTGCTGGAGGGCTGGGGCGCGCTATTGTACGCAGAAAAGCTCTGCGAAAGCTTGCTGGACGGGCCTTGGGGTCGACTGATGATCTTCCGCGAGGCAAGTTGCGCCTCGGAAGCGCGCTGCATCGGACTCTGAGGCGCGGATACGCTGTTGAGTTGAGGCTGCGTGCGCGAAGGGTTGGAGGCATCGGGCTTTGCGTTGCTCTCGTCTGACGGCGCAGCGGAGCTGCTGCGAAACAGCCCGGTGAAGCCGAAAAGGCCTCGTTTCTTGGATGAGAGATCCATCGTGTCGCTCGATGTGGCTCAAGCTCAGGGCGACACGAAAGCGGATATGGAGTGAGGGTAAAGGGTATTATCAGTTCCCAATGCGGCCGAGAAAAACAAATCCCAAAACCCCGTGCATCCAGTCCAAGGTCTTTTTGCGACCTCGGTTGGTCGGCTCAAGGACTGAGACGGGGGAAGGTGGTTGTTCAGGCCGGAACGTGCTTGCTTTGGCAGGATGCGCGCGACCGAAGCTCAACCGCCGGCCTCCGACACCCGACTAGTTAGACGCGCCCAACAGTGCAGATAATGTTGAAAGGAACAAAAAAAGAGAACTCGAAGGGGGCGCCAATGAATCAACGATAAAATGCAGGCATTCAGAAATGCCGCGTCTCCTATGGCAAGCCGGTGGGCGATGGAGAGCGGCGGCGCCAGGTGAGGACGTGCTTGGGAAAATGGGAGGAGCCTCTGGCGTTCCCGTTGCCTGGATGACAGGGAAAAAAATTCAGAGGGTGCGCGCTGCACTGGGGAAACGCGGGCAGCTAGAACCCTGTCCAAGGCGGGCGTGCACGGGCCATATATTCTACCCAGATCGATCGATGACTGCGGACTCCTTAATGGATCGACAGCCGACAGCTGACAGCCTCAGGCACAAATGACGCCAAGCGCGGGTGGGATCATAGCACCTAGTTTTGGCAACCCGCTCAAGTGGCAACCTTTCCATCAATTCTTCTCCTGCTGTGTTCCTCCATTGAGCCGGTGTGTGTACGTAGGTACAGTACCAGTGGTCTGTATAGTCCTTTGAGCCTCGATTTGCCAGTTTGTTCCAGTGCTCTTGTGAAAAGGCATGCTACCCAAGTTGACAACGAGGTCGCGTGTGATCGCGAGCACAGATGGGAGTTCGCTGCGACGTTGGAAAGCCAATCATTTTCATGCGCCCCACGAAGGCTTCAAAATGGGATGCTTGTTGCTTGGTTTCTGGACGCAGGCGTGCCGCTTTCAAGCTGCAGCAAACACCTCTCCGGCTCAATTGACTGGCGACGATGAATCTTGGAGGCCCGGTAACGCCCATGTAATGTACATACATAATTAACGTCAGTGTATTGATGTATTCTTTGCAAGCTGCTATCTAGCTGCAAGTTGGGATCCCAACGTGATAGAGATAGAGCATCCATTTGACATAACAACTCGGAAGCTGTACGAAGTACCGGTAGTTCCTTGCTTGACCACGCGGGGGAAACGCCGGGTCTAGGATCACTCAATGGCATCAAGCTACCTGTACAGTACACTCCGTCAAATCGTTAAGAAGGATAGTCAAGAGGCCGATTTTTAGGTGCAAAATCTTGCCTTCACTAACAGTTACCATGTACAGTACAGTACCGCGGGACAATGAGAAAAGTGTCCTCATCCTCACTCGACTTAGTCGACGTCTAGCCAAAGAGCAGCAAGACCTCACACACTGACCCCATGCAAAGTCCCCAACCTGACCGCACCGGTATCCCGAACATGCACAAACAGCCTCCTATGAGCCAAGTGATACCGCATGCTCATAAAATGGCCAGGTTCAACCCAAGACGAAGGAAATATATTGTACAGCGCATCATTATCCAGTGTCATCAAAGTTTCCACGATCCACACATCTCCAATTCATCAGAGCTTGGCCTTGGTCTGAGCCTTCTTGAGAATGGGATCGAGCTTCGTTGCCTTCATGACATCGCCCTTGATCTTGAGCTTCCCGGACATGAATAACCGCTGGGCGTTGGCCTTGCCGGCAACGAGGGCGCCAAAATCGGAGTCGGAGAGCGTGAGCGTAACTGCAAACCAACAAGCCGTTTCTCGTCAGTAAAGCAGGTCCTTGCGTATATACATCAATGAGCAACATGGGGGAAGAGGAATCGGACGCACCATTAGGCTTGTCCCCGAGGCCCTTGCCAACAGCGCCCTTGTTCTTGAGATCAATGTGCCAGTTGTCTGTCTCGCCGGCGGCGTTTTTGAGCACAAAGGCGAAGACAGCGTTGCCCTGCTTGATGGCGTCCTTGCGATCGGCTTCGCTGGCGTTCAGGGCGTTGTTGATCTCGTCGAAAGCCGCCGAGGAGGGGAACTTGTCTGTTTCCTTTGTCAGTCTTTACGAGGGTTTGAAGCGAGCAGCTGTATACGATGCGGAAAATGCGGCGAGGACAAATCACAGGTTTGCTTCCGAGTGCAGGCGTCCGACAGAGGACGACGAGGCGATCATCCACGCTTACCGTTCTTGAGAGACATTATGAAGGTGTTTTATGGCGTTGGAAAGGGAAACGGTTTTTTGTTCTGGTTTTAGATGGCTGTAGATGACGAAAGGTGAAGTCGGGAAGCGGGAAATCGATCGGGGCTCGGCCGAAGCTTATAAGAAGTCGTAGTCAGGCACTCGGCGTTTTGCCTTGCGGCGCCCGGATGCGATGACGCTGGTTACATGTGAATTGAACCTCGGCGCATTCCTACCCAGAGGCCCGTGCACCTGGACGGGATGTGGGGCACTGGGCGGGTAGCTTTTCGTGCCAAGTTCCCCAATGCAATTGCCCAGTCGGTGTTGATCACCGTATTTCTGTATCCGTACTTCGCCTAGGGGAATTCCCGTCTTATATCAACCTTCTCCCCGATTATCTGCTGGCGAATCATGCGAACGACAGGCGCGAAAATGTATACTGTAGCCGCTAGGTTGATATCTCGAAACTCCAATGTCATATTGTGTGCAGATATGAGCAATACCTATCGTCCCTCCTCCCACGCTCGGATTGATCACAAAGCTAGCGCATAGAGAACCCCCCCAGCCATCACCGCCAACGCCGTTCGTGATACCCACAGATCCGCTGCCGCTGACTCGTCGCTCTCCGCCTCCCCTGTATCCGTACTCTTCATATAAGCAGCAACTACGGCGCCCCAGCCGCCCGGGTTATCCTTCTGCGACATGAACACAACAGCGTCAACGACGCTCCCATTGCCACCATCACCCGCGTCAAGCAGCAAATTCTCCGACGATTTGCTCCCAATTGAGAACCACCAGATCGCCCTCGCCGTTTCCACGAATGCCATGTTGGTCTGACAGATGCCCCCGGTCAGCGTACACTGCGGGTCACCCCAGCGGTTGTCATTCATGGCGTTGAAGAACGCCCACATGGCAGAGCCGTGGATGACGACATTGTCGCTCCCAGACATGTGCAGTCCCCACGCACGGTAGCATCGGTCATCGCCTCCTCCGCCGCCGTCGTTGGTGTCTCCGTTTCCGTTGGCAGTAGCACAGTGATTAAACGACGGATCCCCGTAGGGATGGGGACTGTCAGCGGGGGCAGCCCATGGCGCCGGGGCGCGCCGGGGCGTGCCCAGGCCCTGCCAGTAGGGAGACTCGGTCTGGTGCTGGCCGATGTAGACGTTTGATGCGCCGTCGAGAGAGTACTGGTATAGCGTGCAGTGTTCGAACGCGGTGCCGACCAGCCAGGTTGGCGAGGTGCTCTGCACAAGGGCGCCGCGCCCGACGGCGATGTTTTGCCCCGCGGTGCCGGGGTCCAGCCCGTGGTCGGCTACCCATCCCCAGACGTCCTCTAGATAGGCTGACGCGGTTCTGGTGAGGTACAGTAGAGCAAAAGCGGCCTTGCAGCTCGCAGGATCAGGTCCGCCGCATTGTGTGCTGACGAGGGAGTCGATGGAACCGCCGGCGCGAATGACGCAATTCCAAAGACCGACGTCCCCCGGTCGGAGGCCAGCCATGTTGACCTCGAGAATTATGGCGCCGGGAAGGACGTCGGCGACTGAGAAGAGCAGGTCGGTGAACTGTGCCACACCGCTCTCGCCCGGGTTGCCGACCTTGACGACGGGCTGTGGCATGTCCGGATTAGAGAACAGGGCACCTACGCCAGAAATGACGCTGAATACCTCGCCCACTAGGCGAGATCCGGGAGGGACATAGATTATCTCGCTCGTACGGTATATGCCCTGAGGAAAGAAGACGATCTTGCAGTTTGCATTCTTGCGGAGGATGGCATTGACGGCGGGGCCATCATCATGAGAGTCTAGTACGCCGTTAGCAGCGGCCCTACCTGTAAGAACTCAGGAGACTCACTATCTCCGTACACTCTGTGCTCCCGATCCTCCTTTACGCTAACAACCTGGCTAATGTCGTAGTTCGCATATTGCGGCAAGGGCGCAGTAAAATACTTGCCATCCATCAAGAGTCCCGTCGGCCTACGAATTGGGTATACCCTGCCGGACTGATAGCCGTCAGGGCCTCTTTGAGCAAAGTCAGCGTCAGCTTGATTCAAGCAGCGGGACTGACACTCACGTATTTCCCATTACCCAGGTCTGGCCCTGGGGCACCGACCCCTGAAGGAGCGCAGCCCCACTGGTAGACCTGACGGCGATGGCATCGGTGACGGCAAAACCATCCAGGACAAGTGAGCCCCGGCCATCACCACTTACATAGGCATTGACACCGGCGCTGCACCTTGACACAGAGGAATCGACAATCGACACGGACCCAGTGCTGTTGATGCCGCTCACATCCAAGCCAATCTCGCAATTTGTGAAGCTGCAGCCCTGGACGGTTGTAATGTAGGACCTCAGGACTGAGATGCCCACTCTACAACCATCAAAACTAAGCCCCTTGAGCATGTACTGCTGACTATTGAGCTGGATGCCAACTGCTCCGCCAGTAAAGGAACAGTCAGAAATAATCTTGCCTGAACCGCCGTGGTCCATGGTGATGCCTACATGGCTTGACGAATGGGGCATGTTGATGTGCACGTTGGTGAGACTGCACGCTTGCGAAACAGACCAGTCCATGGCTCTCGCCCTTACATTGCTGGCAATCCTAGAAGTGTCAATCTTGAAGTTGCGTACGGCCATGTAGAAATTCTTGGTCGAACTGCCTTCTCCCTGGTGGGCATCATAGCCGTTGATGACCGGGTTGGTCTCGAGTGCTGGGTCCGCAAACAGGGTCGGCGGGTCTACGGGATCCCCTATCAAGAAGGTGTTGACCAACATCTGTATGGGTTTCTTGATCAGGTATGTGCCAGGAGGGACATAGACATATGCCGGGAGTGTAGTGACGGTATTGCCAGCCCGGTTCCATGCTGTGTCTAATGTTCAGCGTCGGGATCCATTTACCCTGAACCAGCACACCAACCGTCAATGGCATGGTTGAAAGCATCTGCTGAATCTTCAATACCAGTGCTATCTGCCCCGTACTGTACCACGGTGCGATAGTACTGGAAGGTCGAGTCGGCCGCGTTGGGGGTGGTCCCGCTGTGACGGATTTGAGCACGCCACCATGTGGTGGGATTTCCAGCGACTGGACCTTGACATGATTGCCTTGGAAATACCGCTGGGTTGCTGGGCAGTTGGTGAGCAGTAGAGAAAGTCAGGAGGAGTGCACCAAATAAAGGGGCTCTCATGATAAAGTCGTCTTATTAGGCCCGAGTGAGCTTGGGCACTTCGTGAAGTTCCACTTATTGAGTAATAAACTTCCGTCACTGGTGAGTGTGAGAGATAATAAGGGTGTTTTATTATCTCCATTGCTGACGGCAGAGAGAGAGCAAGTAAGGAGAGGAGCATGTCAGCGCCAGCCGGTTGGGCTTGCCACAGAACTGGGAACTACCTGATGGCAGCTGCATCCGCTCAAGTCTTGGCTGCTACCTAGAATTGGTAAGAAGTCAAACATGAGTTGGAGTGTGGCAGCCATTACACAACAACCGAATGGGAGTACTGAACCAGACCCTGAAGACAGGATTTCTGCATGCCGTTTTGGGATTACTGACGGTATCCAAGAACATGAACCTAGTAAGCATTCAGGAACACAAACTACATGGCTATGAACTCAGCTTCCTCAAAACATGATCAACCGCGTGTGATAGGGGTGATGAGAGGAGTTGAAAAGGCAGGAGGACATGATCAGATGTACAAGGATAAAAAACTAGTTGGGAAAAAATATCGACGTGGGCCTGATTCGAACAGACGCTCCCGAAGGAACAAGATTTCTAGTCTTGCGCATTAGACCACTCTGCCACCACGCCATTGGATGAATTATTTTGTTGTTTTCCTGGGTCAAGTTATATGAGGAGCGACTGCGTAGGGAGCTGGTCCAAACTTAGATGTTGGTTCCTCTCTGTTACGGAGTACTTCGCAAGTCGATTCCGACAGTTCTCCTTGACAAAGCCCAGCCAACTTGAATCGTTGATTTCCTGCACTTCCTGCCAGGACAAACCCTACAATGCTCGAGCGATAAACACCCCGACCAGGAACAATGTCTGCTCTTCTCTCGCTCCTCGGCTGGAGCTTCCTCCCAAACGTGAATCGCATCCCTCCCCACCAACTACCCCCCTCCAAACCCTGTCCAGAACTAACAACCCCTCGATAGCTCGTCACAGGCTGGGCGCAATCCCTCTACTACGGCATCACCATCCGAGCCGGCGACCCCAAGCCACAGCCAGGCACGCCGCGGTGGGCCGAGCACCGCCGACGCATCCACATCATCGTCGTGACCCTCTACCTCCTGTACACCATCTACGAGGCCGACTACGAGCTGCAACAGGCCGGGTCCTTCTACACAGACCTGGGCGTGCCGCTGTCGGCCACAGACCGCGAGATCAAGTCGCGCTTCCGGCGGCTCGCCGCGCTGTTCCACCCGGACAAGGTCGGTGCAACAGGCGGGGCCGGCGGCAACGCTGCTGGTAGTAGTAGCAACAGCCAAGCCGCCGATGCCAACGCCTATTTTGTGCACCTCAAGACGGCGGCCGACACGCTGACGGACCCGGCGCGGCGGTTCGCGTACGAGCGCTTCGGACCGGACAGCGTGGCGTGGCAGGCGCGGTGCGTCACGGTGCGGGATTTCGTCGTGCGCGGCGCCCAGGCGTTGGTGCCTTACTACGTCACGGCCGCCGTCTTCATGTACGCGCTGGGCCTGTTTGGGTACCTGAACTGGGGCCGGTACGAGCGCTGGCTGGTCCTGGCCGTGCTGTTCGTCTTCGAGGTGCACACCGTCACCCGCCCTGGGATGCCGGCCGTGCTGGACAAGATGGTAAACCCGCTCCTCACGAGGCTCACGGGCCGCGCCCCATACCTGCAGTTCCAGGCCATCGCGCTGGCCAGGAAGCTGAGCGCGACCGTCTACATTGCCTTCTCGCAGATTGGGCCGCTGTTTGTCGCAGACACGTCCACGGGCCAGTTGGTGGTCAAAGGGAGGAGGGCGGACGACGAGGCGGCGCTGAGACAGGGTCTGGAAAGGCTCGAGATGGCAGCCCAGCGGCTGGATGCGGACGCGGCTCGGCTGCTCGAGACCGAGATGGCGCCGTTCGCCGGGGACGAGGAGACGGTCAAGTCCATGTGGGCCAAAGTCAGAGAGTGGTTGGTGCAAAATACCATTCGCTCGGACCCCATGGTGCGAGATGCGCTGGGGAGGTCGTTTGCAAAGCGCAGAATGGATGCGCCTGTAGGAGCAAAAGGGAACAGGTAGCAGGCGCATCATCTTATCTAGAATAGACCGCAATTGTTTTCGTTCAATGCGTAAAGCTGCTAGTGTATGTATGATTTCTACGGTTGAAGAGCACCAGTACCCACGACCCCTCTGTTTTTATGACATATCCAAGACTCCAAACGCCCTTTATAATAAGTCTGACGAGCAGCGTACAGCCAAATAGGTTTCACCTACAGCCTCTGCCTCCCCCGCGTCTCAATCGGAATTAGACACATGGCCACAAACGCAGCGAGGATCAGCGCCGCCGATAGATAAACCGGGGTGGTTGTGCCGTCTCCCGGCACCGTCGCAGCGATTATGGGCGCCAGCAGACCCGTGGCCCGGTTCAGGAAGCTGGCAACCCCGGTGCCCGCACCACGGACTGGAGCGGGGAAAATCTCCGGCGTGAAGGCGTACAGGACGCCGTACATGATGTTTTGCGCAAAGGCTTCGACACATGAGAAGGCCAGCTGCGACGACGGTGACTTGCCCATGGTTACAAACAGGAAGAGGAATACGGCCGACACGAGCGTCGAGATTGCCAGCGTGCCCCGCCGCCCCAGCCACGGGGACTTCATGTCAACCGCGTACGCCGCTAAGAGACTTCCCGGCACGCCGACGATGCTGGTGATGGCAAAGTTCCGATACGCCTCTCCCGTAATTTCCGACGCGACAGTGCTGGCACTTGTATCGCCGCCGTGCGACAGATACTGGGGGAGAAAGGCATTGAAAAGGGGATAACCCATACCGATCGTTGCCCAGCAAAACCAGATGAGAGATGTCGTGAGACCGAGCTGGTGGTTGCTAAAGAGGGGCAAAATGCGCTCGGCTGAAAAGGAGGCGAGTCTGTCCTTGACGATGTTGGTGGTTGCCAGTCGTCGCCTGTGCGGTGGCGTCGGGCCATCGGCGACAGCGTCGAGGATCTCCTCTGTCAGCCATGTCTTCCTGTTGTTCCTGAACGCTATGCCGTGGACGACGGCTACCGCCTCGGCTTGTCGGCCCCTCGATAGTAGGAATTTCGGTGATTCGAACATGTGAAAGAGGAAGAAGCGGACAGCAAACATGGCGAACGTGATGATGCCGATCGACATAACAAAGTACCGCCACCCTTGGTCCGCGGGCCAGTTGGCGATAAAGAACCAAGCAAAGAGGGACGAGCACAGCTGTCCTACGGGCCACCAGATGGAAAGCAGCGTTAAGAGGGAGCTGGAGGCGTCGGGCAGGAACTCGAGGAAGAGTGCACCGTCGACCGGCAGGTTACCACCGACGCCGAAGCCTAATGCAGCGTACATCAAGCATACAGCACCCCAACTGGACGCCGCGGCAGAGGCCATGCCGAAGATGCTGGTGAGGAGCAGCGTAACGTTGAAGGCGATCCGTCGGCCGAGGACGTCAGACCCGATGCCCCAAAAGAAGCTCCCTAAACACAGGCCAACAAAAAGCGAAGAGGTTGTGTAGCGGACTGATTTCTCGGAGATGCCAAACTCGGCCGAGAGGGATGGGAGAGTGAGAGATATGCCCTGCTCTGATGTCAGTCTCGATTCTTTAGGTGCTGGCTGTGGCCAGCAGGTAGAGTGGCACTTGACGCACTTGCATCCATAGACTGCAATCTGACGGTTAGCAATTGCGTATTGAGCTCAGTCAGGGCCATCAGGGAGACTCACTTATCAGCGAACCATCCGAAGCCGCAAAGGACAAACAGCTGCCAGTTGTACGTCCCCATTCCAATATCCTGAATTGCCTTGTTTATGAGCTTGGATTTCACTGGGACAAAACACCAAGTTGTTTAGTATTGCCGCTTGTCCACGCAACACATCCCCCGGAGGAAGAGGATGTCAGACTCACGTTCATACTCGGTCCACTTCTTCCCTCTGCCTCCCCTCCGCACCTCGTTCCGCAGGCCCTCGATGCTGTACTCCGACATTGTGCTCATCTCGAGCATGCCCGTGTCTTCGTCATCAGCGTCTTTATCCCTGCCGCCATCTTCAAACGCATCCTCATCTAACGGGGCTTCAGAGTCGGACCCTCTCGTCTTGTATGAGTGGCTGTGAAGATGGGCTTCATCGAGTGGGACCAAGACACCGGGGAAATCATGGACAGTCTCGGCCCGGCGCCTGGTCCATAGCCGGTGTATCATAGTGTGATCTTTCTTCCCGCTCCGGCTCACACAACCCTTTCCTCCACTTGCTCGGTTTGATCCACTTTGGGAATGTGTGGGTTACTTGCCGTTCCCAGTTGGGAGGCGTTCAGACAACCAAGCGATACCGAGTTCGATTCCGCTACGGAAAGAGGCAGAGAAGGGAAGTGAGAAAGAAAGGGGACGACAAAATATAACGAGTAAACGTCTATCTCAGATCCCGCTATATCTTGAATTCTACACCGCCGTCCTCAAAATGCTGCAGGGATATAGTGTTCAGATCCCGTTGCTTCGTTGCCGTGAGTCATTGACCAACGAATCTAGGATAAAATTGTAAATTTAAGAAGGATAGTGCAAGCCTCTATGATCAAGAAGAAACTCTTGATCCCTATTAACGCGGCATAGAATTGACGGAGACAAGATGTTGAAGTACGTAATGAAGGTTGGACAAAGAACATGGAACTGTAAAGTGAGGTGAGGTGCCTGTGGCGCTGGCAGGTCACTGGTTCAAGAGGGTGCTGCAGCTTCGAGGCTGCCACAGGTTTGGACCGCTGGGCGAATCAGAATCGAGCCAGTCACAGCGTGGCGTGTCACAAGTTTCAACGTCTCCAGCGCTCCTTCTCCCCCCTGCCTACTGTAAGTCATGTGGCTGTTGGAGGGCTCATTTGTGCCTTCCATTTGCTTCACCTCATACCTGACTTACATACGGTACATACCTCTTGTAAACATTCATACGTAGGTTATCCTTGTCCAAGGAGAACTATCTCTATCTTCCTTAGAAGCAAAATATATGATCAAGTAACTTCGACGCGGGCCTGATTCGAACAGACGCTCCCGAAGGAACAAGATTTCTAGTCTTGCGCATTAGACCACTCTGCCACCGCGCCTTGATGATTGCAATGTCTTACGAGGGGTCTATTATCTTAGACGGGTGCTCTGCTAGCTCCGAGGTTTCCAGTGATGGCGAGAACTTACGGCCGACGACATTGGGTCCTTAGAAGAAGCTTGTCCAGGCTCCCAAAGCCCGGGCGCCGTGCTGTGACACTCCAAAAGCCCGGCGGTGTTCCGTGGCACAAGACAAACTGCCGAAGTGAAAAGGTCCATACCGTCGGGTAGGTAGCTGGCCCTGAATAAACCCCAAGCTTAATATTGGAAACCCGAGCCCGAGAGTTTGGATTATTCGGGTCCCAGAATCGGGAAGTCCTCAGGGGTTTACCAATAAACAAGCAATGACTTCCAGAAGCTTTTAGTGTTTCAGCTCTCAAATTCGAGATCGGGTCACGGACATCAAAACACCAAACTATCGATCTCGGTACGCGAAGGGAAAATAGTGGTATGTCTGGCCCTGAGGTGGAAAATGAAGAGTGACAAATTCACACCAGAGACATAACCGTCAGCTTGCCTCGGCATCGACCTGCTTCCAGGTTCCCAGCCGATTTTACGGGGAACCTTGTCGCTGTCGATGCCGATGCGGGGGACAAGCGAGCGCCCTGCTCCACTATGAGCAGGCACTGTCCAATTGGAAAGCGTCCCTTACCATCCTCGACCAGCCTGAGGGCAACTCCAGGGCATCCGGGGGCCAAGGAACGACGCAATTCCAACCAAACCGACGATGATAAATTTAAAAGTATCATCAAACTAGACAGCATGACCAGAACGCAGTCTGTTAGCCGTCTTCTAATGGAATCATTGGGGAACTGGTAACTCACTGCAAACCTCCCCCGCTAACGAAGGAATGGCATGCCGGTACTAGAGAGACTGGGTAGGTTGTAACCAAATCACCACTTCCCCCCTTCGCGCCAGCCTGCCAGGGCATGGCCGCGTTGCATCCACCCAAACTCCCAAATCCCACACCACCGAAGATCCGGGCATAGTACGGGGGTGCGGGCACGGCTATACGCCCGTGAGCCTCGGCTGCGGGGTCCTCGGACGCTCGTACGGGGCTAGCAGACCTCCGTGCTGTGCTGCATCTACTTAAGCTCCTGTCACTTGTAGAATTGTCCTTCTCTCTCTTATCGCCGCTCTCTCTCAGCTCAGCGGCCGGCGGTTCATTGTTTTTCAGGAACTGCCTTGGCTCCTGTCGTCTCTGATCCCCTCTAGCCACCCTCTGACAGCTTAGCACCTCTTGTCCTGCTGCCATCCTTTATTTACATCGGACTCTACCGCTGTCGTCTAGCCTCTCCAACAGCTACGTGATTACAGACATGACAATCACTTCACGCTGGACAGCGCCTGTACCGCGCTGCTCCTTACAGCAATGGATATTCGGCTCAGCATGCGGGCCCCTCCCAGACCGCCGCGTCTTGATCGACCCGGAACAGCCCGATACAAACTTCTTGACCATGAGCAACTACCGCCTCCTTTCCAAGCGTGTCGCCTTGGGGCTGCAAAAGGCCGGGCTCAGGGCGGGGGATCGAGTGCTCATCTTCTCCAACAACAACCTTTTCTTCCCTTCCGTTTTCCTTGGCGTGTTAATGGCTGGTGGCATCGTGACGGGAGCCAACCCGACCTTTGTGCCACGAGAGCTGGCATACCAGCTACGGGACAGTGGAGCGAGCTTCTTGTTTGTCGCCGAACATGCTCTGAAAACGGCCTTCGAGGCCGCAGCCGAGGTCGGCTTCCCACGGGACCGCATCTTTATATTGGGCAGTCAGGGCTTGCTGGCCCCAGAAGTTGCCCGCACCTCGCATCCCCAACCGGGAGTCAAGGGACGGGTGGACGGTACAAGACACTGGACAGAGCTCCTAGCTGGGAACGTGTCGCAGGCCGAGGACTGGAGCTGGACAGAGCCCACGGATCCCGAACAAACGACGTGTTGCCTCAACTACAGCAGCGGTACGACTGGGGTTCCCAAAGGCGTGGAGATCAGCCACTATGCCTATGTCGCCAACGGAGTGGGTGTCATGCATATTCACCGGCTGCGGCCCGACTGGGCTGAGAAGCTGAAGCGCGATCGCGGGCTCTGTTTCCTTCCACTCTATCACGCATATGGCCAGACGTATTTTGTTGCCAACTTTCCGCATCTCGGCGTGCCGGTATACGTCATGCCCAGTTTCGACTTTGTGAAAATGCTCGAGTACATCCAGCGTTTCCGCATCAACATGCTGGCATGCGTGCCTCCCATCATAGTCGCGCTCGCCAAGCACCCTCTTACCAAAAAGTTCGACCTCTCAAGCCTCGAGACTGTCGGTTCTGGAGCCGCGCCCCTGGCCCGCGAGTTGGCCGAAGAAGTTCAAAAACTCTTTCCCGGCCGCGAGCTGTACGTCCGCCAAGGATGGGGAATGACCGAGGTCACTTGCACCTGTATGGCATGGGATCCCATGACACGCATTGGCACTTCGGCAGGCGTTGGCGAGCTGCTTCCCAACTTCAAAGCGAAGCTGATGTCCGTGGACGGTAAAACGCCAGTCGAAAAGGCTGGCGAGCAAGGGGAGCTCTGGGTGACGGGTCCCACGCTGATGAGTCGCTACTGGCGCAAGCCAGAGGCCACCAAGGACACCATTGTTGTCGACTCCGACGGAACGCGCTGGCTGAAAACGGGCGACATCGCCTTCATCGAGGAGTATAGGCCGGGCGGCATCTTCCATGTGGTTGACCGTGTCAAGGAACTGATCAAGGTCAAGGGGAACCAGGTAGCTCCTGCGGAGCTCGAGGGCATCTTGCTCGAGAACTCGGACGTCATGGATGCTGCAGTTGTTGGTGTAACCATCAACGGCGAGGAGATGCCCAGGGCCTACGTTGTGCGGAGGCCCGGCTCCAAGGTTTCAGAACAGGATGTAGCAAAGTGGATGGAGGGCAAGGTGACACGGTATAAGCGGCTTAAAGGGGGCGTCGCCTTCACCGATGCAATCCCCAAGAATCCTTCGGGCAAAATTCTTCGCAAGCAGCTCCGGGACCGGGCCCAGAAAGAAGTCGGGGACAGTGCACCAAAATCTTCCAAGCTTTCATAAACCGCCCCTCTACTACCATGTATATATGTCGTTACAAGTTTCTACTGCTATCTGCAACAAGGACACCTTCTGGTGGTATCGACCGGCGGGTTGTAGCGAGATGATACCAGGCACGATAGGCAGCGTCAACTCTGGACCATGGAAATCCAATGTTTCTCTGGCTCTCCTGGAAAGCCACAAATGCAGAGCGTCTTTTTTAAAGCGTATCCTGTGATGATGCCTGACTGGAATTAAACTCTGAACGGAAACAGTGGAGTTCTAAGGAAACGAAAACCTTCTGTGAAGAACGCCACCTAGGGGCATCTAGGAACTTGTGCGGGAAGGCGCGTTGCAGCTGGAGATCTAGCTTGGCAACAACCTGGGCAAGCAGCATCCAGGAATATCACGAGGAAAGCAACCTCGACAAGAGCCAACTTGGCCTCAAATCCCTGGTGCTATCCTGATCAGATCATCGATGCCACTCGTGTCGCAGCTGGCTGAGCAAGGCAAATCCAGGCAAAATCAGCAGCATGAACGCCCCTTCCATTCAATCTTTCTATCAGAGGGAGGGTCCATCCTCACCTTTCAATTCGCAACCTGATGATTGCGGCTTCCCTTCTCGAGACAACGCGTCAAGTAAGGGTGAAATAAAGGAGTCATCATTGCGACCCCTGACACAGCCTTGGAAACCAAAGGGGGAGTATAGGCAGACTACGATTGCTGAGCTCCAGCCAGGGCCTGGAAAGGTACGGTTCACGGCTAGAATCGTAAACTTCTCAGCATCCAAGGACAGGCCAGTCCGGTCTATGCTTCCTCAGGGCTTCCATTTCCTCATCGTCAGGGACGATACCGGTGCCGTCGCTGTAAGCCATACGCTTCCTCTCTTACTGCAGGGCCCGAATGGCAAGTTGTGCGAAGCTTCCTCCTGACCAGGTCTCAGGTAAAGCTGCTAAGCACAGGTGTCGACTACGAGTACTTGCGGTTTGGTGCTTTGGTTACGGTATGGACAGCCTTCGTCTCCGAGTATTCAGCCGCGTACACGATCCGGGTCCCATCCGTGTCCATGATGATTCCAGTCCACCCCGCTCAGGGCTCGGCCTCATGCATCAAGTTTCATCAGGAAACGCCTGGCTCCATGGAAGTGCACCTTTGCCGTTCGCCCCCGGACTATAACCCGAGGACTCCTACCTTGCCGATGCCGGGCCTCATGAGTCTTCAATCTTTCCTCAATCTCAAGCATGAAACTTCCCCAGAAGCCAGGATTCTAATCTGCGTATCCAGCGTTGGGCCCCGGAGAACCGTTCGATCCATAAAGACCCAAACCGACCTGGATTTCATCGAAGTCCGTGTATTCGACGAAACAGCCAACTGCGTCCTGAAGTTATGGGACGAGAAGGTATCCTCCGCGCGAGCATGGACCCCGAACCAGACGATCCTCCTCATTAGCAACCCTCGACTGCGTCCCGCTGACAAGCACAGCCACATTTCAGAACTAGGCATAAGCATCGCCTCCACGGTCGATGTAGATCCTTCCTTCAGGGAGGCCGAGTGGCTCCGCAACATGGCGTCTAACCGCACAAAGAAGGACAGCATCTACCTCCCCTTCCCAACAGGCATCTGGAATGCCGAAACGGCCATGCACGGGCCCCAGCGAGCCCTTTTCACGTTGGCCGACATTGACGAGTTTGTCCGGGACGACCCGGACGCCGTCTTCACGGGGAAGCTAAGCCTCCTCATCACCGGCGTAAGCATCACCGACTGCTGGCGGAGAAGCATGCTCTGCTGTTCAGAGTGGTGAGTCAAAGCAGCGCCCAATGCCCATTCATCCTATCCTCCACACCCAGGAACACAACCCCACCAGGTTGATAACACCGCGTCCAGCTGTGGAGTGCCGCTGTACGCCAACCATGCCCAAACAATCTGCAAGAATTGCGGAGCCCTTCGTCCTCTGAGTCTTAACCCGCGCATCATTGGGCCCATGGTCGACGAGACGGGCTGCATTGCGACCGGCAAGCTCATATGGAGCGGCCGGGCGTGGACGGAGCTGTTGGTCGGGGTAGAGGAAGAGATGTCCCCAGCAAATGACGGGCAGAACGCTTGCATAGGCGATGGTATCACGCGGGACACGAGGTCCTCAACCTCCTGGGAGGAGCTGACGGCGCTTGACTTGGTCGCACTGAGGATTGTCGAGGAACAGTTGCTCTATTCACGCATCACGCTGACATTTGGGTGGTCTCCTGCCGTGGACAGGTTATGCGTTCTAGGCGTCGAATGGTAGATACTACTGTATCAGAATGGGAACGCGCCATAGTTGCGTCTTTCTACGGCACCGATCTTGCCACTGCAGGTTCCCGTCACCCTGGTCCAATGTTCTCAGGTGGCATACAATAGCACTTACTGCGAATGGGCCGGTTGCAGATTCCACACGTTGTAAGACCCATCAACAGTGTGCCTCGAGCATTGCAGAGCTTGCAAACAGGATGTCGACTCAGGCGCCACGCTTACTTTTCCTTTTCGGTGAGCAATGAAGGCTCTCTGGTAAAGTCAGATCGTACAGTATAGCATCACATCCCAAAGAATGGATAAGAGAAGGTTGTACCTGTTCTCAGTGACCAGTCACTGGAACCCTTCTGCAAAGAAACCTCAGTTCTATGAGGTTAAGTATAAAAGTGTCGCAAAGTAACTTTTAGGATCTAAGACTCTTGTTGAAAGAACCCTTCCTGCCAACCCGAGTGAGTTCACGGGCGCTAACACTATATTATATTATAAATGAAAGTCGGAAGTCAGAGTCGGAAGCCAGAGTGCGAACGAGGGAGATCCCTCGCATTGCAAAAGGTGCGAGCAGTGGCCTGATCGGGCTGGCATACTCCAGGTTTCCGAGGAGCTTACCATCCTATAAGCCACCGTTATGTGGGCTGGCATGCTACTGCCGGCCTAGAAGAGTTTGTGCTCCAGCGTCATGTCCGACTCGGGGTCCAGACCGACGCAGGCACGGAAAATATTGGTGAGGGCAGCGCGTTGCTTGGCCAGGGCATTGATGACAGGCGTTCCCGGGGGTGTCAGCGGAGCCTTAAGCATGTAGCTGAGGATGCTCAGCACGCTGTGGAAGCTCTGGTAACCCTTGGTGCTCTCGCCGTCATTTGAGTGCGCCCGCCACTGGATACGCGTCATCATCTCAGTGACAAGCACGAGGTCAATAATCAGTGGGGATGCCAGAAGCGAATCCTCGCAAGTGTTGGAGATGCTAATGGTCGTGGGCTAGTCAGCAAAGAGCAGATCACGGGTCGACGATTTTGAACTCACGTAATGGTCTGATGGCCGCCGAGGAAGATTTCGCCATAATACTCGTCCAAAGCCCGTTTGCTATCTCCAACCGCTGGCATATACTTGATGACAACGCAGTGATCGGGGTGCTCACCCTCAGCGTACAAGACGGTGTTGGCCTCGACCATGTCGTCTACCACATTTGATTTGGAGATCTCCTTGGAGCGGAACTGCTTCTGCGAGCTCAGGTTTTTGCCGTCGTTGTTGCCGAGGTGGTTGTAGCTGGCGATCGAGGTAAGCTTGATACCGGCATTAATGAGGAAATCCACCAAGGCAGATTTCATTTTGGTCTGGCCAGATTTGAAGTCATCGCCACCGATGAAGGCGCCGTGCTTCTCAGCCAGTTCAATGGCCCCAGGGACGAAAGTGTTTTGGGGAGAACCGTTGATGAAAGGAGCACCCTCAAGGATGCACGCAACGGCAAACACAGTGGACGGGGCAATCTCCTCGTGACCATTCTCAATGGCCTTGAGAAGATTGTCAGCCGTGTCGTTGACGCCAGGGATAATGTCGGCGTAGCGTTCGGTGTTGGCGGTCCACTGCACGATGACTTTGTCTAGGTTGTTGGCCGCCTTAAAGTCACTATTTCTTCGTTAGAGACCCAGTCACAGGGGTCAAGTCTTAGGTTCTTACGTACCGAATATCCTTGCGGATCTGCTCGACATGGGCAAGGCAAGCCTTGGAGCCAGGAATCAGATTGTCCGCTCGGTCCTCCTGGTTTGCGGCGATAAAGTCCGGGTAGTAAATGCTAGGAAGCGGGATCATGCCAGCCATCTCCTTGCGGACCAGGTCTTTCAGAGTCGGCTCCAAAACCTTGGCCCGGTCCATGGCGTCGGCGAGATTCATGCCGCTAATGTCCCAACCGCCAATGACGAGGTCGTTGGGGTGGACCATGGGTAGGACATTATGAAATGGGATGTTCACGTCCCTGAGAGTGTTGGCATCCGTGCCGAGCTTCATGGTCGAGCCCATGAGGACGGAACCATAGTAGTTGGCCTTCTGCTCGCCGTTCCGGGTCTGCCAGACAAGGCCGCGGCGGTTGGCGATGATGCCGGCAGTTACCGTGGTGCCGTTGTTGCCGCCCCAACCCACCAGCATCACGCCGGTCTTGGGAACCCTGCGGTCGACCTTAAAGTCGTACACGGTCTCCTGCGGGGTGGCAATGTACATGCCATTCTCATCCCTAGTAACCGTGGTGGTGCGATACGTGAACTTGGAACGAATTTCCGACTCGGAATATACCACGTTCGGCGAGTCCACGGTGAAGAGCGGCCGTGCGGCAGAGCCATTGGCAACACCAGAGCGGTGGTTGCTCGAGTGTCTAGCTCCGTTCACGGAGCTGGCATCAGCCTCAGCATGCGGCGCCATGTTGTGCAATTAGATTCGGCAGCTTGTGCCTTTCCCGACTCTATCGTGTAAAAGCTGTGTCCGCCGCCCCTCCTGGCGAAGCAGAGCAACGGCGTCCTGCGTACGGGTGGTGAACCCTACATTACCACCGTCAGCCAACTTTCCAATCGCGAGGTTTGCTATGAGAATCCCAATCAATGGGGGGCTCCTACGAGTTGAGGAGGTTGGAGAACGTTTTGACGGTTTCGGCGATCGCAGCCCGAGAGCGCGATCAGAGGATGGCGGTGCAGCAAGGCAGAGGAGGACACAGGCAAGAGATAGTTGTTTGGAGAACTCTTAGTGGTTGTTTACTGGAATTGCAACAAAGGACGAGAAGAAGCCGGGCCGGAGCTGGATGCGCCTTCTGTATTTATATGGGTGAGGAAGCATGGGTACCAGAACCTTCCTTCCTCTAAGAGCGGTGAAAAGCATGCGCGACTAGTACGGTGCAGCTAATAGCTCGCCTTACGGAGACGTCCCATGGTTACGAATCTCGAGGGCTCCACGTCTCGGGCGGTTTGGCCGCTCGAATCACGTCCCAATTGCGCATGGCCCAGTCCGTCCACATGCTGAGAGACATGGAAGTATGCAGGATACATAGACGGGTTTCGTATCTGCATGACAACCGAGAGACGAGAACATTGAATCATGACTCGGTAGATTGGCTTCCCGAGAACTGCAGCAACAGGCAAACAGCAATTTTCTGATTTTGTTTGTACATTTGCTGATGTGTGTGGTTGTCTATCGGTACACTATAAAATGGACAGTGAAGTTGGGAGAATCGGCCCACCCCCGCTGTCTCCTAGGTGGGGTGCAGGAGGCTGCGGGAGCAGTCGGGTGGGGTTTAGAGGTAGCTTCCGGCTGTGTTGATTGGTCTCCCACGCTGCCGAAGCAGCCCACCTCCGGAGACATCGGAGGCAAGAGATCGCCGATTGTGGAACCCTACCACTTTACTACGGCACCGGTTCACCTCTCCGTTCCAACCAACACCGGCACTCCGGGGGTCATATGCGGTTAGAACCAACGCCAATTGCCTTCTACTGAAAACGGAGAACTTTCGCAAGGCTAACCCCCCTTCTGTGATCTGTTTTTGCGCCCCAATTTGCTTCAGACCGAGTGTTGCTGCGAGGGGACCGAAGGTATCATGCGAGGGGACGAATCGAGCGCCTTGAACCCCGGCAAGGCGCCGTCAGGGAGTCGTTCGAATGCAGAATCGTGGCTTGACGGCGCAAGACATGCTCCCACGAGAGATGCACGAGTGAGACCCGCCAACTTCGGTTGGTGCTTGGCTTGCGCCCAGGGACAGTCATCTGTGAAATGCAAGCAGTCTGCTCGTCACCTGTGATTCGGCGCTGGGTGAGCTGCATAATCGGAAGCTCTGGTGATCTGTCGCTTGAGATGGCAAGGGATAGATGTCCGTTGTGGAATGCTGCTTATCTGCGGCCGAGTGATAGTTACCACTCAGACTGCGCTTTAACTGCACCACACGTGCCGCACTGTCGCGACAAGGGCAGCCGGATCATCGACCGAGCCTCACGCCTTGCCCTATATATTTACCGGCAGTGCTGTGACGTCGGCGCATGTCAAAAGTGCACCGCCAAACCCCGGATAGTTGTAGCATGTGTCAATCCGTCTGAAGGTGCCATCCAGCAAACCGAGACCTAGCATGTAGTGTAGGGCTAAGCGGTGATATGGATATCATGCCGGCTTCTCTAGATTCGTTACTGGGTCTCAACCGAGCGCTTGACCCCATCCAGGGCGTTCATGATGTGGAAGGCTGGAAAACGGAGGAGCCGAGGGAGGACGCATATGTAGGGTCAAACATGCATGGAAGCTCAAGGAAGCAAACCCCACGTTCCTGCAGGTGCTTTCGTTATCTCCTTGGCTCTATCTGCAGAGCAGAAGGAAGATGGCTGGCTATGGTAGCATGTACTGCTTAGGACACCTATATCATGGTGGAATACGAGCGGCTGCTATATCTACACTACTGTTGAGCAATGGACATGCCGACAGCCACTAATGCATCTCATGAGCCGAGAGTCCAAGGGTCCCAAGGATCCAGCCTTCTGGTACTGCTATACAGTATCACGGATGGCATACCTGACGTGCAGGTTGCTCCGTGATGACCTAGTGTGAGAGTGTGATAGCAGACGGTTGGTGATAGATTCCAGTCGTGGCGCTTCTGCTGTGCGTCTAGAAGTGCCCGTCACTACAGACGGATGCGAGGTATGAACTCCCGGGCCGGCCGACTGGTCAGCGATTAACGCCAGACGGTAGGATTGCAGCCAGTTGGGTAGCACCATGATGCAAGCATATCGACTGCGGGAACCCCTGCAATTATCTCTGGCCGTGGAGGTGTTAAAGCGAACACTGGCAGCAGGTAGGCAATAGAATATGTGACTTGTTGGCTCATAACAGTGAGTTTGTGTGAAAGTGTAAAGTCCTGATTTCTTAGGCCAATGACACTGATCTTGTATATTCGATCCAAACCGCTTATGTCCGGCTTGATACAATGCCATCGGCCTCCCAGCGGGCTATAGGTCGATGGAAATCTGCTTTACCGCCGCTCTGAAGCGAAGTCAAGCGGCTAGGACCAATCATGATGGCGTCCTCAAGGTCGTCTGATATTCGGAAACAAGGCCAGCCCTATGGAGATGCGACTAGAGGAAATACCCCGGCGCTGCTCAATCTGTTCGAAACTCTCAATCGCGTGATTGCGAGGAAAAGTTCTGGAAATGAATTAGCCAAATGGCTCGTCGTTGGGCCGGAGCGTGCTCTGGGTCTGAGGGTTGCATAGGCTCGGCAGTCGTGGAAATTCCCGTTCTCGTGGCCATCATTGGGCGCGAGCGGAGCAACAATTTCAAATGCCTCGAGGCCCCAAATGACGCAAACGCCAATCAGCGGCACAAAGCCGCTATGAGCCTCAGGAACTGCTGGAAGGATAGCGATTCGCTGCAATGCCATGTAACTTACAGTCACATACACGTAGTGTAGTAACTTCCGTTGTGAAGTGTGGCAGACCAAGGCCAGCTGATGTACCGTACATACGGATAATCCAGGCTCGAGCCAGGTACCGCCATTACCGACAGCCGCCCCTATTACACAACCAAGGTAGCTTTGAAGATGACTTGCAGCTTACACATGAAGAACCCCTCGCCGGCAGTGAGGGGCTCATCGATGAGCATAGAAACCCTCAAACTTCACAGCCTTAGCCTGAGCATTGTGCTGGAGTCGCTGGGGTCGCTGGAGTCGCGGGGTTCATAGCCACGGCCCACAGGTCGTCAACGGCATAAAGGCGAAACTCCGGAGAGCGAGAAGGTAAAACGTGGGTAGCGTCTCCTTGTAACGTTAGCAAGTTACGGACGTACGTACAATAGCGTTGGGTTTGTGCAAGAATTGCATTGTAGCCGGCAAAGAGACCGGTCGGGGCGGATTTGCTCGGTGGGTGTCCGGTTTGCCATCGTTATTTCTCCATTTTAGGCGCAGAAGGCATCGAGCAGCCATTGGCCAACGCTGATGGTGCTGCAAGGTACCCGCGCCATGAGGCAACTTCAGTGGCTGGCGAGTGAAAGGGGGGATTTCAGACTTTAAATGAGATGAATTGTTGCAATGGAGGCCATAACGTTATTGCTTGGAGAGGCGTACAATTGCAATGCAACCGCAATAAAAAGAGAGACGCCGAGATGAGGCCTGAAAAGAGGCGCCAGAGAAAGTCGACCGAGCAATGTTACAGCAGGAATCAGAGTATGGTAGCGGCTGCCGATTTGCTCCGCTCTGGACTGTCTTGGCCTGTCTCACCGCTCTTGAGCCACAGAGCCACGATGGCTGCAATGTGCTGCTACAGTCCATGGTCTCGCGACCCCCCCATAATTTACTGCGTATTATCACTCCCATAGAATTGAGATTGGAGATCGCGAGGGTTTTAAGCTTCTGACGTAGATTCGGTAGGTCGATGGAAGGCGCGTGCCATCCCTCTGACCTGGTTAGAGCTCGTTTGGCAGGCTGCAGATGCACAAAGACGGCAATGCCATCTGTCAGGCATTGGCCTTGGCTACAATCTGCCTTGATCCTCGCTTCATCTGTGCGCTTCCCGCACATCCCTGGCTGTCTTCTTTCATCAGAGTGCAGCACCTGCTGAGGCCCAGGCCAGACTCTGGGACGAGGGTCACCCTTGATAGGCCACCGAGCCCGAACAGTGACCCTTGAGAACCCTCGGAGGCCAGGGTGAGCAGTGTAGCCAATTCCCCTCATCAATTGCGCTCCAGTAACACCAGCCCTCCCTTTCTCTCGATGCAAACAAACCTTGGCCTTCGTCTTTCCAGACATCCATGGCAGAAGCCCAAACACTTTTCGTTCCTGACAAAGGCCACCAAAAACAGCCACCCTCTAGCTCGAGACACAACCCGCGACACTCGCACAGCATTCTGACTTCCCCAGAGTCGCTTATTCCGTGCGATTGGTTTGCGTACAGCCAGTTCGGGATCGCAGCAGACGCACTCGGCTGTGCAATTGTTTCTCGGTCCCTGTCCATGTAAAACCAGACACCTTTCCCATACCCGCCACAGCTGCCACACCTCTCCGAAAACATCCTTGCTGAGAAACCAACTGTCGAAAGCGGTTGCTGGACAAACCGTTGTTATCTTTTCTTCTTTTTCTTGGACGCCTCCCATCGTGTACCTGAGCTGAACCTGCATCTTGACCCCTGGACATTCGGGGCCCGGCTCTGTGCATCCGTGCCGAGAAAACTGAGCAGCATCGGCCCGACGACACTCGAGAAAAGACCCTCGCCGGGTTCGATACAGAGTTGACTGGGGAACCCGGCGGAAAGATTGACTACAGGACACGTCTACACGGCAGCGCCGGCGACGCGGTGTGTTCTTGCTGGGCTCTGTGGGGTTTGCAGCGTGGCACACGTCGCGATACCCACGCGTGCGCCCCTGGGAGCGAACTACCAGAATATTCCGGGCATCAACCTCGTGGAGCGCAGCCCGAACAATGGCCACCGTCGAGAGGGAGTCACGCTTCATACCGACGGTAAAGTGTTCCACATGTGGTCTGCAGGTGGAGATTTCGTTGATGGGCGAACATGTTTGCGCTGGATCTCAAGATGCGGAGTGTACGGTTCCGGTCACGCGTTACACGAGTTTATATGGTGGCACTAACTCTGCTTCTCTAGCTACACCGCCGCTGCCCGCTGTACCGCTGTTGGGGAAGCTGATATCGACTTTTGGGAACCCGCCAACCGAGAAGCAGCAGCCCCGTGCGCTGCCCCGGGTGGACACATCCGCAGCTAGTATGTGATCTCTAGCAGTCTCCCTTGGCGGCCATCATCACTAACATATAGCTAGACCGCCCGTTTCTTGGGCAGGGCGAACTGACGCCAATCAGTGTCGGGAGTGCATCGATGAGAAGCCCATCGCCTTTGACGCCGGATGCACGACCCCCGGCCGGCAAGGCAGGAGAATATTTCGCCCCGCGGATTGCAAATAATTCACCACCTCCACCGCATTCGAGGAGGCCCGGCGGGTATGGAGGCTTAGAGGAAGGTAGTTTACTGGAGCCAATGTTTTCACCAGCACCATATACGCCGAGGAAGCAAGGCCCAAGCTTGGTGGACAGGATGGATGCCCCATCTCCTGAACCACTTGGTATGGGCAGACGGCCCTCAGCTAGCGAGCGGAGTATGTCCGGTGACGCGGGCAATCGTCCTGGCACTTCAGCTTCAAATAATAGCAGCAGACTAGGCAGCGAAAAGGGTCCGGGAGCACAAAGGCAGAACGGATATGGTGGCCTTGGTCCGTCAAGAGCACTAGGAGATCTCGGCGACCCGCCTTTGACCCCGAGCCGGTCAGACACCTTTCCGCGCCCAAGCGATACTTCCGCCCCTCCACCTCGCAGTCCTTCAGCCCCTCCTCCAACCTCAAGGCTCCATGCGGATAAACCGCGACCTACGTTAACCCCGTCGGACCCAGATGAACGAGTTCCCGGAGCTAGTGAGAGACAGAGAAGACCTAGCAGGGGCCCTGACACGAGCAGGCCGCCCCCACCCCGCTCTGGCGTGATGCGGCCGACAACACCTGTGGTACCCAAAATTAACCTTGCCGAGGAGTTCGGAGTCGGGAACCCCTACCACACGCCGTCAGCCTCGTCATCATCCAACGAGTCCGAAAATAGCCGGTTCGAGCGACGGCCAAGTCAAGCGAGCCAGGCTAGTTCGCGAACAAGCCCACCTAGGTCTCTGTCATCAAGATCGGGACGGAAACCTTCTGACGGTAAGGGCGCCGATGATTTGGCGCCCGATCTGCGTTCTTCGGCGAGCCAAAGGAAGCTAAACCGTCCAGTTGTTCCGCCGCTGAAGCTGAGTGACCGGGGATATGACCCGCGCATCGATCCGGCGGTCCAGAACCCACGCTACGGAAGAGGGAGACCTCTTCCTTCGCCAATGGTAAAAACTGCACTTTTCCCACCCAACGAACTCAAGGTCCCAGAACCCAGCGACATGCTCTCCCCGGTATCCGCCCCAGTGCCATCGCCGCAGTGGACGAAACCGGTAGAACAGATCAACCGACTTCCTGCTCATCTGCGAGAGCCAAAGCCCTCACAGGAGCGTCCGAAATCCCCAATGCGCAATCCCGGGCTTCACCCGTCGACATCGACGCGCGGTAACTGCAAATCTTGCGGCCTTCTGATCAAGGGCAAGTCCATATCGAGTGCCGACGGCCGCCTCACCGGGAGGTATCACAAGGATTGTTTTGTCTGCTCAGACTGTCGAACGCCCTTCTCCTCATCGACCTTTTATGTTTTGGATGACCGCCCGTACTGCGAACTTCACTACCATGAGCGGAACGGCAGTCTCTGCGCTAGCTGCGGTAAAGGGATTGAGGGTCAATACCTAGAGGACGATTCGGCCCTGAAACATCACGTGGGTTGCTTCCAATGCGCAAAGTGCCGCGTGGCGCTGAGCAACGGCTACTTTGAGGTCAACGGCAAGGCCTATTGCGAAAAGGACGCATGGAGGCTTGTGCAGCAGCCCTGGATAGCGAATGGTGGTGGCCGTTCTCCCGGACCCAGCGGCCCGCGCTTGGGGTTGCCAGCTGACCCTCGAGGCCATGGTCCGGCCAGCGGCATGCGTGACGGTGGTAGATGGGGTCCCCGTCCGACCATGGAGAAGCGCATGACGAGATTAGGCATGATGTAAGAGCGACTGATCCAGGCGCTTCTCATGCTCGGCATCGGATTTTCCGCCAGGGCTTCGCCTCCTCGACGATTACCGCTAATCATCATAATCGAATCGCGTTCACGCGGACGACACTGACGGCTTGATGCCCCTTAATCTCGATAATCGATAATCTGCAAGCTACTCTCATTGATTGAGACGATCGAGTTTTGCTTACTGCATTCTATATCCCATGACTGCTGTTTCCTTTGATATACCCACTGGATTCGAACGTTGGTTTTTATTGCCCCTTTTGATTCCCCCTCCCTTTTTGTTTTCCCTTTGTCGACACGGCCAGGCAGGTCATGAGTGAAGGACAGATACCCTACTTCATCAGCTTCATAAAGGGAAAGCACATGTACGGGACAGAAACGGGCCACTGGACGGGTCCTCTGGGAAGAACAGATGGGAAGGGAGGCTTTCTAGGTGTGTGGAGGGGCGTTTGGAGCGTTGCGGGCGCTTTCCTTTTCTATTCTGAGACTCTGGGGCGACTTGATTTTGCAACGGTTGGAGTCTGTAGGACTTGCAAACGCTGCGAAGGTATGTACTCGAAATGGTGGCATACCCGCATAATGCAAGGCACAGCTGCAAGGACGAATTTCAGAGGAACATTGAAGCCTCCCGCAGGAACATAGCGAAATGTCCAAGGAATAGTCATCTGTAAATGATAATACCTACATCTATCTACCTTGCTCCTTTCAGGAAGATATGCCCACAGATGCATATCGTGAAGTCGCCCGGACTCACACGTGGACGGCTGTAGCCTGTCCCGGAGATCTGTGTTCAATGAGCCGTGGCACAATAGATTACTAGGAACGTGTTGCTGCTCTCTCTACCGTAGTGTCGTTGCACTCGTCAAAATCAGGCAATGATCACAGCTCACTTTTGAGTCGGCTGGAGAAAGAGAAAGGAGTGACGGTAAATACTATACTGACGATACCTGTCAACCTATGTTAATGTATGTACAAGTACCTTACCTACGAACATTGGACGACTCAGCTAGCATGTGTATCAAACGCTGCTGCTACACGTGCACCTCACCAGTGCAAGTGAAAAGAGGGCGACCAGCGGGCGTGGGGCCGGCCCGAATGCGGTTGGTGGACTTTGGAGCAGCCACACTAACGCCCAGATTGGCCAAGGCCCGATTGATTCGCTGGACTATGGACTGCATGCCACCTTCCGGAAGAGATCTGAGATTATCATGCACAGACTAAGGTACAACCTGCGGCACGTCACGCAACGATCTCGAGTTTTATCGAAATCTTTTCCCGCCCAGATCTGATCAGAATGAAGATTTCGACCCATTCACAGCCGTGGAGCGCCTTTTCTGGGATCGATAGCCTTTACCCCATCAAGTTCCCCATGGTGGAGAGCCCCTATTGCAGTCTAGACCATATTTCTCAGGGCAGCCGACGCGACGGGGTGGGCGGGGGCAGGCATAACCCAGAGACAACCCGCCTTGGCAATGGCAAGCTAGAAATTACACTCTCTCGAAGCCATTGGACGTTGTCAATTGCGTAGAGCATGCGCACACAAACGAACACATATATATTGAGCCACCAAGACGTATTCCTATAACTACTACAGGTAAGAAGATCAGTATGTACGGCTGGAAAGAAAGATATGTTTTGGCGGTGCGCGACAGGCGACGTTGTTGTTAGTGGACCCTGAAAAGTTCACGTGTTGGACGCGTGCGCCAAAGACCCCTGAAATACCTCCGTACACCAGTACAATCTGCAGTCCCCTTATCTGTACGCTACCGGTAGTGGAGAAGACGATGGCAGAAAGCGAACTGGCCAGCCAAAACTTTGCTAGGTACTGTAACGACATACACTAGTGATGGGTACAGTACATACCTAGTGAATCCGCAATGTAGCGCAGTTCAGGACGGGATCTATTGACCTGTGATTGGCGTTTGGCAGCCGTCCTGCAGACGTCCAATCGTGTCCCGCGGCCGCTGGCCATGCCTGGATAACTTACACTACTGGCTACACTACATATACATTAGCGCACTACGTTAATGATGGGAGATTGTCCCACCTCAGTGGATGTCCAAGTGCAGTGCTTCTGGATTGATAATGCGCCTTCTCTTTGGGGTTGACAGCAACCTGGCGGAGGATTTCACTCGGTCGGGCTTTTGCCCTTTTTGAATAGGGGAGGAAGGACCGGTAATCCTGCGCTTGACATGGGCAGGCCCGACCTGTCATCATCTCGTTTCCAGGATCTTCCCCTGTCTTCCGACGCCTCCAAGACTTCCATGCCCCGGAGACCGAGCCATATCTGATGCGCCGTTTGCCCACGGCGTTAAGGCCCCCCACTTCTGGCCACCGCTTACCCCCTGGATGCGCTCTCGGAACCCGGTCATCGCCAAATTTGCCTAAAACCGCCCCACTGTCTTATCCAGGGAGAGATTTTCCTGCTTCTCCTCTTGTGTCTTGATAACACGATCCCCTTCGCCATCATTACTCGGGCACTTCGTAAAAATTGGGCAATCGCAACCCTTCTCGTATCAACTCACTCTGTCCGCTTTCCTACTTGCGCTCAGAATCTCTTCTTCCGTCTTCTCTTCGCGCTCCAACTTCCCGACACTCGTTTAACCCTTGGCTTTCCGACTTTAATTCTTTTCTCGCTTTACCTTCGGACTGTTTACACCTCAAGTTTTACACGAGACCGTCAGCACCGGCCAGAAATGCCTTTGTGACGAGATAATATCTTACTCTGAAACCTTTTTCTTTCCTCTCCGCGGCGCAACTCGAATACTACATTTACAATGCTGGTGAAAGCGCAAGTAAGGGCGCAGGCACGCCGAGCCCTGGCTCGACCGAGGGCGACGTTGACGATTGTCCTGGTTGCTCTTGTTCTGTGCTGGGCGAGCTTTGGATACCGGCGCGGATTCGACCAAGTACTTCCCGTTCTGGGCCACGGCCAGGAGGTTGCTCGCCCTCGTGATTCCGGTAAGATCCTCTCCTGCAACTTCCTCGAGCGCCGCCTAATTCTGCTTCAGATGAGCGTCAGGAAATGGCCCTGCAAGCACAACGGAAGTTGTTCGAGCAAGAACACCGCCAGCTAGAGAAGTAAGAACCCGCGGATCCGGAAAATTGAGAGTTCGCAAACGCTGACAGTGCCGCGTCAGGAAACCCGGGTTCGGGGCGATCTATGGTAACACATTAGAGACGCTCGTCGACGAGGATAAGAGACGGCCGTCGCACGAGGAAGCATTAGTCTCTGCTTCGAATAGTACGGCTTCCGGCAAGAAACGGGTTTTCACCTTCAATCCGTATCCCAAATACAACAGCCCCGAATGGTTGTCCAACCACGCCCCGTATGTGCCCTGCATTGGCCCAACCGGAAGAAAGGTCGAAGACATCCGCGTTTACAAGGGGCGTCCCAGCAACTTCCCCGACCCCGGATTCGGAAGCTATAGTGTTCTGGGACTTGATCCCAACATCTGCTGGGAAAGAGAGACACGAATGGGACCGTATGGAATGAGTCCTGTGGTTGACAAGGATGGAAATGAGATTAATTGGGACGAGGTCAGTTGGGGGGACCTCCAGCGTGAGTGCTACAGGAAGAACAGCGAACGGTTTGCCTCGAGTCACCCAGCAAATGAATACATCACCCAGGATACGGATGGCTCGGTCGATCTCAGGCGGGGGAACGATGCCGGTGGCGAGTCTGAACACGTCCTGCGAACTGTAGGACGGTTCTGGCGCTCCAATGGGAGGCAGGCAACGGGGCGGCCGACTTTCGGCAAAGCGCGGAGACAGAACAAGAAGGTGGAGGCAAGGACTGCTCTGCTACTCCGGAGCTTTACCGGCAAGGAATATCTCGAAAACGATAAGCAGGTCATTCGCGCTCTCATTACGGAGTTGAGTCTCCGCTCTGGCGGCGAATACGAGGTCTTCCTCTTTGTGCACGTCAGGGAGAACGAAATCGACATTTGGCAAAGCGATGAGGCCTACAAAAAGGCAATCGACGACTACGTGCCGCCCGAATTCAGGAGCATAGCAGTGCTGTGGAACGAGGCGGCCGTGGACCGCATGTACCCCAAGCTGACCGACAAGGCTCGCAAGGTGCATAACGGACAGTTCCTCCCGGTCCAGATGTTTATGCAGGAGTTTCGAGAGTTTGACTTTGTTTGGAATTGGGAAATGGATTCTCGGGTCGTGGGACATCACTACGACATGCTCTCCAAGCTTGGCGAGTTTGCCAGGAAGCAACCGAGGAGAGGAATCTGGGAGCGCAACGAGCGGTTTTACATTCCGTCCTTTTACGGCAGCTATGATTCCCAATTCCGCGCTACGGTGGAGAACGCCACTGCTGGCGAATCAATCTGGGGCCCCCCGAATGTGCCTGTCGTCAAACCCATAGGCCCCAAACCCCCGGTGGCCACTCCCGAGGAGGATGATTATAGGTGGGGTGTTGGTGAGGAGGCGGATCTGATCATGCTGTCTCCCATGTTCAACCCCGTCAACAGCGGCTGGGTCATGCGCAACCAGGTGTGGGGATATCGCTCTCTGGATTTCCCGTGGGGAAAGCTTCCGCGGCGGACGACCATCATCACTCAGGGCCGAGTGTCGAGGAAGCTCCTCGATGTCATGCACGCCGAAGACCTCCGCGGCAACCACGTCGCTTCGGAAATGGTGACGCAAACCACAGCTCTGCTCCACGGCCTCAAGGCGGTATATGCCCCCATGCCAGTTTATTTCGACCGCGCCTGGAGTGGTGCTCAGTTGGCGAAGTGGTTTAACGGCGGCCCCAAGGGGCAAAGTGGTAGTTTTGGAAGTGCAATGGGATGGGGCCAGGAAGGGCGATATCTTGGAAGCACTTGGTACTTCCGCGCCTTCCCGCCGCAACGATTGTACAACAACTGGATGGGCTACGAGGACACGGGCATCGGGGGCCCTGAATGGGAGGAGAGTCACGGCCGTACATGTCTCCCGTCCATGCTACTCCACCCAATCAAGGAGGTCAAGCCGACAGAAAAGGGCTACGCAACTGATTCCAGGTTACCCTACGACTGAAACACAACACCCGGCATGGTTTCTGTTGTTAGTCGGGGATCCTGGCAACATGACGGGGAGCATTGTCCAAGTCCTGTTGAGTCCCAAACTCAAAGCCGAGTTGAGGAGCCTGGAAGCTTAATGTCGCTCACCGAAACACGGGCTGATGATGCCATGATTGTACTGGCGAAGCGTTTGTTGAGTTTTGGGCTCGTTCCCGCCCTGATACATCCGGAACCCGAGAGCAAGGCTTCGGTACCGGCCGGCTGTACCGATCGCTCAGCGTAGAGCGATGTGTTTTTTCTGCGACGAACCCGGGGCAACCGAGCGGCGGCTGCAGCGAAGGAGTGATTGCATCCTTGAGACGATGTACATGCTGGATACCCAAAGGGCAGGACGCAACGCGATGTATATATGTGTGATACCATGATATAGATAGTTAATTTCTAATTCCGCAGAAGTTGTACAATACCCGTCCAGACAGGCTGGGACATGTGCTCTTGTTTCCTTGAATCTTCGCAACGGCTTGGTGCCAGTAGATTAGATCCAGGGGCAGATTTCAAGCTGAGTCATCGGCCTAGATTTCGGCTCGTTGTCTCTGAAGCTTGACGCCGTAGGCTTCTTCATCGTGCGGTGGACGAAGCTTGTTTCCTCTACAGTAGAACGGTAATTAGTCAAGCTTGTAACGTTACTACACATACAGATTTGGCCATCCGCTGAATGGCCAATCATTCAAAAAGGGGTGAACCGCACAGCATGTCACCAACCGTCGTCTCAAGCACGCACTCGCACCAAGGCATTGGGTGATTGACGAGAATCCGGCCGCCTGCGGGGTGGGGCAGCGTGGCACCATTGCTCGATCTTCGGCAGCAAACGGGAGCGGCCTGGCGTCTAAAATCAGCCCAGAACGACAAGCCACTGACCAAGTGTCAGCCACAACCTTATAAATCGGCAATCTATGATTGGCTGGGCGTTAGGGATGTCAATCTGTGTGATTCGATGGAGGACTTGCTCACGCGGTCACCGGGTGCAGCTAGGGAAGGTCCGACTTTCGAGTGTATTATTAGGCAGCGTTACCTCTGGAAGATGAGAGATGGGTTGATTTATAAAGCTGGCCTTTCCCCCTTGTGCCCGTGTCCGTAATATATACATCGGATTGTCGAGTTTTGAACCAAACTTTAGAAGGCCGTTTCATCATCTCAGAGCAACCAAACCCTCCGTCGACTTACACCCGCTTCGTCTGGAGAAGAAGTACCTAGCCAACGCCCGCAGGCAACATTTGCAGCCTTTCTGCCTAGGGAACAAAAACAAAATCCTACCAGAAGCAGAACCCGGGACTTGTAACAATGTCGCCTACCTACACCATGTCGGCGCATCTCTGCAAGCAGATATACTCGTCTTGGCGCCAGGCACGGCAAGTGTCCCCGGACCCGAGCCCGAGCCCGCCGCTCCCGTCCCCTCCGACCAGCGCGGCGACGTCGTCCTATTTCCCCCCATCGGCTCCACCATCAGACGAGAAGCGGTCCATGGAGAACGACCGCGTCAGCAGCAGCGGCAGCAGCAGCAGCAGTGAATCCTTGTCGTCGTCCCACCCCATCTCACGGAAAGCGTCTGTTACCAATTGGAGATGGGGCTCTCGTTAAAAGGGGGTGCCAACATACGGACACTTAACCTTGTACTGGAGAAGAGGTTCTGTGGCCGCTCTCCTCCTCCTCCAAACTTGGCTCTTTCTACAAATATACGCACAGTGTTTGGGAGTTGGGCCGAGCCGCAGTGAGCATCATCATAGTCATGTATGCCATCTGCCCCGGAAGGGAAGGGGAGGGACAAGTCCATCCCCAAGCCGCATGCATACATGCATGCAAATGTGCAGCAAGCCAACAGTCCAACACACCATCAGACCCCGGACAGAGATGTGCTAGGAACAGGCAGCCCGGAAATCAAAGGACGACAAACCCTTACTTAATCCTCATCACCTACGACTACGGAATATGCCAGGGCCCGTTTTGTCGGTACTGTACATACATGCAGGCCAGCCATTGGGACGTTGGAGCGCACGTGCGGTGGACTGAACCTGGGTTGAAACATCTGAATTGACTTGATCAATCAATCAATCCCAACACCCTGCACATGTCGTCAAATCTGATTCTAGAAGAGACGGATTGCGTGCGACTGAAACGGGCCCGTTCTGAGTGTGTGTGACACAGGGAGAGAGGGAAGGGACTTGGGGAGTTGGAACATCAACTTAACTTTGGGTTGGGGGTTCGTAGGGGGATCGCCGGATCGGAAATCGGGAAACAGGAAAGTCGGATGCATCGAGGCTCGGGCCGGGACGGTTTTCTGGCGTCAGACGTTGGAACGGGAAAGCATGTTTGCCTTTTTCTTTCTTTTTCTTCGTCTCTGTCCGATCCATGTTCGATCGGATCACACTGCACTGCGAGCCGTGTCTCGGGTAGGGGCGGCTGCTCCCGCCTCATCCCGCTGTCAGTCACCGACCCTACATACATACATACAACCACACACTAGCGTGGTGGTCAGGCCATAGGGAGTTGGTATTTTCTTTTTCCCTCTTGACCCCTATTCCAACCCTCTTCGGCTGATCTTTTCTTTTTCTCGCTTGCATGGAAGGCTCGGCGATGAAGGAGCAGCAATGGCACTTACTCTGCACGATGGAAGCGCAACGGATAAACGGATGGATAGGACCATGGTGGGATGATATTTCAATTCTCAAGGGCATTACAGGCGTTAGCAGGAGCAAGCACATTGCTCAGTATAGTTTCAGCGAACTTGATACCCTTCAAGACGTTCTATCGGAATTCCGTGGTCTATTGGGTCATGACTCATCATGTTATCCCTGATCTATTTCTGCAGCGCCGATCGTCTTTCAAGCACACTTTCCACAAGACGCGCCGAGGTCTTGTGAAAACCCGTGAACAGACAAGCAAACCAGGGACCTGTAATGCAGACTATACTGTACACCTCTAATCCACTAACAATAATAAACTCAGCGCATCGCTGTCTAATAAACCCGATAGTTTCAGGGGAGAAACCAGTTACCAATTCCCGCAACTCACCCAGGCCCAGAGCCCAGTCCAAGAGGGAATCACTTGCTTCAAGAAGCCATGGCCGCAGCAGCAGCCGAAGCAGGCGGCACGCGCAACGCGGCGGCACCGTCCTCACCATCCCCGCCGCTGCCGCTGTCGTCGGGCGATTCCTCGGCGACTTGGCCTTGGATGCGGCGCTTGGCGTCCTGTTTGTCCGCCTCGGTGATCTGGTTTTCGTCCTTGCGCATGTCGGGCGTCCATTGCGGCTCGCCGGGTGCGTGGCCGACTGACATGCCGACGCGTATCTATTACATTCCGAGTCAGTATATGGGAGGTTCCCCGCAACGCTCTTGATTTAAAAATCAAGGATAAAAGCGGCGCGAACTTACCAAGGTCTCCAACGCCATGTTTGAGTTCTCTACCAGATCGTCATCAAACACCATCTTGCCGGGCTCAAACAGCACCACGAGCGTGCTCCCGCCAAACTTGAAATAGCCCAGCTCTTCGGCGCGCCGAACCTCTTCGCCTCCGTTCCGGGTGATGACGGTGCTTCCGACCATCATGGCGCCGACGCAGATCACCATGACCCGACCAAAGATGGGGCTATCGATGGGAACGAGGACGCGGACATTCTCGCCGTAGACGTCAAGCGCTGAGCGGATGGCCATGGGATTGACCGTGTAGTACTCGCCAGCAATCGTCTTGGGCTCTCCCATGACGCCGTCAACGGGTATGTGGAAGCGGTGGTAGTCTTGCGGCGCAAGGCGAAAAATGCCGAGCGCCCCGCCGTGCTCGTAGCGCGCTACGTCCTCAGGATACGCATCTCCCAGGAGCCGCTTGATGCTGAACTCACGGCCCTTGACCCACACTTTCGTTGCTGTCTCGATGCGATTGAAGACGACGGAGCGGCAGTCGGCCGGTGAGACAATGATACGTGGGTTGTTGGGCGCCGAACAGGGCCGTGCACCGGGCTTGAGGGCGCGGTAAAAGAACTCGTTGAAATTCTTGAACTCGTTTAAGGGAAGCAGCACCTCGGACAGGTCCAGACCGTGGAACGCAATGAATTTGGGGATTTCCGCCTTGGACGCAGGATCATCGTATTTTCGGCCTTGCTTGATGCTGAGACTCTTGAGAAGTTTCCGGACTGGTGACGTGTTAGCTCCAACTGCCGAAACCCTTACTGGGCTTTTATCGTGCACTTACTCCTCTTCTTCTCCATGTTGTTGGACTTCAAGCCTTTGTACAGCAGCCGGATGCCCAGCCTAACATAGACGCTCATCTTCTCCTCGTTGATTTGACCGGTCATGCGGTCCTGGACGAGGATATTGGCCGAGTTCGCGCCAAGTTTATAACCTCCATACGATATCTTGGTAATGACTTTGGAGTACCACTTGCGCTGCGCCTGGCTGGATGTGACAAAACCGGCCATCATCAGGTTGTTAACCTGACGCCAGTCCTGGCTCGCACAAGTAGCAATGTGCGTGATGATATCCGCATCTCTGCGCTTATTCAAGCGCGGCTGATGGCATATTGGGCACTCGCGTATCTCAACCACATGCTCCTCCGTCGTCTTGATGTTCAAGTCGTCCCGGTCTAGAAGCTCGCCCTCCTCGCCCGGCGTGTTCAGTTCTGGGACAGCGATGGTAGCGGACTCGGAGACCTGCGACTCGGAAGGGGTCTCGAGACTCTCCGCTGGTGTTTCAGTGCCGGAAGTGGTACCTTTCCCGGGAAGTGTAAGGAGATTCTTGACCTTGTCCGCATCAGGCAGCATATTCTTGACGCGTTCCGTCACGCCATGGGACCGCGTCTTGGCCTGAAGTTGATCCTCCAGACAAATGACGGCTTCATCCATAGTTAGGTCCTCGGCACCATCGTCATCAGTCGCCTTGTGAGGGAACCGCTGGAAGAAACTGTCAATAGTCGACTCTCGAAGAGTGGAACCAAGAGTATCGAGCATGGTCGTCAGCTCAACCTTGCTAATGAGCCCGCTCTCGTCGGCGTCATATTGCTTCAGCATTGCCCTCCAGAACTGCTGTCGGAGGGCCGGATAGGGCATGTACTTGGCACGGATAGTCAACCGGGGGTTATGCTTGGCCTCCCATTTCTCCATGTTCTTCATTTTGAGCGGAAGCGTGTACGAGATGAAGTCGGGGTCATCGCCGTCAGGCGGCGTTGTCTCCCCGAGGGTAGAGGCGGCTGCGGCCACGGCATTGTCTTGCGGTTGAAGACAGCCGGGGCTGGGCAACGCCGGCTGAGACTCTTCCATAAGGGCATCAAGGGTGGGTTGGGAAATGCCGGGGGTCTGCGCTGGCGTGGCCGCGACAGACGAAGACGTCACAGATGAGGGGTTCTTGGACAGGACTGGTCTGGCGAGTTTGCTCAAGCTTTGGGCGGAAGAGGTACGGGACAAGCCCAGCCTCATGAACCGGGGGCGCTGTACCGGCGCAGAATACTCGGGCACATCCTTTAGATTATACAAACCGGTCTCGGGGTCGGCCTTGGGGGCCTTCTCAATAAGCTCCTTGACCGGGAAATTTACGGAAGCGATGAAATCGTTGCCCGAGTATTTGTCATGGTCGATGACAATAAACGAAAAACTGTAGGACTGCTCGTGCCCAAGGAGCTGGAAAATCATCTTCTCGTTAAAGACTGGGTTGAGGTTGTGCCGGATGGTCTTGGTCCTGTAGGTCTTCTTCCCCAATGAGGCAACAACAAAGGGGTCCATATCGAAGCTCGTCTTGGTTAGGTTTGACTCCGGAGGGAGATCCGTAATGTTGCAAATCTCGAGGAAAATGATGCCGACCACATCGCTGCCGCCGTTTACGAACTCATACGGGTTGTCGTTCTTTTTGCGCTTCAATCCCTTGATGCGCAGCCGCCTTTTCCTCTTTTCGGCCGCATCCGGCTTGTTCGGATCTTCGTCTTCGGGTGTTTCATCATCGTCCATCTCATATTCCTCCTCTTCATCATTGTCCTCTGCTCGTCTTTCGCTGGGCGATGGTGAAGGTGAGGGTGTCTTGCTCTTTCCGACGGAACGGGGCGCGGTATTCCGCGAAGAATTCCCAGCGGGGACTGAGTTTGCAATGGCGGCGAATTTGGCCAGAATCTGCTGGTCAGTAGCGTCCCTGTTCGCGGTATCGAGGAGGGTGAATTGCAGCAGAACCTCGCCCGAGACAACGCTCGTCTTCTTCCCTGGGCGCTTGCTTTTTAGTGGGTACCACCTGGGCGGCTGCTCTGTCTTCTCGTCGGCGAATATCTCCTCGAGCGCAAGGTCGAATTCTCCAAGATAGTCCTTCCCGAAGCGGTCCTTGTCCCAGCAGCACACGTCGAGGAGCAGGCTTTGCACGCCAGTGATGGGGAGCTGGCACTGCTCGTTCCAGGTTGGGTCGAGTGTTTTGGGCACTGAGTGGGTGATGTGTCTTGCTTCGCCAAGATTCAGGACGAGGTACTAAAGCCGTTCAAAGGCAATCAGCCGCGGGCTCGGCTTCCAAAGGCGGCTGCAGATTGGCAACACTCACCGGATCCGACGTGCCACCTCTATCCTTGGCGGCGAGGTTCCTGGCCTAAAGGAGAGCCCGCAAAAGTCAGCAGCCGTGATTTATCATGATGAGGATGTTCTGTTGGCAGTACCCGTAAAATCGTGACGTTCAGGACCAGTCCATTGTCCCTGCAGCCCTCCGGGCTTGACGAATCTCCCTTGCTTCGCATTGGACTTGTGCTGCGGCTGTTTGCCGTCGAGTTGGTCGCCGAGTTGCTAGAGAAGCTCGACTTGAGGCGATTGGGTATGATGCGGACCATGGTGGGCAGCAGGGTGGCGCGGGGTTAACTGCGATTTATCTGTTTTCAGGGGGGTGGGGTTTGTGCCAGCTATTCTTGCACCTTTGTTTCAAGTTTTCGAAGGTAGCAGTGGTATTCAATCAGCCAGAGGTAGGACAATCCATGAGCATCCGCATGCGCCGTCGTGTCGCTCGCTGTCCGCAGCTCCAGTTGGACACGAACCTGGAAGTAGCGGAGCTTGAGCTAGCAAGCAGCGGATTCGCTACACTGGAATTGGCCAGCGACCCTGGCCGACGGCCGGCAAAGCGAGGCCACTTTAGGCTATGCGAGAACCGAGTTGTTCAAAAAACGTCAGAGAACACCCAAAGAAGAGTTGCTGAAGCCAGAGAGGAGGACGTCATTCATTCAGGGCTGGCGATCGGTCCAAAGGTTTACATACTTGGCAGCATTCAGCCAAGTGGACAGCAGGTGGGCCATTGATCGGCGGGGGCATTCAAGTTGTCGGGGTTGGCTCCAGCCCCGCCGAAAGAAGAAAATGCTGCGTAATTAGCGTAATCAATTAAATAAGAGAGCCCCAGGTATGGGAAGCTGCAGGCCATCGATCGAGGCAGCCCGGCTGGATCCAGATGTATCCGGGTTGGAGGGCCGTTTCTAGGCGAAATTCGAGGGCAGCCCGACCGAAATGAGCTTTCTTTGGAAGCCGAGGACGAACGGCGACTGGTTATGCAGTTGGTTTGCACATGCCATGTCTTGTTGGCGTCAGCAGCAAGAGGTTAATGAGGTAGTTAGGGGCAAGGCGGCCGCGGGCCACTGGTGCAACTTCAGTGGCCCAAGGTTATGGGTGTCATCAAGCTGAAGAGCTTCCCATGTTAGGCTACTAAAAGACTGGAAACGCGAGGTTTCGCTTCGCCGCCTTTATTAGGTCCATGCCATTACCGTGGTCCATTCCAGCCTTCAGATGACGAGCCTGTCGATAATATGAACACTCAATCTCAACCCGGACTTGGGGTGCACCGCCACCGTTTTCCTCATACCGTTAATCACGGCCGGACTGAAGAGGCTTTGACATCGTGTAGTGTATGTAGGTGTTATATACCTAGTGTAAAAAACAGGATGTATACGGATATACGATCCGGAGGTACCTTACATACGTTGAACCGCAGTCTGAAATTGCCCTTGATCGCCTTACCGTACCAGCATAAGTGGGTGGAGGCTATCCGCTCATGCATAACCGAATGTGACAGACTACCGGTAATTGCCTCGCCGTACCTAATCCTATACTACGTAGTTAGTATGTATAGTGTAGACAGCTTTGCCCAGATGCAGCAGGACGAGTCCTCCCCTTGGAATGAAACTGGAATTACGAATAGGCTACAGAGGCACCGGTAGTATAGCGGGAAATGGCTTGAACGCAAGCAGCCTACGTATTTACACGCATAAGGTGGGTACGCGCATGTTCCCATGGGCAGGGCAGTGACAGCTCAGGACACTTGACGCCACCCTCAGCATCCAAAAACAGTGCCTAGCAGTGCATCATCATCCCAACTGTCCGCACGTGCGTCGTAGACACGCTCGAGTCAGGCTAGCGAGGCTAGGTACGAAGGAGGCGAGAGGAAATAAACCCCGACAATAGGCATAACAACATACAACATACGAAGGTACTTGTACATACAGCCCATCGTATTTTCCCTTCATATCAGACTCGCGTCCGTTGACCGCGATTCATGAGATGTAGGCAGTACCAACTGCCGTAATGAATTTGAGCGTTCTGTGGAGCATCTCTACTGATTCGGATGATACAGTGTCCTTTGGTCAGGTCACCCGGTTTCAGCCCTGAGTCCCCAGGGTGAGTTGGCCATAGATACACCGAGGCCGCCAGGAACAACACTGAAACGCACAACCACCGACCGATTTAGGCAGTGTACATACAAGTACGTACGATCGCCACAGAACCTGGGGTCTTCAAGGGATGTGGTCCATCAATCTGGGAGAGCTTTCTTTCTGGAACTCTTCCCCATTGGGTCGGCCGCATTGGGTTTAGGCAGCATTTCGAACTATGCTGGAGGGGTTATCGAAAGCCAGGCACGCAGATGCCAATGCAGAGCAGAGTGACCTCGTGGAATGAACATCAGCATCAGCGGTGCGGGATGAGGTGAATGCTCAAACGGCCGGATTTGGCTGCGAATACTACTTCCAAGTTGGCAAAGCCGACGTAGTGTGCATATTCTCGTTTGGTTTAGATTGATATCGTTGTTTATAGGAACTCATAGAAACGCCTCTATGCGGCCGCCTTGGCCTTGTATTTTGTCGCTGCCTTATCGAACAGATCGCTTTTCTCGGCAAGATCCAGCAGGAATGGGTGCTGAGCATCTGCCTTTGCGAGCGAGCTAAGAAAACTGTTAGACGGTCTCCTAAGCGAGGCAGCTCCTATTAGTGAGCACGTACCTCTTCAACTCCTCGGGGCTCTTCCCGGTGATTACATTCAGAACGAGCAGGTTCGCAATGGCCTCTGCGTATTCGGGCTCCTTCTTTAGCGCCTGATCCAGAGCAGCCTGTGCCTCCTCTGTCCGGCCCAGATGCAATTCAGCCACAGCTTGGGCTACCAGAGTTCGCACTGACGATGTCGCGGGTGCCTGTGCGAGCTCCTCGAACACATAGAACGCCTGCTGGTATTTCTCTCCGCCCTATAAAATCCCGGTATGGTCAGCACAACACTGCGATGGCAATGGGCTACGTCTCTATCGGGTGACGAACCAGCCTCAGCCCAACCCACGACTCTGCAAGGTTGACTAGCAGACTGTCCTGCGCCCACCGCCGGGCGGCAGCGACCTCCTTGACGGCAAGGTCGTTTCGGTTTTGTTGGAGGTGAATCTGGACAATGAGGGCCACGGCATCCACTGCAAAGGCACACAATCTTGGTCAGCGAAATTCTCCCAAATTGAAGGAAGGCAGGTTGCGACCTACGGCTCCCTTGATGCTGCCCCAACAGGGCCAGAGCCTCCTCCGACTTGCCGGCCGCCTGCAATACTGTCCCGCCGACAACTTGCACGGTTGCGTTGTCGGCCGCCGTTTGCGCCAGCTTCTCAATAGTCTTGACGGCCGCCTCAGTGTTTCCTAGGGCCTGCTCGGCCAGCGCGCCCACCGCCTCGAGTTCGGGCTCTGTCTCTCCCTGCACGTCGGCGAGAACGTCTTCGGCCTGGCCGAGGGCAATGCGAGCGCGGAGCTGCAAGACGCGGGCCGGCAGGGCGTTTTCAGGTGACAGAGACGACACATCGAAATCGACTACCTCCTGGTATTGGCCCTGGTGGAAGTGGTTGTGGATGTTGATTAATTCACCCTCGGCCGAGTAGGGATCCATCGAGACCTATTCTGGATTGGAAATGCTTCCAAGGCGTATGAGGTTAGGTTGCGGTTACTTGATGGAGGACAAGATCGATCAATGGATGTTTATCAGGTACCGTACCTTGGTTAAGTGACCACCGTGGACTTGCTGTTATCGCGATAAGATGCGGAACAGCCCGCGCCAAGACTTGTGTTCCGGGGTTAGGGTAGAGAGGTTTCAAGCGACAAGCCCCAACGTTAAGCTTGGCTTCAACCTACTTCACCCTCTCAAACTTCATATTTCCTCATCACTCAAGTACCTATGGAGTACCATAGGGCTGATCAGCAATACTGGATATGCAATCCGCCTCGGCCACGCATTATCCTCCCAACTGATTGTGCATTCATCGAATGCTCTCAGCATATCGTTGCCACGTTCTAAGTCAGCAAACCACCAAAGACAGACTTCCGACTGAACCACAAGGGGGCATCTCCAATCGGCTGACACTGCGAAACTACGCCACGAATGCTGTACCGGTACTGGATATCGCGATATCGCATTCGAACCCAGGCCTCATATGTTGTTACTTTTGTCTCCAAACCCATCCGCGGAATTGGAACTCTTCGCAGTGTGCGCAAGGTGATGTATGTACAAGTACGTAGCGAACATCACGATTCCCAGATGCCGTCTCCTCTGGTTGCATTAACCCGGCCCATCTTCAAACCCGGCAAGGCTGCTGTCAGTGCTGTCGGGTCCTTGGCCTTCTTCCTTTTCCTAGGAGCCGCCACAACCAAGACCCCTCATGTTCGATCGCCGGTGCCATACGCACGGCATGAATGATTCGACTTTGATCGCTTAGACCCCGAACGTCGATCCGGGGTACCTTTTATGGAGAACAAGGCTGTTCCTCACCCTCTCCCGGTCCCCCTTTCCTCGAAACGGCTATTTGCAAAAGCGCAAACGAACAAGGTCAAAGCTCTCGAGGGAGGTAGTCGCAAATCTGCTCCTTTCCAGTCAGAACGTACAGTACCTCTGGGTTTTACAGAAAGCTCTCATTCCCATTCGCGATGCCCCCAGCCAATTCTACTAATTGGGTGCCACTTTCTGCTGGTAGTCGGATTTTCTCTCCCGTCCGCTCCAGCCGCAGTTCGGACAGAGCTCTGGAACAGTATGGGAAGTCGGCGGCCGAGCGAAAGCGCTTCCATTGTTCCCGCTGCAGGCCAGCGTCCTGTATGGGATAAGGCTCTGTTGTTTCTCGAGTGTGCTTTGTGGTCCACATGACTAGCGTATGGGATGTCATTGGAACTGCAGAGACGACGGGAGGAGACGGGTTCCAGAAGAGGCGCTTTTTTACACACACAGAAGAAGTCCATCAACATGCGTACAAGCGCCGAATGCTAGTGTAGCTCGACGTCTTCTCTCCGCACTCGTCCCGTCCGCATCAGGGACCGCTACTGATGCACTGCTGCGGCACTGCCAAGATGGGGTGTCTTAATATAGTAGCATAGTCAGCAAACATGCACACTACGTACACCACACACTACGCTTCACAGAATGTGGTTAGATGTAGTGACTGTTCGCCAGGCCACGGCTTGCTTCCAGTGCCGACAGATGAGATGAGAATCACTTAAACATTTACACTGAGGTTGGCGACTTAGGGGCCCTCAAGAGGGTGTCTGCCGCATAATGCATGCAGCAGACTATACCATAGGCCATGACACCCAGCAGCTCTTGATGTGTGCTTCTGCAAGACCAGCGGTGAAGGATCGTTGGATGGGCTTACCTCAGAAGGCTGTATTCTGCAAGTGGCCGGGTCTGGATAAACATGCGACATCCTCGTGCACACACAACCATATATCCTAGCGTAGATCCTATTCCCCCGACCCCTCCCCCATGCTGACCATCCCGGTCGTCCGCTCGCCACCGTGTGTGTCCCGCACTTGATTCCTTCCTCGGGCTCGTGCCGGATCAGCAGCTTGACCTTCCTGAGCTGCGACGGAGTGAGCACATGCAGCTACACGTGTTTTCCCGAGAGGGCATGATGAGCCCTTAAACAACGACAACCCCATATTTTTGGCTGTCTCCATTCGTCTTCCTATGCGCCCTCAACCCACCAGCACACTGACCCGGTTCAGGTTGGTTGCGGCGGCATGGAGATGGTAATTCCTCCTCGCCACCATGGGCCACCGACGTATAGATACACATGGGATGAGAACGGCGAGGTGACCCAGGTCACCAGGTGTGTTACCCGCCTTCGGGACAGTGTTGGGATGCTGAAGTCTTGACTAACACCTCCGTGACAGAGTGTTAGAAGATGGTTCACCCCTGAGCGAACCACTCGTGGCTGGGAGGCGGACAGTGCAGTGGCCATTCCAAAGCGTCATCGGCACCGAGACTGAAACCTCCAGCCCAACATCAGCCCATCAGCAGCAGCGGCGGGCGACGACGGCCCAGCTCTCCGGGCAGCTCCCGGCGCACTCTTGGGTCAGCTCCGGCTCCAGCGGCGAAGCGGTGGCCTCGGTTGAGCGGGAAGTCGATGGTGTCGTTCCGGACTATGTCGTCAACTTCCTGCGCGGGGAGACGCCCGAATCAGTCGCCCGCCGGAAGCAGAGTACCATCATTGGCGGCGGGAAGACGGGCGAGCCGCAGCACCTCGACTTCGTTGCGCACCACCAGTATCAGAGCCACCGGTCTAGGGTAGCAGATTTTGAGGGCTTCCACTACCGAGGTGATTCCTTGTCGTCGCTGGGCAGCCGCGCCAGCGACGAGGCATTCTTGCCCGCAGAAAGCTCCTACGGTGGGGGGAGCGGGTGGAGGTTCTGGACAGAGGGTTGGCGAGCTGGCATCGCCGTGAACTTGTTGCTCATCTTTGTGATATTGATCACAGGCTTTATCTGCCTGAACGTGGGAATCGCCAGGTCCACGCTGTCGGAAGGGAGGTGGGCCATCTTTTCAGGCTCCTGCTCGAGTGCCGTTAGCCTCAACCTGGGCCTGCACGGGGCAATATGCATCTTCGTCGTAGCCTTGGTCGCGGGCGCCAACTACGTCTTCCAGGTCCTCATCAGCCCAACAAGAGACGAGGTGGCTGCCGCGCACCAAAAGGCGAAGTGGCTTGATATCGGGATCCCGTCGCTTCGCAACCTTAGGAGAATCGAGATCAGCCGTGCATTTCTAGCCGTTCTTGTCCTACTGTCAGCTTTCTTTACCCAGATAATGTGAGTTCTCAGCCAAGCGCCGTGAGGGACGGGGTCAGAAGACTGTTGCTGACGAGAGCACCAGGTATAATGCGGTAGTATTTGTCTCGCAAACAGCACCGAATCTAAAAGCAGCTTTGATTGGCGAGTCCTTCATCCGAGGCGCCGCTTCTAGCATCGAAACTTCGGGTAGCAACGGTGGGTTAAGCCGTCTGGATCTGCTCACCCTCCAGCAGCATGCAATGCGCGGGGAATTGGTACGCCTCTCCGGGACGGCGTGCTTTGCGCGGCTCAGCGGCGCCTTTCAAACAGACTACTCCGCTGTTCTCCTAGTTTCCAACGACAACCCAGGCACGTCATCCCTCGTACAGACGTCAGGGGGAGCCAACACCCTCCTATCCCGACCCGGCGAACCAGGCACCACCACCCTCGCCAACCTAACCATCGAGCCCTCCGCCATCCAATTCTGCCTAGCCCAACCCAGCCCCGCGCCAACATGCGAAGTAAACCTAAACGCGGCACTTCTAGGCGTCGTGGCCCTCCTCAACTCACTCGCACTGGTTGCCACGGCCGCGGTGCTGTTCAGGCGCCGTGCGTCACCCTTCCGACCCTTGGCCACCCTGGGCGACGCCATCTCGTCCTTCCTCGAGGAGCCGGACCCGACCACGCGGGGGTGCTGCCTCCTTTCCAAAACCGACGTCTGGCAGGGCCGCTGGCCCATGGGACACCAGCAGCAGCAGCAGCCCTTCGTCCCGGAGCCCAAGTACTGGGTCCCCGAAAGCAGCAGCGGGCACATGTACTGGCTGCGCGCCGTCTCCTTCCCGCGCTGGCTCGCCGCCGCGGCCGTCTGGGCTGCGTGCGTGGGCCTGGCCGCGGCGGGGCTGGCTGTTGCTGTCGTGAAAGATCCCGCCGCGAGGCTCTCTCCACTGGGCGTTGCCTCGCCGCATGCAGTGGTTCCCCTCGCCGAGTCGTCGATGATGATGATGATGATGAGGATGCCCGCCAGCGCCGCCGCCATGGCCCTCGTCGCGTGCCTCCCCCAGGCGCTCCTCGCGCTGCTGTACTTTGCCGTCAACGGGGTGGTGACGGGGTATTTCCTCTCGCACGAGTCGGCGTTGTTTGCCATGGGACCGAAGCCGCTGCGGGTGTCGTCGTCGTTGCAGGGAGGTGCGGCGACATCCAACAGGGGCGCTCAGGTCACGTCCCTTTACTTGACGCTCCCGAGGGCAGTGTCCTGGGCCTTGATGGCGCTGTTCCTTGGCATGGCGTTCGTGCTGAGCCAGAGCCTGTTTGTGGTGGCCGTCCAGGTTGTTGATGTTGATCTCGCGGCTGCTATCCTGCAAAACGGGAGTTACACAAGCCTCCCGTCCCCTTCGGATGCGGGTGGGACGGGAGTGCAGCCGCCGCTGGTTGGGCTTGGGCTGAGCGGCGTGGGCCTGCTCACGTTGCTAAGCATCTTGGTGCTTTTGGCTGTGCTTGTCCTGGGTTTGGGCCTGCGGCGAGCCCCGGCCGCGGGTATTGTGAACGGGGAGCTAACGGGGAATCCCATGGCGCTGCCGGCCGGGTCGTGTAGTGCCGTTATTAGCGCGAGGTGTCACCCGCTCGCGAGGGAGAAGGGGTTACAGAAGAAGCCCGTCATGTGGGGCGTGGTGAGGGAAGGGGTTGGGATGGCGCCGAGCCATTGCGGGTTTACAGCCGGGAGGGCCGGTATGGTCTCGGCGGGGAGGAGCTATTCCTAACTTTGTGCTGCTTCCTTGATATCCCGATGCATTGGCGGATTGTGATCGGGCTTGGGCGAAAGGGAGTCGGGACGGGAGTCGGGTGCTGGCAGACATAAGGCACCGCATGGATTGTTTGGTTTATTATACCCCGGTAGAGATTTGAGGTTTGGATGAGCAGGATGAGTAGGATGAGGTGGTAAAACGGGAGAGGGTGTTGTCCCCGTTCGTTTTATGAGGAGTGGAAACATGAACCTGTTGGATGTTAGTTGAGCGCCCCTATAAACCCCGCCCACCTAGTGCTATAGTGTGGTGAATCTGGTGATTGCGTGAATGGCTAGGACCCACTGTAGCGCAGCATTCTCTTATTTCTCACAACCCTTTCTCTCACCTCACCATCTGATAAATCCATCATCCTGGAATTGTAAGCTGTCAACCAACAGAAGACTCTTCTGGCTCTAAACAGCAAACCTAACCTACGTATTAGTACCTACTGTATCCGAACTAACACATATATTAAGGTCCTAGCGCCTTTGAAGCCAACATGGTCAGTAGAGGCCTATATCACTCGTTTCCTGTGGCAACGAGATATTTACTTTATCTCTGCTTGTTCCATCCAGGTTCATGCCGACGCGTCCAATTTCGCCTCGGGCTTAACAAAAGAGGAGACTTACCAGCAGGTCCTGCTGCAGGCCGAGGGCTTGTTCTCTGATCAGAGAAACTGGGTATGTGCCCTGAATTGGCTGGTATAAGCATGCTGCTAATATGATCTGCTAACACAACATCCCCTCCAGGTTTGGTGAGGTACCCCTTAACCCCTTTTTCAGCTCAAACCTTCAAGACAAATACCATCCCGTTCCGGGGGAAAACCCCACACTTACACACAAACACAGCAACCTCGCCAACGCCGCCTCGCTGCTCTGGCACGCGTACAAATCCCTCCCATTCCCAAGCAACCAAGTTAACTGGGCTGGTCAGTACACATCCGGTTAACCATAGACCCCCAAAACATTACGTCCCCCATCTGACACCACGCACCAAACTAAACCCGCAAAATCAGGCTTCTACACCGTCGACCGCTCCGCCCCAGCCTCACGGCCGCAGTTGATCCTGGGGCCCTTCCAAGGCAAAGTGGCCTGCCAGACCATCGCCTTCAACCGCGGAGTCTGCGGCGCGGCAGCGACCCAGCTAAGGACGCAGCTCGTGCCCAACGTGGACGCTTTCCCCGGCCACATAGCGTGCGACGGTGACACGCGGAGCGAGATTGTCGTACCCATCCTCGTCGACGGCGGGAGTGATGAAGGGGCAGCGGGGGAGGAGAAAGAAAGGAAGCTCGTGGCAATCATCGACGTAGACTGTGCCGTGCAAAACGGCTTTGACGAGGTGGACAAGTTGTGGCTGGAGAAACTGGCCGACCTAATTGGGAGCAGCTGTGATTGGGACTAGTGGTTCAGGTTGTACCGTCTGTACCTACTTCACGAAGATCCATCCTATACGGCTGCTTACCTGAACTAGAGGGTCGGAAGTACTGTGGCAACCTCGGCCTGTGTTGTCGCTGTTTTCTCGCCCCTCTCTAAGACTAAGCCTGCCGAATACATAGCTCTAAGGGGCCGTTAAGTATAGCCGGCTAACGACCTTAGTCGCCGATCGGCAACCGTCATATGCTTGGTCCCTGGGGTATAAAACTTTTGGTACGATTACCGATACATAAAACAGCGTAATTCAATACTAAACCCTCAGAACTTAGTTTGGTTGCCACGTAGATAGTGTCAAAGCAAAAGAGTCCCGCCCAAACTCATCCCCAGCACCAAGGCGCCCACAACAATTGGAGCCTTCTCCACGTTTCCGACCTTCACAGGGCTGGCAAGGCCGCTGGACGTAGTAGCGCTAACAGTGGCAGTGGCGGTGGCAGAGCGCGGGCTCTTGACTCCGGTGCTCGTGCCATCGACAGCATACTGAGAACCTTTACCTTTCAGACCGGGCCCAGGGCCGGCTCCGTGTACCATCATCTACCATAATCGTGAGCATACGCCGTCTAGTGCCCTCAGGGATACTCTCATAATGGCACTCACATGCTTGGCCTGTTCAGGCATGGCCGGGAGGTGTGTGCCATAAACCAGCCAGTTTGCGTCCTTCGTCGGGCAAGGAACGGAATGCGTTGTCGAAGTGAAGCCGCCATCTCCCGGAGGCGCCGGGTTAACGACAAGAGCCTGAGCATATCTGGAGAAGCCCTCTAGTTCCTGGACGGTGGGTGATTTCGGGGTAGGGATCTTGACAATGCCATAACCGTTCGCTTCCATGCTGTATTCGTACAACAGACCCCCTGAATAGACGCTCGTCATCTTGCTGCTCATCAAGGCCGCGACTTCACCAAACGTTCGACCGTTGGTCAGACACCCGTACTCGGAAAGGCTGCATGCACTCATTAGCACCACTCTTATGTCTCTCGCTAGGGACGACTCACAATATTGGGATCCCATAACCTGTGAGGTTCCTGACTTTTTGATCCCAGCCAGCCGTGACGAAATCGGAGTTGCACCACGAGTAATCATTCTTGTAATAGGTCAGCCGGCATTCCTCGTCATCTTGAAGTCACAGGATGGTCCACTCACAAAAGCAAAAAAGTCGGTCCGTTCATCATCGACGCCACAGTTCATGTAGTAGGCAAGCTGCATACGGTTCTGGGCAACATCCGCAGCCGAATACCCTACCGGCACCGCACGGTAACCTCTGCTCCTGATGTACTGACGTATGTCGCGCGTGACAGCCTTGACATAGGGAGCCGCCAGTGTGCTCTCAACAAGGTCGTGGACCACCTCATTGCCGGAAAAGAAGGCAAGAGTGTTGTCGTACTTGACGAACTCGTCAATGGTAGCAAAGACGCTTTGGAGGTATTTTGTATTGTAAGACGGACCGGGATTGGCACGGTTGATAGAGTACAGAGGGTTGTTGACATCGAGAATTACATAGATGCCGGCATCAGCTAGAGCGTTCATGCACTCGTCATGATTGACGGAGTTGTCCGTGATGTAGACCCTGATCGTGTTGATGGCCAGCTTCTTGAACTCGGCAATATCCCGGTGGCACACTATTGGGTCCCCGAGAGGGTCCTGCATTGCCGCAGCGCCCCCTGGCTGGTAGTCCAGGCCGCGGACGTAGAACCGAGTATTTCCTTGCCAAAACGCTGTGATGTTGTCATGTCAGCAAATCTCTCTTCCATTAGAGGCGGTCCCGTTCAGGACCGGTTACCATTTCCGGATGCTGTTACGATGGGTATTGAAACCCGCTTGCTTGGTGGCTCTGGGTATGTCGAGCTTGGAGTTTCGAGCCCGAGCCCTAAGGTGACTGACAAGACAGGAACCAGGAAGATGAACCTCATCTTCTCACAAAGACTGAAGAACAGAATGCCAAGACAGATCAGGCCCGGGCCAAGCCCAGTAAAGACAGCTTAGCAAGGACTGAAGAGCAAAAGAGAAGCTATGCGTTCTGGTAGAAGCTTAACGAGCGACCAGAAGCACCTCGGGAGTGTCGAAATGAAGAAAGGCATCAGGGGAAGCTATTGAAACAGGCGGGATCAACCGTGACGAAGTTCCGCTGAGTTTCGTTGCTGCTGCTGCCACAGCCAGCAAACCTGGCCAAGGAAACAAACATCGTGCAAAAATAACAGCTAGGGCAAGAACTAGGGTGAGCTCACTGGACCACAGCAGCTCGTCGGAACCTGAGGCAGGTGCAAACTGTGCAATGGCGCTGCAGACATCACCAAGTACTTCAGGTTTATACACCTTGTGGTACCCGCACCTTGCTCTGTACAGCGTTGCATTGAATTCCATTGCCAACCTGGGACATATGCATTCAACCTAATCTTATATGCGCTGTCCGCTTCGTACCGCTTCCGGCGGGCAAAGTCAGCTTCTGAGGTTTGCCATTGTCAAGTGGAGGAATGCAGAAAGATACAACCACGTCATGATGCCAAGAGTCGGGTAAGGTACCCGTCCACGTCGATTCCCAAGCCCTGCATATCTCGGAACTCTCCGAAATAGGTATGTACCAGCACAAATGCCTTCCCTCTCGAGATGGGTCACATCCGGGAAGGGCAAACCGGTTCGTCCTTCAAAGTGTATTGTGCACGTGTATCCCGTTCCTGTTTCCCCAAGAATGTAATGATGATTGGCCATATGCAGAATTTCTTGGATTTTTCATCCGGGATTTCTGATTGGGGTACACTGCGCTGCAGCAACCCCCTTGCTGGCGTTGTACATACATATGTGTATTGCACATAACGATTACACTTAATCATGAAAGGCCGCTTCACTGTCCCATCTGCTATCCCTGAACCTCCTCCTTTACAACCAAAGAAACTGAAAGGCGAGGAATAAGCGTCTTGTAACTACAGCCAAGTTAAACATGCTGGATATAACTAGCCGGCACGCTCTTGGTGACACCCCCCTTCTCCACCTCAGCCCACCCGTCCCCCGGGTCTTCCTTGATCAGCACGAACCGTTCCCCCTCAACCATACTATGTTCGGCCTCACTTTGCGCCGTGTAATCGTACATGGCTTCCACGTATTTGAGCTTCTTGGCCCCGCGTCGCGGTGCCACCGCTGGACCCTTCTTCTTCCCCGTGGGGCCCGCAGTGCCTACAGATGAACCACTGTTTGAGTAAGTTGAAGGAGGTCGCGCCGACTGCCCTGTGTGCTGTGAAGCGAGAGCAGCCGGCTCGGCAGCGACGACCTCAACGTAGCTTGCCGGTACAAGGCCTTCCTTGTAGCCCGCCCGGATTTTGACCCAGCCGGATCCACCTGCAAAGATTGGACCTGTGTAAGTGGTGTGCCTACAGATTTTGGGTGGAAATTTGCCCGTTGTTTACTTACTGTCGGGTTCCAAAATGACTACATCCCGTTCTGCAGGCACCGACAACTCCCCCGGTCCTCCAGCCTCAAAGGAGTACAACATCTTACCCTTCTGCTCCGTCGCGGGCGATGAGCCGTTAGGGGTACTACCCGGTAACTCGCTGATATACGCGCTTGGTGGTGGGGCTATAATTCGGTTCTTCCTCAACGCGCTCGGTGCCGCTGTGCCCGTGGGTCGCGTTGAGCTCGGCACTTCTGGCGCCGTCTCCTCTGTCGGAGACAGCGGACCCGTCATGGATCGCTGGGCGCTGGCCGCGTACCCCGATCTTGTCGAGTTGACAGTGTCTGAACGGCCGAGGGCGGGTAGTTCTGCGACATGTTCCGGTGGACCGCTCGGTTTAAGCAGAGCATTTGCCGCCTCTTGCCGCTCTTGCTTCAGCTTCTTGCGCTCTTCCTTGGACTGCTCTCCCGGGCAATCAGCCGGCACCTTCATCTCACACTTGCTGTGGCATGTGAAGCCACAGTCGCGGCAGTCGAACCCCTTGGCCGATAAACCCCATATTCGTTCTCCGCAAAGGTCGCAATTAGTAGGGATTTTGAATGTCTGGGACTTGAAGTTGTGATTCTTCGCGCCGAGCGTGACGTCGCCGACGACCGAGGTGATGGTCGATGTTTCGACCTCGGCAGTCAGACGTTTCCGGTCTGCCTGGTGCAGCTCGTCCTGCATCGTAAATATCTGCGATATCAGTACCACCTCATCCTTCTGCTCCGTGCCATCCCTGACTTTTTGCTTCACTCGCTTCATCGCCTCAAGCTCCCGTCTCCTCTTATCGGCTTCGCGACGTAATTCTCCTAGCTGGCTTTTGGATTTGTTGAGTAAGTTGCGCAGGTATACCTTGGCAGCCTCGTCCACAACCATGGAGCCGTCATCATGCCATACTGGACTGGGTTCAAAAACCTTGTCAGGCGGCTCCTGGAAACCGCCCATGTTGTGCCGGATGTACATCATTGAGTCGAGGTGGGGTAGGTTCCGTGTAATCTCCTGGCTCAAGTGGTTGACCTGGCTAGAGTTTTGCTGGAGCATGCTGGCCTCTAGCTGTGCAGCGAGGGTCCATAACCCGTTCAACCTGATTGTGCGGAATTCGGACAAGTCCTGGAGGCTGTCCATGAGCTCAGGCAGGTACTCGTGATAGTACTTCTCCTTCTGCTTATTTGTGACGTTGATGGCGATGAGATAAGTGTTTTTGACGTTGTTCATGTCGAGGATCTGCTGCTGAAAGGCACTTTGCGCCTTCGCCTTGTCGAACGAGGACTCCGTCTTTTTGCGCTTGCTCTCCACCTCCTGACATGCTGCATCATACTTGTTCTTCATCTTTCGCAAGTCGGCGTATGACGCATCGCGCTCTTTCTCGAGTTTCTCGGCGTATTCCGCATGGCGCTTGCGGAGTTCCTCAAACCTCGTCGATATTTGCTTTAGGGGTTCTGCCACTTTCGTAACTAAATCATTTCCGTAGCGTTCGTGTTCGTCGGCCCGCGCTTCTAATGTCGTAAGATGTGTTGTCCACGTCGTGAGGGAAGCACTGGGTGCTGTGTAAGTTGGAGGTGAACAACGCCAGAAAGGGTATGCCCGGAATCCCTCAAACTCTACCTCTCAAGTGATCCAGGAGTCATCGTCGGAGTGTCACCAACACTCAGGCTCGCCGACTTGCGTGTCTTCTTTTCGAAGTACTTCTTGGCCAGGGCATTAAGCTTAGCACTGTACTCTTTTTCAATCACACTTCGCTCGCGGTAGAAGGACTGAATGTCGTCCAGCCATGCAATACCGTTGGCGACCCAGGCACTCGCTGGCTTGAACCCGTCCTGCGGCATCACCCATCGTCAGTCAACACTGGGAGAGAAGGCGCATCCTTCTGACGATGGTGGGCCGAACCTTGAGCTCCGACCCCAGCGTCGGCGCAATGTCCACCACCTCGGCCATGATACCCTTGTGCTTTCGAAATCCCTGCTTTCCTGGCTGTAGTCATGAAGAATAGGTAACACGCCATGCAAATGCCAAAGGCTACCGTGAGCAGCAAGGGTGGAGAGACAAGCGATTGCGGGGAGGCAATTACACAGCCTCCAACGAACTCGGATAGCATGGATATGAGCCAAATGTTGGCCCCACCAATTGGTGACTGTGAATTGCAGGTTATAAGGGGGTGGGGTGTTAGCGTATGCCAACAAGCCAGCGCCCCGGGTGTACTGTATTGTACAGTACCTTACGTATCGTACATACCGAATTACAGGCACCTCAACATGGGAAGTCGCCTGACATATCAGGCCCAAACACTGGTTCGGATGTGACCCCGCCAAAAGTTGCAACACCAAAGCAGCTCAGCCCCACCATCTTCAACTCCCAACTCCCAAGCCGTCCGCTAGGTACTCCTTTGATTCGAGTTTAATCTCCCGCAGCAAAGTAGGGAACAAAGATACAATCCCGCGGTTCCGTTGAGATCTCTCGAAAGTGCTTTAAGACTGCAAAAGGCGTCGCGTTTTTGTAAGGAACCCCTGTTCTCTAACTTCTCTTTATTTTGCCCTCTTTGTATGCCCTACACAGTATAACCCGAACTGCAATGCTCGAGTGGACAATCTGGACCTAATCCATATTCCCTTCGAATTTCTAGCTCAACCATCCAAAAAATAAGCGATTATGGCGGACCTGGCCAGTCGCATCTCCAAGCCCGCCGACGCGCCCGTCGAAGAGGCGTCCGCCAGCAACCACGGCACCAGTGCCCAAGCTGCAGAAGGAGGCAACGGCGGTCTCATCGAAACGACATATGACGTCGAGGTGAAGCTCAGCGACCTCCAGAATGACACAGAAAGTCCCTTGTACTCGGTCTCGTCCTTCGAAGAGCTTGGCCTTCCCAAGCCGATCAATGACGGTCTTCTGGCTATGAACTTCAAGAAGCCCTCAAAGATCCAAGAGAAGGCTCTGCCCCTGATGATCAGCAATCCTCCGCGCAATATGATTGCGCAGTCGCAGTCGGGCACTGGCAAGACCGCCGCATTTGTCCTCACAGTCCTCTCGCGGGTCGACTTCACCAAGCCTACGCAGCCCCAGGCGCTACTTTTGGCACCCAGCCGCGAGCTTGCACGTCAGATTCAGGGTGTCGTCCAGACGATCGGTCAATTCTGCGAGAATCTGATTGTGGAAGCTGCCGTTCCCGGCGCAATTTCGCGCGAGACAGGTGTTAGGGCGAGCGTCGTGGCTGGAACTCCCGGCACCGTAATGGATCTTATTCGACGTCGCCAGTTTGATGTGACTCAGTTGAAGGTCCTGGTTATCGACGAGGCCGACAATATGTTGGACCAGCAAGGTCTCGGCGACCAGTGCCTGCGGGTGAAATCGTACGTCTCGGGAGACATAATGAGGTCCGCTATTGCGCGCTAACGTCGAGATAGATTGCTTCCCAAGACGATTCAAATTCTCCTGTTTTCGGCCACTTTTCCGGACAAGGTTATGACCTACGCCCAAAAGTTCGCGCCAAATGCCAACGAAATCAAGCTTCGCCATCAGGAGCTTACAGTCAAAGGCATCTCTCAAATGTACATGGACTGCCCAGACGAGTCTCAAAAATACGACATTCTCTGCAAACTTTACGGTCTTATGACCATCGGATCTTCGGTCATCTTCGTCAAGGTACGTTTGTATGGGACCCGCGTTGAGCAACTCGCAGTTCTAACAGGGCTACGTTCAGACGAGAGAGAGTGCGAATGAGATCCAGCGGCGGATGGAGGCGGATGGACACAAGGTCTCGGCGCTGCACGGCGCGCACGAGGGTCAGAACCGGGACACCCTCCTCGATGAGTTCAGGACCGGAAAGACCAAGGTTCTCATCACCACCAACGTCTTGGCGCGCGGCATAGACGTGTCTAGCGTGTCCATGGTGATCAATTACGATATTCCGATGAAAGGCTTTGGGGATAGGGAGCCGGATCCCGAGACGTACCTTCACCGTATTGGCCGCACCGGCCGCTTCGGGCGTGTTGGAGTCAGCATCAGCTTCGTCTACGACCGCAAGAGCTTCGAAGCGTTATCGCAGATTGCGGAGTTTTACGGCATCGACTTGATTCAGCTGAGTCCGGATAATTGGGATGAGACGGAGAGGAAGGTGCAGGATGTCATCAAATCGAGCAGAGCGCGGCCTGATTACGCACCTAATCCGCTCGACACAAGTAAAGCATGATGTCTCTGGAAGGAAGAGTTAGGAAATACTCGGCACTTCACTTAACCCCAGATCGCCGTCGGGCCCGTTCTGCCCTGTTGAAGACATAGCAGGCGATTCTGGAACATTTTCTTCGGATGGCGGAAAGGATTTGTTGGCAACCCATGAGACTGGAAAGGAGAATTCACGATATGGAATGAAGCTTTCGAGGGGCCAAGATTCATGTTTACTTGTAATGAATCATGGGAACACTGTATAGATACCAAAAGGCAGGGAAATAGGTATTTGCCCGGGCAAGGCCGGGTCTGATCATGGCGAAATCGGACGTCAGGGACTTTAGGACTCTGGCGCAATGTCCGGATCCTTTAAGCGGTTGCTGGGCCGTACTCTGCGCAATCAACCTGTCACAACCTGAATGTATCACAAACGTAGGGGTGCATGTTCCTTTACATACGGCGGGTAATCGACCCCTTGAGCGCTTGCCCGCATATCAACCCATCGTTCGCCTCGGCCCTCAGCCCTACATTACCGTGCGCAGTACAGTACGATTACAGTATTATGTACTGTATATGCCTCTGGCAGGGTCTGTCCCAACTCGGAAGGATCGACATCTTGGCAACGACACATCCAGTGCAACGCCTTTCAAATACTCTACTGATCCGCAATGAAACAAGTCAAAAAAGGTGAAATACAGACTTGAGCAGCTGTGAAGAGACTAATTTCGGAACAACGCGGCATGCAGCGGAACTCTGAGAAGGTGGCTGTTCAAAATCATTCCAACGTTGAGTTGTGTGGTGAGGAGCGATGCGAGCGGCCACGTGACCCTCGATTGGGGAGCTCACCTAATTCCATTTTTAGGCGCCGATGGAACACAAGCGCGCGCACACCATTCTCAGCCCAAGCACTCTGAGCCATTCGTTTGCATGCAGACTCTCTTCTGCACGGCGCCAAGTTTAGAGGTCCCGTTGGTGTTCTTGTGCAGGAACTGCCACAACCGCTTCGGCAATGCTCTCGAAATAAGCTCTTCCAGCCAATGGCACAGCCGTGCCTGGGCTGAGCAATCCATATTCAACTCTCAATGGGCTTTTGACTGCATACTCAGACGCGGTAGGCTAGTACGTAAAATTGGTACCGACTGACTGATTTCGATGCGGTTTAGTTGAGCAGTGCTACCTACGCTACATACCTGCAATGACGCAACAGCAGAGTCGCGGCGGTGGCGGCGCCGGCTTCGAGCGGCTTCCCGTCCGGCTGCCGACAAGCGCTTCCCCATACTGCACCCAAGCGGCAAGGGTGGTAACGCAGGGGACATGGGATATGCCGTTGGTAGCGCGATGTGTATGGTCGGCGTGGGACACTCTCGAGTGTCATTAAGCGCAGACAGTAGGACGAACGAGTGTCCTCGAGCGGCAAAGAGAAAAACCAGCAGACGGCCGCTATGGGGGGGCCCTGCGATTGAGCATCTCGTCACATACGCTTCTTTCCTTGCTCCCTCTGTTCTGTTCGCTCTTCGTTGTTTCAAGTTTCTTGAGACTTGCTTCCGTTCTATGGGTTGTGAGACGATTGATGTATTATTCTCGTCCTAATTGTTTCTGCTACCACTGTTGCCGTCTCCCGGTCCTGTGACGCGACAGGCACGGCATTCCACTCTCAAATCTTTCCCGGTGCGGCCTCCTCGTCTCAGTAGACTATCTACATACGTACGATGAGAGATGCCGGCCATCTCCGCTTAATGTCTAGACAATAACCTGCCGTCGATTCGGCCGCCCTCCGCTCTGCGTTGCCTCCCTGCCCGCCGAGGCCAACGAGGCAGCCCGTCCTCCACGGGCTCACACATCAGGCTTTCTGGTTTGGCCTCGCCTCGTGGATCACCTGTTATACCTCCCTTGCGGTTACCTCAACCGCCTTGGCCGGGGATTAGTATCCTTGACCCATTACGCATGCCATATGGACTGAGTTCTTCTCGGAGGTACGAAAGAATTATGCGTGGTCCGTCTCCCAAGACACGATTAGCTGACCTGACATATCAGATGTTGCTCCAGACGATGGCATACTGGCTCTCACTGCTATGCCTCTCGATATGGACTACGCCTCTTGCACTTGCCACGCAGACGACTGCCAATATCTCGGAAGAAATTTTGAACTTTGTACCGGCTTGCGCCCAAAGTTGCTTCCAGTCCTTCATCTCAAGCAACTTCGACTCCAGGGTATGCGGGAACTCGCCCACGTTGCCGTGCCTGTGCCGGCAGCGGGGCATGTCTGGGTATACTATCGGCGAGGGTGCCGTATCTTGCATCGCAGGTGAGACCAGGTTCGGGTCTTGCCAGGGCGATGATACAGACAGTGAGTGTACTCCTCGGAGAAGACCTGGCGGATTCATAACGTTGTTAACCATTGACAGGCAACCCCTCGGCGACGGCTTATAACATGTGTACCGGTGTGTCCGAGGCAGCATCGAAAACACACTCGATAATTCGGGCTACTTTCATCGTTTCTCCATCAGGAACAGGTCCCCTTCTCGTGCCAACACCAACCCAGACGGCTACAATGACAGGAACAGAAACAAGCTTGAGGCCGGTACCGACTACGACTACGGTAAGCCCAGACGAGTCGTCTACATCCGCCGCAGCTTCACCGACGGGGGGTCAATCCCTTCCATCTGCGGACAATGCACGCTCGGTCTACCCCAATGCCCAACCGCCACTCACCGGCCAGCAGATTGCCGGCATAACGCTGGGAGTTGTTGCTGTTGTGGTCCTCGGTATTCTCTTGGTGATTATCGCGAGATGCATCCGGCAGCGGAGATTTGGCGATCTGGAAGCCGGGTTTTCCAAGATAAGGGAGTCGATGAGTGTGAGGCGCAAAAGTCGCCGGTCCTCCCTCCCCTGCATGGAAATAACCAGTCCATTGGCTCGGGTCCCGACAGCGAGAAACCCAGCAGACCGTGGATGGCACGCTAATCAGCAGACAATGCCGCAAGGCACTGTTGGCCTTGCCATCTCTTCGTTTGCGCCTGAGGCTGATCCTAGAAATCGGCCTATACCGCCGCTCCCGCCTCTTCCGGTCCAACAAAGCGTGCCAAAGGTGGTTGTAAGCCCTCCATCACAAAACGCGGTGCCGAAGGCGAACCGAAGTCCACCAAAGCCGACATTGACCCTAGCTATACCGAAAGCCCAGGATCGGGTAATCCGAGGCCCAGCTAACGGAAGGGATAGTGTGGTAACAGAATTTGCCGAGGACGGAGAGGGTGAAATAGCCCCGGCCGGCGCTGCCATTTGGCGACCTCCGGCCACGGATCCTCAATCGGCAACAAGGTACTACTTTGCAGATAGGGGAGGCAATTGGATCCTGCGCAACACATCTGCCCAAGCGCCGGAGACTGAAACGCCTCAGAGAGCGCCAGCAGTAGCAAGACCGGCCATCTATGAGGCTCCATCGGCTCCGGTTGAAGTTGAGCTGCCAAGCCCAGAACATAAGACGAGAGCCGAAAGAGCCAAGGACAGCTTCGGCGGTTTCTCACCAGATGCTGTGGTTTCGCCACTCAGAATTCCGTCGAAACAAGGACGAACAAAACTAGGCTCCCCAATTGCGTTTAGGGACCAAAGTCGAGAGCCAAGGTACTCCAGCACCAGCTCCGACCTGAGATCGCCCCAGGCCTCTCAAACCGTTTCGGGGGTGCCAATGGCAGCCAAGAGCCGACCCCCAGACACGTACTTTGCGATGATACGCGAAGCTAGGGATTTGACGGGCGGGAAGAGCAGAAGGCGCTCTTCAAGAAGAGCAAGCCGCAGGGTATCACAGGATTCAGCCACGTCGATTGAGTCTGCGGTGGCAGAGCCTTTTGAGGAAGAGGACATTATCGAAGATGAGCCTCAGGTTGATTTGTCTCCGGTGGCCGAATCCCCGCATACGCCAATCTCTCCAGGAAAATCACCCGTCACGTATCCCAGGATGCCCCAACGCACTGGCTCACAGCAGCCGGTTAGGACTGGCATGACACCAGAGGTAGACTTTCTTCCCGCTGCGCATAGGTACAACATGTGGCACCCGCCGCAAGCAAAGCCCCAAAACGCGGGCGGAAGTCTGCGGCAGGAGGTGAATATTACACCACCGACATATCCAGCAAAGTCGAGCGGACCGGCGAGGCCGTGGAACACCCCATACCTAAATCCAGTTCCCAGCCGTAACCCTGGACAACCGAGGACAGGATCTCCCGACTCGCGGCTACTGCCGATGCCTTCGGTGGAACAACAATACCGGCAACGGCAGCAACAGGTAGCGAACCCGGCCTCGTACTGGAGCCAACCCCAAACCCGGGTGGCGCCCGTGAGGCCCTCGCGCGCCCCGCGGCGGTACGAGCTGCCTGGTGAGACCACTCTGCCCTGGCGGAACGATCTACCCTCGCAGCGACAGCGCACTCCACAACCAGCAGAGCAGCAGCAGGAGCAGCCATCACCACCCACGCCACAGTCAACAGGTTCCTCTAGCCAAAGCTCTCTTCTTGTCAAGCGTCGCGGCGTGGACAAGGCCGCGACCCTCGCCCTCTCCAGCGGCAACGGAGACGGCAAAGCAGATAATAGCATGATGCGAAGGGGCAAGGCTGGGTGGACAAAGGAAGAACCCAGTGGACCCGTGCCAATCACGCCCGGGTGGGTGCCCGAGCTTACGCCCACGAGGCAAGGGGATGATCTCTATCTAAATGTGCGATGAACGGTGTTATGATACATGTTTGCTTCTGTTTCCCCATTTTCTATTCTTCCGTGTCTGAGCACTCATAGAGATGCCACATTATACCCAAAGTGTCTTTTTGTATTCCCCATCTTCACGGCTTTCCGTCAGTTTTCTCATTCTTTAAATTCGTTCCCTAAATACATACAGACCTGGGCATAGTAATGGAGTTCCGGGACGCATGGAATCACTAGGGAATAAGTCACGAATACGGGTGAATGGGGACGGCGTCGATGTCTTTACCGGCTTGTAATGGTGTACTTGTATAAATACTTCAGAGCCTTTTTTTCAGTATATCTTGAAGGCGGTGGAAGTTCAGCGTCTCGAAAACTTAATGCCACTGACCAATCCTTCATTTTTCACATCTTGATGTTTTCTTGACACGGTTGGTAACGCTAAAGGGGAGTGGAAAGACAACGACGGTGTATTTAGGAATCAGACGTCACATGCCAAACAACGTCCGACATTGCCTGCGAAAGTGTTGCTAGGTAATCTCGTAATCTAACTGTCTCCTAACCACCCGCGGTCTGCACGCAGATTAGCTCGCATTATGCACAGAATGCATAGGAAGTAACCGTGGTACGTAGTAAGCAGCCTCAAGCACGTTTTCTGTGGCATGTTTGTGGATTTCTAATCAAGAAGTAGCGAGGATCCACGGGTTCCCTTTAGCTTCCATGTTTCGTCCCATCACGAGGAGGATGTCTGAGCAGTAGCCGCGCTATCATTATTATTAGCATGCTTGCTACCCGGTACTTGTATGTACGAGCCAGGGCGCATCGAGCCCATAGGCAGACAAACACAATTAACAGGATGGCCGAGGGTTGAAATTTTTATAGCTCCGAGTCGTTGACGCTATTTTTCGGATCTGCCATTGACCGGGCCATCCCGTTTCCGCCGGAACCCTTTCTCCGTTTTCAGGAAGTAACGTTGTTCCCTTCGTCCTTTTGAGGGCGAAAAAATATCCATCTTTGGCAAACTCTGTAAGCCAGGGAAATCTAGTTGACCCCGCGGCATTTACGGATATCAAGCTATAAGGTACTCCGTACCTTCCTCGCAGCACCGGCAAAGGCAGGCAGAAGAAGGACCCAAAGCAAGCATAAGCCGGCAACAGCAACCCACTTAGACTTTTTTTTGTCTTTTTGTCCCCCTTATTTCTTTACCAAAATCAGCTCTTCACCCGCCAACCCGTGACAACTGCAACTTGAAGCATCAGCAGAACACGTTGGTCCAGTCGAAGCCGAGGGTGATTGCGTGATCTAAATGACGCCTTCCACATAGACAACCACTCAAGCGCGCCATTGCTTCCGATTCGCTCCTCCACGCCACGGAGGACGCAAGGCTGCGAACGTGGGGGGTCTTACATATTCACCTCTAACACACGTTCTAACTAGGCCTGGGAAGAAGAAGCAGAGGCTTGAAGGGGAGCATCTTTCCGGGAGTGGGAGCAAATTTGGAGACTGAGGTTGATTAACTCTTCTCGACGCTCATCTCCCGCACAGCGCACGGTAAGGGATAAGCCAGTTTCTATGATAGCATCATAATTTCCGGTACATCCGTTAAGCCTGCCTCTCAGTCAGCTCTGTCGATGCGGAGGGCCGCCTGGTCATAGACGATAAGTCGCCTTTAGCTCCAGGGCAGCCCGCAGGCCGTCTTGGGAAATCTCGTCTTGTAGGGACTGTCTTACAAGACTGACACCGCTGTCACCCACCTTCTTCTGCCTTGTGGAGGGTGATATTTGACGGCTACATCTCGGCAAATCGAAATTCGTCACTTATCCTAGGGACAGTATCGAAGCCCAAACTCAGGCCAAGAGAAAGAACCGGGAGCTTTATACGCAATGGGTCTATTGTGCGTATCCTCATTCCCTATCCAAAGCGAAGCGGTGCACAACCTGCTACCGCTGGGTGACACAACCCCTTCCTGGCCATGACGCCATACTGATACCTTGGAAAAAGGGCTCTTGGGACGGCCCTAGATTGGCCCGAGGCCAAGAAACAAGCTCACCTTGTCAGATCCTGGGGAATCAGAGTAAGATTGCCTCGTTCCGCATTGTCCCTGCGCTGCTAACTGAAGTAATGCTTGTTATAGCAACTGCTGGAGATATGGAACAAGGCCAAGGGAAAGGAGCGGGATGCCATGCTCTGGGGTGACGAGGTGACTATCCCTCGGTTACTTGACACGTCCTCGCTTCTCATACCGTTCAACAGGTTGAATACTTGGTCGTGATATACTCAAAGGATGACCCCAAAGTCTTGTTGTCTCTCAGACAGGCAGACATTCTCGAGGCCCTGGCAAATGACAAGACCATCGGCAAAGAGGGCTGTACTCCTACATTGCCAGATGGCTCCAAGTAAGGGTGGCTGTGCCCCTAGCTGCGCTCAAGAGCGACGAGGCTCACTATTCCTACAGACTCAACCAGCCTTTCCCGGTATTTCACCCCGAGTTTGGGAGGTTCATGCTAGAGGCAACCCCTGGCAAACCATGGGGTATTGACTTCAAAGAACTATTGAAAGTCGAACCAAATATGAAATTGAGGTACGACGACCTTGTTATTACGACAAAGATACATGCTAACAAAGCCGTGTATCGTAGGAGGTGCATCGCCAAAGACCACATGTTACCGAACGAGTACCCAATTACCTTGACTACTTTCCCAAGGCTTGGCAGTCCCGGGGTGTTCACTGAACCCTTTTACCCAGTCTCAGGCCCCAAATTGAGATCCCAGTTCGTCCCTGACGAAATAGCCAACCCTCACATCCGCTTTCCCACGCTAGCAGCCAATATCCGCTCCCGCCGCGGACGGAAAGTTCAGGTAAACGTGCCGGTCTATCGGGATGTGGAAACCCCGTGGCCGTGGAAAGATCCCACGGTCAACTACGATCTGCATCAATGGCCTGAGGACGATGACGTCCGGAACGGCGCGGCGCCGGACAATTTCATCCACATGGATGCCATGGCGTTTGGAATGGGCAGTTGTTGCTTGCAAATTACGTTCCAGGCCAAGAACTTGACCGAAGGGAGGCAGATGTATGACCAGCTGAGCCCACTCGGTCCGATTCTGCTGGCCTTGACGGCGGCAACCCCGATCTACAAGGGATTTCTTGCCGACACGGACGTCAGGTGGAACCAGATTAGCAGAGCAGTTGACGACAGGACACCCGAGGAACTAGGCGAGAAGGTGAGCCAGACCTTGAATCCTACCGTCATGTTGGAAAACGTCCAGCTTTCTTCTAACAAGGGGCCAGCCCCTCCAAAACGACCGTTGGCGAATACCAAAGTCACGCTATGCCTCCAATTCGACGTATATCTCTGAGGATCGCCGGCTGCGGCCCGAGTATCTTGACCCAGACCTGGTCATCGACGAGAGCATCAAGCAGCAACTCTTGGACGGGGGCATGGACGACCGCCTTGCCACGCATTTTGCCCACCTCTTCATCCGCGACCCGATTGTCATCTTCTCGGAGGACCTAAAGGAGCTTGACCTGAACAAGACGGACCACTTTGAGAATATACAGAGCACCAACTGGCAGCACATGCGCTTCAAACCCCCGCCGGCCGATAACAGCATTGGATGGCGTGTCGAATTCCGCCCCATGGAGATACAGATTACCGACTTTGAGAACGCGGCCTTTGCCGTTTTCATGGTGTTGATCACGCGCGTCATTCTGAGCTTCGACCTCAACTTCTACATACCCATCGGCAAGGTTGACGAGAACATGGAGACGGCCCATGCCCGCGATGCCGTTCTCACCCGCAAGTTTCATTTCCGCCGCAATCTCTTTCCCGCCGTCAGGGCATCCCGAGGCTCTAGCTCCGGGTCTTCCACCCCGACCGGCACCGCCAGCAGACCGCCTAGCCCCGTGGGCCCCGTTGAGGACGAGTACCGCCTCATGAGCGTCAACGAGATTATTAACGGGACCGCGTATGCCAAAGCTTTTTCGCAGCAGCAGCGGCAAGAGGATAATAATCACGTCCCAGAAGATGACGAATTCCCCGGCCTGATCCCCCTCGTCGAGAGCTATCTCGACTCGGTCAATGTCGACGTGGTCACACGCTGCGAGCTCGAGACGTACCTCGACCTGATCCGCAAACGGGCCAGCGGGGAACTGTGGACCACGGCCAAGTGGATTCGGCACTTTGTCGGCTGCCACCCGGACTACAAGAAGGACAGCGTGGTGAGCGAGCGTATCACTAAGGACCTGGTTGAAGCGGTTGTCAGGATTGGGCAGTGCGAAGCCAAGGGCAAGGGGTTTGGAGAGTTGTATGGTCCCGGTGGTGAGGTGCCCGATTTCGAAAGGCTGATGGGCAGGCATAGGTAAAGTAAGGTGGTTTGCTGGGCGGTAGATGCATATTGGATGGCGGTTGGATAGAGCGGGTTTGGGGACACGGATAGGATATTTACCGTGCTTTCCTTCTACTGCGTTGTGGGAGTTGAGCTATTGATTGACATGAGAGCGCTGGCGGCATCCTCCTGATCGTGTGCTGGCTTCAAGTTATATCTCTTGGCTTTGGCCTGCATACAGATTCCTGTGTTTGACTCGGAGTGATGTGAGATAGACATGCGGACCTAGATGCCATGACAATTATCGACGAGGTGGTCACTGCCGAGTGCCGACAATCCATCGATGTGGTCCGTCGGAGAGCGATCCGGATCACTGCATGTCACACCGACCAGACTCGGAGCCCTAGCCACAGTGCAGCTGGCTGAGCCAAGCACAGTAATGTATACAATATGTTGTACTGTACTGTACATGTTTCACTTGTAATTACAATTGGGAACAGTCCTCGCTAATCTTCGCTCGGGTGATGCCGCATTGGCAAACCGATGAGCGCATCAACAAAGGGATGAACGCTTACCAATCCGTAGCATGGAGATCATACGGGATATGGTATGAAGTCTGGTAACGGCACAATCAAACCGGGGCCGAGAAGTTACTCGTCGCGAACCAAACCATGATGTCCTTGATGATGCCTCCTCTCACACCATTCGTACTGCCAGCATCGCCAGGGCCCTCTCGCCCGGCGGTTCTTTGCTTCTCGGGACTCGTCGAATCATTCCCAGTGCATCTTGGTCCACGCGACAACCATGCCTCTTGCGTCACGCAACTACGTCTAGCACTTTGAGTCCAGAAGAAGAACGCCTTGGACCTGGGACTGCCATCCAGGGCGATTCCGGTGGAACATACACGATCCTGGAGACACTAATAGAAAGGAAAAAGCCCCTGCCAGGCGTATATCGCGCCAGGTACGGCATAGTAGATCTATCTTGACCCCGCCGAGATTGACCTTCCGCAGCGATGGAACAAGGCAATACGCTGTGAAAAATGTGATCAAGGGAGATTTCGAATATCAGACGGACCTGCAGCAGTGTCTGCGAAGTTGCCCGAATGTGCGCACCATGGTCGATGCAAACAAGAGACTCGATCTTTTCATCTACCCTTTCCGGACCGGAGATCTTCTCCAGCTCAGCCAGCGGAAGCTTTCCGACAGCACAAGAAGGGATATCCTGCGCAGCGCGCTGTGCGGCTTGGCTGATATGCATGACCGACAGGTGGTTCACAACGGTAGGTCTCCGATTCTGCGTGGATAACAACTCGGAGGTGAGTTGCTGAGCCCAGAATCCTGGGCGCGATCAATTCAGAACTGGCAGTCCGATGTGTACTCTTTTGGGGTTGTGGTATGCCTCAACTGTGCCAGCAAAAGACGATGGAGCAGCTCTCTAACAATATTTTAGATGGTCTACGTGCTGCTCAACCGCATGATCTTCCGTGTTAGCGATGCCGAGCTGGAAGCTGAGGACTCATGGCCATATATTCTCCGGGCGACACATTTCTTATTTCGGAGACGAAGATGGTGTCCAGGGTCTCCTGAAACACATTGGCGAGCAAAACCCGTTCTATGATCGTCTGGTGCATCTTGCGGGTGATTTTTCGGAGGAGGACCCCAGGCAGCCTTTCGAGCTCCTCTTTTCGACTGACCGGGATCTGAGCCATCTCATTCGGCAGATGACCAGCATGGATCCCGCGAGGAGGATTCGCGCTCGAGAGGCTCTGGAACATCCCTGGTGGACCCACGGTCGAGTCCACATACACGATGTCGACGCTATCGAGGCCGAGATCGAGCAACGTTCACAAACTAATAATTGGCCGATTTAGCCGATCTTCAGCCAGTCTAGACGCCGTACGGCGACCCGTTCTCCAGGATATCATCTTCGGCCTAATGATGCTCGGCGTCGCCCACAGGAACTACGTCTTGGTCAGGTCGCGTTGCCGACGGAGGATCTGGCAGTGGGTGGAGGAATCGGTGGCCCTCAGCTCGTCCACATGCATGGGGTTTCTCATGAGACCATTGCCGCGCTCATCTGTGAGGAGGGGGACGTGAGTCGACCGGCGTAGGGATTGGGTTGAAGACCGACCCCCTTGTGGATGTATATGAGTGCTTAAACGATCTTACGACCGCCAGGCACGCGAAGGCACTCCTTTGCGACTCTTCCCCTCAGCCTTTCTTACGCTGCAATGTTTCAAGTTTGTAACTGGTCCTACGATATCTTGAGCGAGAAGGGATTTCTGGACAAGCTTCTAGCAGGCTTGGGATAGACGGAGCTACGAGCATGTCATTGCCTACCATATAGAGATGTATCTAGACAGGCTGTCTGTCAGGATCTATCAGGCTCGGTGGCCATATATACCCCATACTATGGTTTTTGCTAGACTAGACAGCACTAAAAGAGGGCATTGCATTTTGATGGTGGTGAACTTCCGAGTTGAGATGTGAGACTACTGAAGCCGGATCCGGATTAGGGGAACGATGAACAATCACATATCCAACGGATGGTATCGGCAAGCACATCCCACAGATATCCGCACTCTCCATCCCTTATCCCAAATGGTACACAGTAGCGCGGCGAACAGCAAAACGACAGTCTCACATACATAGGTATTCTGTATCGCAGCTGACCGTCCCAACCGCCTGCGGAATCGGTGTTGCATGGCCTATAAAGATTCAGTTCGAAGGTTTAGCCTCTAGCAAACCAACTGCACCGGCCACAGTGCGCTTCCCTCGTCACATTTCGTCGTGTGGTTGCGCAAACACGATACGGTAGATACCCCAGGAGGATGGAGTACGTACGTCCTTCGTACACGATCTCCAATCTCGTCTTCTTCTCGATCCGGCCCGGTGTTAAACCCCAGACAATCGCCCACCTCCACTGTGTAACATACTGATCGGTTGCACTGCCGGCCATGCGCAGCTCGACTCGCTCCGCTTCCAGTCGTGTTTGCTCTCCTTCCGGCCCGCGCCGACCACCCCATTCCCCCCAATGGAAGCGCTGTGACAGGCCCGCAGCGCAATTACATACTGTACGCACCGTGAAGCCAACCATCCACCGTGTCCTTGCTGGCGCGTCACGTTGGCCAACCTAGGGACCCTTTCTCCCAATCTCATACATACCGGTACGCTCCCTCGGGTCTCCACTGGCAAGCTGCACTGTACAGTACGAGACGATCGCCCCTGCCCACGATCTCTCTCATCAATTTCATGCATTTCCCATCGGAGATGCTAGTACGTACCTAGCGTATTGCTCTGGGCTGATCGCGCACTCTGCCGCCCAATTCCATCTCACCTCAGGCTCTCCATCCCGGCTTGATCGGGCGGAATGCTCGGTCCGAGTTCGCGTCTCGGGACCCTACCTACGGAGTACCCTGTCGTCAAGTACTACCTTCGTACAGTACATACTCGGTCAGCGCTCTGTAATATTGTCGCTGTCTCTTCTCACTTTATTAACGGAGCCTAAATGCCTATGTGTCTCGCCCGGTCACTGGGAGAGTGATCCTCTGTCACACCGGTGCCTGTTACCCCCTACTTTCTCGGCTTGGGCCTTTGCGAAGCGCAGCCGTCAACGCCATCTGCGAGATATCTCTAGATGCCAAGAAGAGCAGGCTTGCTTCCCTCTTCGCCAATGGTAGGGCGCCAAGATGGCTGTATAGTACTGTAGTTACTGTACATACAGTACCTCCGACCATGTGCCTCGATCTGAGGCCTAAACCAACATTTCCCCCCCCCCTCTCCTCTGGCAGCCTGTCGCAGAGGCGGTGCTCACCATCGACGATGTACAGTGCTATGCTACCTGTGCCCTTACCCGACTTTTGGGGTTCTACAGCTTCCTGAAGCAACCACTACACACAGAGCACTAGTACGAGAACAGGCAATTGTCCAGCAGGCCGGGCATGCCTCAGGCTGCGCATACATAGTAACTCTTGTCGATCTCTATGCTATCTGTGAGCCTCCCCTATATACGCACGGCATCCGAACAGTATCACAAACACCAGCTGGTTGCGCGAAAACTGTCAGGAACTCATGGCATTCCTGATTTTATTTCCTCTGCCTTCATACTGACTTTCTCCACGATTTCCACGTACAAGTGATGCAGTATGAGAAGTCAATGTAAGTTGAGGTAAGCGATCAGCTATGTTCACATCTAGCAGCTACTGCCCGTTCGGTATGAGCCAACACTGTCGTGATGTTCCAGCAATCCGGTAGAAATAACGAGATCGTTTGAACACGACCGGCATATCTCCCATTTGTGTTCTGATCCTATCGCTCGATACAAGTCCATTTTCTCTTCCAACCGCCCTTCTTCTCCTGCCCGTGCTTCCTACGGCCTCATAGGCCAACTCCTTTAAATCGAGCCCATTCCTCCCCCCTGGGCCTCGAAGCTGCAGGTCTCTCACGAGAAATCCATGTAATCCCACACCAGAGGCGCAGGTACGGCATGAATCTACATACAAGAATAGGAGACAAAGTGAGAGTATGATGATTGTACGCCTCGCACATAGACGACTGTTGGTATATATGCCTCCGTGGATTGCTCCGCTAAAGACAGGGTAGCCGCAAGCCCAACAAACTAGGGCAAGAATAAAATATGGGTATTGCTAAGGGTATATACAAGAAAGAAGGCAGGGACAAGTGCTAAGAGAAGAACAGCTCCTCGTCTTGTGAGCTGATAACCGGCCTCGATGCGGAGATTATATCAGCCAAGACCATCCGGGTATCTTGAGCCAAAAAAGAACACAAAGTGACTGCGTAGAGAGGTGCTGTGTCGAAAATACAAGCCAAGCTGACTTTGAGTATGGCATGCGGTAAAGACGGTGTTACGGGAGGGCTGCTTCGCAAGTTGTTAAAGGCCTCTGTCGACAGGAACATCGGCAAGGTATAGTCATATACGACTGCATCGGCGAAGTTGGCAGGACGAGCCCTTTGAAGCTCGCGACGTTATTTTCTCTCGTCCGTGGGTTTCGGCCGGATTGACCTCTGGTCTAGCTGCCGCTTGCGCTCTAGTTTGGCGTAATGAAGCCCGCAAGCGTTGCAAAGGGTCCTCGCGCCATCCGGACCACGCCTCCATTCCGGTGTGTCGATCCGATTGCAGCTGTGACACCTACCCGGAGGAGCGGCACGCTGCTGAGCATTAGCATTGATCCTTGAGTGCACATGCGCCGCCTGACTTACACCACGCCGCTTTTTCCCCTCACTTATGCCAAATGCTGGCTTTATCCCGTCGCCGTACATTACCACATCCTCGTCTTCGGACTTGCGGCTACCGTTCTCCCGCGCCCGCTCATTATGCAACCTGTTTTGCTGAATCATGTCGCGGACGTCTTGCAGCTTCTTTTGCGCGAGAATCAGATTGTTGAGCAGCAAGCTGACTTCGTTTTCCGTAGGCATCCTAGATGGGATTGGCTGCGAGCCTTGCTGCTCCCGTGCTGCAGCTACGTACGCCTCGGCAAAATTGTAGCCCGTACGACATGAGCTCGCGATCTGGATCACTCAGGTTAGCCACCTCGTCTCCACTTCCTTGAAAATTGGAAGGGCCTACCTGTTGCAGAGCTTCCTGATAACCCCAGGTCTCAAAGTGCTTGTCAAACGCCGCTTTATAGTCGCTAATGCGATGATGAGGGTAGTCATCCTCCTCACTATGCGCACCAGACCGTTGCGACTCGTACGGAGAAGGGAGGGCTGGACCGGTATGTCTAGGTGAGACGGGATAGGCTGACAAGGGGAGCTGCCCTGGGGGAAGTTTGCCCGTGTCGGTATACAGAGCAGGCAGAGGCTGCGCTGGCTGCCGGTGACCGGCACCGAGGGATTGAGCCTCAGCATGCCTTTGCTCGGCCTCAAGCTGCTCAAACTTGACCGGGGGTGATTGGTTTTGTCCGGCAAAGGTGTTTAGCGGGGGAGGCACAGGTCTGCTCGCCAAGGCAGGCCGTGCCGGGTCCGAAAAGGCAAGGAGCGTCTCGGGTCCGGGGTAGCCAGAAGAGCTTGGGTGCAACGCTCTGGGCGACGAATTTTTGTCCGCTGGCACTTCTCCAAACGGCCTGGATGGTGCTGATGTGAATGGAGATGGAAGGCCCTGGGGCGACGGCAGCTGCGCCGGTGGTGGCGCGGAGAATTGTACTGGCTTCGCGCCCGAAATCACTTCGGATATTGACGGTAGCGATTGCCTGTGCGATTGAGCAGGTTCGGGCTCGTCTGAGGGCCGTCGCGGCTCAACCGGAGAAATCATGGCGGCAATACTGGTGGGCGGCGCCGAGTGAGGATAACCGGAGTTGTACGGGGCGTGGTGTTGATAAGGCGCGCTCGAGCTAACCAGTGCTGTCGCCATTGTCCCGTTACTATATGAAGTGTCGATGCGCTCTCTATGCGGTCTATCGAAGGGGTGAAAGCTGTTGGCAGTTGGATTCCCACTGGAGCACCCTCGATATGTCAGAATCGTAATAAAGCCGTTAGGGTCGCAGTCAAGGCCGTTTGGAGCGAACCTTTGCCTAGATCCCGCCTCGCCCGCTTCCATAACGGGTCTCATTCAGAATGGCGTCAATGCCCCTAACACTCTTACTGCTGCCGACGCAGAAACCATGCGGGCTCCTGAGAAAGTTGATGCCAGTAAATAGGCGCTATGTTTTCAGCGAAATTGGAATCGGATGGATCGTACACTGGCAACGGGTATGCAGGCCAAGTCAATTGCTGTCGCGATAATCGCTGGGATGGCGGTGGCGACGCGTTAGAAAGGCTGTCGCTCACAGATACAGCTTAGGGAGCTGAGCGAAACGGTCGATTCCAGAGCGCGAGTCAGAGTATCGTGTCTAGAAGGTGATTTGCAAAGACTCGCGGATGCCCGATGCGTTCCTATACCTAGATAAACAAATGCAATACACTTCCACAGGCGACAGCAAGAGATGCAGGTGGATAGATCAAGGAGGAATCCGACAGGGTGGCGGGCACTGCCGTTGCTTTGACAAGGAGCTGACCTGCGATTATGTAGTACGGGGACCAGAGCCAGGCCGCCGAGGCCCACTCCAAAGAGCTAAACACTGTGTGGATCGAGTTGAGGGCGATCGAGATCAGAGTGTGGGTCACTAGGCTCTTCCGTGGAAATGGGAACGCGCCGTTTCCCCCTTGGACCCTCAAAGGAGATTGGTGGGTAAATTACATGTAAATACTGTTTCATCTGTAAGGTACCTTCCGTAATTCCATACATACATGATAGCGGTGACTCACAGACAGTACCCCGTATTGCACCTCAACAAACATGCCAAGCTTCTGCTTTCCAGCTGCAGATCTGCGCCATGCTGATTGATGTCACGGACCTCTCTACCTACTAACTTCCCTACCTTGGGGGCTTTAATAGTGTAGCAAACACAACTGCCCCAGGGATGATGGGTACAGTAACAGACCGCGAAGAGCCTTTCGGTGGCTGTTGTGTGTCTTGAGCCAGCGAAGGAAGTGCTTGGGCATCTGCTGCTCAAAGAAGCTTGGCGCTAGGCTAGTGGACTCGGTGCAGGTTTCCATCTCTGCAAATGCAGTGATATATCAGGGAAGGTCGGTAAAGACACTGGCGTACGGAGTAAGGAAGAGGGAAAAATGAGTAATAACGTTGCACTGGAAACGTACTTTACACCGAGTAGACCGGGGACGGGCAGATGCCCTGTACTTGGGATGATATAGCTTTCATCTTCACAAGGAGTGATCAGATGAAAGCATATGTAATCATCTTCAAGCACCAGCGAACACTCTGGTGATTCTTCAGTTCCTCTTGTCTTACTAAAGGCCGATGGCCTTCCCTATGCACAGTACATGTGTTGTGACTTCGTACTTCCGGTACTTACAGTGCACTACCGTATGTATTAGACCGTGTCCCAGATATCGGTATTGAAATTCCACTGCTCTTACGGGCTGGGGCCAATCTGGAGCCGCGACATGCAGCCCAGATTTCGCTGATGAGATTGGTGTGAGTGGGGGCGGCACGTCTTTTGGGATAGGTCTGGTGGGGGACAAATCTCGAGCTCAGGGCCAATGCTGGGCCGCTTCCGGTACCACCAGACTGGGGCACGCATGGACTTCTGGATCGCGGTTAGCCAGATCCTGGTTGCCCCGTGTGGTGCGGTGAGTGCTGACGTTGCAGCAAGGCGGGTCTCACTCGGGTTCGGCTTCACTGCTAGGGTACCGTTGGTACGGAGTACTGAGTATGGATTGTACTATAAATACTGTATCCGTACATAGCTAACGTGTGACCAACTCTTGGCCATCCTAACGAAGGTATCCCAGGTTCTGGTAAAGTAAGCTCGGTAAGGAAAGGCTTTTTACTTGATGGAAGAGTAAGGTGCTTCTGATTGTAATTAAGGGATCGACCAAGTCTATACAGACAATTAGGAGCGGGGCATCGTCGATGATAGGAAGAACGTTCAGACCAGGGTGAAGCTACATTCGTGTTTGCAAAAATCAGCTTAGCACTGCACCTGTATGTATGTACATACAGTACATGACATGTTCCTAGTAATACCACAAGCGATGGATTATACATACTAGTGTAGTGTAATAGTGTACGCAGCCATGCATGGCCTGCCAACAATCACGTCTCCTGCGTTAGGGGATCCTACCCGCGAAAGGTCTGCCAACCAGAAGCTGTAAAAGAACCCTACAGAATCGGAGCACGGAGGACGGAACGAAGCTTCTCATCGGATCAAGACCGGAACTTCCCCGGATCGATATGCATCGAGATCTTTGTAGTACGGAGGTACATGCGACCGAATTTGGCAGTCAAATGGTTGCTGCATCCGAGAGGCGATTCGATCCAGTGTCATCAGTCAGCCTTCGCTCCCCGCACGCGCGCGAAGCGATCTGACAGTTGGATCGGACATGGTCCCGATCTGTGCCGCCGTGCTTGACCGCCCCAATCCCGGTGCTCAAACCTCGCGCTAGTCAGTAACTCGTGACCCCACGGAAATCGCGAAAATCCCGTTGTTTAGGTACTACATATTGGGCTCTGCAGCTGTGCTCTGCTTTGCAAGATCTGCTGCTGGGAATGCATGAGTCTTCAAAACCCTGAAGTGATATTATTTTTATGATCAAGGGCCAGAGGAATTCTTTGGTTCCGTTTCGTTTGCCCAAGGCTCTAGTTCCTTCAGCCACAGTATGGAACGAGTATTTACGATTACTACGAAGTGGTACCTACGTATCGTACAGTACAATCCGTACCTACAGGGAATTACGACCATTACAGGGTACATTCGGATACATAGACCGCATTAACCTTGCAATCGTACTGTATTGCACAGCACCTAGCAACTTCACGTTGAAGGGAGCTACTACATGTCCTGTAATGCAGCTAAAAAGCGGCTCACTGCACCATAAGAGACACCATCATACACTGAAGTAATTCTGTGGATTCGATGGCCTTACACTTCGTACACTATGTACTTCGAAATTTGAGGCCAGTTGGGTCTCGGTTGGCAATTGGATCGCTGGGCTTGGCGTCTCATTCTAGAAGGAACTTGGAACTGGAAATAATTTCTCACTTCTGCCAAGACAGTGACTGCTGGGATGACCTGTATCACAATCTCGGGACTACAGTGTAAACAGAAATCTCGGGCACTGAGAACTTAGATCGAGATCCTGCAAAGAGGCATAACGGTGATTCTAACGTAGGCAGTGGACAGTCAGTTCCCTCGGCCAATTCCCTCGGTGGCACAATGTTGATGAAAGGGTTTGAGCGTTCCCCGTCCATCCCGATATCTGTTAGCTCGTCAGGAGAAGCTCTATGGCATGACCAACCCAGCTGGCATAAGGAGGCGCGGCAAAGGAATGGCTGGTATCCCAATCGTTCCCATCTCTGCAGTATGAATTGCTTACCTATTTTGTGCATCTCTCTGCGTAGAATGTTACCTAAAGCTATGAAACCTGACAGCATCAGGATATGGTGCAAAAGGGGGTTTATGGAAGCCTTCGATGTACCGTAGGGTGCCTGCTGCCTTGAGCATATTGAAACGAACCGCTGCACCGTGTGGTTAATGAGGCTGCATGGCAGCACATTTCATCAGTTGCATCCCGGAACCCCTTCAATCTCGGATTCTAAACGTAGGTCGGGGGTAATCACCGGTGATAGTTTCCAGACGGGCCATGCTTACACAGTAGTAGCCTGGCATGTAGGGAATGCAACTCTGCTCGGATCCAGGTTCATATTTGGGCATTGGGCGAAGTCGGGAAATACCCACGAGTTGGGTGTTCCATCGCAACGGCCACGAGGTGAAAGGGCGCGGTCGGTTAGTGTATAAAGATTGCCTCTAGTGCGACTGTGCGCTGCTTTGCTGGACAATGTGTGGACACTGCAGTGAGCATTGTTCGTTGCTAACCAGTGTCATCGCTAATCGACATATTACGGACCCTGATCCGAGGTGATGTAAGTACGGAGTATTACAGTACAGTGCATACACACTAGGGAGGCATGGTGCGAGGAACTTTGGGATTGCCTTCCTCGTATTACAGATAGATACTCCATTTCCCAACCTGTCCAACCTAGGTATGCCGCATCCTCAAGGCTAGGACTAGTAGTGTATGTCGTACGTAGACGTTCTGCCACATAGCACAACCGGTTATGTAGATGCTACTATGGTGATAGTACATGTATAGTCGAAAACGACCAGTTTACTCCGTACACCACACTACCCGACCTTATACACATACTGCTTTTGGCTGCCCTGTATTAAGCGGATGACAATCGTTGCCGCTAGGGCAATCCAGTGGAGGATTCGGGGCATGTGATATCCTGCAATCATCGCCTGATCTGGGGACCCGGCTTGTGTCCCGCACCCAATGGTGGGATGTGCCATGTCTGGCCCTGCCCTGGCCCGCCTGTCCCAAAATCGGTCTCAATTCCCAAGGCCGTTGTTTGCCCATTGACCATTGAAGAATTCAAAATCCGATCGCTAGCCCCAGCAAACCATGCGGTCAAGCAGCACTCAAAAGAACGCAATGTCTCCCTTCCATGTCTTAACTACTCATTATAGTTGTCCCATTTCGAGGGATATGGCGTCTGTACTGTACTTAGGTCTGTATATTGTATGTACAGTACAGTACCATAACGTTACCGGGCTGGCGTGAAACCTGATCTTGGTTCGGGTCTCTTCGTGCAACTGTATCCGATCCTTGCCAGAACCCCCAGAGCGAACCCGCTTTGAGCTCATTTGTCCATTTCTGGTTTGAGTTCCCTTATGTGTTTAGGTAGAAGAGTATCCGTCCGTAGGGTACCGAGAACTCAACGTGGACACAGTTCTATCTCGGGAATTTCTTACCTGGAATTCCAGGTAACAATACCTCAAGCAAAGTATCAAACTGCACTAACGTAGTGTTACATTCATACCTACCTATGGTTCCATCAGTGCAACCGGTTTCGTGTCCCATTGTAATGGAACAATTTCGTTGATAGGACAATGTGACTAGCATAAGGAGCGGGTCGAGGGTGGTATTTTTAGGTCAAGGTCGACCGCTTGGTACTGTACCAAGGAACTGATGCATTGAAAGTAGATACAGGGAGGGCATACAGTTCAATGCTGGTTTGTTCGTTAGCGCAGAACTCCCGACAGGGGGGCCTGGTCCCAAATTCAAAAAGATACCTCTTAACAGCCCCAAACCACAACTCAACGCAGAAAAATAGAGCATCTAGTAATACTCAAAAAGTTGGTTTTATCCAAAGCCTACTTGCAGGCGAAAAGTGGCTGTTTTGATGCTGAGATCTGAATTCTTAGGTTGATGCTTGATTTCAAGTCAGACGCTAGCGAACAAACCAGGGGGGCATTGTACAAAAGTTTGCAAGAGCTTCAACACCTTACTTACCTCTAGCTCTAGTACACTACTTAGTACCAGTAGTTGATTGCTCACAAGGTACTGTGCTGTGCATGTATATACACACATACAGGTATGATACAATACATGGCATAGCTCAGTTTGTCTGTGATTACGAAATATGTACTTGTACCTGCACTTTGTACTGTACGGTACAGTACAAGTAAATGGAACAAGCGTACTGGTGGAGCTGCACGTGGAGAGCAAAGCGGCACACGCTATCGAAACTGTCATCCCGAAATGACGATTTCCGCCTGTGGCCCGATCCAGATTGCGCTTTTTTCAAGATCTGCCAACTATGATGGATGAGCACTTTCCCAGCTCGAGCCCCCTAATAAGGGACATAGCGTCAAAAACGGTTCTCGCTTCTCAGCGATCCTCCTATCCATACGCGCGATCGATCCCTCTTTGGACGGACGCATTCGGTCTCAACGGTGTAGAGTAGAGGCAAATTGGTGGTCGACGGCTCGAATCCGTAGCCTCGTTACGACCCCAACGGCCCTCGCGGCTTGGATGCCGTGTGAAGTGACTCGTGGGGCCTTCGCATGGCCACGTTATTGAAGAGCCGGGGTTGCCGCACTGTTTGCCCCGTTGGCTAGCATGGGATCATGAGGTTCGTTTCAGAAGCGCCGATCCACAAGACTAGCCTTCGCGGATCTGCTTTCTGTTTGCTCCGATTTTTCGATTTTTGGGAAACGCGGATCTGCTGCTTGAAGAAGGCATTCCGAGGGGAAATGCAACAAATCTGATTAATCCATGTTAGGAATATGTGCACTTTCGGTATTAGTTCCGCTCAATGTATGTACCAGATTATTACCTGGTATTTGCGCTTGGTAGCTCGTAATTGAACTGTAACGTAAGGTTAAATGACGCATTGTAGTGTAGCTCGTAGAGGACGCAGGGCACCGTTTCCATTACAGGTGCAACCTTCGGATCTCTCGCTCTTATCGGACAAGCCCAACTTCCACTTGGGGATACATATCCCAGCGCAGCCCCTTGCCCCCACACAATGAATGCTTGGCCTGCCAAGTCGACGTATGCGATGCAGCGAACAAAATCCCATCTCGCTCGCCGGTCTTCTCTGCAAGCGTCAGATTGGCCGATGGATGAAATCTACACTACGGATAGGCATGGGCCAAAAGCTGGGGTTGCAATGTTGCCACCCTGCATCCGAGCACCAATTTATCTGACCCAATGCATCCGCATGACGAGATGCCATCATGCTGCACCAACCGTTCGTCAGCCAGCAGCCACTTGGGGCACACTTCCTGTCGCTGCTCCATGTGCCTAGTTGGGTGAATGCCTTGGGGGATAGGATGGGACTCGTTTTGTATGCCCTGCCATGTGGCATAATCTCAAGCCATCGCCAACGAGCACGAGGTTGGACAGTGCGAGATTTCCAAAGATATCGCAACGTTAGGCTCGCTTCCGGAATCCGGGCCATCTACGGTAGCATCCGCGATGACTCGAAGCCAAGAGCCCGATCCGAGCTCCTGGAGCGAGATTCGTAATTACAATACAGTACATACAGCACAGTATGGGAACATACAGTACATACACCCGTGTCACAGTGGATTGGGTTCCTCGAACACAACTTGCAGGCAACTGCTGACGACGGTCCAGCCCTGACCGAAAGATCAAGAGATCGGGTGTCCAGTCAGAGCGATGCAGTGCTGTGCGTTGGCGACTGGCAGTTTGATTACTTACATACTGTTGGTGCTGATCGAGCCGGGCGTCGAGAGGTCGCATCGAACCCGCCTCCGGCTTGGAAATCGCTGGTTCTCCAATCCAACACACAGATGCACGACGAACAACTCTGTCACGATCCGTCCTCAGCAGGTTTTCCAGTTGGGTTGAAAGCGGGTTGGCCGGCGATAGGGGGAGCCAGGCACGCCGTTTACCTGTGTAATCATTAAGGGAATTAATGCTATGTATGTGAGATATGCCACGCAACTCTCGTGCATTTTCGGGCGTTACCGGCCCTTTGTATACCTTCTCTTACCCTTCCATTTCAGCCTGAACACGAGATGCGCGTGGGACAAGCGAGGCGGGCACCGCATCTTGCTTTCCCCTCGATCTGTTGCGGGCACCCCTGGGAAAGCTCCCCACCCCGAGCCACCCAACGGGCACTCTCCAGTCTCCACGGACGCTTCCCGATCGCCTGATCGGAAGCATTCCAGATCCCGCCCAGGGCTGTTGGGGTTGTGCCGATTGATTAACTGCAGGCCTGCACCGGGCACACACACCAGTCCCCGATCTCATTGGGCAGAGCGTTGGGGATCGCGTTTCCAATCACCCGCCAGGCTGGCAGCGTTCCGCGGGGGCCCGCTCCCAGTTTCGAAACGTCTTTGGTTCAAGCCACCCATGCCGCGAGGCCTGGTTGATGACATGGGAACTTTTCAGCATCACGGGGACTATAACTAGGTACTTGTACAAGTATTTGTGTAACAATGTATTGTATGTACATACCATGTTGTTCTATGAGTGCATACAGGTCAACTAGCTAACCCATTTGCCATGCCATACTGATACATAATAGAGGACTGCGATGGCCCGAAGGTTTGGGGCCCCAGATGGGTCATCCCGTGATTACGGTGAGCCCTGTAACGTTATCGCGGAGCTCTCTTGTCATGTTGTAGCACTGTTCAGCGGTTGATGATGACAAGGCTGTGGAGGAAGCAGGTCGGAAGCACCAGTGAGGCACGTCCCGTCCCGACCTTGAAGCCAAGTCGGGCCTACACAACTCTTCTGTGTCTCACGGCAGCTCACTCATCAGTTCATTCCTTACGTGTAGTGTATGGTGGCGGGAGGGCGCATCCAGATGTGATCGCTCTCCTTGTTCTTGTGCTAGCCCTGCCGCCTGGGTACATAACATACACCGCGAAGCGGGAGCCGAAGCTTACGTTGATGCGGCAGAGTACCTACTGCGTGTAACAGTTGTTGACTGTTGGCTCCCTCAGGGTGTGATAGAGAGGAATTATCGAGGGACTCCTGAATTGACACACCCTCGCGGATAATGAGGCGTGGCGTATTCGTCTGCTGTTACATCTTACCAGCCAAGTGGCATTCACTGATACAGCGCGATGGTATTGGGATTCTCAGAGGGCATTGCTGCCTCTCTGTGCCAACGTTATTTTTGCTTGTCAGCGCAGAATCGAGCCAAAGCACACGCCACTGCAAATGCATCGGATACAGACAGCAATTTAACCATCCTGGATCCAATCACGCGAGCCATGAGTAATAACTTGTCGTGGAGCAAACAAGAGAGCGAAGAGAAACGTGCCTGTCTGCATCATTACCGCGGTCACGGAAATGAGCGAGAGCAGGGGCCATGTATATGGGACGTGATAGTGGCGTTCCGGGACGTGCGCTAAGATGCCAGATGGGCCTGGGCTTGCTAAGCTTGGTAAACATTTCGTTGGCTGATCTCGGAAGACTTTTTTGTTTGACGGTGAACCTGGAAGTGCTTCGGCAGGCTGCGGGCCTGCGGCAAGCCCCGTCTCGAGGCCTTGCGTAAAAGCGGGGGATCGTCGATCGCTCCTAACTAAGCTTCCCCTTTCCCCAACGTCCGGGGCCAAAATTGGCTCTGACATTGGCCTGTCGTTTGCGACTCGAGAAAAAGGTCAGCACGGGCTTGTTAGTTCTCCGAGGTTGTTCCCGTCGCCGACAGGGCCTGAATCCCTGAAGATATGGATGTGTGGTGACGGGACGCACAAGCGGGTTGGAGGAACACACTGCATGGACAGTTCGAAGCACATCTACACATATGCACAGTCAATACAATATTGTACTGTACAGCAACTCGTTAATTACACGATGGTGGGTCGATCGTACGTGTCACAGCTACACACTTGAAAGCTTGCAGTATCGAGCCAGCGGTCTGGATAGGGCAAAGAACACTGTGTGGACTTTCGCCTTTCTAAGGGTCCTCCCTCCTCGCCTAACGGCAACTAATCGGGAATGGTGCTTGGTTTGTGTGGGACCCTGCGATGGGGAATTCCATTAGGGCGTGATGGGCCTGATGGCATGCCTGCAAGGCATACACTACCGTATAATCTCGAGAAATCCGGAAGAAGCTTAGGCAAGTACTAAAGCAAAGCGACGTCTCTAATCGAACTTCCACCCACTTCAAACCCTAACTTCGAGCTCGCATCGCATCAGCAAAGTTGAAGCGCATTGCAGGGTGCAGGCTGAGATTGGTCGCTGGGCTTAGTACGTGCCTAAGCTTCTTCCGGATTTCTCGAGATTATACGGTACCCTACGTGTATGTAACTTTTCCAACACTGGACTTTGCGTGTGGAGTTCACACAGCTCTCGATCTCCCGTCGGACTGGGCCCCGATACCTGCAGACAGGACGGTCAGCTGGTTCGATGGATCTATTTACCAGATCGGGGCTTGTCGGTGGACATCAATACCCGTACGAAGCACATAATTATTAACTACTTGATTCATAACTTCATACAGGGAAACCGCACTTGCTGGTACTGTACTGTACATACATACATACATACATACAATATTCGCGCTAATTACAGAGACAAGAAGCAAACTCCGAGGGAACATCAGGGTTTGCCTGCACGTGTGGCCAAGCGCTACTCCGTAGATCTACGGCAATTCGAGTGTAGGCGCTATGCTGAGACATGTCTTGGCGGCTCTCTGAAAGAGGCAGTAGGGGGGAGTGACCGAGAGAAGGGACGCGGTGACCCGATCTCTGGCGCTCAACTCTGAACTGAAATAGGAGACCGATCTGCCAGGGTTGCCGCTTCCCAGGACATGTTGTAATATCAGATAGTTCACATGTATATATGCTGTACAATAACTACATACCAGGTCAATACATGGATGATTTTCCCGTGCCGACTGCCGTGTGCTCCTTGCTTTTTCTTCGATTGTGACGATAAACGATGTGGGAGAGATCCCACCCCTTCAACTTCATCACGTGTGCGAAGGTACCTTACCTAGTATACGGAGGTAGTCGTAGACCGAACAACGAGATAAGCATAGTCTCTCTCCCAGTGGCTGGAATCCTTTACATGTTTGAACCCCCAACTTGTTGATGGCTTCGTTGAGCACCGGGTGACTACAGGCTCGGCCGTCATCATGGTCAAGCCGGGAGCCACGGGATAGAAATAACATGTCTCGACCGGCGCCTCTCTGCGCCACGACAGTTGAACGTTCAACCAACTAAAGGCCTCTGACATGACGCACGTGGCCTTGACTCCCTTCCTTCCCAGCGACGCCCCAAGTCTCTCTGGAGATCTAGCAGGACGTGATCTCTGTATCCGAGCAGGGCAAACAGGCCAGGCTCGAATACCTTACTCTGCGAACAAAACCGTGCTGTCACCACTCCCGTGAGAGCGACCAGGTCGAACAGCAAAGACTCAAACCAGTCAGTCAATAGTTCGAGCACGTGCGCACCCGGTACTTGGTATGGTTTACCGAGCCATGACAGACACGCCTTGACCTTGACCGAGGAGCATACCTAATTTGGTATGTGGTTGTACTGTACAGTACTGTCCGAGTGCATGTCCTTAGCAGATACGAAAAGTCAACGCATAATTAGAGCTGTTCAATGACCCACTCATCAAGAACACGCCTTGCAAGAGCGAAAGGCTGCCTTGGTCGAACAAGACCTTTCTTTCCCTCCCCCCAATAGTAACTTCGGTACATTGTCTGGCTCCTCGGTTATCAGGGGAAGCCCACGGCGCAAGCAGCACGAGAATCACGCACTGCGAAACCCAGAGCTTCAGAATCGTCTCAGTGTTGCCATTTGTTAGGCAAACTGTCGGGGCACCGTAATCACCTAGATTTACACGACTAACACACAGGAATAAACCCTACTGCCAACGGCTACTTAGGAAAGAAGAGGAATAGAGAACCACAGGACTCCTAAAGTAAACAGCCCTTTCCCATTCATCTCTTGCGTTTCTTCTTGCTGTTGCGATCCTCCTCATCAAGGCCACTTTCGCGGTCACGCTTCTTCGCCTTGCGTTCCAGCTCATCCCAGTCCTCGCCCTCCTCCTCTTCGCTCATCTCGGCCTCATCACTGGCCTCGGCCGACGCGTTCGAGTCATAGTCCGAGTCCTCTTCGCTGGATTCTGATGCCTCCTCAAGCTCGCTGTCGCTGATCTTAAAGTCACTCTCCTCCTCCTCCTCTTCGGAACCGTCCTCGTCGTCAGATTCGTTCTGCAAGAAGCCCCAGCCGCCGTCCAGGAAGAACTGGTGTGTGTTTGCTGTCACTGTCTTCATGATGACAGACCAGTTGAGGTTAAGCGGTCCTTCCGAGTAGGCAATATCGGAAGAATCCAGGAATTCCTTAACGTCTTCCAGCGATTCAACGGGAATCGTATTGATGTGCACCGGAGGGCGCGTGAAGTCCTTGAAGACAAAGACGAGATCAAAGTTCTTGAGGCCAAATTGTACACGCTCCAGATGGGCAATCTCGATATCATCCAGCGTGATAACCATAAAGGGCGGCTCCGTGATCTGAATAAGGCACTCCGTGGTAGGCTGAATGTAGACGTTGCTGCGGTTGGGAACACCATTGAAACCCAGGTCACGGAGCGGCATGTCCACCTCAATGCCCTCATTTCGCCCGGCCTCGGCAATCTTCTCGGCAAAGCTCTTGAAAAGGCGGTCGAGCTCAGCCCGGCGGCGCCGCTCTTCCTGTTCGGCCTCGAACTCGTCTTCGTCGCCATAGCGGTACTTGCGTTTTCGGTTGCCCGTCTCGTCGAACTGAATATCTGTCGCTTCTCTGTAGAACTGCACGTCCTTGGTCTTCTTTTTGCCGAAGAGTATGGGGTCCTTCAGGTGAATGTGGATAATGACAATCAACTCATTCTGGCATGGTTGAAAGAAGAGGTGGCGGACATTGGAGAACAGAATGTCCACGCGCTGAGTCGTGCTGAGGGGCGACTGATACCGGATACCGTTCTGATGGATCTCAACTTTACCAGGCACACGCTTGCCTTCCATCGCTGGCCGAATGAAGACATTGTCCAAGACGGCAGGGCGGCGATCTGATGGCGCGTTAGCACTTTGAAGAGAAATTGAGTTTTGAGGGACGCCTCGTGCTTACTTCGAATCTCAATCAGCTTATCCTGCTCTACAACATCCTCCATGTCCTTCTTCTCCTGCTCCTTTTTGACCGCCTCTCGCTTCAAGTTCGAAATTTGGTTCGCAATATCGGCGTAACGGTCACTGTCGGTGGACCGGAAAGTCAAGCTTCTGACGAAATGAGCCGACGCATCCTCGAACGGCTGCTCGTCCTTCCGACCCACACCCTGGCCCGGAGAAAGGAAGTTGATACGTAGAAACGACCACTCCCCTTCGTCGCTTTTGCTAGCATTCTTGATGGTGTTGATATGGAATGGTACCGGCCGGCCCATGACAGGGAGCACAATGGTTGCATTCTTTTGATCAATCACAATGCCCATATCTCGAACCTTTGCTGGGAGCTGGTTGTCCCGCTTGTATGAGTCGAAGCGCTTGAACTTTTTGACTTCGACGCCATTCTGGTCGGCTGTGGACTCGGCATACTTGATCAGGCCCTCTTTTTGCTTTTTTGCTGCGAGTTCCTTCTGATGCTCCCGGCGTCTCTTCTCCGCATCTTCGTCGGGTGCTGTATTTCGTTCGGAACGTAATCGAGTACTGGTAATGTTCTTGGTTGCGACAGCACCTACACGCGAATCCCGCTTCTCCTTCTTCGGGGTTGGCTGGGTCTCCTCTTCGTCCTTGAAGAAAAACGAAGTTGCATCAGCATCAACTGGCGCCTCCCCTGTGAACACCACGGGCTCCGCGGCCGTGACGCGGATTGTGTCGGTGAGGACAAGGGAGTAGACTTTGCTATTTTTGTCCTGGGGGTCCGGGTTCTGGACATCGCTGAAACCTGTGGTGATGCAAAGGGTCATGCCGTCCCGGAGCGTTCGCGTGTTCTTGCCATTGAGAATCAGAGTCGGGTCCTTGCTCTCTAGGCCGATGCCATATCCGACGCTTTTGAGAAAATGCTTCTCAAGCTCGGGCTTCTTCGACTTGATAAGGCTGTAGGCCTTGTTGTAAACATCCTTGACCACGACACCGTCCCGAATCTCTTTCAGGATCAAGTTATGGACGGCAAGCAGAAACTTGTAGTTGCTCTCCTGGGACTTGTTGGGGTCCACCATAAAGGTCCGGGCAATCTGCGAGCAGTATGACTTGTATCTCACGCCCATGGCAGCAATAATGATGCCTGGGTGGAGCGGGTCGTTATCCGAATCTGTTTGCCATTTGAGGTCAAACTTGCCGCCGCTCTGTACAATGGGTCCTAGGGTCCAGTCAAGCTGCTCGGGGTCAAAGTCGGCAGGCAACTTCTGACGGTTGGGCAGTTCGACCGTCTTCCAGAACTTCGCGTCTGCGAGCTTGTTGTACACCTTGTCGGCAAGCGCGCTGTGCTTGATCTTCTTATCTTGGTCGAGGATGTTGGACATTTCGTCGAGGAAGTAGGGAGTGAGAAGCGCGACGCACGCCTTGGATGACGTCCGCATCGCCCGAAGCTCTGCTTCATCCTTGACTGAAAAGGCGCCGGCGGACAAAGCCTGGGCGATATCGACTTCCTCGACATCTTTGCAGTTATCGGCGAAGGTCTTCTTCCATTCGTCGATGAATGGGCCCTTGGAGGTATCCTTGGTGAGAACGCCAACCTTCTTCTGAAGCGGCAGTTTGGTTAGTCTTGGAAGTACGCCAATAAAGAAACAGCACGAGTGCGATCAATGACTTACACCTGCCGCCTTGATAGCATCCGTGATCTTGAGGAACAGCTTCTCGTTTTCGGAGGCATCCTTTCCCCGCACGAGCACCTCTATAGGGAATCGGCCGCCTTTGATTTGATCAAGGTATTTCGCTGCAAAGACGTGTCAGGGACAGACAGAAGATATGGAGGCAAGGCGCAAACCTTTTTTCTGCGTGGTCAGGATGTAGAGCGTATCGAGGGTGAGAAGCATCAATGTCGTGGGAAATTCGTAGCCGAGAAGCCAGAACTGGCCGTTTATTAGTGCTGCGCAACACTGATTTCGTCGCGTCTTTTGCGAAACCTACATGCATGGCGTTGTTCTTGTGGAATTCGGGTTCCTCATCAACCTTGCCCATCATGATCAGGATGGAGGAGACGCCTCCGAAGACCGCGTCGCCGGATCGCTTGTCGGCCTTCCAGGCATTGATGAAGTGCGACAGGCGCTCCTGGAACACCTTGCTGTCAATTTTGATGTCTGCCATGGCGGGCGATTGCAGGAACCGCTGAGATGAGCGATGGCAGAACTACCCGGACAGCCGGGGGTGATGATGTAGGAAGGAAATGGCCGTTGACCACGGTTGAAAAATCGCTGACTTGTGGCGGCGATAACAACCGATGCAACGGGCCTCTCTGCCAAAGTGACAAGGCTGGCCGAGCCAAGGCAAAAAATTCCGGGGTTTCGCGTCGCTCACGTCACGGACCTCTTCGTCGCGTTTCGTGGGGCGGATGCCTAAATGAGCTTGCTGCTTCTGCCTTAGGCCGCAATTACGCTACGCAGTACTTTGTAAGTTGAATTCGAAGGAGACCGAACTTGGAAACGCAGTGAGAGCCTGGAAAGATGCTCATGCTGGATCTTAACCCAGGCCCAGAGATTATTTGCAGTGAATGGTTGGTTGTTTTCAACGTTGGTATATAACTCAAAACCGAAGCACTGAAACAAGCCTGGTTGCTGCGGGGCTATTGCTTTGCTTGTCACAAAACTGTCTCTTGAGGCAAGAAGCAGTGTTAGGAAGTCGTGAGAGAGAGGGCGTCGATTCATCATATTTGAGACCACCGATGCCAATGCACCTCTAGCAATAGACAGGTATCTATACAATACAATCGTGAGGATGGGTAACTGAGCGCATACATTTTGTACCAAATCACGCGATAATAGCATTGAGACTAAACGGAAAAGGGATCGAAACAGAAACCAGTATGCCTCCCATACGCCGAAGAATCCCGTTATCCCAGAGAAAAGCTTGAAAGAAAACAGAGGAAAGTACGCCTGCCCGCAACAACTTTCCACGGCCGGTCTCTTCTCCATAATCGTTCCCCTTCATGATGATGCAGCATGCCCCTGAGCCGCAGATGGCTGGTTCCAAGACAGATAGGACGGGTCACCCAGCTTTCGTGGCTTCCACAGGAAGAAGGAAAGGATGAAGTAGACATCGAGGAGCAGACAAATACCACCGACAATCAAGAAGATTATACCTGGCCAGATGTTGCGGGAGCCGAGAGCGGATATGGTAGTGATGACGAATGCCTTGCGGCCGTTGTACACTATCGTGTCAAAGTTGGACTCGATTTCAATCTCGTACTGACCAGCTCTCAAGACTGCGCTGTCGTTCTTTTGGTAAAGCTTATAGAAATTAGGCGTCGCCGCTAGCATCATCCAGTTCTGAAAGTGTTCGTCCAGCTTGAGGTCCGGTACTGGATGCTTCTCCGTGTAGCCGTCCGGATACCGGTCCTCCCAGTTCGGCGGCGGCACGATCTGGTCGCGCGAGTATTGGGTAAGTCCGTACAGGTCCTTGGCGCCAGGCCAGGCGATGCCAGTGTTGGACATGACATAAGCTTGCTCCCGAACAGCAGTGTCCGTGCTTGCATCCACGGGCATCAGGTCCGAAAAGGTATCGTTGAATATCGAATTGGCCACAAGACCGCAAGGGTAGACAATCTTGCCCGAGCCCTTCGGATCGTAGGTTATTGGATCGCAGGTAGACTCGTTAATAGTGCGACCATCGACGGCGTCACCTAGAAGCTGCCTGGCATTGAACGAGTTGACGTAGCGGCGATGGTTTTGGTAGAAATTCTCGAGGTGATAGAAGAAGCTGATCGTGGGGTTCAGGTCCTCCGGGATGTTGATGCGCACTCTGCAGTAAGTGCGATTCTTCGGGAAGCCCTCCAACTTCCGTTCTTCCCGTAACCACAATGCCTTGAGGGGATTGAACCTCTCGTTTGTCCCCGAGAAGTGCGCGGAAATATACCTTTCGGGCATCTCGTCGAACCGCCCCTCTGGCGCTTCTCTCGCACAGTCTGTGTAGTCAACCCGAATGTCCCGAACCTAGAGTCGCAGAACGCAGCCAGTTAGCGTCTTGTACTCAAAGACGTGGATCGACCGGAAGCAGCATACGGTATACGCTAGATAGGTAAGGTAGGCACCAAATCCAAGGTAAATGGCGGCTAGGATGGAGAAGATGGTGACAATGAGTTTCGGGGTCAGCACACATTGCCAAGCACGCATGCGCTGCTGGCGAAACGCTGTGTTGGGCGGGCGATTCTTGAGCACATCGACGTCAGAGCGGCCATCATCACCGGCATCATTGCCGGCACCACGGCGACGACGAGGCGCCATGACTATGGAGTTCGGGTCGTGGTTCTGGTCGGTTACGGGCTGACATCGAAGAGAAGGAGGAAAGGAGCGTTTCGAAGGGGACGGAGACTGCGGCATGCAAATGGTCCGTGCAGTTGTTTCTTGGCAAAGAGGCTGTGAGCCTGTGACAGCCACTGACAGGAAGGTGCCTAACTTTAGGTACCACAGTAACCGTAAGGTAGTGTAATTCCGGTATTGCAGGCAGAATCCTACAGGATTACACTACATCACGAAAGTGAGCTCCTCCTCAAGGTGTAAGAAGTTATGTACTCAAGATGTACGAGTATCATCACTCAGGATACGGAAGCCAGCAACAAGGGCATCTTTTCGAAAGCCAACCTAAGGACGTAGCGGGCTTGGCACCCAAGAGATTGTTGATTGTTCTGAGGAGAGCTGCGTACGGAGTACTTCGTAGGTATCTTTACAGACGCATATCCGTACACAGCAGGCTCATTCCAAGAACCCAGTTTCTCTGCCAAAGGAGTCCAACGTAAGACGGAGAAGCATTTGGACAGGAAAGTAAAGGGTCGAATATGTAGACGAAGATACAACTGGGAGAAAGATTTCACATGTCAAGACATCCATAGCAGAGGGATCCTGTTGCTTCCGGCGTCTGCTTAGGCTTGCCGGGTTCTGGGGCAGTTTGGGCCCGTGCGTCTTCTAGAAATGTTCGACGCGAGGGGTCGCCTGGAGGAGGGGATGCTGGCCGTCATTGGCCAAGCCAAGTGTCGTACAATACTGTACTGTACATTTCCACTAACTTTAACGAAGCTCGGGAATCTGCCTGGTGAATTATTACGGCGAAAATATCATTGAATTACGAAATAGCATCGGCCGTCAGGATCAAATTCTCTTTTGAGAAAGGCGGCATGCCATCGTTTTGGGAAATCTACACTCCGTTGCCCTCTGGATCTTGCCGGTCATGATGAAAGCAAAGTCGCACAGACAACTCATGCAAGGGATCACAGCGCCGAGAAACACATAGTGTAAGTACGTACGACATACCAGCTTACACTGGGAGGAATGCAGGGCGGGAGCACCCCACCTACCAAACCTGAAGCTTCACGTTTCCGTCTCCCCTCCTCTTGTTCTTCGCCTTCTGGAGAGGTCTTGTCCTGCTTCCCGCTTCTTTCGTCAGCGTCCCACATCATCGTGGGCTGGTAACTAATTGTTTTTTGGACATTTTCCCGTCGACGCATCTTGCAACTGGACGGCACACTGCCGGCCGTCGGTCACAGTACCCCCCCTTGTGCAGAACCTGTCTGGTCTCGGTCTTTATTCCTTGTCAACACACTGCGTTTCCTGCGAGTCGACGGTTCTGGTCCTGCCCCGTTGGTTCGGTAGCTGCTCGTCTCCATCACGCATGCGTTAACGTTGTTTCCTTCCGACGGTGCCTCCTTCTCCCCTCACTTGTCCCACGGCTACAAGCATTTCGACTTGGGACAATAGCCACCGCTCGGGAATCTGGTTGACGCAGCTGCCTATCGGTTGGTCGGCGTCTTTGTCTGCCTGCCCAAGCTCCTTGGCGGCGAGGCATAGTAAGTCGGTTCGTTGGATCGTTGAGCCTTCCTGAATTCAACCTTAATCACTACATCGAAATCGCTCCGTCTCGGGCTGCCTATGACGAAAGCGTCCGTGTACAAGGGATGCCGTTGCTAAAGTCCCGCTCAGGCTCCCATTGGCATAGGGGCCTTCCACTGAGGCTGCAGGCTTCAGAGTTGCACCAGCGACTTGTCTTGGATGTCTCTTTTACTCTTTTGTCTTGCCTAGGCTGGCTCACAGGTTGCTTTGTCCATTCCATGCTGAAGTGTGTTCTGACTGCATTTCGGGGGTTCCAGTGAATCAACGGACGCTTCTCGAATTACCTTAGCAATCGACACATTGCATCAGACTCTCGACGCCAAAATTACATAAATTGGCATCTCTCTCCCAATCCCAGCAGCTATTCGCGAAGGTCTGAGAGCCTGAGCTTGGGCTAAAGGCCACCTACTGGCTGTGGATCTCCGCAGTGTACAAGACAACCATTTAAAACATGTCCAGTGCGGGCTTTACCAGCCCCTTCGGGGCGAACACGAATCCGTTCGGTTCGTCGAGACTAGGTCCTGGTGCTATCACCGAGGAAGATGAGAATGACACCGTCGCCTCTCCCACAACCCCAAACTTTGGATTCACGACAGGCAGCGCTTTCCGCGGACCCTTTGGGGCCGACGCTTCGTCGGACCCTCAAACGTCTGGTTTACGAAGCCCACCGAACCCGGAAAGCTATCCGGCCCAATATAACTTTGCCCGTCGCACCTCGGTCTCAGCAGAGTCACTCAAACCGGTTGCTGATACCTACGATAACTGGACTCCGCCTGTGCACCCCAAATCGCCAGAGCAGTTGGAGCGACTCAAAAAGGCTATCAGCGGAAATTTTCTGTTCAGTCACCTTGATGAGGAACAGAGCGCTCAGATTTTGGGAGCTCTGGTAGAAAAGCCCATCCCAACCAAGGGAATCAAGGTCAGTGTGTGCCCGGGAGCCGAGTTGTGGCCCCAGGGTAGGAGACGACTAACCTTGCTGCAGGTGATTACGCAAGGAGATGCTGGCGACTTCTTCTACATTGTCGAGAAAGGCTCCTTCGATGTCTACGTGAACACGAGCGGCTCGTTGCAACCAGGACCGGACGGCATGGGGCAGAAAGTCGGCACCATCGAGGCCGGCGGTTCATTTGGAGAACTTGCCCTGATGTACAATGCTCCGCGAGCTGCCACCGTCGTCTCCGCTGAGCCGCAGTGTACGCTATGGGCTCTGGATCGTCTGACCTTTCGCCGGATCCTGATGGAATCGACATTCGCACGCCGCCGCATGTACGAGAGCTTCCTCGAGGAAGTTCCTCTTCTGTCTAGCCTTACCCCTTACGAGAGGTCCAAGATTGCCGATGCGCTAGAGAGTCAAAAATACCCCGCGGGCCACACTATCATTCGTGAGGGGGATCCAGGCCATTCCTTCTATCTGCTGGAGTCGGGCGAGGCAGTTGCCTATAGAAGCGGCAACGAGGCTCCCGTTAAGCACTATAAGAAGGGTGATTTCTTTGGCGAGCTTGCCTTGCTCAACGATGCGCCTCGTGCGGCGAGCGTCGTGAGCGAGACCGAAGTCAAAGTAGCCACACTCGGCAAATCTGCATTCCAACGACTGCTCGGCCCAGTTGAAGGCATCATGAGAAGAACCAAGTATGTGGGTGTCAAGTCTGGCGTGGAAGAGATGGACCCGTTGCAGGTTTCTTGAGGAGGGAGGCTAAGAAGATCAATTTAGCAATTGAGGTAGGGCTTATGCTGGACGGCGCAACTCTCGCTGATGACAGGGGAGGTACGAATGAGGAGGTGCAGACTGCAGAGGTCGGGCATTTAGGGTCAGAACGGGTGTTTAGGAAAGATCCCCAACCTGCGTCTCATCGAAGACAATCCCTGGCTGACTGCTACCGGATGGCTGGAAGATGTATCAGTAACAGGATACACTAGCATCCATATGCCAGCATCCTATGATGTTCGGGTGAATCGGTTATGGTACAAGAATTCTTGCGCCGCCACCATCTAACTTTTGTGTGGTGCCAGCTTGTTGTTATGCTTGCTTTGTGAAATTCGGTCTACAAACAGCACTTCATTCGTCCGCTGCTCGTCTCCTCCTAACCTCCAGAATCTCCCTCCTCAACCGCTCCGCGGCGGCCTCGGTCTCGAGCACCCTACCAATTGCCCCCTTCCAGGTTTGCTCTAACCCTTTAATCTCGGGGCCAGCCTGGTCCTGCGCGTCCTTGCGCTGCAAAGTGAGCACATCAATTGCCCGTTTTGTCTCGGCCAGCTCGGCCTCAAGCGCCTTCAGCTCGCCCTCGAGGTGGTAGTTGCCCACCAGCCAAGCGTTCTTGCCGTAGCTGTCCAGCAGGGCCAGGTGGGCGCGGCGGGAGGCGACGTAGGCCTGGGACGCGTAGGCGCGGGCCAGGGACTGTTGCAGAACCGAAGAGGCTTCCCGCGGCGGCAGCGACGCCAGCGTCTCGGCGCTCGGCGGGTCGAGCGCCTCGTACCGTGACAGGTCGAGCGCGTTGAGCTTGGATTTGGACGGGTCCTCCGGGGCGGCCGAAGAGAGGCGTGAGAACTCGGCTGTGAGTAAAGGCGTGAGGAAACGGGTTGGGCCGGTCGGTGCGGGAAGGAGCGCGTGGTTGGGATCGTCGGGGACGAGGTCGCGCTCGGCGGCGATCAGGGCTTCTGCTGCGGCGCGTTCGGACGGGGTTGGTTCTGGGTCGATGTCTGTTTTGCGGTTTGGTCTTGGTTAGCTGGACTGACGTCCATTGATTGCGGGGCTGAAAGGGAGGGGATTGGGGGCTTATTTACATGGTAGAGATTCGTGTATGGTGGTGATCGAGGGCATGGCGAGTGTCAACCCCCGCCGCGGGGTTCGGTTCGTTTGTCGCTCTGATTTGGATGCAAGTAATTCAAGATCGGTTTGTAGCTTGAGCCTGTACGAATAAAAGTGAATAAATCTGGTTGAACGCGCTGTGATATGCTTTTTCCTTGTCTTTCTGGTACATACGGATACAATACCTTTAGTTTGCGGTGATGATAATGGATTGGCAATTGCCCAGGGACACTGGCAGTCTCAGGGTTCGGGTTATAGCTAGCAAACCCTCCAAACCTTCTACCTACTCTCGACGTCGAAGACTTCAATTCTTCAGCACTTCGACCCTTTCACCACAACTTTGGAAATTCCAGCTTGTTCGAATACTGCCAACTACAAAGCCACTCTTCATAGCCTTATTACCCCTCACTTGGAAGCAAGGCTTACTTGAAAAATAGGTTGATGTCAATCAAGATCACGAACATTGAATTGAAGATACCGAATAAGGCGAAGACGAAAAATGCCACTATTATCTCACCCCGAACGGCCCTATACACCAGGGCCATAGCACACATTACCATTATCCCAAAAAGAGAGATAGAAGCCTCCTCGACTGAGTCGACTCGTCCATAGCAACCAACGGAACCTCTCCTTTAACACACACCCCCTCCTCTCTCCCTACACCTCAATTGAAAGTCACAACCAAACCTTTCACAACCACGATACGCAACCCAATCAAAAACACACAATAGCATCCGCATCCGATATTCACCCACCTCCCCTGTCGTCCGCCTCGTCAACTTCTCAGCCATCATCAACCCTCAACACCCCGGTGCTAACTCAACTTCAACCACTGGCCAGCGCAGCTGTTGCAACTCATATCAAACGAGCGACCATGCCCCCAAGAACAACAAGCGCTCCAGCAGCCCGGTTGACCGCAGCCCCGGCCGTGTGGACCGGCGACGAATGCGATGGGCTCGCGGTACCATGCGTGGATGTGTGCGTGGCCCGGCTGGTGGTGGTGGTGTAGGCCGGGTAGGAGGAGGTGGTGTAGCCACCGTGACCGTGATCAGGGTAGCCGGTGTGACCGTGGGCATGATCGGGCCGGTCGTTGTGATCGGGGTAGCCGGTATGCTCAGGGCGGTCCGCGTTGTGGGTGTTGCTGTGGTACGGGCGGCGGATGGTGGTGCTGTTGGTCCGGTGGTGGTATTCTGACGTCTCGGATGGGCGGGTGTAGTAGTGAGTATGAGCGCTGGAGGTCGGGGTGTAGTAGGCGGTGCTGGTGGTCTCCTTCTTGGTGGTCGGAGTGTAGTAAGTGCTGGTGCTGGTCTCTTTCTTGGTGGTCGAGGTGTAGTAGGCGCTGGTGGTGGTCTCCTTCTTGGTGGTCGAGGTGTAATAGGCTGTGGTACTGGTCTCCTTTTTGGTGGTCGGGGTGTAATAGGCGCTGCTGGTGGTTGGGGTGTAGGAGGTGGTCTTGCCGGTGGTGGCGGCGGAGTAAGGCGCGTAAGCGGAGCTCTCGTAGTGTCCATGTGACGGATTCTCGCGGTGGTTGTGCGAGGGGCTCTCGTAGTAGTTGTCCTCGCCTCGACCGTCGGTCTCGTGGTAGCCGTGCGAAGGGTTCTCGTAGTAGCTGTGAGAGGGGTTCTCGCGGTAGTCGTGCGAGGGGTTCTCCTGGTATCCGTGCGAGACTTGGTAGTTGTGCGAGGGGTACTCGTGGTTGCCGTGCAAGTCGTTCTCGTAGTAGCCGTCCTCGTCCCGGCCGTCGGTCTTGTGGTAGCCGTGCGAAGGGCTCTCGTAGTGGCCGTGCGAGGAGCTCTCGTGGTGGCCGTATGAGGGGTTCTGGCGATAGGCTTGTGAGTGGGCCTCGTGGTAGTCCTTCGATGGACTCTCGTAGGAACCGTGAGAGGCGTCCTCGTGGTAGTCGTGCAAGTGGCCGTCGTGATAGTCTTTCGAGGGACTCTCGTAGTAGCCGTGCGAAGAGCCCTCGTGGTAGCCCTGTGAGACTTGACTGGCGCTGATTGCCGAGGCCAGGAGGGCGCTGATGATGACGGCGGTGGTCTTCATCGTTGTGGCGGCTGGCTGTGTGCGAATACAGACAGGCTCAGTGTTAGGTGAGGCTTTGATCTGCCAGAAGTGATATGCTTAAGAGCGAGTGGTGTTGGAGAGGAGTGATGCCAACAAGCGAGAGACTTAACGTGATGCTCACGCGAGGATTGGTGAGCAGCTTGTTGATGGATGCTAGAACATGTTGCTGGCACCCCTTTATAAGCCTGACCCTGCCTATGGCACGATGTCTGGTCGCATTTTGGGATCGCCCGACAGAGCTACCTCCTCCCGCAAGCGTACGTGATGTCAGTAACCAAGAGACAAAGCTTGAGGCATGGCCTGGGAGCCCATTCCAATCCACCATAGCAGGTAGCAGACGATCCAGAATCTCAACCAAAGCAAATGGAACGCTGATAGCGCTTGCTATGACAGCCGCTCAACTGAGAGGATTAGGTCGTTGAGAGTACGAAAATGATGGAAAAAGGTCCTGCGTCGGGAACCCGAACGGCGCCTAGTTAGAGTACTATGCAGCTATAGCACCGTTTGCAGACATCGGTGAAATGTTGAGTGTGATCAAGCCTTCTGCTGAGCAGCTGGAGAATTTGGCGGACTGAGTTATGCGTCGTCGTCAAGTCTCACTTGCATCTTGACACCCTGCTAAGCGCATCGGTGGCTGGACTTATGGCTCCCCGTTTGCGGATGGGCCGAAGACCGCGGCATCGGTTCCGGTCCTGCTCCAGCCGTGCAAACTCGAGAGCTGGTGAGCTCTGTCCGGGACAGAACCTCAACTGGGTGCTTCTGGGAATATCCCCAGCGTATAAGGTACCTTTTTGGTCCTTGTTTCCCGCAAAAGTGTGGGATCTACCCCCATACCGAGCGGCGAGCGTTGCTGAAGCAGACGCCACACGTGTCTGGACTGAGGATTTTCCACCCAGGCGCCACTTTGAACTCGATATAGATCAACCAGCAATGTTGCCGCGTCATTTTCACCCGTATATGTACCCCCAAAGGTTTTGGCGGGCCAAGGAATGAGTAATCGAAGTAGGCAATCGATATCATGCGAAACCCTAGAAGTGCTTTGTAAGTTACACGCCATCAAGTCAGCCCTCCATAGCAGTCCAAACGTGCTGGCGGCTAGGCCGATGTCTCTTGCATGAGTCGTCTACCGCCAATACTTACTCGATAGGAGGAAACGCTAGAATCGGCGCTACTGCAGCCATGCCTCCAACCATTGAACGACAGCCAACCAAAGTACGCCTTTACCCACTTTTTATCGTCGTTGTCGAATTGAAACTGTGAGAGCCGGGAAGAGCTTGGCAGAGCACTCACCCAGAATCCAGATCTCGCTAGCTGTAACAGGTTAGCGTTTCCTCCTATCGAATAAGTATTGGCGGTATGAGATCTATAGCTTTACGGAGTAATGGTGAACTTGATGGGTCCGGGGTGTAAATAAGGGAGTCGTGTGCTAGCAAAACTCACATGCAGCCCTAACCCTTCCTTCCCACATGGTATTTTTTTCTCCGAAAGGGCCGAATGAATCGAGCCTGTGACCCTGTGTGTTAACGACAAATCGACTTTGAAGTGGCCGGTCACTGGTATGTGCGGCAGCATTCCCCTACTAAGTTTTAGGTGATCTCTCTTCCACATGAGACATGAGAAAAGAGCAAAAATGTAGCTCCCTCACCACCACATGATGGCTAGGAAGGGATACAACAGTTCAGGGGGCCACCCGGGGATTGAACCCGGGACCTCTCGCAGGAATGCTCGGGTTGTCCCTAAGCGAGAATCATACCACTAGACCAGCGGCCCTTGAGTCCGAACCTGTGGATCTTTGTTGAGGAGCCATTCCGCAAAATGATGCTGAATCCGGCGGTTGGTGGTTCAGCCTTCAGGAGTCAAGAGTAGGCTAGCCCTCGGCACGTGACTGCCGCGTGCCAGTGCTTTGCGCGGGTCGCCGGCGGGAGAGAAAATGCGGCTTTCGGTGCGCTGGGCATGGGATGGAGTGTTAAGACAAGCCCTCTCTGATCGTATCGGGAAGTGGGGCCTTGTTCGAATGATGGTAACAAGCCCGAATTCTTGACGGAGGTTTGGTGCTGGCCGAGAGGGGGGCATTTGGCCAATACTGTACCTCCACTGAGCACCTCTCGTCGCATGCTGTTGTCAAGATTCTCGAGATGCTGGGCTCCAGCTCGAGACGCTTTGGCGCGGAAGGCTTATAAACGAGGTCGCCTTGATCAGGCAGTGGCTCGGTTGAAGAAACTAACGTACGGTACTGTACAGTACCTCACCGAAACCACATGTTTGTATCCAGGATGCGGGGTTGCCTCTCAAGGCCCCTACGGATAAGAGTCCCCATGACCATCGGGCGTGGGTGTCTGATGACAACCCTTGTCCCAAGGAAGGTAAGAGTTGGGGTGGAGCCCGCTTTACGTTGCCGCGAACAGAGAAAGGGAAGATTAGGTCGAAGGCATCTTCTCAGATACTGGTAGTATTATAGGGGAACATAGGTAAATATGCGCATCCATGTAACTTAGCGAGATCAAGTGGTTGGAGTTTGCGAGGCACACCTGAGCCGGACCGGGCCGGCACAGTTGTTCGGAGTCTGCGCCGGGGATGCGTGGATCTTATCAATGTTGACCGGGGACCTGAGACGGCGTCATCTCGTCCCGGAGGTTACCTTGATCGACCTTGGCACACGGCAAGGGAACAAGGGGGTAACAAGCGCCATCGGCCTGTGGGCCTATGGCACACTCGACTCGCTTCACGCATACAGTCCCCCCCTTGTTTGTTCGTTAGCGTAATACATGCGGTGGATCTGGACAGGAAAGGGAAAAGTGACGTCCAGGTTGAAAGATCCAGGGCGGAAAAGTTGAAGGTTATGTAAGCCCGGAAAAGGGTTCGTGGGCCAGATGCGCGTGGTTCGATTGGCCGAAAGTTCCTGTATCTCTGGGTTGTGGTTGGGTGGAAAAAATGGGGCAAGTTTTACGCTAACAAACAAACAAGGGTTGAACTGTACTCGTCAGGGCTTCATAATCACCTTCTGCCCCACTACTCCGTAGTTGGTCAGGGACTTTGATTCGCAACCGGTCATTGATTCGCAAAATTAAGGTACTCCCAATTACTAGCGCATCCCATACAAATCCAGGTATACTATTTTTCGTGCATCATACCATCAAAATTCATAACATAGTGGTTTATCCACCACAGGATTCGCAAGAACACTCGATTAGTTGCATTCACCTACCTTACCAACATCAAAGATATTGCTCTATTGCTACCATCATAGGCGACAACGCAATGTATTCCACCTACAACAATTGGAAAATAGTCAAGTATTGTATATATAGCTCTGGAATTGTATATAACCTCAATTTTTGTACGGTTCTGGCGTGGTTCAAATAATGCGCATGCATGCAAGCAGTATGGATGCAAGAAGACGGTATGACATTAGTTTGCTAAGAAATTTGTATGGTAAGCTATGTAGTGATGTATGTTTGCGAATCAATGACCGGTTGCGAATCAAAGTCCCTGACCAACTACGGAGTAGTGGGGCAGAAGGCGATTATGAAGGCCTGACGAGTACGGGTTTATAAAGTTGGAGGTGTTGTATGCACGCCGGCCACTTCGTTGGAGTGAGAAGGAAGGAGCTTCTTCGATGGGTAGTCCCTGTTCAGCTCTGTGATGCCGCTCGACAGGCGCGGAGCGAAAATGGATGATTTGCTCTGGTCGTGCCGGAAGGTTTGCGATTCGAGAGGGAGAAAAGGGGTCTCCAAGCCCTGATTCGGCCGGCGTCAGGACTTTTTCTGCATCAAGTCCCAAGAAGTTGCCTTGGCCAACACTGCGTCGCGGCTACATATGTATCGCCTGCACAGGCTGCGATAGCAGATGTCTACCCAAGTTCCGCTCCTTACCGAAAGCCGACCGCTATGTATATTGGGTGCAGACGGATCACAACTGGAGAAGAGCGGTCTTGATGCTCATTTGTCCAGGGCGGGGAAAATCTCTTGATGATTAACTTTATTGTAGCCGCCAGGGCAGTGATGATACAAGACTCAAGCCATCCTACGTACCTTAGGTGAGACGGTGAGAAAACAGGTTCTCAGTTCTCACTGAACTTTGAAGTGTCACTCCAAGAGTCCACAGCACTTGCCCGCAGTGGGTGTCCCGACTCCCGAGGGAGCTCTCCTTCCAGCCCGTGCATTTACAGTGCGTCAAACCTGGCCAATCGCAGATGACGATTCGAGTCCGCCTTCCCACACGCCTACGAATCCCTGTGGGAAGTTCACCAGACCTTCCCTCTGTTCGGCCGCACAGTCTTCCATTGAGCAGCAATCAATTGTTCCAAGGTTCCATGCTTCCGCACTCTCTGCATTCTATTCGTGAGTGATCCCTACTGCATAGCGTTGGGACGGATCGACACCACCTGCCTCTGAAGATAGTTACCGGTGCATCTCTGTCGTTCCAGACGCTGGCAGGTGTTGCAGCCCCCCGGTTCTTGTACTTCTCATCGTCTGCCCCTCCCGCGCAAAGGCAAAAGCACCAGCACCCATTACCCATTTCTCTCGACCGCAATCCTGCTGCTTCTGAGAAATGCGATTTCGCCAGCAACCTGGGTCCTGGTGACGTTGTGATTGGCGATTCGCCGCAGCCATTCGAGAAGAGGCCGGAATATGATAAGAGCGATTCCTGCCAACTGCGCCATCCTTGATCGGGACCGCGCCACAGCACCCACTCAGCGGCCGACTGCCACTTGTCGATGTCTCAGAGAGCCCGCCATTGTTGACTCGCGATCGACTCGATATCGATCACGTCCCGAGTCCTTTGTTCTCACCTAGCCCATTCAGAAAGCCTTTCATAGCACCAAAATCTAAACGCGAGCCGCTCATCGCTGCCATCGCCGCGCGACCCTCTACCTACCACGCCTCACATATCATCAGCAATATGCAAAGATTGCTATTCCAGAATCCTCACTCTATGAGAATATAAGCGAAGCAGGGGCGCTCTTGTGTGGCTCGCCTGCCTGCTGCCCCAGGTTTCAATGACAGCAGGCAGTGACTTTAGGATCATGTTGCCCGACATGGGCTTATCTCATCTTAACCCTGCTCCTGGCCCAGAGACAGATAGCCTCGGTAGCCAGCCGCGCCTGTTCAGAAAGCATAAGGTTCTTCCACATCCGCCTAGGGACGTTCCGCAACGGTCCAGCTTGTGGGACTATGGTCTGGGGAGCGACGCCTTGTTGCCGCGAAGCGGCGACTCGAGTCTTTATCTCCTCCAGAAGAGGCAAGCAAGAAGGGGTCCAGAACCTCCGCCCACGCCGCCGGCGCATTCACGGGGTTCCTCGTCAAGTAATGCGGTCAATCCCCTGACTCGCCGGAGTGTGAGCGGCCCCTCGCGCAGCACAGCCAACACGCTGTCGCGTGGTCATATTACTCCTCCCGACCAACAGACACCACCAACCCCGAATCTGACCCCAGAACGAAACCCTCCAGGCGTGGCCACTCGACAGACTCAGACCCGTCCGCCGATAAGCGACAGGATACCGTCAAAGAACACTAACGACTCGGGGACCGGTTCGTTCATAACTGCACGGGAAAACGCTTCCTCTTCGGATGACGAGGGAAGCTCGACGCTGCGTCCGATACTGCCATCGACCAAAACTTCACAGAGCACAGTCCGCCAGCTCAGTAAGGAGTCAAAGGGGCGGTCCGGTCCTGTTGGCTTAGGTCTAGGTCTTGAGTCAAACACTCCAGAAGATTTCACTCCTAGGACAACGGGAGAATTTCAGACATTTGACGGGGAGTGGATTGGCGGAGATGCGGGACCAAGCGAGGTTGAAGTTGAGTGGGACGACAATCTCGGGAGGAATGTAACCGTAAAGAAGCGACGACCAACTGCTTCAAGGGAGGTGGGAAACCGGGAGGTCATTGGTAACTCGACGCCGACGCAAACAAACGCCAGCAAGGCGCTACGCTCTGTGTCCCTGCAGGAGAGCCCGGTGGTTTATTCTTCCCGCAGGGTTGTCTCTGAGAGGCTGCCAAACCAGATTACTGCTTCATATTCCGACACGTCCAGCAGCATCGAATACAAGCGATCCTCGATCATGTCTACCAAGTCGACCGCCTCGACGGTGGTGGAAGCGGTGCTCATGGAAACTGCCCCTCAGCGGCGAAAGACATTGCGGCATATAAGGAAGCAGAGCGCCTTGCGGGATTCGGGTTCTGAAATTTCTCCGCCGAGCTCAGCGCCAACTTCTGTCTCGGCACCTGTTGATGACGTGCGCCGACAAGCTCCAGCAGCGTCCAGGCTTAGTGATACCACACGCCAAAGCTATGCTTCAACGGCGACATGCAACTCAATCTCCAGTCGCAAAGCTCGCCGAGAAGTGTGGAAGAATGGAGGGATCCCGGTTGTCGTCGTGCCCGATCGTCGATCGTCCATCAAGGGAAATAGTAAAGAACCGTCCTTGAGGTCGACGAGCAGCCGGCGATCCCAGCGGAGCCAGAGTCTCGGCTCTGCTCCGATCTCACCGACGTCCAAGAGCAAGGATGGCGTTCCGCGTTTCGAACGACCCGACCGTCGGAGTAGGGCGCTCTCAGAGTCTGATGGTACTCGGGCGGGGGATGAGCGGACGATAGACTTCCCGCCAGCCATACCCGCTCGCTCGTCCTCTCTCTCCGCGCCCACGAGTCGAATCGTGTCGAGGACCGGCTCGTTGACTGCAGAGAGCTTGAGGGCCCATAACGCGTTCCAGGCACAGCAGGCGCATCAGGCCTTGCAGAAGGCCAGTCGAGAACTCGAAGATCTCTACGGCCGGAACCAGTCTTCTGCAAACGATGAGAAATCACGTCACCCGGAAAGGAGAGATCATCAGCCTCCCTCGCTTCTCGTGAATGCCGAGAGTGAGCGCCAACCAGCTGTGTTAGTCCACCATGCTCCTGAGGCGTATTACACTCCACCTGAAGCCCAACCCGATCGGTCGTCCCGTGGGCATGGCGGCTTCGACTCGTATGAAGCAAACAGCTATGGGCTTGGTGCCGACGGGTGCGAGGATACATCCTTTGGGAAAAGCCTCTCGGTGCAAAATACACCATTTTCCGTCGCATCAGTGGAGACGAATGGGACGTCTCATGCAGAGGTCTCCGAGGCCATGGCTGTCAACATATATCCGCACCAAAGCAAATCCATCGTCCTTGTTGATAGCTCCACCAAACCTTCAGAGAGCAGCTTCTCCGGTCAATCAAAACCACCCGAGGCAGATATCACAACGCTCAAGGTCACCGTTGCGAATGGCGACATCCCAGTGACACCCCCGCAGCAATTCTCCCTGGACGACGTCGATTCCCCCTTGAGAAATCCGAGGGCGCCTCCTGCACCTCCCCAACCACCCGCCATCAACTTCATACCGGCCACACCATCCGGGTTGACGCCGACGGTGGAAAAAGAGAAGCAGCTGGGAAACTACTACGAAATAACTGCGGAGAAACCCAGACGGAGTCTGTCGCTCCTTCGACGAACTCTGACTCGCCGCCTCACATCAGAATATGGGCCTTCGCCCTCTCGACCGGCAGGGCTGCTCACCCGGACCTTCTCTCTTTCGAGGAACGTCAGGAAACGTCCGGATGACCGGTTGGATGGAGACGCCCACAGGAGGCCCAGGTTGCAGAGACGCGCCTCAGCAGACGACTCGCCCATGGATGAGTCTAGGCTCCACCCTTTCTGGAGACCTGCGTACATCGAAGATGAGAGTTCTGAAGACGACGAGGACTGGATTGGGGAACCTCCCGACGATCGCACGTACAAATACCCGCCTATTGACAACCGACCTGCGCTTCCCCGGCGCAGCTTAAGCGCGCGGATCAAGAGGACTTTCGCCATCTTGCCAGTACGGAACGATTTGGACGGTGACTACTATCCAGCGATAGAGCGCGACGAAACAGACCGTCGAACCATCCGTCGCACACCTAGTGGCAATCTCCGGGTGATGAGATTCCGGAGGAGTATGGAGTCGCTGACGCGGATTCGGGCAGAAGACGATCGACCGTTCAGCGGCCCTGATCATGGGCAGCAGAGCGGCAATGTCAATGAAAATCGAAATGGCCGGTATACACGCCTCTGGCGTTCACTCAGCGTCAAGGCGAGACCCAGGTTGCATAGCCATAGCCCTGCCGAGTCGGGTAGTCCGGGTTTTCTGCCTGCTCTGGGCCAGAAGATGAATCTTACACGCAGGCTAAGCGAGAGAAGACGCGAGAAGCGGACGCAAGAGCTTAGGGGCATGATCAGTGCGCCGAGGGAGGTCAGAGATGGGGTGGGCGATGTGATTCGGCCGGGTACCTACCGGGAACCAAACGCCCGGCAATACCAACAGGTTTAGTGGACCAGTTGGAGGGCGGCGGGGTGCTCGCATCCCTTGCCTCATTGCTTCGATGACTTATGATGAGATATTGGATATATAACGAGCGTGATGAGTTTCTGTTGTTATTTCCTCTTGATGACAGGCATATCTCTTCTTTGTTTCAACAGGATTATGCAGGGCCATGTTTCGGGGTGGTTTGGGCTCCGGGAGCCTAGATTTGGGACTTTCCATAAGCGGAGGCGTTTTCGGTGCGCGAGACAGAGGTGAAGAACGGGGTATGAGAATGATTTCGTTGTATTTGCCATGACCGCGGACGATTCTTTGTTTAAACATTTCGTCCTGTGGGGGACGACGTTGGGTTGGGCACCGACCTATAGCGGGAAGCACATGTATGTACCTTGTACTAGAACGAATGAACCCTGCGCATGATACCACGGGACGAGGGGGGTTATATCATGACCTGATCTAGTTCTCACTTATCTAAGACCGCAATTACTGGTCATCTTGCTGTCGTTGCGCTGCAGCTATCAGCTGTGAGAAAGACGGCGCTTACCACCCTTGGGTAGCTACTATACAACCATTTTGCAGCAGCCAGCACCCTTGGGAGAACGTATGATATCGACGCGACGGAAGTACCAGTCATCCCATGCAGCTCCGATCCGGAAGGCGCAGTATCGATTGCGCAAAACACGTCTTGATTAACCGCCAGCTCCAGAACGCCGAATACGCCGTCGCAGTGCCAAAGGTAGCATAACAAGCCCATCCCATTCTCCGTCTCCCGTAATTTTTCCTCCCCAAGCATCTCCCTGCCGTTTGATAGATTCCAACCAGCCGCAACTTAGCTTCACCTCTTCTCCCCTCCGGGCGCTCCAGGGAACCCAGCCCCAGGCGGAGGCGGGAAGGGCGGGAACGCGCCACCGGGTGGCGGAGGGAACGGCAACCCTCCCGGCGCGCCAGGCGGAGGGAAAGGCGGCCGAGCTCCACCGGGCCCGCCACCTCCAGTAGGACTTGCTCCAGCGACCGGCGGGAAGGGGAACGGCGGAGCACCGCTGCCTCCTGCAGCGCCAGGGAAGGGAAAGGGAGGCGGGAAGGGAGGCGCCGAGCCACCACCACCAGCACCGCCCGGTGCCCCTCCTGCTGCTGGTGACGGTCCGTTCGCGTTGGGTGCTGCTGCTGCACCGGGGAAAGGTGGCATGCCCGGCAGTGGGGGGAAGGGCGGGGGAAAGGGCGGCGCGCCGGAGCCAGCGAAGGGAGGAGGGGGTGGTGGCATGCCGGGGATGCCCCCTGCGCCGGCGGCGCCCATCATGCCTGGAGGAGGCGGCGGGAAGGGAGGCGCAGGAGCACCTGGCGGCAGATTGAGGCCGACGAGAGCAGGGTTGGGGCCGAGACCGACGCCGGGCCCGCCGGGCTGGTTGTGCGGCAGCATGGGGTTCGCGTGGGCTTGGCCTGCGTCTGTGTAGGAGGCGGTGATGGAGTCGATTACGGATTGGGCTTTTTCGTGGCCGATTTCTGGGTTTGGGCGGGCATTTTGGTTAGACAGTTAAGAACAGGAATAGGAATAGGAAGGGTGCGTGTGCGTACGTTGGTAATAGTCGACTACGTTGCGCAGGTGGTTCCGGCCATTGTTGTGAGCCTTGCGCACGCTCATGGAGTCGTGCGTGAGGTAGACATCGCAGTAGTCGCAGAAGACTGGGTAGATACGGATGTTAATATGCGTGCCGAGGAAAAGATGGGATTGCCGATGGGGATGATGCTCACATTTAGGCATCTTGGCGGCGATGCTAGAGCAGCCCGCTAATGGCGATGCTTTGAGGCTCGGTGGTCGACGTAGATCGCGTGGATGAAGAAGCTTGTGAAATCAAAGTCGCGATGGGAAAACAGCATGGTTGGCGAGGCTGAGGAATCGAAAGCAAGCAGTTCCAGGGTGGGGCCTGCAAGGCTGGTAACTGCTCAAAGTGGCGGGCATTTGATTGGATCGCTCAGAGAGCAAACCCCACAGGCGCCAAGGAAAAGGCGACAGATGGCCGTAGCGTAGCGCGCAGTGCTAATGTTAACTTTGCCCAGCTGTCGTCTGCTCTGCTGCCACTACAGGCAAAGCAACCCGTTCCGCCGCTACCTTGCACCAAGACACACACCATAGCGGCCATGGCTCGAGTACGGTTACTGCTGCAGCACCTCTGCGGCATATTCTTGCTGCTGGCAGTCGGCTCGCAGGCGCTCAAGTTCGACATCCAGGCGGGCAACGGCTACGACAAGCACTCGCGGCGATGCATACGCAACTTTGTGTCCAAGGACATGCTGGTCGTCGTCACAGCCATTGTTGACGGGCACAGGGGCGACGGCATGCAGCTCAACATGCACGTGAGTGATTGACATGATTAATGCCCGTACAAACAGACTAGTCGCTGATCTCGTTGATGATTCCTCGCAGATCACCGACGCCGCAGGAAACGAGTATGGCAAGCCCAAGGACATTGCTGGCGAGCAGCGCACCGTCTTCACGTCCCACTTTGACGGCTCATTCGACGTGTGTTTTGAGAACATCCTCACAGGCTGTTAGTTCCACCATTGGCCCCCCTGATCCTTCCGCCAAGGGCTCTGTCACAGCTTTTCTAACTGAAATGGACCACAGCACGCTATGTCGAGAACCCCACGCGGCACATCGAGCTGGACATTGACATTGGAGCCGACGCCAAGGACTGGTCGGCCATCCAGGCGACCGAGAAGCTCAAACCGGTCGAGACGGAGCTGCGGCGCATCGAGGAGATGGTGGCCGAGATTGTCAACGAGATGGACTACCTGCGGCTGCGCGAGCAGAAGCTGCGCGATACCAACGAGAGCACAAACACGCGCGTCAAGATGTTTGGTTTTGGCACAACATTCCTCCTGATTGCGCTGTGGGCGTGGCAGATTATGTACCTGCGGGCCTACTTCAGGTCAAAGCATCTGATCTAATGTCTGTCTCTGTCCCGGGCTTATGACGGCTGGCTGGTTCCTTCCTGGACTGTGGCTTTTGCAAGGGAACTGGACTTGGAGTTTTGTTGTTTATTTGTGGCGAGCTCTTACATGGTACATGGACTGTTACACGGGCGGGCAATGGAGACATGATGAAAGATATTGGTCTGTAAAGTACAAATCATTTACGAAAAGTGGTTGAGGTTCAGGGTGTCCAGTTGTGCATACAGGGTACAGTACCATCGTACCTATCCGGGATCTACCATTACTGGCCGACCTACTTATACCATCTAAACTTACCACAGGCTGTTCTCTGGAAGGGCCAAAACGATCTGGAGGCCGTTGGGAAGAATGGTGGCTTCGGGAAACTGAGAGTCGAGCTGGGATGAGAGCCCTATTAGTGCTAAAGATTCAGCCTGGATATTGCATCACAGAGAGTGATTCGAGGAGAGACCTCAGTCAGGCACGTTACGTTGGTTAACCGTTCCCTTTCCACGTCATCACTTGAAGCAGAGACCATCTGCGACAGTATCTTTCCAAACGCCCACACATCGTTCTGTACCCGCGCTCCGAGGTCTTGTGAACAGGGGCTGAAGAGATCACGCATCTCTGGCGATAACCACTCCTGGGTGATGATAGCTTGGCCGCTGATGTCTAAGAGTACAGCGTCTCCTTCTGCACTGATGACGATGTTTGATGGCTTGAGGTCCATATGCGTGAGTCCCAGAGTGTGAAGCTCTCGAAGGCCGCAAGCGATCTGCAACGCCCATTTTCGCCAGGGTTGACGGACACGGTGATCTGAACGTCGTAGAGCATCTGCAAGCGTGCCGTTGGGATGGTACTCAATCAGAAGACCACGTAGAACACGGCTATCGTCGTCTCCGTCCTCTCTGGAAGATCGGTATGGATTGGTTGACACCACCGCAGCAATGAGCTGGACGACATATGTCGCGCCGCGCAGCAGGCTCAGATTCTTCAGCTCCTGTTCCATGATGTCGGTATCCCTCGGTTCGTAGAGAGGCCGGTCCACTTCCTTGTAGACGCATAAGCGATTGTCGGGGATGAGGCGCGCTCTGTGGACGCCTGCTGCAGGCTCTCGTTCCTTTATGACCTTTGAGAGGTCTCTCACGGGCATCCCACTGGGGAATGGTACCTTGAGAACCGTACTCGGAACGGGTCTTCTCGTATATAGAACCACTGGCCACAAAGCTGCATTCCTACATCGTCCATCTCGAGATCCTCCTCGAGAGGCAGCAGGCGCGTTGTTGCAATGTCATACTCGGTAGAGAGGACAAGTTCCGTGACCGTGTCACGTAAGGGATGGATGCGGTCGAAACTAATCCGGCGGCAGATGGTCTCAACGACCTTCTTCCGTCGTAGTTTTGGCGTGTCATTTGCCTATTGTGCATGCAGAGTGACCCTGACGCGCCAGGTAAAGCAGCACCGGCGCAGGGTAAGCTCAACCGAGTGTTTACGGAAGACTGCAAAGCCGTCCCGAGACACGACGAAATCTTCCTCTTTGTAAGACCTCAGAACAAACTCGATGAGGGTGTCTTTTTGTGACTGAGGCACTTTCATATCGTGCAAACGGGTGCGCAGGAAGATGTGGTTGTTTAGCTGCGAAACGTCTATGTTGCAAGTCAAGTGGGAGGACTACTTTGATGCCGATACCTTCGGCATTGCGTTCTGGAAGCTACATGAGGCATTCGACACGAAAAATACTCCGGCGAAAAGTACGACGCAAAGCCAACATCTCGCAATGAGGGAGGATTGCGAGAATGGTCTTGGCCTACAAACACCGGTCAGTAATGTCTGTGCTACAGTACCCGTTCTACAGGATGACCCGGCCGGCCGGAACGATAATTATAACCCGGCAGATATGGGCAGCTGCCGATTCGCCGATTTTTCGGCCTCGGCCCAGTCAAAAGTTAGCCACTCTACGGATCCGGCCCAGACTTAAACGAACCAAATCCACCGCAACTCACGTTGCACTACTACCTAACCAACCGACATTGATCTCTCCAACTGCGGCCCAATTTCTCAGATTATACCTTATACACACAGCAAAGAAAGAAGACACCACGCCATGGCCGCCCTTCGCCCAGCAACCCGCGCCATCGCCGCCCTGACCCGGCAGCCTCTCGCGTCTACCCTCCGCATCGCCTCAAACCGCTTCAACAGCACCACTAGCAACAACAACAGCACAACCTCCTCCCCGTCAGACCAACCAACCCGCGACCTGGACGTGGGCGAGCTGCAGGGGGCCAAGTTCAAGATTGAGCCGCTGCGGCGGGAAGGCGAGGACGCAGCAACCATGCGCGCGCGGCTTCTCTGTCCGTTTCCTCCCCCATTCTCCGTTATCGAAACAATAATCCTAACAACAACACAGACCAATCCCGCAAACGCGGCACCCTCGAATCCGACCTCCTCCTCTCAACCTTCGCCTCAGAGCACCTGTCCACCATGACCCCGCGCCAGCTGGCCGAGTACGATTTGCTGCTCGACGAGAACGACTGGGACATTTACTACTGGGCCACGCAGGAGCAGGAGCAGCCGCAACAGCAGAATACTGCGGCCAGTGAGATTGACCCTGCCGCTCAGCAACCACAACCCGAGGAAGCACAACTACAAAACCCACGCCCGGGGGAATGGGCGCAGACGGTGGGGACCTTTAAGCCTGCGTACCGACCCGTCCCCGCGCGGTGGCGCGACAGTGAGATCCTCAAGCTGCTCAGGAAGCACGTGGAGTCGCGAAGAGGGGATAGCAAGGGCACGGGTAAGGGTGGGATGGGGTTCATGCCGCCGTTGGAGGAGTACAAGTGATTCGTTCCTTGTTTCCTAATGGTAGGCAGCTAGTCTTGATCGACTGAGGGTGGGCTGCCGGTGGAGGATGGATAACATTTTGGTTTCTTGTACCATACTTATGTATTTGTTATGTACGAACATGTGTATATCAATAGGGATGCGGGGTGGGCAGGTATCACCTCAAATGTAGGCAAACATGGCCATGTTACCGGGCAAGAGCAAGCAATGCGACGGGAGCTTGGCTGGTTGATAGGTTGTTTGATTTGGGGTATACCCATCCATCCTTCCCATCCCATCCCTCCCAGGTATCTGCGTTTTCCCGACATGAAATACCTTCGGCCCAGGGTACAGTACATCCTCTGGCCCTGCCTTGCCTCCTCAGTGCTTATATAAAAAACAGAGCCAACACAGGAAGTGTGAATTGCTGAATGCCCGTCCGCTCCAAGCCAAAAGCTGTTTCCCTCCCCCCAACCCATTCCAACCTCTTCCCGCCCATCTCGTAAAACACCAGAAACGACAGAAGAAGAACGCCGCCATGATGAAGCACTCTGCTATGCTACCGACCAGCCACCAGAAAGCAACAACACCGAAGAAACCAAAAAATCTCATCCCACCATAAAAACGAGCAGTCACTAGTCAGTCATCATTTATCATCGCCCCATTTGCACAGGGTTTGGATCAGCTAAACATTCAACCCAACGAATCCCCCTCAGGCGGTAATATCCTCCCCAAACTCCTTAACACCTCCATGGTAGGCAACCCAGCAGTGCCCACGGCGCGCTTCTCGCTCTCCTCACGCTGCCTCAGCCGCTCCGCACTCAGCTTCAGCACGGCATCCGCCTCCCTGCCCGCCGTGACGACGCGCATGTCGAGCTTGTGCACGCTGTCGGCGAGCAGGTCCACCCGGAACTCGAGCTCGGCCTGCAGGTTCTGCAGGCGCGAGCGCACCTGCCGCTTAAAGGACCCAAACGAGGTGTCTGGGTTGGTTAGGGATTGAAGCATCTTGGTTTCGGCCTCGTCGAGCAGGGACGGGTCTGGTGGTGGACATTTTCGCGGATCTGAAGGGTCTGGGTTGTTGCTGTCGCTGTCCGGGAAAAGGGGCGGGACGGTTGGTAAGGGTTTGGCGATGGATTGCCAGGCTTTTTTCTGGGCTTTTAATCTGTGAGGGGGTTAGAGAGTCGTCAGACTGGGGTGATAACGAAGGCGAAACGGAATGGGAAAATGTTTTACCTTTCAATCTTGGCTTCCAGCTCGGCAATTTTGGCGTCGTAGTCGACATTTCGCGGGTTCGGTTTTAATACCACCGGAACTGGCGGTTTGGGGGCATCCTCCCTCGAGAACCAGTCCGAAAACTCTGACCTCGCCGCGAACTCCTTGAGCAGTATATCTTGTATTGCGCGTGCTACACAGGTGTCAGTATCCTGCTCGTCATAAAAATATGAAACTCAGGTTGCCCTCACCTCCATGAACCGCGCTCGCCCCGTGCGTGCCATGCGGGGGCTTCTCACTAAGCGCCCTCTCGCCGCACCATATCAGCAGCTGCTTCATCCGCCGCGGCTCGCTCAACCCCTCGGCCGAGATGTACTTGTAGAATTCGGACGGGTCCACCTCGCGGTGCGGCAGCGCGCTCTGCCCATTGTCGAGCAACGAGCTTGCCCGCCGCCCGCGCATGCCCAAACTGCTGCGCCGGCTCCCGCTCGCGCCGCCCTTTTTGCGAAACTCCTTGTTGCGGTTGATCACGGGTGTATCGCTGAAGGGGAGGGCGATCATTTGCGGTTGCGACCCTCCATGAAGGGGTCTCCCCATTGAAGCATCGGCCCTTGGCGTCTCATCCCCCTCGCCCAGGAGATTTGGCCGATCATCGTCATCGTAACTCTCCTCCCGCGCTTTCCCCCTGCCATTTGGCTCTCGCCTTTGTTGCTGCGGCCGTTTTTCCGCCGTTTCCCGCCCCTTTCGTCGCGGCTTGGATGTGGGCGGTGCGGATACCTCTTCTTCGGCCTCCGGCGCAGTGGCTGGACTGGATTTTCGTTTCGATGTCCTCCTCGACGTCGATAGCTTCGTTGCTGCTGCCGGCCTGGATGGTACAGGTTTCGCCGTAACCGGTGTTGGCGCGGGTTCCGGCGGCGAGGCGCGTCTCTTTGCTCCCCCCTTTGGCGGTCTCCCTACGCTCCTCTTCGCTGGGGCTGGGCCCGGGGCCAAGGCGGACGTCGGCTCGGGCTCCAATTCATCAGTCTCGGGCGTCGGCGCTGTCTTGGGCCTCTTTGATACGCGCGTAAAAAGAAAATCGCCATCTTGTTCGTCATATGTTGCTGCAGCTGGAACGGGGAGGTCAGCGTCCTTCTTTCTCTTCCTGCCCATTGCTGCGGCATGCCGCGCACCCAATTGCTGGCTCTTTGGCGACGAGGGCGGCGGTGACGGGATTACTGAGCCGGACGACGTACCCGCGAGGCGTTTACTGTAACGCCGCTCCGGCTGGTTGCTCATGCTCAAGACTTGTAGCGGCTGGCGGGTCCGTACGAGAGTAGTCATGGATGATGGCGGGGCGGTCGGCGCATGAATGCGATGGTCGTCGATTGTGGTCTATACACACACGAGGATGCCAGGTTTTGCAGCGGGATGCTGTAGCCGTGGTGTTGTCGTCGCGACACAGGGCCAGGGGGAATCACAGGGCGCGTCGCTTTCAAATTTTTGATGCCGAATTCGCGATCGCCGAAATGCTATGTTGAAACGGTGAGGCGGGTGCGGCCGGCGGGCGGTGGGACGCGTCAATTTCGGCGTTCAAACTGCAGTATCGATCTTGTCGCGTCATTAACTATGCCGGGCCGTCGCAATGCGGAAAATGGCGAAAAGCAATTCGATTAAGAGATGCTGGTCGGCGAGCAGAACGGTCCCAGGCTCACAATGTGACCGCGAAAGTGGGTTGCTGCCGCATTACGACGGGAAGTGGCGCCCCGTTTGTTTACCCTGCTGCAGAATGTGGCTTGCTGGAGTGGAGACTCAACGTCAAAAACACGTGCCACACGAGGCTGCTAACTATGGTCTCGCATTCCCCATTTGCAAGGCTAAGATATCATTCATTGCGCTTCCTCTTGGGAGGAGAAATCAAAAATAATCGAGACAAACCATGTGTGAGCCACGGGAATAGGTGAAGATTGAAAAATTAGAGCAATGCAAAAAACAGGAAGGAAGCCAATCACCGCTATTTGAAATAACCAACCTTCGTCAAGAAGCTCTTACCAGGCCGCATGGTAATGCACACTCATCAGCTAGAAGCTTCATCAACCGGAACTTTGGGTAGGCTGCTCACTATACCAGACGTATCGTACTCGGTGCATGCTGGAGTATTTGGGGCAAAAATACTCCGTGTATCTCGGATGGCGCTCCACGAATTTCCCCTCAAGATGCGGCTTTCCTCAAGCCCCCCATGAATTGACGACTCTGTCTCGAGGAAACAGCCGGTCACGAAATTAGCTTATGTAGGCCAAATCGCGATTCCATGAAGCATGTCCCAGTGCCCGGCGCCTGCTAATGACTCTGATAACTCCCATATTGGACGCAGTGTACTCAGCCTGTGCACTCACTCTACATACTTGCTTATGAACAGTGCAGCAATGCAGGTGCCTGACCTACCCACCATCTTACTGACCAAGGCGATATGATTCAAAATTCACCAATCGTAACGAGGTAGGTATTGGTAGTTCCGTGCTTCATTCATGAGCAAATAGCGTAGCATAGCAGCATAGCGTCGCAGAGTAAAGCACAGCAAAACGCAAGCTATCTCTCAGCACATGCGAGAACCCGTTTCTGTTGCCTGGCACGGGTTTCATTGCTCCCTTCCTCTCCAGCTTCCCCCATGAGACACACCACCTCCCAATACACAGGCGGAAAGCTCCTAAATCGAACACCTCCTCGCCAGCCAGCCTGGCCGGTCAACCAACCAACCAAAAGCCCGTAAGATGCGGAGAAAGTCCATTCCGCCTAGCCATAAAGCGACTAAGTCCGAGGTTGAGGTCCATTCCGTTTTCTCTCCCGTCTTCCCCGTACGCCTCCGCCGTAGCACGAAAAACGTACGCCCACTTCCAACAACGCCCCCCCTTTCCCTCACCACCCACCCGCCTTTCATCCCCATCTTCTCCCAATGAAGAGGCCCGGGGAGAATAAATGAGGGTAAGACCCAGAAACCCAAAGGTGGAAGTGGGAGGAGAAGGAGAAAAATCAGACCGTAACGCCATCCCCAACGCCACTTTTGATGTATACCATCCCTGTTGCCGATTAATCAAATACAAGACGAGGGTCATCCGCCGGGCCGGAGAAAAACAAGAACGCCCCGACCCAGCCCCAAGCAACTCGACTCGCCGGTCCTGGCCCGTTACTGTACAGCCTGACCAATCCCTACCTGCCTTCGCCGAGAAGAAAGAAAAAAGATGAGAAAGAAGCAGAAATTAGTCCTCCCTGCGGCAAATCATGTATAGAGGTAACAGACGGCAAGCGATGGCGGTGTGGAGATTCAAGCCGCGAAAGAACGAAGCGAGTCGTGGTCCAATCAGTCCGTAGCCGTGCTTGTCCTAACGCCCCCTTCCGCAAACGCCAGAACCCATATACCCAGGCGAAACACACTTTAAGAGAAGCGGCGATTGACAGCCTGGCCAGCCATTACCGGCTGACTCGGCATGGAAGGCGCCATCCCGTAAGGGTTCATTTGGGCGTTAAAGGGCTCAATCGCTTGCTGCATGAACGCGCTGTGAAGGCCCTGTTGCTGCGAAACGGGGCAGTCCTTATGGGCAAGGAGCAGTGTCTTGAGGTTGACTACTTCTTCCCGCAGTTGAGTGATCTGAGCTGTGAGCGCGTCATTCTCGCTACTAAACATCTCCACCTTGTTCTGCAGGTTGGCTAGCCATTGCTTTTTGCGCTGGCGACATTTGAGTGCAGCAACCCTGTGTAGATGGAACAGTTAGCACGATGTTCTGACGTAAGCTGTGAAACAGGAAAAATCGCACCTGTTGCGCTCAAGGAAATTCCTCCGCTTCTCCTCGTCAGTCATCTTGGATTTCGAATTTGATGTCCCACCGCCTTCGTCCTTGCCCGGCTTGCCATCTTCCGAAGAATGGTCATGGTCCATGTCGTTACTACTGATTGAGCCCCCGATTGAGCCCCCGCCGTTCGTCTTTGATCTTTTGCTGGCAGGGCCCTTAGCAGGAGCTTCCTCGGCCTTGCGCCGCGTGTTTGCCCCCGCGGCGCCCGAGCTCCGCTTTCCCCTCGCACGGGTATTAGGTCGCGCCATCTCGCTCTCGTCTGAAGCTGCGCTCGCCTCGCTCATGCCGCGTGCCGAGCTTCCTCCAATCGAGGGCGCGCCGTTCATAGACGGAGGCGCGGCGACAGCCTGTGCCGCGGGGGCTGCGGGCGGTGCTGTAACTGTGTGCACCTGCGCAGGGGGGAGTACGGGATATTGGGAGGCCGGGGGTGGTTGTGTGCTGTTCCGTCCTTGCGCTAGCATAAAGAGACCGTTGGCTGCGTCGTTATCGTGCGGATCAAAGGGGCCGGCCGGAGGCTTCGACTCTGGCTTCGGGGGCTGGATGCCATTGCTCGTTTCTTGGGGCTGCGAAGTAGGCGCGATTGGTTGTGTTTGTTGCGCCGCCTGCGCTTGCTCACGCTTGGCGGCAGCGGCACTTAGGGCGGTCCGGTGAAAATCGAGGGTGCCCGGGGTCGCAGTGCTGCCACCAGCCAGGGCGAAAATAGCCTGTGAGTTAGGACTAGGGGCAGGGAACATAGACCCACTACCACCGGGGGTCAGCCCCGTCCTCAGAGACGACTCGTTGGGTGTCGGGAAACCGCCCCGGATGTGATGTGTGTCGCTGAAGTAGTCATTGGTCGGACCCGAAAGCATCGCCGGGCTCAGCGGACCGGTCCGCAGCGAGCCACCTCCCCAGGCGAACGGCGTAATGCCAGTTCCGGGGAGGAGTGAAGACGGGGACGTCAGGGCGGCGACGGATGGTAGCTTCGTGCCACCGGGCGTCTCGGGCGGTGCGCCACCGAAGGACTGCTCGAAGGGATTCGGCTCCAGACTTAGCGATCCGCCGCCGACGGGGTTGGAGAAGTAATCGGGGCTGTTCGTCGAGCCTTGCTGATTCTGAGCGGGACGTGGCGGAGGCGCGAGTGGTTTGGCGGCCTCGGCATTGGATAATGACGATTCGGGTTTCAGGAGGTTGTCACGTTTGGCGTCAGATGGGGCATCTGGCCGGTAGTAAGGGTGTTGGCGACGGCATCCATACAATGCGAAAGGCAAATGACGGTAACGGAGGGGATAAATCAGAAACTATCACTTACCCTGACGCGGTGGAGATGGCTTGCTGGACTGTTTTGGTGATTTTTCCTCAACTCGGCCAGCAGCTCCAGCGGGCGGCCCCATGATGTCAATCGAAATCTTGCGGCTCTCTGCTGCTGCGCTGACGGGGGAACGAGGCAGAGCCAAAAGTGCGAGCGTAAAAAGGAAAAAGGGGGCCTATGAGGTCACCGAAACATAAATGCCCATAAGAAAAACAGATGCTGCTACGCTATTTTGCAGCAGCGTCTACTTTTTTTTCGCCGTGCAGGCGTATGGGTTCGAGGAATCGTAAATATCTTACGTAGATTGGCTCGCGCGCGGCGTGGTTGCTGGGTGCGTGCGTTGTGTGTGGGAAGAGAAAAGGTCAAGACCGGGAATTGGGGGGAGCGACGTCAGGTATGACGTTTGGGGAAAAGAGATGGCGCAAGTGGGAATAAAAAATACTGGGGGTTGCCCTGTGGGCCCTCGGTCCGTCCGTGAGCCTGGCGCCTGCCAAAGAAACCAAGCACCCTGCGGGAAGGATCAAGGAGGACTGCACCCACGCACCACCGACTTCAAGGATGGGCAAAAAAGCAGTGTTGTTACAATGGGTTTGGAGGAATTCTCAAGGTAAGGGTAATCTCAATTACAAAGCAGGCCAAGATCGGTCAGTATCCTTTTCACCAGGACACTTTGCAAATACAAACCTCGCCCTTCCCCCTCGCTCGTCTGCCGGCTTACAAACCGATTTGCCCCTATTCCTGTTCTTGGCTCACGGGACACGTCTCTGGTATGTACTGGCATCCCTTCTAGAACTCGCCCAACCGAGTGTAAGAGCTTTTTTCCGGGCTTGTGGGTGCCAAAGCGACAGTTTCTCGAGCGTATCCGCCCACTTTTTAACCGTCGTTTGGCCTCCGCTGCTGGCCCCCAATCTTGCTGTTGAGGAAGGCACTGGTTGCAGTTAGGATTTGGGTTGTGGATCCACACAGTGTGGCTCACAATGCCTCAGGCCCGCCACCGGGTCAGCCAGTCATGTTCCTCTTCTTGGCTGCGCTTCAAGCAAAACCTCAGGTCTGTCCCACCAGCAGCCCCTGCATGCCCATCCCATCAAGTGCACCGGAATCACGAAAAGGGGTCAGCAACGGCAGAGAGCAGTGGAAGCATCAGCGACAGCATACCGCCCGGTCTACAATACAAACTCATAGCTTCAGAGTTCAGCCTTGAGCGTCCCAGCTGGCAGCCGAGCTTGCATTGTTGTGTGTTCCGAGTCTTGCGAAGAAGAGACCATATCGCTGAACCCATTTCGTCAACGTTAAGATATCACTCATCGATTGCAACCCCGGACCGAAGAGACTTTCCCCCTATCCTCCAACTAAAGGTTCCAGCCTCAGGACCGGCCGACAATCGCCTTGTTCTCAGGTTTGAGCCCCAGCTGAGCGAGCTGCCCAATACCCACCTCATGCTGACTCTGAGTACCATCAGTGTACACAACAAGTCCCGGAGACTTATCAAAACCGGATGGATGGTGTGCGGCTCGTCCAACCATCGCGATCTCGAACCGGACGAAACCTGTCACCTCACCGCGGTGGAACGATTGAGGATTATTGAACGGCGGAATAATATCGGAAGTGTGGGGCTTCCGCGGCAAATCAGCGTCCGCACCGAATTATGTCGCGGAATCGCGTTCGAGCCCCGGTCAGACCACGCTCGCCCTTTTGACTGTTGCCGGCCAGGCAAGTGGACATTGCGTCAGGCACTCTCGGCACTGTGCAATCTGGAATCTGCTTTCTCCACCGCATCTTCGCACTTCCCTGCTTTTTCTCTTCCCAAAAGTAACAACACGGATCTGTCTAACGCCAACAATGCTTGCGATCGACACTGCATCAGGTTCTAGACGGCACCGACTACAGGAAGTGAGATGGGTTTCTTTGCCCTTCCCGAACGCAGCGTGCGGTGGAATAAAAGAACCCGGCGCAAGGGGCCCCGGTGGCGCTAGCAGGTCGACCGTTTCCCATAACGATGACGTAACTGGCAGTTCCGGGTGGGTGATGGAATCTTGGCCCAGCCGCCATGTAACCCCAAACGGTTCTCGTACTGTACACCAAATGACAGGCCGTGTCCCATTCCCGGCCTTTGAGAAGTGAGTGCAGCTTACTTCGTACTGTACAGTACGTTCAGTCCTTCAGTCCTTCAGCACCTACGGGCAGAGATTTCAGAAGCCTCGGACGAGGCAACAGCAGATGGACTGCGGAACTGCCTGTCGAATTGCTGCTGTTGAGTCGCCAGGCCCATTCAGCCCCTATGACGCACTTGAAGGGATGCATGAAAAATTGGCTGCACTGAGCACACGAGGCGCCACTTGGCTCGCACGTTCGAGGCACGGAAGTCTCCACCGCACACGCTGTCTGCCATTCAAGACAACAGAAGAACAGAGCCCACGACTTCCAGGTTGGGTTGTGAAGCTGGTCACCTGTCGACTGGTAAACGAATTCCTCGAACATAATCTCACTGACCTCTCGCATTCGACAGCGTATAAATTCTATCAGCTACACTACTTACCCTACGGTTAGCTATCATTCCTTCATGGTTCAGCGAACCTGTAAAGTTATTGACTGGCCGTTGGCGGGAGGCACCGGCTGGCAGCCGGTTTTGCACAGATCCCTTTTGGGATGGTCTACTAATTATTAACTCCAGGCTATTTATCAAATTTTTGAGCCAACCGCTTCCGGGAACCGTCAACACAAACGATTGAGCGCTCCTAATGCGCTGTGGGGAAATTAAATTGGAGAGCGCGCCGGCTCCCCGAATCTGGGACCCGGTGCATCACGAACCATCCCTACACTACTCATCGTTGGAGTGTCAGCTAACTACACAATATACAATGAGTTGAAAATATTTACTCGTTACCCTACGCAACAATAGGACACCAGCTGGCCGCAATGAGCAGTCCGACTGCAGATTTGGGGACCTACAGGTACACGGACATCCCCCGTTGTCGTCGTTATCAAGTACACTCCAACAATCCCATGAAACTTTTGAATATCAGGAGAAGTGACATGTTCCAAAGATGGTACAGCACACATCTACTCCTAATATACAACGATCTGTTCTAACAATCATGCCCTCGAGTTCGACCCTTCAACGCCACATAGTGACGACGATTTCACCTCCACCACCGCATCAGCTCCAGACCAACCCGAAGAACATAACGCGCATGTACCTAGGCAGCTGATCTGAAGCAGCTTTCAACAATCTAGCACCCAAACTTAATAAACATACGAAGTAGCCAAGACGAACAAGTGAAGCGGGATCTCTACACCGAATTATTACCTTACAAACTGGTAGGCCCCCAACCAGCCGGCCGCACCCGGAACCCGCTCCGGGGCGCATGCACCCTCACCCCGGCGCCTTCCGTCTCCCACACGATCTCGTCGGCTTTCAGACCCACCAGCCGTCCGCGGTCGCGGTGGTTGGACCCGAAATCGACGGGCCACACTTCGACGGAATCGCCTCTTTTGAAGCCGAACGCTTTCACAAGCGGCTCCGTCTCGTCCACCTCCACCTCCACCTCGACTCCTTCGCCGGCTTGCTGTTTGATCAACCGGGCCGCTTCCTCACCGGTCATCTTTTGTTCCTGATGTTTGTTTGCTGCCCCCGCGGAGCGGACAGCCGCGTGAAACCGGTCGATCCAGGCGTAGACGGCGGGGAACCGGTCGCGCGAGATGTGCGCCGGGTCCATCGCCGGCTCGCCGTTGCCGCCCTGCAGCGTGGCCATCCAGTGCAGAACCCACACGGCCTCGATGTCGGCTAGGCTGGGCGCGTCACCGCCTAGCAGCCACTCCTTCTTCTTCTTCTTCTTGTCCGAGTCTTGGTCGAGAAGGGTTGTTTCCAGGAGGGCAAAGGCCTCCTTCAACTCGTGCAGCGCCTCGGCTTTGATGGCGACGTTTTCCTTTGCCTTGTTTGTTTGTTCTTGTTGGGCTCGGGTTTGCTCACCACTTTCACCGAAGAAGTCGGCGCGGTCCTTTTGAAATGCCGGGTCCTTCAGCAGCGGGAGCGATTCGGGCAGGAGCCTGCGCGCGTGGGAGAAGAGGCTGCCCGTGGTCAGGCTGGACAGGAGTCGCTGCAGGGCGAGGTCCGTCGTCCCCCGCGCAGCGCCCAGCGGCGGCTTCACTGTCGTGGGAAACGGAAGCGCCTCCAGCTTGGCCAGGATCAGCCTGCTGTCCAGGTACACGTCGCGGCCGATGGCCAGGATGGGAACGCGCCGGTACGATATGCCCAGCTGCTGGGAAATGTCTGGGCGCGGGAGGATGGGCGGTTGGATCTAGAACCCCCGGCCCGTGGGGCGTTAGTACTCTATATAAATCGGTAGGTGTGTAAAGGAGGTTACTGGTATTGGGGCGCAAGGCAAGGTAAGGCTTACGCATTCCATGTAAGGGATGCCGCGTAAGCGTAGGTACCAGATCACCCGGCGCGCGTAGGGCGAGAAGGGGTAGTGGTAGAGGATCAAGGGAGGAAAAGTCGGGTTGGACATTGTGTGTTCGATGACCAACCACTGTAATGAATACAAGGAGAATCGACAAGTGATCTGAAATGGATGGCGAGTTGAACCGTCGTCTCTCCACAAACAAGCCCTGGATGTCGCGTTGGTACCAGTCAGAGTAATTCCTATGAAATAGAGCGAGCTTTTAAATACCTACAAGTGCAATACACACAGCTGCTGTTGTCCACGCCCTTCAGCCCGCTCCGCGCCCTAGAGCTCCAACCTCGGCTCCAGCTCTTACTAGCGGCGGCCGGCTCTCCAGATCCGGCACCCGGCTGAAGCGGGGATTGGTTGTGATGGCATCATGCCTAGCACCCCGCAACTCAACGTCACACGTGGGACCAAGGGGTTCTCTACAATACAAGTACCTGTGTTGAGTAATCAGTAATTGGGATGAGGTTTCCTACAAGAGCTCATTAATAGGACAATGCTGTTAGGAACAATGTCTGTGCGATGTGGAATTCATGTCTGAGACCAGGTAGTGGGTTAAACACCCGGATTCCCAAGGTAGACAGAGGTAAGCGCGCAACTTGTGGGTTAGTATGTAGGATTCATCTCAAACAACCACAGCTACGACTCAAAGCACTCGCAATCTGTTTAACAACCTAATCTTTATTTTGACGGCCAGAAGAACCGTCCCGAGTCTACTCTGGTATTTCTCAGTCCTTAAAGAGCCGATTGGGTACGCCATGGCTCAATCCCTCGCCGAGAAGACTGAATAAAACAGATCGCGACTCCGTAGGGTATGCTAGCTAACTTAGAATCGCACATCAAACTTCTAACAAAGGACATGCAAATGATGCTCCATGCTGTCGAGACATAATGCCCGACGCTCCGTAGCGAAGTGCCTCGCTGTATACAATGCAGCCGCGCAACCTTGCCGTTGCCACCCGTCCCTGAAATCCCCCAACCGATATATGCTGGACGCCTACCCCCCATTACTAACGCCATTGGTATCCTCCCAGAAAGAAATCATAAGGGAACGTTTCTGACGGGTCATCGAGCGGTCGTGGCCGCCATCTGGGGCGGCGGTGGTGGGGTTGGAACGGAGCTTGAATCGGTAGAAGCGGGCATGGTAGACACTGCAGTGGACTGGATCGTAGCTTGAGCTGGTTTAGGGGACACAGCGGCAGTGGTCTGCATCGGTTTTTCTAATTGACTCTCGGCGGGAGCAGGAGCCACTGTCGGGGTGGGATTCTTCGGTGACGCCTGGGCTGTGGCGGAAACCGCGTCTGGCATAGAGACATCTTGACTGGACTCTCGGGGCGCAGCGGGGACTGCAGGTGGCAGCAAAACTTGCGGTTCCGGCGCAGCGGACGCCTGAGGCTGCGGTTGGGATAAGGCCGGAGTAGCAGCAGAAGTCGAGGTTTGGGGTACGGTCGCAGCGGGAGTAGCAGAAGCCGAGGCTTGAGGTACAGTCGGAGCCGGAGCAGCAGAAGCCGAGGCTTGGGGTACAGTCAGAGCCGGAGTAGCGAGTACCGGGGTAGCGGTATGTACCCGCCCTGGCGTAGGAGCATCTTGACCGGAATCTCTAGTCGCAGCGGGAACTGCAGCATGAGACAGGGCTTGCGATGCCGGCGCAGCGGACACCTGTGGTTGAGGTTGGGCTAAGGCCGGAGCAGCAGCAGCAGAAGTCGAGGCCTTGTGTACAGCTGAAGCCGGAGTAGCGAGAACTGAGGGAGCAGGCTGCGAAGGCGCCTGCAATGCAGCCGGCGCTGCATTCGCGCCAACTACTGCTGCTTCGACAGACGGTTGGAACACATGGGATACAACCGAATTTGTGAGGGTCGGAGCGGGAGTAGCGAGAACTGAGGGAGCAGGTTGAGAAAGTGCCTGCGGTGCAGTCGGGGCTGCAGCCGCGCCGACGACTGGTGGCTGAGGAGAGGGTTGAGACACTTGGGATGCAACTGAATTTGCGGGAGCAGGAGCCGCTGCATGCCCAGGAATTTGGTGGGTGGACGCAGATATTTGTGCTGGAATGGGAGGCTTCGGGACAGGCGGGATTTGAGAGGCAACCTGCGCCGGGCTTGCGGCAGGGGTGACGACTTGTCGCGTGGCAGTAGCCGGTGCAGTAGCCGGTGCGGTAGGCCTCGCCGTTGCAGGCGGCGGCGCTGAGACGGGAGGACGAGGAATCGCCGGAACTGAGTGAGCCGGCGTCGGTGTCGTCTGCGGTGGTTTTACCGCGGGGTTCGGTGTTCCTGTAAACGCAACTGTCGCCGCCGGCGGCGCCGCAGGCTTGGAGGCACTTGGTGCCGGGGTCAGAGCGGGCGTGCTGGCAGAAGATGCGACAGCCGCGACGGTCTTTTGGTGCTCGGTGACTACCCGCTTGATGGCCGGAATGAGGACCGTCTCCGCTTCCTGGTACCGCTCCTTGTCGGGCATTGTACTCGTGTCGGCGAATCCCAATACACGATCCACAGCCGACAGAATTAAGCGCTCCGAGCTGAGCTTGCCCATTCGCGGTTCTAAAGTCTTGGTCATGTTGTCTTTGAAATTCACAAGAGCCTGGACTAGGCCCGGATGGAGAGATTGATTGGCACCGAGGTTCTTCCTGCTGGATTCAAACACCCCGTACACAATCTTCTCCAGCTCCTGCTCGTTTGGCACCGTGCTCTCGGTTGTCAACCCAAGGCCACGGTTTATGACGGACATGGCGAGCGCCTCGGCTGCCGAAGTGCGCTTTGCTAATTGCTCCGTGACTGTCTTCTTGAAGTTCGTCACGTACCTAACCAGTTCCGGCGCAACTGCGGGCTTGAGAGACGCATCGGTGCTGTTCATCGGCGCTGGTTGCGCTGGTCGTGGCCCAGCCGAGCCAGGCCCTCCAGCTTGCGTAGATGGGGTCTCTACTCGCGGCAGCCCATTGACCGGATTCGCCTGACTCTGAGATACGAAATTCTGTCCTGCCGCGGCCTGTACGGGAACGCCAGGCTGAACTGCGCCGATGGGTTGAGGTCTCGATGCGTACGGTGAAGAATAGCTTCCCATCTGTGTGGTCGCTGGCAACGGCCGTGCTGCACCCGGATTTGCAGAACCAGTTGTATGGGCAGCGCCTGATACTTGCATGGGAGGGGGATATGCTGGGCGATTGGGTTGCTGCGCAGCGGCACCGACTCCTTGAGCGATGAACTGCGGCTGTGCTTGTTGTCCGAAATTTCCTTGGCCAGGGCCAGGCGGATACCCTGGGCGCTGGGGCCCAGAACCCGGACGGTACCCGTGATGCTGCAAGGCTTCGCCGTGGACCATTTGCGCTGGCGGCATTCCCGGCGGGGGATAATGTTGGCCAAACGCGTGCAGAGACGTGGAACGATCAGGTGACGACGCTTTGCGCTTTTTCCCCGCATCGATATCGATACCTGCAACGCGACTCCAAAGGTGAGTCTCCTCGTTCTTCTTGAAGGCATCGTTGCCGATGAGGTTATGGCGGACACTGCTCTCCCAGCCCTTGGATCCGGCGAAGTAATAGTAGGGATACTTGATCTGGATCCTCTTGTAGATCTGCTTCAAGGTGAGGCCGTTGGGCGCAGCAGACAAGACTTCGTCTATCAGCACGCCATAGTTCTTGTTAGGTTTCTGCAGCTGCTCCTCGGTGAAGTCCTCCCTGTTCAGTTCCAGGGGTGGCGTCTTGGGCTTCTCTCGTCTCCTCTCTTTGATGGCCTTTTCGGGGTCCGAGCCCTCGCCCTCTTCGCCACTCTTGGATTTCCGAGGTTTATACTTTCGTTTCTCGGGCCTATCTGGCGCGTTTTCGGGCAGAGGATGTTTGCGCGGCCGCCCAACCTTTCTCTTGACGGGCGGGTCACCAGGCGGCGGTTGCGGCATGTTCTTCTTGGCCAACTCCATAGCTGCTTTCTTGCGTAGCCGCTCCTCCCGCTTTGACATGATACCATTCTTCGGCGGCCGTCCCGGGCCACGTTTCTTGGGGATGGGGGGGAAATCGGCTAATAACTCGGGAGGTATTTCAGGCTTGATGGCTGTCTGATCCTCGCCGTCTTTTTCAATCGTTTCCATGACTTCTTGGTCCGCCACCTCCTCCGGTTCCGGAATGTCCTCGCCCAGCTCTGAGAGCTCGCTATCGCTGTCCTCTTGTGCGGCCTCACCCGCAACTTCTTCTTCGGGACTCGTGCTCCGTCTTTCGACATCATGTGAGCTCTCGAAATCGAAGCTCATCTCCTTGCCCCCTTCAGAGTAGCGCCTGCTAGAGGCACCGTCTTCTTCCATGCATTCCTCGGCACCGGTTTTGCCGCGGGGAACGCCGTTGATAATGAAGACGAAATCAACATCCTTAATCTGGAGACGGTCGCCACTCCTCAGCACCACTGGCTCATCCTTATAATGAACGTCCTCGCAGAAGAAGCCGTTTTTGTGCAGCGGAATGGCTTCAAACACGCCCTTCTTAGGGTTGAACTGGATCCGCAGGTGCTCCCTTGAAATGGCCTTGGTCCTGCTGGCAATGTTTGGCCCCGGCGAGTGAATGCCGATGAATGGCACGTAGTAGGGCGAAGGCCGTAGAGCACTGAGATTTACGGCGGCTGCTCCTGGAGTATGAGAGACATACTGCCGGTTGAAGGTGAGATTCTTATCCTCCTGTCCGACCGGTTCGCCATTCGCAGACTCCTGCCGGTGCGAGTCACCCGACGCAGACCCGGCGCCGCCGCTCATTTTCCTCCTCTTGGCTGGGCGGGGCTGGTCCTCTCCGTCAGACTCGGGACCCAGCATGCCGCCCTCCTCGCTGACATACGACTTGCTGAATTTGCCTCGCTCTTGGGTTGGGGGAGAAGGAGCAGGCAGGCCAAGTTGCTCATTCTCGCGCACCTTGCGCTGGTACTCCTCGAGACGCCGCTCGTCCTTTCTGGCCTGTTCCAAGGCACGCTGGTCACGGCCAATGACCACGGCATATGTTGTCATCTGGAACACGCTGTCGGCAAACTCGATCCTTGCAAAGGATTCGAGCGGGTGATCGACGGGCGGGGCGCCGTGAGTAGCATCATTCGTCTGCAAGGGGGTCTCGGGTGTGTCGAGCAGCATGTTAGAGGGACGGACAGTCAGCGGAGGAGCGCCTGCTGTCTGTGATGCGGCAGACAGACGGGCGAGGGCCATGAGAAGCTGGGAAGGATGCTGGTAGAAGTCGACGCCTGCTCCGGCAGTGTAGTCCATGGCGGGGTTCATTAACGGGTCGAGGTCCATTGCATCAGTCATGGCCGTGTCTATGTTGTCTGGCGCAGGCCCTGCTAGCGGCGGCTGTTGTTCTTCGGACGCCTTGGAATCGACGGGGAGAGCAGCGGATGGGTTGGCGTTGTCGTTGTTTGGACTTGGATCATTAACATCATGAGCAGCATCCGCGCCGTCTGTACTGGGATCGAGATTCACATTAACCGACGGCTCGCGGTTTCCTGGGTCAGCAGGGTCTGTGAGCGGAGAAAAGGCGGGCGGCGCCGGCGATTCAGCACCGGCGCCGTTCAGCACCGACGAGGTCATCGCTTGTTGTTGTGTTTTGGATGCTTAATTGGAACAAGCTCTTCCATCGGTTCGGCCTCGTCGGCGTTGAGCCTCGGCAAGCCTAGGGCAAGCAAGCGAGCAAGCTCAAAAGCGGTTGCGGATTCTTTGCTGCGATATCTGTTTCCGTGCCCTTCTTTGGTTTGGTTAACCTTCCCGAACTCTTGGCTGCCGAAATGCGCGCCTGCTTGCACCATTCAAGGTGTTTTCATTGGCAGCAGGCGGGACCATGGAACCCAAAATTTTAGGTGACCGCTAAACTTATCGGCAGGTAGCACGGGGATTGGCTGTAAAAGCCCCGGCACCCCACCTTCCCAAGGATTTACAAGCAGTTGGCTTGGCTAGGACCGCTAGGTTGGGCTCGGGCGCCATTGCCGAGTTACACTTCACCCATCTGACCGCCGAGTGTTAACGTAGGTTCTTTCCTGAACACGCACATCACAGCATGGACTTGATTCGGGATTCCCTCAGATATTCACTCTTGCAACAGTGATGGGAAGGATCTGGTTCCAATTCTATGTGAACAGAATGCAATTTCATAAACCACTTGTTCTCGCGCTGTTCTGTTTTCACTGCGTGCTGTTATGCATCTTTGATGACTCGTTTACCTATGAGGGCTTGACAGACTCATTGAACGCGACGCTTCCATCCCAGAGTGAAAGAGAATTGAGAAGATGGAAGGAAGCGTGGCAGTGTTAAGTACAGAGTATCTGTGCAACTGATGAGTGCTTACTGCAGATCCAACTAATACATAGGTACTAGTCCATGTTTTGAAACACGGCCAGATCGGCCAGGAACAGGCCTCGTTGTGCAAGACTTTGGCGGCGTAGCTAACACCGTTGTTCCGCGCCGCCCTCAAGCATCTCTGTTTCGGTGTTTCGGGGCCGGCCCGAAGTCTGCCCGCTGACCGTCCATCCGAGCCTAGCACATCAGGCCCAATTGCTATTGTTATGTTATTCGAGTTTTGCTATGCTTCCTTTCGAGGCCCAAGGTAGCAGCCTCGACTCGTTCTACCATTGATTGCGACCATTGCATCTCACCTCGTGCAGCTCACCAATATGACCGCTTTAGCAGGGGCGATGCTGGCCTGGCCGGGCATGAGCCTGGTTCTAGCAGACGGCGATGTGCCCGCATACCAGGCCGGCGATCTGTTTCGATGATCTCGTTTCTAAACTGGTCGAGATGAACAGATGAAAGCCGTGGCCTATAAACAAGAGCATCTCTTCTGCAGTCGAAGCTCTCCTCGCCTTCACCTCTAGTCGGGTCAACCATGGCGACCGCAAGCTCACCATCTGCTATGGACTCATCGACAATACCCGCCGAGGCCCAATTTGGGCATGGCGTGCCTGCCAGTAACGGACAATCGGCCCCGAGAGACCAGCGCCATTCGGAATCAACATGGCCTTTACCCCCAAAGCCTGCATCTGGGGAGACAAGGGCCTCTTCGACGGGTAAGCGAGTGCGCAAGCAGGAGTCGAGTCAGTCACCAGAAGCACGATCCCCGCCAGAACGACCGGCAAGGTTGCCAAAGATTACTATCCAAATGGAGGCTGCATCGCAACCGCAGGCGCTCGGAGTCGGGGGTCTACCTTACGACCAAGCCAACGCTCACGCAAGCGTCCCAGAGGGTGTGACGGAACGCTCAGGAGGCAAGACTTCAGCCTCCCGCCCAGGAGTCCCGAAGCCGCAGCAGGTCACCAACGCGGCCGCCGCTCCACCTTCTGTAAGGACGGAGAGCCGTTCGGAACCGGTCCCAAGCTTTTCGTTCCCAAGACCTTCAGCTCGGAAAGCTAGCACTGATCCGGGAAATGTTATGGAGGCACCTTCAACCAGCACCGCTAGCGCAAGCTCGAACCGCACGGCTCCATTCTCTCAGCCGGGACCGTACCCGGCACCCCTTCGTCGTGGGACGCGTGATACTTCCGCCGGAGATTTAACCGAGGACCGAGAATTTCCGGCTCCGTTGCGCGTTGGAAACACGGCGCCTAACCCAGTCGACGACCAAATGGCCGGAACGTTGGGGATTTATGCAGCCGAGACAAATATAAGCCAAACGGATATTCCCATTGTCTTGGATACAAGGCCCCCATCAGAAACCACACGACCTCGTCAGGGATCGTCACCACCAACTTTCCAGCCGCGGACCAGCGACGTCCACCAGTTTCCGCGGAAGCCTGTCAGATCGCCTCCGAGACCCTCACCGCCGATGGGCTCGTCTAGGGCCTCGCCCTCTCAGACTCAGATGGGCATAGACCCTCTGAGATCATCGCCGCCTGTTCCTCCCTCCAAGTTAGACCATCCGGCGAACCATTCAACGGCCTACAGGCCTTCCACGGCGAACTCTCCGCCTCAGACTCAAGGCGTGGCAAGCGGATCACCTCCAACAGGTACCCGCCCTCCCAAACCTACGAGGCAGACAACATGGACAGGGGCATCCTCCCAGGTTACCAGTCCTCCTGGAGTCACCAGCCCACCGAGGCCAGCACCTAGTCCTCCTAGGGGAGCCAGCCCACCGAGACCAGCACACAGTCCTCCCAGGATTGCCAGCCCGCCAAGGCCAGCGCCCTCGTATATGGGACGCAACCATAGCCCCTCGAACTCTGTCGATTCCAACATGTCTACAGACTCTGCCAGCTCTACGAGACCACTGTTCCAGCCTCAACGGCAGAACACCGACTTGTCGAAGGGGAGCCGGCAGAATTCGGAGCTGGACAGGAGCAAACTTACAGTCGGCAATGGCGGGTTCCACGGCGCAGGTGACGGCAAAATGGGGGCGGGACAGTCGCCGTACATGAACGTGCTCCGCTCATACGACAAGATCCCGCGCGTGCACAACATCCTTGTCTCGTTTTTCGTGTGGATTCTGTTGGCCGGCTTCGTCATCGTCCCCGGCTCCTTTACCAGCCTCAAACGCAGAGTGCAAGATGGCGGGACCCTGCCTCCCGAGGTCGGACGCACCGGCGGAGAAATTGAGAAGTTCCTCCTTACACGCGACAACACGATAGCCATGGTGATTGGCTTCGTCTGCATAGGCGTCGGCGCGTTCGGCTCGGCGTGGCTCGCCCTGCGGTGGCGGCGCGACTACGTGGGTCTGTTCAACTACGTCTGGCTATTGAACAAGCTGTACATGCCACTAATCCTGGCCTCGTCGGCGGGCCTCATTGCAAACTTTACGGCCATTTACACGCAGCAGGTGGGGGAGTGGAGCACGCCGGCCGTCATCTCGGCCATCGTCGAGGCGTCGATCCTCGGGGTGAGCCTGCTTCTGTATTTTGCCTACAATTACTGGCTGCAGCAGCGGGTGCGCGCCGAGAAGGAGGGGACCTTTACGGGGTGGATGGAGAAGAAGTCAAGAATGAACAAGAAGAAGAAGAGAGGCGCCAGGTTGAACGGGTTGTTGGCGCGGCTCGGGAGGGTCCGCAAAAAGTCGGTGGTCAGTGTGGTGTGAAATAGATGGGCAGTGTTTGTAAGAAGGCAGATCGCGAGATCACTCCAGGATACCCGGCGCATAGTGCATTAGAGCGGGCGCGGCGCATGTACTTGTACACCAAACTGTTTTTGACTTTCATGTAGCTGTCTAAATACAACCAATCTAGTCTTTTTGCCCTCGGCCCCTTTTTCACAACCCGTCACGTAGCAGCGGCCTCCTCTCCCCTTGCCTCCCGCTCCCTATCACCCCCCATCGGCTCTCGACCCACCTTGACACGCGGTAGGCAGCATGACAAGCCATCCCGGCAAGGAACCCAACGGCATCATTCTTGAAGGCCAAGATGCCCATGGCGGTCACCATCATAACCATCCACCCTTCTTCCGCTTCCCCCTCTTCCCGTTCCCCATCCCCCTGACCTTCCGCAATCACAGCCCCAGAAGAAGAATACGAAGCCTTTGCCAACTCCAACCCCGCAGCAAGCACCATGACCCCCAACACGCTGCGCGGAAACCTCGCCAGCACCCTTGCCGCAGTCCCTCCACTACCCCCAAGCAATAACAACAGCCCGGCGCCAAACTTGGCCGCGCCGAGGAGGACGACACTCGCCCCGCTGCGGGCGCCGAAGCGGTGCTGTGCCGCAAGCCCTCCGGCGCCGTGGCACACGGGCATGGCGCCCCAGCCGCACGAGAGAAGGTTCATGAGCCCGACCGACACGCCCAGCGCCGTGGTGCTCGCCGGCCCTGGCCCTGCTGGTGGAGAAGAAGAAGAAGAATGTGGTGGTGGTGAGGGAAAAGTGGGAAAAGGGGGGAAAGGGGGCGGGTGTGGGGGGTATAGTGAAGTTGCCAAGGCTGAGGCGGCGAGGACTGAGTTGAGGGTTGTCAGGGGCAGCTGGGCGAGGGCGGCGGAGAGGGCTTGCGGGTTGGTGAATTCCGGTTTGTGCCAGGTGTACGACTGGTAGGAATGACTTGAATCTGAGTGGTGGGATGGGGTTGACAGCGACGAAGAAGATGAGGACGGGTGGGAAAACAACGAGGCAACAACGCCGAGCAAAAACACCAGCAGCGCAAAGGGGAATCGCGGGCCCAGGCGGGCGGTGGCAAAGAGCAACAGGAACAGGAAGATGGCCAGCATGCGCGTGTCGAGGTCGGGCAGCGGACGGAGCCAGGGGAGCGGGAGGATCAGTGCCGTAGCGGCGGAAATGATTAGACGTAAACCAGCGCCCAGCTGGATGCCCTGGATGAGCGGGCGCGGGATCACGCGGGTCAGCAGCCGCATCAGGCCTGTCACGCTCAGAATGAGCACGGCGAAAGAGACCAGCGCGCCCGACGCCGTTACCACGGGAAGTGGGGTGTGCAGCGTCAGCGCCGAGGAGGCGATGGCCTGTTGGGAGTATAAGCGAATTGTGCAGTAGATGGGGAGGTGGACGGATATCTTATTCTTACCTTCATGGGCTGCACGGGTAAGGGGATGCCAAACAGGACCCCCGTCATGATATTGAACAGACCGGAGAACACAAGGGTCGCGGGCAGGTCGATCGATCCTTGCAGCGCCAGGGCCATCATGAGCGGGAGCAGCGTGCCCAGGTCGCCGAGGGCCCCTGACATCTCGGCCGCCGGGTTGGCCCGGAGCATGCGGAGGTTGTGCCGGTTGCGCCGGCCGAGCTCGGCAAGGAACGAGTTCCGCATACTAGAACTAATAATCACGCAAAATAAAATGTGGTTTATGAGTCAAGTGAGTGCAGCATTGGTAGTCAAGAAGTCAAAGCATGGCAAGTATGTATTGTACATATAATTATGTAAATAGAAAAATCAGGGTTGAGAAACTTGTAGAAACTGGCTTTCCAACGATTTACGCATCTCCGGAGTGGTCTTAGTACTAAACTCTCCTACCCACATCAGATAAGTACTAGTAGGTGAAATCGGGTATAAGCCACGGCAAGCGTCCGCACTCAGCGTGGAACATGAATTATCCTCATTATTGACATAATAGTAAGCATGTCGTTGCATATCCAAAATCCGGCACTTAACAAGCCATGCTGCATGCTAATTAATGAAAGGGGTATGATTCCAGATTTTCGTGATCCCGCTCAACTCCCATCTCCACCTCCTTTACCACCAACCTCATGATGACCACCTAGCTCATGATGAGTTGACCCTCGTCCGACGCTAATACCGACAACGGATGCTCCTAATATCCCTTAGCCGGAGCCGTCCTCCTGCGGTGCAGCCTCGCCGAGCAGCTGTACAACACACCAGTCAGCTCATGCACCACTAATCATAACAATATATATTCGAGAAGGGGTGCCACGTACCAAGTGAAAAACACCACTATCGCCCCGAGCAGCGAGCAGATGGCACTAACAAGCAGCGTCCAGGCAGCCGAGGAGTAGTATGCACTAGCACCCGTGCCGTTGTCGTTGACATTAGACCGGACGACGCTGAAGAGGACAAAATCGATAATCGTGGCAACCGCCGTCGCGAGGAAGGCGAGCAGCGCCACCAGGCTGGCCAGCAGCGAGCCCACCGTGCCGGCGCCCAGGGCGAGCATGAAGGCGATGAAGTTGAGCCCGCACGCGATGGGGTGCAGGATCATGGCCCGCGTCAGCGACCGCGTCGAGTCCTCGGCGTAGTCCGAGAACTCGGTGGCCCCGCCGTCGGCGACCCGCATCACCTCGGCCGGGGAGTAGCCCAGCTGTGACGGGGAGCAGTTAAATCTTGAGCAATACAAGTATTAGCTTTTTAACACGGCCTCTTTTTTTTACTCATTGTTGGTGAAGCAAAAAGGAGCTTACCGTCCAAGCACATCTTTCCAGCACCAGCCGAATGTGCCAAAGTACACGGATGAGTGGGGTTGGCCTGAGAGGTCAACTTTGAACAGGGCAATCTCGTCGACAACAGGAGCAGAGATGCAAGTGATGATGAGTAGTATTGTAGCCGAGAAGAGCAGGAAGGTGCCGAAGTGGTGGAAGAACCCTGTTACGGCCATGGTTGGCTACTGTGATGTCTGCAGCGTCGGAGTAAGGTAGTGCTGGAGAGGCTGGACAAATACGGTGAGACCCGAGGAATGAACACAAATGCGGAAGCATGACAAATGAGCAAATGTGGGAATCTGAGGGTATATAAGAACGTCAGTCAGCCTAACATTATGCGTATGGGACGAGAGCAGTGACGATCCCCAAGGGCCGCGACAGCCCGCCAACCAGCTTTCTTGCTGGCATCACCCCATCACGGGAAACAAGACCACACACAAAATCCAAGCCAACGTCAACGTCATCCGAACTTCTCCCTGCCGATTGCTCTCTCCCTGCAGGGGTCTCGCATGCCCGGGGATGGGCCTGGCACGGCTGCACGGCAATGGCCGCAACCAGTTCGTTCTAGCTTCCCTTCCCGTAGGGCATGTAAGTGTACCGCAGTAGTGTAGGTACTTTGCCTGAAGCAACCACACGCGATGAAGCTTCAAGGGCGTGGGGTTCCTGGCCTCGCTGTGTCGGTGGCCCGGCGATGACGTAGATGCAGTTGCAAATCAAGATGCTGTGTTGGGGCTTGGCGTTTCCAAATTGCGGGGCGGCCACTGTCTCACTGCCCAGTTTTTGGTGAGGTCAGGACTCAGGAGGAATTCGGAGGATGCGGTCGTTCACCACCTCCAAACAACACTGTGATTCGGCCGGATTGGGAGGCCATGTCTCAATTCGACTGAAAATCCATTCCACCGTCACTGCCAGCCCAGTTCAACAGGCAAGCCGGACAGATGCCGAAGGCACTTTTGCTCGGGCAGTCGCCGGTTTCCAACGACATTGCTACTCCCGAATTAGATATTTGAAAGTTGAGATACTTCCCTTAACGAGAAGCTTAGCCGCTCTTCACACAGCCATAATCGTCCAGCAATCCAAGTCGTCAACCGAAGCCCGCCCCTGTGGCTCTCTTTCCGCCGTGCGCAGTGCGGCGCTGGGCAGACCATTTCGCCCGCATCGACTCGCCCAGTCTGGCAAATCATCCAGCTCCCCGGAGACAAGAGCCAGACCGGAGAGCATAAGAAAAAGCGGAGGCTTTGCGGTTGTTACGCGTCCTGCGCATCCGATGCTCCCGCGGTAAGCAGACGGGGCCGGCACAGCCACAGTCACGGCATGAGCTGTCGCCAATAGGGTCCGGGCCGTAAATCGGTGTACATACATAGTGTATGCTCCCCATTAGCACATGTAAATTCTTCCGCGAGCTGAGCTGAATGATGTGCTTCAATGGCTTGCGATGCCGTGGACCGGCAGAGTTTGCTCCAAAGCTAGGCGGCGTCCATGGTTCACGGCCGAGGTATATTGGCGGCCTCCTTGACCATGAAATTCCCGTCATATTCCTCCTCTTCCAATCTACTGTTTCTCTGGTTGCCCTTTGTCTGATTTATGCCGGGAGTTGTAGAGCTCGGTCAAGCTTCGGAACCCGGGCTGGGCCATTTTACGTCTCACGCGGGTTTCAATAAAGTGCTTTTCCTTGGAAAGAAGGGCTGCGTGGGAGTCGGGACCCTCGAGTTGACCGCCTGTTTCCCAGTCCGAGAGGCCCTCCCAGGCCATGTCCCGGGGCACGGCTAGCCGCAGCGCGCTTCTGGCAAACGAAGTCTGGTGGAATAGGCTCTGCTCTTGGGGCCAGCGGCCGTGGATGGGTGACTCCTTGATACGTGTCCGGTGCAGGTAGTCGGGCTCTGCATGCACGTACACGGTGAATGTCTTGTGCGGGCTTGATGCCTTTGCGGACCCTGGAGGCTCATGGCCTTGCTGGGGATTGTAATCGAACTGGAATGGGCTTTTCCCGATAATGGAGAGAGCAGACAAGTGGCTTGTTGCAACCGAGATGAAGCAAGAAGGATCCTAGGTATAGGGACGGGGTCAGAACTGCCAGCGGAAACTGGGCCCGAATTGGACTAACGTAAAGCTTCTTGAAAACATCGATATCGGTGTACTGTCGTAGCACCCGTAAGACGGCTCGCCGCTCCGTCAGATTTGCCGGTGCCGGCTTAACCTTGACAAAAAGGGTCCGCAACTTGGCTGGTGTAAAGCGTTTGGCAGCGGCGAAGTGCGACGCCATGTTCGGAGTCCAAGCCTGTCCATGGTTGTCGAACGACGGAAGGAGACTGTTGAGAATAATTGAGATTTGCCCGTGCGAGCTAGCAAGTGCCAAGGCTGGTGTGGGGCCGGTTAACTGATCCGACAAAAGTCCCCTAATTTTGACGTTACAAGTTAACTCATCAGTTTTCTTTTCTTTTTTTCTCATCACAACCACATTATCAACTTGCCCAGCCTTTCCTCACTGCCTCCAACTCTTTCATGGACTGAAGTTCCCGAGACGGACGATTTTGGCACCTCTTGTTCGTATTGGCTGCCACTATTCGAGGTACCTTCTTCAATGCATTCTACACTGCACGGTCCCCATCAGCATGTCCCATCACAACGGTTACTGTACAGTACATACAGACACATACAGCGCACGCTACACGGCAGATGTCTACACTACGGTCTCGTAGCTGCCCTCTGTCCGTAGTGTATGTATGTACACGTGTAAATTTGATGTTTGTCCACCTTTTGCATGACGAAAGGAGCGCTTGGCCCTCAACCTATTGCATTTAAGGCCCGAGATAATTGGGCTTTCTAGTGTATCAACTGTATGCATCGTAAATACATCGGTAACGCCGTCCAGCTGCAGTTGGCTTGATCAACTGAACCAGTCTGCGGCATCCCGTTTCTAGCCCCGATTGGAGATTGTGGTGCATGAAGACGGCCCAACGATTTCCACCAAGCCTACCCAGAGCTCCGGTTGATGGGTCAGCTGGTGGAACTCTGCAAGATCGGGATGAAACAGAGGTCACGGGAATATGGAAATAATCATGAAATATGCATGCAAACATTTAGAAGAGAAGAGCAACCGCGAATAATGCATACCTGCCTGATGTCGGGCGTTTACGACGCTGCCCTCAGTGGGTTATTCGTGAGCAAATCGATAAGTTACTCCCGGCCAAACTCAGACGTGGATAGGTAGGGGTAGGCGATTGCACAAGACTATCAGATCCTTGCTCCTGTTCATCACACTCGGCAGAATGAAGCCTTCGAGCAATCGTGCAAAGCAAAGATGAAACAGACCTGGGCATTGAATAGCGGCTTCGATTAGGTATGGTGAGACTCGTCCACGGATGGTCGTTGACGCCACAAGCAACCAGCTACCCATAGATATGGGTTCGGCTCTCAACTTGACAAAGGGCTCGGGAAGCTTGCCGAGGATGGATGTCGAGGGTAAGTCTAAATGTGCAATTCTCAGCAACACTTTTAATAGATTGCAATCTGGCTCTCTATCAGTAATAATAAGGGAGACGTGTTAAGCATCAGACTGCCATGATCTGCAGCAACTTTGGTCGGGATGGCCTTGGTGCAATTGGCACGGGCTCCGTTGGCAGTTTTACCGATTGAAGGGTATCCCGGCCCCTTCACCAACAGGAGCCGGCCCGGCTTGACCTGCCGGATGGAGAAGACACCCGAGGCTTTGGGACTCGGGAATGTCTACAGTGTCAGCACTGTCAGAACTGTCAGCCAGCGATAAGAGGCCTGAGCTCTCAGTGAGCTGCCAGTGGTCCTGTTGGAGGGTTGCAACTTGCAAGCCACATTGTAAAGATGAGGAATGTCGCAACCCAAAGCAAACCACAGAACAGCTTTTACCCACGTCGCACCGCAAGGGAGTGTCGGGCATCAGTAAGGTTAAGTGTACGGAGTAGGCTCCATTTTCATCCCGCTAGGTGCTAGCAACGCGCTAGAGACAAAGCAGTTTCCCGTCTCTCCGTCCGACCGACCTACAAACGATACGACATCACCTCGAGCTGCCCACTTTTTCTACAACGCTCGCCGCCTGGATGTGTTCCAGCCAACAAAGGAATAGAGGGCTGCACTCCTGTCGTGGATACAACGTAACTCTCGTAGTTGTTCAACTTCCAAATGTTTCACAGCAGTCGAGAATTCGCACTGCGAGTTGGTGGCATTCGATGCATTGGGGAAGGAAATTGAAGGCTGTCACTCGCTCTCCGACGGTTTGGTTCGAAGGTAGCACAGCAGGCAGTCATACATACAGTGCGAATCTGTTCAAGAGCTGCGCACCCAATCAAACTGCTTTGCCCACTGGGGAACCTGTCTCCATCCAGGGTTCCGAGCTGGTGGGAGAGGGGGCAGGGAAGACCGGGGAAGCGCCGCTCGCAAGCCAACACCTCGAACGGACTTCGCGCGAACAAGGCTCATGCTCCAGCTCGACAGAGACTAGGGCGTTTGGGGCGTCTATGCGCCGGAATTGCTGGCCTTGTTAGTTCGCAGGCTGCCGCAGTCTCGCAGAAGCCATTCCCCCTTTGATTCCTTCTTTTTGTTACCTTACCAATTTCGTCTTTGTCAGTATTTGTTCATCTCACTCCGTTTTGCTCGAGACAATAGACTACATACTCTTCGGAGCTGTTATCTTTCCGAAACTGACCCTCCCCATCGAGATTTCACGAATGTATCTTCGGAGTCACAGGAAATAAGGCTGTATGTGATTGACAACACCTGCATCGCCAGCCTTCAGCTCTGTTGCATCAACCACCTGCGACCGCACAGTCCGCATCCGCCGATTGACGCCGAGCCGTCGCGGCCGGCGAGGGCGCAGGAGCGCTCAAATGTCCGCATAAGCTAGCGCTTGTGCTTCCCAACCTCGGTCCTTGCGGTATCACCTTGCTTGACACGGCGTCAATTCACCATGTATGAATCCACAGGCTGTGGAACCCAGGACGTCGCAGCGGCAGGAAATCATGGCAACCACGGGGTCCTAATGCAAGCGTGGGGACACGCAGGCGGTCGGGAACAACACCAAAAGCAACAGCAAGAGCACCAGCAATACGAACACCATCGTCACAATCAGCGACGACATGCACCTCAAATATTGGAGTCTTCGCCGCCACCAACCGATACGCCGTCACCAGAAGCAGGGGGCAGATCGTCTCCAACACAAACCGTCGAGAAGTTGGCTCGCAGACTGAGCAGGCAGAACTTGCAGTTGGGTCAACAAAGCTATGCTCCAGTGCAGACGCCGGAATCCACATCGAGCTTGCCAAATGTCTTACAAATACCCAAGTCTCGCGAGTGGACCGAGCCTGAAGCCTATACCCAACCACAACAGGCCTTTGCTCACCGGCCAGTGTACAGCCGCATAGCTCCATGGCTGCTTTCAGTGCCTGACATGAACGAGCCGATCGAGGTGGATGAGGCCTTTGCCGGAGAACCTAGCGAAGACCGGCCTGACTCTAAGCGTTTCCGCCCATGGGAGAGCGCACATCTCCAGGGTGGCTACATCAACAGCCGCCCAGTCGACCTTAGCATACAGAGCATGATCGCAACCGAGACAACATGTAGCGTGCGCGATGAAGCCCCACTCGTACCAACAATATCGCCACCATCAACATCATCCGAGCTGGCGACAAGGCCCGAAGCGGCCAGTCATCTACCCGTCATAGAACCCGAGCTTCAGTACGCCATGCCGCGCTGCGACCTTGAGCCCGACGACGCAGGGGACGAAGAAATGGGTGATGTTCTTAAGGAGGAGCTCTCTCCGGTCGAGAGTGGTATTCTGCGGGCCGCGAGGGGCCCAGGAAGAATCAGAAAGTACACTGTCGACGGTGTGTCGTTGCGGTACCGGCTAGCGGTCGATGCCGCATTACGCTGCGGCACCGTGGTGCGAAGCCGTCCCAGGATGCGCAAGCGGCATAAAACACGACATGGAAGCGTCCCGTCTCCGGCAGCAGTATCGGCAGCACCTTCACCTGCTATATCAACTTTGCCATCGGCATTGCCACAGCCACATCCCTCTCCGCCGCCATGAATGGGATTTCTTATCTACGTCTTGATTCACTTTTGGTTGTTTTGAAAGCAGCGCACATTACATTATACCCTCTTCTATGCCGAGTTTTGCGCACTCGGATTGTTCGTTCAGGGACCATCTTGGAGGGTTTGAAAGGCGTTCAAGTGTTGGTGAAACACTTACGTTGGCAGATAGTCGGGCAGCTAGATTTATTAGCTGCCTAGATTTGGGATTGTGGAGTTCTGTGGAGTTCTACTTCTTTGTGGGAGGTTTTCCATAATACTGGGCACTTAGAACGCGGTTGCCGGGCCATTGTTGGGCGCAAGGGTCAAGCTCACCGAGCATTTAGAGTTTTTTCACAGTTTCCCTTTGCCCCTTTGCCGGCCAGGGCAGCTCAAAGGGACTGATGGGCATGTATGAGACAAGCACTTAGACCTTGGATAAGAATCGCATAACCCCGCCCGATGAGGCGGCAGCTCCTCTTCAGTGTTTTGACCTTTATCCCAGCTACTGATGTGGTTGAGCCTGGCTTTCCAGGAAACACTCTGAGACTGACCAGCGTTGAATGAGCCGAGCGTTTGCTAGGTGAGTGTCCAACTACGACACAATTTCATACAGATTGCACTCTCACATGACGTTACAGGACTATTCTCAGCTTGTGCTTGCTGCGTATGTTTGGACACATCCTCACCAACCGCTAGGGGAAGGGCTGCTACTGCTGGGCCGGGTTGAGCCGGGTGGACGGTCCCACATTCCAAGCGCCTCGTACGCTTTGTGTTCGCCACCGAGCCATCTCGAGTGTCCTGACCCAAGCTCGAAGGCGACAAAGGATACTGCCGTTCCTTTGTAGGTTGGTCAGCTTCATCAGAGTCATCCACCGCGTCATCCCCGGGAACTAGGTCGTGAGGGTCGGCGTGATGGCTAGACCCGAATGGTCAGGATCATGACTTCTTGAGAATGCTAGATCGCTCCAGGCAACCCACACATTCCTCGCTTCCTCGGCCGGTCAGGGGGCACATGCATGGATAGGACCTCAGTCTACAAATGTCTGGGCCACTCCCCCCTCCCCCTTTCCTCTTCATATCATCTGTTGCTATGGCAGGCCGAGTGGTTTGTTGACGTTCCAGCTCGATCCCTCCACCAAATCCCCTTTCCCCCGGGCAACCCCGTTGGGCACCATGGCACCCTGGAGCAATGCAGGAATCTCCCACTCACGTATCCCATCCCAGCAGCAAAGCTCAGCAGCAAAATCTACAACGCAAAATCTCTGCGACGACCCAGGGTCCTCCAACAATGGCCGGTATAGATGGCATGGCGTTCACAGCTAGCGGACTACCCCTCCCTGCGAACAAAGAGAACGGCACTTTCTGCTGGCAGGACATGGCGAACGAGGCGGGGTCGACGGATTTCTTTGACCAATACGTTGAGCTTGGAGACTCGGACGCGGAATCACGCGGAGAAGGGGTCGGCCGCCTCGGCCAGTACTACGGCGCGTCGGAGCTGACAATCTCGCCACATCCACCCGCTGGGCATGTGCCTCCCGCCGATGAAGTTGGGCCAGTGGCGGGAATCGTGCCTAATCCGCAAGGTCGCCTGCTTCCCGCAGGGGCCATAGACGCTGGCAGTACTGCTAGCTTGACCACGTATCCGACACCGTCGACGGCGAAATTTCCGCGGCCACGGCCCGAACAGAACCCTCTTCATCGAGGAATATCCAGCATGGCAGGATTCAGTGGTCAAGAAACCAAGCTAGAACAGCCGGCTCCCCCTATCGGCCTTGGTGAGGCGCGCAGTGCCGGGGGTTCTATTTCGGACTCAGAGCTGCTGAGACTTGAAGGCCTCAGTATGCGATCGCCGCGTGTTCAAATGCACCCGTCTGCGTCTGTGCCTGCGACACCTCCTTCACAATCTCCCAGCCCTCGCAAAGCTGGCCGGTTGCACGAGTTTTGCTCCAAGATCCGCAGCAAGGCGGCGGCGTTGCCCGGGAAGAGACAACAGCCGGAAGCCAAGGCGAAATCAGACTCGCTAAGTCCGCTCGAGATTCCCATCATGTCCACCGCCCAAATGGAGCCGGCCATAACGTCCGGGCGATCGCGGCCGTACAGTCCGAACCTGTCCACCGCGACGTCCCTCTCTCCGCCAAACGCCAGCGCCAGCGCCATGTCCGCGCCCTCGCATCAACCGCTCGTTGGCCCCAGCAGCAGCAACAACAGCAACAGCAAGGCGGGTTTTGTCAACGGCTTCCTTGATGATCCTTTTATACCGGATGGCCTCCCGGGAACGCAGTTCGTCCAGCCTTTTCAGGCCGGCAGCACGCTGCCTCAGACCCCCCTGCAGACCCCTTTGCTGGATAGCATTCCGGTGTGGCAAATGCCGCTGTCCGCTCCTAACAACAAGCCGCTTTGGGTACCAGACTCTTCTCAGTACTTTGTCGGCGCTAATTCCGCTACCAACAACAATTGGTGGGAACCTCCAGCCGATGTGATGGATACGGATCCGCCTTCGATCCCCTTACCGCTATCCTACCCGGCTGCCACAAATGCCCGCAATGCGTCCCTCAACCTCGCCAATGCGCTTAATAATCAACAGAGCTTTGAGTATCCCGCGCCCCCGGGCACCGAAAACGGAAGCTTTACCTCGGGAGGTCTTATGATTCACATGCCGCAGCCGCGGGCGGGCCCTTCGCCCGTCCTTTACAACGACTCCGCCAGCCAGGGACTAACCCGCACAGATCAGCACCACCGCCGACCGAAGCCGCGCGCGCCGTCGTCTGGAGCCCGCCATCATCATTACAACGCCAACGGCACAGGCTTCTCCCCACGAAAGGCCCGCGCCGCAAGCGGCAGCTCACGCGGTTTCGAGCCCAATTCCCCCAGCCCAACCACCCCTTCGCAAGCACCAGGAGCAGGAACAACAGGAACAACAGCAATTGCCACCTCGTACCCCCCAACCTCCCCTAGTATAGGCCGCCTCCACCGGCGTAGCGCATCGATGCAGACCCTCTCGCAGACGGGGCTGCCGTCGGAGCCGCCCACCGCAATCCGCAAACGCCGCAGCTGGACTGGCCGCCGCACCACCACCTCCTCATCTGCAACCGCCCTCCGCCGCAACCACAGCCACAGCAGCTTAGCCCTACCTTCGCTCTCCACCACCGCCCAGATCGTCGCCGGCAGCAGTAGCAACACCGGCAGGAGACGGACAACAGTTACCACCTCAACATCTACGCCGTCGACTCCCAACCTGAACCATCACCACACACATCCCAACAATCGCCGCAAATCCACCACCACAATTACCAGCAGCAGCAGCAACATCAAGAACAACAACAATCGTAACGCTAGCAACGCTGCACTCGAGAATGTGGCGGCGGCGGCGGCTGGGGCAAGCAGCGACGGCTTCGTCAACTACACGCCACAGGACCGCACGCTGCTCATGACGGGCGTGGCGCCCTCGGGCAGCTCCAAGACCAAGGCGCGCCGCGAAAAGGAAGCCGTCGAGCGCCAGCGCGAGTTCCGCGACCGCCTGGCCCGCATGGTCCAGGCCGTTCAGGCCGCGGGCGGCGACGTGAGCAAGCTTAGCGGCGAGCTGGTGGACGGCGTTGATCCGATGATGATGGCGATGATGCCGACCGAGATTGATGCGGCGGTGGGGTTGGGTTTCCCTTCCTCTGCCTCTTCCGGGGTTGCTACTGGTAGTACTAGTGCTAGTACTGGTACTGGGAGTGCTACGGGTACGGGTACGGGTACGGGTGGAGGCTCAGGTATGGTTTGAACGTCAACAAGGGTGGTGCTGTTATAGATGGTAGTGATGGCCCTGGTACTAGTGTTGGTGCTAGTAATGGGAGGGAGGGGTATAAGATTGAGTAAACCATTTTCCCTTCTTTTTCTTTCTTTCTTGTTTTTTTACCGAGGCGGGGGGTGGGAGTTTCAGGCTGTGTCTTCGTGGTTTGTTAGCTTTATGCTTTCCCCTATTTCTAACACTTTTCGCTTTGTTTTGCGGGAAGATGCGGAGTAGGGGTGTTGCTGACTCGTGATAGGGACTGCATGTGGGATAAGGGGACACTACAGATCCCGGGGGTTGGAAAGGGGGAGATAATCATGTGCTAGAGCGGGGATGCTGAGGTCAGAAACTGAGTGAGTAGGAGTCAAGGGGCGGGAAGGCGGAGCTGTGAGGTTAGAAGCTGGGAATGAGCTAAGGGGTTGTTTTCCATTCTTGTCTGTCTCTCTGTACGCCAGGAAGGCTGATTACGCTCGTTTGTTTCTGTCAGTACTCTCTGTACGTCTATCCAGCCTGTCTTAGGTCCATCTGTTGTAGCAAGTACTACTGTATGTAAATAAAGTAAAGAATAACAATAGCCTCAGTGTCGTGTCCGAGACTACTACTAGCGATGGGGTGTCTTCGGCAGTGTGTAAACGATCGTTCTCGTCACAGATCCGCTCTCAAGATTCCGTCCTATCCAGCTATTCCCAATCCCAATACGCTAGGACTCATCCACGGTAGAAATCAGCGAGGTTTATGACTAGGCAAACCAATCCCTTGGAATAAGTAACATATACATCCCATTGATCCCATCTCTCAGTCACGTCCTCACTCAGAACCTCCAGGATAAGCGCATACAAAACCCGCAACTTTGGCTACGTAGCTACTAGTTATCATAATCAAATGACCAATCCTTACACAACTGAAGTCGACAAGCCATTGGCAGGACTCCCCCTGTAGTGAGCAACCTTCTCCTAGACATTCTGCTCGGAAACACGTTTTCAGAACAAATTCAAGTGTTTCCTGCCGCAACCCACGCATATCGTAGCATAGCTCATTCTCATACAGCACATGCACCAACCACACGACTGAACTTGAATTTCAGCGGAAGAACTGACCAAGTCTTAAGTTCACCTCAGTACTACCATTCCCTACCCTACCCCGAACCCAAAGAAAATAAAGAGCCCCTTTCCCTTTAAGAAGGGACAAGGCCGAAATTCTGCCACCACAGTAACGACCCAATATACATATTCCCCTTTTCAGTCCAGCTGTTTCAAAGAATCATCCCATCCCACTTATATATGTGTCTGCATTTATGTACAATAAACCCTAAGAAGATTCAGTAGCATGTGTGTGTGTTCCGAAGCCGGTGACTGTGCGAAAACTAGGGCGTGATGGTGAGCCCGGGAGGATAATCCGGACGGAGGGGACGAACATGCATAGTGCTGTCTTCCACTCCTCACCTATCTACCCCGTAAAGACAAAGACGTGACGCCTTTCTATGCTTTCCTGCCCGCCTACCCGCCTCCAGCCGGTATAGATAGTAGAAGAAAGCAAAACTTAAGTGGAAGCAATGGTCCATGCCTGGCAGCACGCGTGTATTCGACGCGGCAGACAGGTCCTGGAGGGATTTTAGGCTGAGCGATCCGGGGGTACTGTTAGTCGCCCAACCCTCTCCCCAGTGTGGCAGGCAGCAGGCACCCGCACAGGCCTACATACACCTCCGGTTGTATCTACGGCACTTGCAGCCAAAGGATACCCCCACCAAGGTGTATGCACTTCCGGCGTGAAGAATTCACTTATAAAAGAGCCGACCGACTTGGAAAACAAAAACGCCGTGTCCCCATTATCATGATGGCAAGATGCTATTAGCAAAATCCTGATCGTGGACCATGCCTGAAGCATCCGCTAATCGTAGCCGGCGCCACGTTGCCATGGGCTGAAAAATGTTAGCCGTGTCCGCTTGAAACCGCGACTCGGGGCAAACCTACCTGGCATTGTTATTTGCCCTGAAAGAGGCGGAGGTCCCTGGGTGGCCGAATGGGCTAGGTGACCGGACAGAACTCGAGTCGTTGTACCTCGGAGGGCTGTGTGGACCGTCTGCAGGGAACAGCGGCATTGCGGGGTCGGCGGGGCTGCGCGGCCGGCTCCCATAGCCCCCCGAGTACGTGTTGCTACCCGAGGGGACACCGAGCCGCTCCGTCTGGCGACGCAGTGAGTCAGATGTTATCGACTCGGCATCGTCATCGAGGTCTAGACCACCCTTGAATCCAGATTTGTCGCCGCGGGCAGTGGCGGCAAGCGCATCCAGCTCGGTCGTGGTTGTAAGATGCGTCTGTGACTTCATGAAGGAAGTTCTATCATCTGCCATGAACTGATAGCGGCCATCCGGGTTATCACGCAAGAACACAAAGACTGTGCCGACAATGAGCATGAGAAGCAGGATCAGGGAAAAGGCAGCGTTGGTGATCCATAAGACAACGCCAACAACTCCAGTGACGAGGGGCGGCTGATTGAAACTCTCGGTGAAGATCATGAGGAAGAGGGAGTTGACAAAGTTCATGGCACAGATGGCGATGTTGAACGAGTTGGTTTTCTTGTCCATCCAGGGGCGAAGGACGCTGGCGGAGATAAGCATGGCAGCTTCCAAGATGATGAAAGCAACGGCCTGGACAGTACCCTTGTCCTGCGCAAAGGAGACGAACATGGCCTTGACGATGGTGTACCCAAGTACCGGGACGATATAATAGTAGGCAGAGGCCCGGAACTGGACGTAGAGGAAGCCCCACTTATTCAGGGCCTGAGGATCCGAGAACAGAATATAGGCCGGGTTGTGGTGCATGGTGACGGAGCGACGCGCAATCATGATGACCTTGAACGCGGCCCACCCCAGGGTGACACTCATACCAACGAGGAAGAAGACAGCCAGGACCGTCAGGGCCGGGGAGTCGTTCTGCGTGAACTCCCAAAAACAGAGAATGGTCATTTGGGGGAATCCGATCAGCGTCAGCCTGAACATGATACCCTTGAGGACCGTGAGCCAGCCGTTGCGGAATTCGAGGAATCTGTCGTTAGGCATCCATTTCCTCTTGACTGCCATCTCGCAAAAGCCCTTGAAACCAGCCACGGCAATGGTGGTAAAGAGGACCAGGAGGCAGAAGAAAACAAGGCCAGTCATGAACAGATTCGTCGACTCAATGCCGGCCTTGAACGCCACACGCTGAATGCCGTACACGATGTAGCTCCCAGAACTGGTTTGGATGTTGGACCGCTTGAGCAGGTCACGCTTCATCACGGCCGACATAGGCTCGACGATGCTGGTGGGCAGCATGGCGAGAGAGCGCTTGGCCAAACCCATGCCAGCCTCGGCAAACTCGACGGCGCGCTTCTCTACCTGAACCGAGACGGTGGTGAGGGAGTCGAAGATGGTGGACGGGGTGCCGCCGGTGGCGCGTTGATACCAGGTGAAGATATCCTGCATAAATGAAACGCGGATGATGCCCATGCTCCACTGAAAATCCTGGGTCCATGCCATGACGACAGGCGGTAGAGGGACTCCGGTGAGCCCCAACATGGCCTGGGCTTGGAAGTAACCGAAGAGCGACAGGGCGTTGGAGGCGACATGGGCTGCCGCATTCTGGTGGCCCAAGCCCGACACGATGGCCGACGACACCAAAGCCAAGCCGGCCACGATAGCCGTGGCCCACTTGACGCCCAAAAGATCCACGGTCTTGCCGTTGGAAAAATCGGCCTCGACACAGGCGACGCTGGTTCCAATTTCGGATCCGTCTGTCATATTGATGAAAACCCTCACCTTGGCGTCCAAATCCGGGAAGTTGTAGGCGATTGAAGGGATCTGGCTAATGGCCTCTGGTGTAACGGGCAGGTTGAAGTTGAGCGGGATCTTGCCGGCCGTCATGGGGCACAGGCCGGCTAAGCCAGCATCACAGGGGTTAACTGGCGTCCTGATGATTTCGTATCCATAAGCTGAGATCGAGATATCGAATATGACATGACCCTCAACCGACGAGACGGCCACAATGTCAACGTTTGCTGTGTTGTTGTTTGGTGTGAGTACGACCTTGAATAAACTCGCAGAGAACCCCGAGTTCTCTTGGCAAGAATTGAGAGAGCTTGACTGCAGGATCTGCTCGGCGGCTTGGGCGGGTGCGGTGAGAAGGGCGAGAGACGCGATGGCCGCAAGCGGCCTTAATGATGACCACCGCATCTTTTTCCAAGACTGCTAAACCAATCGATATCGGGAGCCCAGCTAGTGTTATACCTGTCAGTCTCCCAGAGGGTTTTGTGTCGAGTTGACGGCTAGAATAGCCAGGTCGTGTCGCTACCAAGATCGGCCGTTTTGGTGCGTCGGAAGCGACAGTCTTTGGCTGTTAAGGCGAAGGCTAGACAGACAGACCGTCGAACTGAATAGATCGACCTTGCAGAAGGAAATGAAGACGCGCAACGCAGTGGATAGGGAGAGGCGGCGCTAGATCGAGGGCTTTTTGGCGGTCGGCGGGTTCGAGTCGGGGCAGGGAAATGAAGCGAGAGAAGGCTGCCGACACTCTCGATACGCAATCACGAAAGTCGCTGTTGCTCGCAAAAGATGGCGAGAAGACGACGACTTGGGAATTACTTTACCGTAAAATGGTTTCTGAAACTAAGGAAGAAAGAATGGGCAGAAAAGAGTGAAAAGAATGAAGGTCGTCTGCCGAGGCGGCTGAGCAGTGTGTGTGCAAGACATGCGTCTGGTGACGGGGGAATGAGCGACGAAGAAAACAGGGACGCTGGTGGATGGAAACGTCAACTGGAGGAAAGCGCCAGGGGAGACAACGCTTGGCATTGCCAAGGTAGCGCGAGATAATGCGGGCTGGGGAAATGAGCTTGGAGCACTAGAGCGATACCTCAAGTCCGCATTAAAATGCATGGAGGCTAAAGTACTTGCCTAATTGGCCGCATCTGGGCCAGGCTCTCAGACAAACACCGGCACTTTCCTGCCAGGTCAGGGTGTCTCAAATCGCAAAGCGGAGCACCTTGAGACGAAAGGCTTTCATGAGATGACAAAAATCACAGCGAACTGAATCAGGAGATACGAACAGGAAGTTACCATTTTTACTCAAACTGACTGCTGAATTGGCCAACTTGTGCCTTCGTAAAGACTGCGTTGTCCTTCGTGTTCTGTTTGCCTTCTGTAGCGCCCCTGGCATCGCAGAGTTTAAGGGGCGGCGGCTACCTCAGTAACTTGACCATGTTACTGGTAACATTATGCGCCTCCTTTTGTCCCCCGTCCGTACCTCCGTACTTTTTGGGGACGCCCGGTAAAGTACAAATATGCATGCGGACGTAAAGGCCCCTCCTTTTTCAGTTTCCGAGAATCACGAACGACACTGGCAACAATTACAGCTGACAGCGTACAGTACAGTACACACATCTCTGTACGAAGCATCAGCAAAAGTGGCTGACGTTAACCCTACCTTCCCGGCGCTTCCCTCTGCAATGGCTGCGACAAGACGCGTTTCCTCTTGGCTCCGGTGGAATACGGGTCCGTAATGAGACGGGCTGCACAGCCCCCTTTCTGCCAAGTGCCAGTTGCTCCGAATATTGAAACCCCGCTCCCTGCCGTATCCGGAACCCGCCCCAATTTCCAATTTACTGTGTGTCGAGACTGTACCTCCGTACCACAGTAAGCACTTTAAATCGACTTAGAAGGGCTGCCGTGAAAATGACACGACTCGCGGCCGTGGCTGAGCCTACCTTGGGTCTTGGAAGTATGAAGCAGCGATCCGCGCGTGTTGATTGTTGATTGTGATATTTGACTTGTTGACTCCGGGCTTGATTCCCGCCCGCACGCCTTGCAGGATTTACCACCCAAGCACAACGTCATTTCTTGCCCAGCGATCTGCATCATCGTCTGCGCGACCGTGCCGCCGGCGGTCCCAATTTGTCGGCGATCTTTGCCGGGGGTACGAAGTAGATCCCGTTGTTAAGCTTGGATGTTTTCGTGTTTTCGACAATATCTGTTCTCATCTCTCCTCCTTTGCTGTCTTATTGTAGTAGAAGGTCTTTTACTACTATATGTATTGTACAGTACATACATACATATGTGTAGGAACGAGCCCAACAGATGACAGTTCACAGCGGTAAAGGCCTGGCTGACGACTGACAGCATGCAACTCTCGACTTTAGTGTAGAGGAATTGTAAGCTATGAGAACAATTACTCTGTACACTCCCCCCAATCCCATGATTCAGGAACTGTAGAAACATAAACACTCACCGTCATGCCCAATGACGCCATTAAATGCACTTCCGCCGGATCGCTATGCACACACCAAAGTACCTTGATAAACAAGCCAAACAACTCAAATCCAGTTCTGCGGATCCTCCCACGGCTTGGTAGCCCACGAGTAATCGTAGCGTCGCCTGAAACCGCTCAACAGCTCCTCCTCGTCGACGCCGCAGTGGCTCTGGCCGTCCCTGCCGCGGAACCAGCCGAGGCCGTACGTCTTGCCGCCCCGTTCCAGCCGCCTCAGCAACTCGGCCGTGCCGAGCTTGGCCGTGTTGACGAACCCGTACAGCATCTTGCTCTGGTGGATGTAGGCCAGCACGCTGGCGATGGTGTTGGGCTGGCGCGGGAGGAACACGCGCCTGCCGCGCTTCCAGTATACCGCTCCGGCCACGACGCCCATATAGAGTAAGATAAGCAACGCGCCGGCCAGCGACAGCCAGAAGCTCGGCACCGTTTCTTGCCCGGCGTTGATATGCCCTGCACCACCACTAAGATCATCACCATCATCAGCTAACTGCCCAGCTTCACCGTCCGGCTTTTGCCCTATCAGCGCGACAAACACGCGCCCCTCGACTGTCGCCAGCGACGTCACCAGCACGGTCAGGAACTCGGTCAGCACGGTGCCGAACCCGACCAGGAACACCAGCCAGTGGCGGTTGAGCAGGCCCTGGACGGCGACCCAGCCGAACGGCATGGCCGTGTAGTCGAGCGTGAGCGTCTTTGGCGGGGCGTGCCGCCGCCAGAGGATATAGTAGGGTTCCATCATGCGGACGTCGGTCTCGAGCGCGCCCCAGCTGAGCTTGATGACGACCGCTACCGCCGTGATGAACCAGGGGGCGCGGTCAGTGAGAACGGTGGCCGGGGTGAAGAGGACGGTTGGGAGGAGGACGGCGAAGAGGACGATAACGGCGATGAAGGGGAATGCGCCTTCCCAGCGGAGCATCAGAGGCTGCGGGTTGGCCGAGAGGTGGTTCGTCGTGTATCTGTCTCGCTCCTGCTTGGAAGGCGGGTTGGAGTCGTCTGGTGCAAGGCACGAGTTGCGGAGCACGTAGCGGTGATCCTTGAGCCGCTGGTGGATGTCTTGGTGCGTGGCCACGTCCATGTCTTTGAAATCCATGAGGATGTGACAGGCCGTGGCCATGGAGGCGAGGCCGGCGATGCCCTTGACGTCGGCTAGCAGACCGGACCGCCGGGTTTGGAGCAGGTAGAACAAGGCGCATCCGAGGACTGCAATGATGCAGAAGAGAGCTGTCAGGAGGCGGGCCCATACGTGGTGGATAAGGATGCTCTTTTCGGCGTTGGGGAACCTCGAGCGGGTGTCTCGGTCGGGAGAAAGAATGATACTAGCCGCACTGAGCGTCGGCACAAGCGCGTTCGCGAGCAAGCTGGCAACTGACGAAACGGCTACAGCATAGTGCCTGCAGTAAAGGGCCCGGAACGGCCGGAAGAGATTGAACTGGGTTAGGTAGTCGACGTTGATGGACTCTGCAGCCAGGGCGCCACCCTCTTTGGACATTTGATAATATGCCTCGAGGCGCATGACATTGAAATTGGTGATCTGCCACAGCACGCCATACGAGACGGCAACTATTATGGGCAGGAATCTGACAGCAAATCGCTGGCCGGCTGGTATATCGGAAGGTGACCGGAATTTGATGAGCGGGGTCCGAGCGGAAGATCGATAGAGTACCTCGACAGCAGCTCCGAGACCGAGGGATAGAACGATCAACAAGAGCAAGTAGGGCCATCTCATCGATACAGGTTTCCAGTTGGGCTGCGGGTAGAAGATTTCGGTCGTGGCCTTCTTGGTTGGGAAAGTCGTCTGTCTCATGACCGGCTGTATCGGCTCAACTGTGTCGAATCCCGCGACAAGACTGAGATCGACTTTGGAGTGAAACGGGTTATCATCCTCCATAACAACTTCAATCACCTCGCCACGTCTGTTTGCTTCGTTCTGTCCCAACCGTTTTAGTGTCTCCGCTCGGCTCAGGCGTCTGCTTGCTCGTGAGAACGAGCGACTTGGTGGCCGTTCTGTCGTTGGGCTCGCTGACAGCAGTGCTGATTCTGTCAGAGTCTTCTCAGCCTTGATGCCGAGTCCCAAACCACCCGTCAGTTTCCCCTGAGCCTCATGCTCTTGCAATGTCCTCAGAAAGGCCTCGTCGTCCTTGGTGGTCGGTCCCAAGGCACTGGTGACATCGAAGGCCGGAACGGAAGGAACTCGGTCGCTTGAAGCCTTGGATTCCTCTACTCCCAGAGGGGCAGCCGAGTTGATCAGCCTGAGGCCAATGTCGTCTTCTTCTTGAATTGGCTCATGCCGTCTATGAGTCTGACTTCGGCCTTGCTTTCGAGGCTGTGACACTTCTGGCGTAGGAGCTACTGGAGAATAGCCAATGCTAGAATTGCCGGCGAAAGGCGTCCAGCTCGATGATGATGGATTGGCATAGATGTGGCCTTGGTCTTGGCTATCGGGACTCGACTGAAGCGACACAAGAGAGGGTTGTCCATGCAATGGAACGCCTGTGAAGTCATCTTGGAAGATGCCATGGTCGGTAAAATCGGAAAGGGTTGAGATCCTGCTGAAGGCGCTCGATGAAGTGTCGGAACGAAGGGGGACGGGTGGCCGTGGCCTTGATGGGTATGGGTCCATATCTGGTACTATCGCATGGTCTCGGATTCTGAACGATTCTGGATATCGTGGTTATGGACGGACGTTGAGGTGCAGTACACGAGGTCCCGGTATAAGGGGGCGTGGTGTTTGCATGGTCACGAATTGGAGAAAAGAAGACCAAGCTCACAGACCTGACATGGCGAAATCCGCTCGTGACTGCTAGACCGGAGAGAGAAGGCTCCGGTATGCAGCCCAGCTACAATAGATTACGTGCTGTGTGTGGTGCGTACGTACTGTACCTGGCGCCCCGAACCATCTTGGGCGTGCGGCTGGGTTTGTGGGTGCGGTGATTGGCGGCGAATTGAGCGGGACGTCCAGGAGCCGAACCAACGACCAGTCAGAACCACCGGTAGGGCTGAAGGTTGGCGCCCAGCTCCGGCGGGTTGGACATCCAAGCCGTGATGACAGTACTGTACAAAAAGGCAGGGCAGTTGGAAAGCCGTTTCCGTCTTCGTCGCAGGAGCCGGACATGTTGTTTGTTATCAATTCCGACGGCAGACGGAGGAATGTCCATAGTGGCTACCTGGTAGGTTGGATAGATGCCTTACCCTGCTTTTTTGCGATCAGAAAATCGCGAATCCATCGATCGATGTGCAGAATCCAGTTTGCCCGTAGGTCTGCTGACAAGAGCAGGACCGGGGATGCCACAGCAGTGGGATCCCAAGTCCCCTGAGGTCCCTTCCTGGGACACATGCAGTGAGTGGCACCGGGATTTGGGTTGGGCTAGCGTACAGTACAGATATGTAGCTATACGTACTGTGCTAGGGGCATCCCTATCGACGGGATGCGGGAAGGAGCTGTCGGCAGATCCTCCCGTCATCCAATCTTAGGCGCATCGGCACCCTGGTGGCGATGAGCAGAGCATGCGCTTGAGAATCCTCGATGCAGACATCCTGTGCATCAACGCTGTTGAAATGCTCTTGGGTCAAATGTCAGAACAAGATTTACCTCTTGCTGTGCCTGTTAGTATGTATAGTGACTAGATCGTAAGAGCCCGCTACGCGAGCTCTTCGATCTAGGGCCCGCTTCGCGGGCCACAGGCACCCAATCGCCATTCGCCATCACTACAGTACCATCCGTATGTACAACTTATTTGTACCTTTCTTCCTCCTTACAACCTATCTTTTTTCCTCTTCAACCTACGTTCTTTCCTCTTTATACCCTACCTTTCTTACTCTTCGAGCGGATTGTGCCCGCTATACGGCCCTGCCTGCTCTGAGCTTACGGTGGTCCCTGTAGTCCCAGTGGTTACAGTGGCTCGAGTGGTTACAGTCAATCAGCGTTATCAGCTTATCATCATGTGACCTTGAAATTGGCTCTTATGAAGAAACGGCGCGAAGCAGTGCTCACATACAACTTTGCACGCTCGTAGCGAAGCCAATCCATTACTAAATCTTCTAAAAATGGTACCGTTGTAATATAGAGATCAAACGCTATCAAATGGTACCTGTCGCAATATGTCTAGAGCGGTGGTTCAGAAGTTAGTCGTTCTCTAGTCTCATAGTAGAGAGATTACCTTACTGCACTGACGAGACCTACAGGGGATCTTCGGCGCACTGTGGTCTATTAATAGCATATCTACTGTAGGGCTGCTACAGTACATACACTAGTTGCCCAAGAGCCAGGCGAGCCAGGAACTCACCTCCCACCTCGGCGCTTCAAGCCGTGAATTGTCATTCACCGTCTCCGCACTTACATCTGCACTGCATCGGCAGTGTGTCCGCGCAAAAGATGCAGTCGGTGCCCCGAATTGGCAAACGGACGTCTGTGTGTACACGTAGGTATGCACCATCTAAATAACACACGCCCAGTACCGCAAAGCCGATCCTGGAATTGCGCAGATAATTATGTGAACATGGATAGGGCCATTCCCCGTTGCAGCATCCTTCTTTTTTAGTTACCGTTTGCCCTGCCTCGTCCCTACACTGCAGTGGGCTACAGTACACGCGAGAAAGCCCATATGGTGAGACACTTGGCGGCTCGGCTTTGTATTTCTCCGATCTTGGATCCCACCTACCTCTCGTGCCCAGTTCAGCCAGCATGGCTTTGGCCTCTGCGATCTTCGACAGGGGAGGTAAGAATGTTCGACCAGAGGGGTTGAGGGAAGAGGGAGAGGCCGGCTTTTGGATAGGATGATGCCACTGCTAAATTCCCGGGACTATCTCCATATTAGCCTGCCCTCTTTTGTCATGCTAAAATACACCCTGAAGATCATAAAGAGGGCCAATTTCCACCGAAAAGGACCCTGAATGGACTCGCCTCGCTCTCGTACGGAGGAGAAACAGTTGGCTCATGTCACAGGCTGATATTTGCCAGAATTGGATTCTGCTGTTTGATGCCATCATCCCAGCATACCGCAGCGTGATATACGCATATGCTAATGCTTCAGGCTTCCGACTTCAGGCTCTTGTGGTATTTGTGCTCGGCTGCTGCTGTGAATTAGAAGAGCGGAACAGGAGCGATCTTTTCACAATGGCCCGTAAACTTAGTGCGCAGTCGGAGAACATTCTCTTCGCTATCCATTCCAAAGACCAGTCGTACCTTTCGATCAGGGGCCAACCGGAGAACTCATGACGGAAACCGGCCGTGTAAGGAGGAGTGCGTCCAAGATGGTGAATTCGCTCGTCTGGACGGCCGAGGAAGCCAAGTTCCTCAAGGCCGTTCTCCGCTGGCAAGCGAGCGCTCCTCCATCAGAGGATGAGAAGCGACGCCGGCTATGGGCCGAGGAAGACGCCATGCGGAGGCGGAGACAGCAGCAGCAGGCACAGGCAAAACCAGTTGGCGAGTTTCGCGTCCTCGTCATCGGCGGGCGGGGGACGGGCAAGACGGCCATCCTGACTCGAGTGAGCAAACCCCATGTCATCACCGTGAAGTAAGGGTACATGTCTAAACCCGCCGCTCAGTTCGGCCAAGACACCTTCCGCGGGGAAAGCGGGTCGCCCGACCCCTTTTATGAGCACGGCTGCCGACACCCCATCACGCTCAGCACAACGACCACGACAAACACCAAAACAAACCAGCTTCACTCCCCGACACAACCCCAGACCCAGACGTACATGGTCGACGCTCTCGAAATGCCCTCCAAGCAGCTCGTCAGCAACCCCATGATCGAACAGGCCCTCGCCATCACCGAAGCCGCTGTGCTCGTCTACGACGTGTGCGACGCCGCCTCATTCCGCCTGGCCCAGAATCTGGCTGAGTTTATGCGCGAGCATTTCACCGCTTCCTCTTCCTCTCCACCCGGGGCCACTCCGGCAGTCAAAGGCACGCGGCCCTACGCCCTGATCCTGGTAGGCAACAAGGCCGACTCGGACACCTCAGCTGATGGTGACGACGACCAAACGCAGCAGCAGCCTCGCCAGGTGACCTGGGCAGAAGGCTCCAAAGCCGCGGCACGCATGGCCATGCCCGGATGCAGTTCGGCGCTCGGTGTGGCCTTCCTCGAGGTGTCGGCCAAGACGGGGGAAAACGTCGACCAGATCTTTCCGGCGGTGGGCAGGGAGATCCTGAGGATGAGGCGGCTTGTCGCGCAGCAACGGGAACAGCAGGCTGAGAGGGCCATGAAGATGCTCCAGGAGGCTAGACAAAGTCCGGTTGGTAGAGACGAGAAGAGGGAGGTGGGTCACGGAGGCAGAAGCAAATGCGCGTCGTGGAAGGCGTTGTTCGCTGGGAGACGACAAGCGGTAGTGGGCGGCGAAAGACGGTACTAGCTGTTTATGCTGGCTGGGGGCGTTAGGAGTCAATGGGCCGTGATGGTGTTTTCCGGGCAGAGGACAGGTACTTCTCCGTTTGAGAAAACTAAACACCTTGCCTACCCCATCGTGCTGAGAGCTAGGTCAAAGGAGAATCGGAGTGTTCTTGTACAGTACAATCGCTAGATGCCTGCCAATACATACCTTCAATCATGATCCCACACCAAACCATTCAATGCTATCGTTTCGAAGCGAACCCCTTTACCAGCCGTAACGCCACGCTCCAAACCGAATATCTCGACATCGACCTCTGCTCACCTCACGATGATAATTTGCCCGGTCTCCAATGCACGCTTGAAGAGATCGGCAAAAGCGGTGGTCGTGCGGCAGTCGCTCTGTGCTCGCTTCTCCATGGCTTGCGGCAGCCACTCCTGAATCTTCTTGATCCTGTTCATGTTCTGCAAAAACAATCATTAGTAACCGGCCCAGTCCACTATTAAAATGGGCGATAAAAAGGTGTGAAAAGCAACATACTGCCGGATGCGTGCTCATCCACTCCGGCACCTCGTGACCCCCGGTCGCCCTCTCCATCCTCGCCCAGAAACTGACGGCCTCGGCCGGGTCATAACACGCCTCGGCCATCATCATCAGGCCGATATAATCCGCCTCGCTCTCCTGCAGTCTGCTCATAGGGAATCCAAACGCCACGTCCAGGAACCGCGACCCAAAGAAATGCAGGATGAGCGGGCCCAGGCCAAACACCCCGCCCAGCACAACCAGGCTGTAAAGAACAATACTCGCCCCAATATCCTGCGACAGCCGTTCCCCAAAGTGGCCCGCCAGGTTATGCGCAATCTCATGTCCCAAAACCGTAGCCAACCCACTATCTCCCCCAGTCAACCCCAGAATCCCACTAAAGACAAAAACCTTGCCGCCGGGAAGCACAAAGGCATTCGCCACGCGGGGATCGTCCACAACAAAAACTTCCCAGTCCTCCCCGGCCATGCCCGAAAAGGGTATGAGCCGCTGCATGACGCGACGCACGCGTGCCACGCGCGGGTCCCAGGCGGGCAGCAGGTGCACCCCGCGCGACTCGAGCTCGTACAGCAGCCGCCGCATCTCCATCTCGCCCGCCCGCCGCACGGATTCGGCCCCGTACACGTTGAACCGCGTCCGCCCGGACACGGGCACCGTTTCCAGGTTGGAGAAGTAAAAGATTAGCCCGCCGGCGACGGCCACGATCACGATGGTGTAGGTTGGTGGGCTGTTGAGCCCGCGCGGGGTCACCAGCGGCCGCGCGGTCGCCAGCCGGGAGGCGTGCGTATCTGTCTCGGGGGTGTGCCGGGCGGTAGTGTCGATGATGTAGTCGTGGTTGTTAGGAGGTCTGTGGTAGTGGCGGCGGGGTTGGGGGACTTGGGTGGTGGTGATTGAGGTTGCTGGTCTGAGTCTATGGCGGAGGAAGGGGACATGGGCGGGCGGCGGTTGCGGGTGTTGGGCGGCGCATCTTGGAAGAGGCTGACGGGACAAGGAATGAGATATGCTTCTTCGCGCCGCAGCGGTCAGTAAAAGGCTTGCCGTGGTGGAGAGACCTGAAGGTTGCCCGAGGAAGATGGCGGCGAGGTCGAGCCAAGCCCGCCGGCGCAGGGGTCTGAGCATCGTGTAACGGTAGGTAGGTACGGTGTTGCGGCTCTAGACGGATACTTGCAGTATACCGGAGCTGGTGCCCGCCAGAGAACGCCCGTTTAGTCGTGAACCATCGAACTCGGAGCGAATGAGATCGGGGAGTGGCTTCCGGTAAGCTGATGGGTCGGTAATCGGGTCATTTAGGTGAGGTCACTTCAAGTTCCTGAGCATTGAAGGTCCATGGTGAGACCCACTTGACATTCGGTACGTACTGTTCCGTCAGATCAACAACAACCCGCAATAACGTTACGGCAATTCCCAGTGCAGATCGTTGATCAATGTAGGCTGTTGAATCTAGCAAAAAGTTAAGGATGATCAAAGAAGCAAGAATAGCATTTTAGTTTGGAAAGAGCCCCATTCTGTGCCCAAAACGGCCAAACAATTCTTCCCTTGGAAACATCGCCCGATGCGGATTCTTAGGCGCAAGTGCTAATCAAGGCAAGTGCTCCCTGCAATAACTTTTGGCCCGGTTGAAAGTTTGGGGAATGAAATTCTGTATCATCAAAAATCCTATCCAACTCGCTCTAATGTACGGTAGGTAGACAAAATAGGTACACAAACCCAGCACAATGCCTCCGTAAAATGTACATTCTACCCCTTACAAGCTTTGACAGCCCCCTCGTCAGCCAAGCCGAGAGAACCCATTAAACAGATCCCCAACCAAAGAGAAACAACAAAAGAAGAACCCTCTCACAGCAAGAAAACCGCCAGCGCGCCCAGAGCAAACATCACCATCCCGCTCCCCGCAGCCTTCGCCGCGCCGGCAATAACAACAGGCGTCTTGGTGGTGGTGGAGCTCGGGCGGGCCGTGACGATCTCGACGGGGGGCACCGCGCCCGTGCCCGTGGCCTTGGTCGGCACCGGCACCGGCACCGGCGCTGTACCGTTGTTGTTGGGGAGACCGCTGCTGAAGGGCGGCTTACCACCACCGCCAGACGAGGGCGACGCCGACGAGGACGCCGACGGCGGAGTCCCAACACCACCAGTGCCAGTAGCAGTAGTGGTACCGGTAGGAGGCTTGGACACGACCGCGGTGGTCATCGCACTGCTAGACGACAGGGTGCTCTTGGACCCAGTGGGCACCACCACGCCACCGGTCGGGGTCATGGTGCCAGGAGTTACGGGGCAGACGGTGGTGCCCACCGACACGACGGTCGAGGTCAGCAGGCCGGGGCAGTTGGTCGTTACCGAGGGCGGGCAGCGGGTCACGGTGTACAGAGAGGTGGAGTAGATGGTGGATGTGGTCCATTGGCCCTCGCCGCCCTCGCCGCCGTTTCCGTTGCCGGGCTTGGGAGTGACAGTGGCGGTTGCGATGGGCTGGGTTTCCTTGCCAGTCGAAGTCACCGGGCAGACGGTGGTGCCGATGGCGATGACCGAGGTGACCACCTTGGCCGGGCAGTTTGTCACGGTCGGCGCGCACGACGTGACCGTCATGACTGATGTCGTGAAGATGGTCGAGGTCGTGTACTCTGGGGCGGAGGTCGTCGCGCCGGGGAGGCTGTCGGTGGCCGTCGCGTTAGGAAAGCGTACTGTCCCCGTAGAGTTGGAAAAGCCGGTAGTGGCGGTCGAGAGGGGGACGCTAGTACCGGTGTGCGTCGGCGATGTGGTGAAGTCGTCATCGGGACAGTCGGTCTCTGTCTCGGTCTCTGAAGCCGAGGTAGCTGTCGTGGTGGTCGAGGGGACAGTCGTCGTGGGCAGCTCGGAGCTTGGGCTTCCAGTCTCCGTCTCTGAGGCGTCAGTCGACGAGGGAGCACTGGTCTTCTCTGTGCTCGAAGGGGTAGCATCCTCGGTGGTTGAAGGGATAACCTCATCGGTAGTGGACGGGGTAGCATCCTCCGTGCTCGAGGGGGTAGTCGCCTCCGTGGTCGTCGTTGTCAAATCGGTTGTCGTGCCAGACGCACTCGTGCTGGTGCTGGTGCTGGTGCTGGTGCTGGTGCTCGTGCTGGTGCTGGTGCTCGTGCTGGTGCTAGTGCTGGGTGCCGTCACCTCCTCGAGCTGGTACACGCTGATACCCCGGACCTTCCAATACGTGTCCTTGTAGGCCTCCGGGTGCCACTGCACGTACGTGTAGCACTCGGCGACACCCGTTGAGCCGGCGCAGGTCTCGGGCCACAGGTTGCCGGCAGCATCACCGCAGAAGTTGATGTTGAGGACCAGGCGCAGGTTGTTAAAGTTCTTCTTGACGTCGCACGACGGGCTGACGGCGGCAAAGCTGGGTCGCCCCCAGTTTTCTGGGTTGGGTTTCCCGCTGGTCACATCAGCGGGAACGCTGCCATGGGCCCAGCTCCAGATCCGAATGCGGTCTTCCTGCCACTCGGTAGCGTCTAAGATAATCAAGCATTAGTAGCTGTATTGACGATACCGCCTCACGTACTTGTACGAGAGCCACTCACAGACACCGCCTTGCGGGTTCGACCAGAGTCCGTTGCTCTCGTCGACAGCGCAGCCCGTATTTCCGGGCTGGTTGGGCGCATCCATCCAACAGTCGGCATACCGCAAGGGGCTGGTGAAGTCGGCCTGCGAGACCTTGCAGATACCCGTGTTCAATGGCGAATCGGTGTGGAGCACGATCTTGTTCCCCTCATTCAAATTCCACCCCTCGAAGATGTCGATTTCGCCGTCCCGAGGCCACTCGGGGCCAACCATCCAGAAAGCCGGCCATGCACCACATGCCTTTGCAGGGAAGTGGGAAAAGTCTGCGATGAAGAGGCCCGAGTTGTAAGTGCTGACACTCTCAAGCCTGACACTGCTCCGTCCGTCCTGGTCGTTGCCCGAGGCCTGGACACCGATCTTCACGTCCTCACTGCCAGTCTCGACAAGACCAAGACGGGTCGAGTCGTCCTTGTTTCTGTACTGGACGAAGCCCCTGTTGGGATCGGGCGAGCTGAAGAAGCTGAACTTGTCAAAGAAGTTGGACGGCGTGTATGACTCCTTGAGCTGATACGCCTTCTCCTGAGCAACAACACCAGAAGTATAAGCCAGGGCAGCGGCACCCAGCCGAACTAGAGACGGAGCCATCACCGGATTTACCGTCTCGGTATATATGAAGATGAAAGAATGACAAGGCCAACAGAGTTGGAAAGAGTGATTCGACGTGCGATACGTCAGAGGACGAGCAAACGAATGCTCTGGTTTATGTGCTGTAGAAGCTGTACGGACGGCTGGCTGAGGCAAGCATCGAGCAGAAGAGAAAGGAGACGCTCCACGATAGGGGCGTCCCCTTCCCTTTTACAGTCAGGGGAGACGACAGGCCATGGCAAGGATTGTGTGAGGGTTCCCACCATTGCGAGACTGTATGGACAGCATTCCAGGGCTGCCAGGGGATAGGATGTCGTGTCGTGGTACGAGGATCCACAGGATCACTTCTTTGCTTTGCGAGCCTATCGCTAAAGGAGCGTATTCCTAGTTGGGGATCAATAGTTGTCCGGTTGGCGGCTCCAGACACCCAGAGTCGTATCGGTCTAGCGCTCAACCCCGAACCGGGTTGCTTCCTCGTCCGTCCGTCTGCACAACAGTTGGCAGTTGGCAGTTGGCAGGACGGGACAAGCAGGGGTAGTGGAGCCTGTTAGAGATTCAATGAGGCGAACCCACAAGGCCACACAATTCCCGGGGTCCAGACTTTTCCATGCTGTAAAGTTTTGCTAGCCAACCAACCATTGGGAATGAGGAAATCTTTCAAGGTCGTTCACAGTACAGTACCTTGGTATGAACATCCTCGGAAAGTGAGCATATCACTAACTCCTATGCATCTAGAGGATAGCATGACTGATTCAGGGCACTGGCCGTAGTCGACCTCCCCTGACTTTGACGATGAACTCGGCCCCCAAGCGGGATTTCTGCAAGCACACAGAGTTGTGATATCCAATGGAGCAGCGGCTTATAATGTTGTTAGCCTCTCAACCCATACACAAGATCTTTGCAGCGCACACACAGACACAGAGTCGTGTCCACTCCCTCATAGGCTGTGGGTCATTCAGGGGCACAATGCAGGAACAGAGCCGTTAAAGCGAGCAGCGCCACACATCCCGTGGGGCAACATCGCAAGGGCATTTCATATCTTGGTGAACATACTGTACACAAGAAATGAGGGGCATTACTGTGCAAGCCTGGCGAGTTAGGCATTCGATGCAATGCGTTAGGCGAGGAGATTTCCTTTCGATTGTGAACATACCGTACGAACGTGTTGTCTTCGAGATTTGCAACAACGCCCCAGTACGTTTTCGAGAATGACAAAGAAGGTGTGGAGACGGCCCGAGGAAAGCTTAGATTCGCCATCGCACTTCAGCCCGCCTGGTCTAGATTGCCGATCACCAAGACATGACCTAATAATTGCCAATTGCCTGAACTACACGTCGAGACGTCCCGTGCAAGTTCACTACAGTATATGTACTGCGAAAAACGAATGGATCAATGGAAGCATGAACGGGTAGAAAGAGAGAAAGAACCGCTTTCTTCCCATCTGTTGCAATCTATTGCAGTTGCCAGGGGAAGCTAGGATCGAGCTAGGTGGCCTTGCTAAGTCAATACAAGAGATCCATCGGAAGGTTCGGATGGCATGTGAACGCCGTGGCTGCGCCTTCCAGGCACTCCACGCTAATATCGTCTCTGCTCCATATGCTACAACAGACTTCGCAGTCTCCATCTTAGCTCCATGCGTAATAAGGTAGGTGATATCCATTTCAACAACCAACTGGCACCAACAATCATGCTGTCTGTTCATCCATTGTCCGCTTTCTGCCTACTACACCGTCCTATGTACAATACATCCAAGCGTACTACTAATTCTACCTTCTTAGTCAATGACAAACTCGCTCCGCTTCAACAGTCTCTTCTCCAACGCCACCCTCCGCTGCCGTTTTCTAAAGCACCAGCTGACAACTGCCAGGGCCACAATCGAAGGGATCCCAATGGCAACCCCCAACCCAACAGCCAGCGGTTTGCTCACGCCCGATGCGTTGTCGCTCTGGTAATCCACCAACGTTGGTTGCTGACCCTCGCAACGAACCATCTTAGCCTCTGTAATGCGACAGCAGGAGCTGTATGTAGAAAGCCACGTACCGGAGAATTCTCGCCATCAGAGGGAGTTACCGCAATCCCGGGATCCGATATGTTAAAGAACGGTGATTTCGCCAGCAGCGGCGAGCCGCCTCCACTCCAAGACGACGGCCTCAGCTCGAGCTGATACAGCCCGCCGGGAATCCACCGGAGCGGATAAGGGGTGTTCTCCCAAAGGTATGACGACCCGTTGGCAGTAGCTGACAGTAATCATGATCTTTTTAGCCGTCGCTTCTACCGTGGCATACCAGAGGGCTAGTTGCATCAAGATGACAAAGAGAAAGTCTGTGAGTCGGGAGTCGGTTTGATTATATCCCCCACACTTGCCTGAGACAAACACGCGCGCAGGGTTGTGGGAAAGAATGCCAGACATACTTGTGATATTCACCCGGTACGCATTCGCCCCGTAGCCTTCGTCGCCGCTCCTCTCAATCAGCTGCGCCGTGATGCACAGTGGGTAGTGCTGAGACGCCACGCCCTCCCACGCTAACCGGACACTCGACCCGCTTGTGATGGCGTCGAACGGGTTGGTGAATTTCGTTGTGCTGGACGACGGGCTGGCTGTAAACGCTGCGGATCCTCCTGCTACGAGAATCCACCCGACCAGACCCATGAGGTTCATCTTTGCGTTGGCAAACTATTGGGCGGGAGTTGCCGCATGTTGTACCAACGTCAGGGAGGACCGTCGTAGGGAGTGACTGCGAGTGTGGTAAAGTTGGCGGTCAAGATTCACGTTTCTCCGGGCCGCTGGGTTATCAACCCTCGAGCGAGGCACTAATTATAAGTACGAAGGGTAGCAGTGGACGGCAAGATTTCCACGAGGTTGCAATGGACCCTTATTGAAGCACGATGCCGTATTCTCGGGGTCTAAGCGTACCAAGCTGGTGCAACGGCGACGTGTTGCTCAAGAACAAACGAGGAGGCCCCGCGATCATGAGAGACGAGATAAAGGGGTCCTGCTGCATTTTCCCTCGAGACTGCCATGTCGTCTACAGCTCTGCGGTGGTCGATCCATGAAGCTGCGTCCACTCAATATTATAAAGTAAAGGCGCCTCTCGGAGCTGGATATTAGGGTAAATTAGGGTAGATAGCGTTCCGCGATATTGCCGGCCACTGACAGCACGAGGAGCTCCGATGCTAGCCTATTTATCCAGCAACGTCGATTTTACTGCTCTGGTCATCAGACCCGGTCGCCCAGACCGAATCGAGTCTCTTTGGGCATGCACGGCACGTCTGGGGACAGGATCTAGCGGACACTGCGAGCAGCCCTGGTCCCCGACTTGCAGAGGTGCGCAGTCTGAGGCGAGTTCGGCGATCTGCAGTTGATAAAGAATCCTCCCGGCTCTCAGCCCGGGTTTTGGGACGGGACTAGACGTCCAGTAGCACATGAACGGCTCGCAGATGCGAGACCAGACGTCTATCTACCTGCCACGAGCTCGTACTACTCTACCTACCCGGGACCGAGTTGCTGACATGCAGCAGACCACAAGACGCCATCGACTCGCCGGGCCCAATGACTCAATAGCACATTGGCAACGTGGATGCCAAGAGAGCCCAGCGAGGGTGACCTCGCAGCAATTCCCTTGAGAGATGAGGAGCCTCAAGGGCGGTCAGAGTGTTTTCCTGCTTTTGAGGGCGGCTTAGCCGTGCAAGAAGGTCGCACAGATGAATGCTGCGGTGAACCCGTTAGCTACAGCCCTGTGAGGTTTTGTGCTACCTGAGTGGACACAGCGGGAGCGAGGCTGATTCAGCAACCACATATGCGGTGTCGTGGGTGAATGAAGACCAGTGGTGGAATAGGTGAGGCAGACGATGGTACTATTAGCATCAACGGACGAAATACTTAAAGTAGGAGCGACTACCCACCGGTTCATGTTCGTTGACTGGCAGTGCACGATCATCCACGGCATCCATCTCAGCCCTCATACCCGAGCATCAACTCTCCAGCCTCGAGTCCTGTCCACACCACCAAAGCCTTGACTGAGGGGTTATTTCTTTTCAGAAGCCGCAGCAGCACCATGTTCACCTCGGTTCCCGTCCGCTCAACCAGCCGGCTTCCTCCGGGAATCCGGTGCTGGTACGGCAAGAGAGGCACCGGGTTCGCCAAGACCTGCCGCGAGGTCTCCTGTCGCAGGAAAGCCCCCGCCCGCGACGAGCAGCCGTTCTCGGAACGACTGGCCTCTTTGCCTTCGCGGCTTTCACCTTCGGCTGACATGGCTCACTGACTTGTCGAGTTCCTCGAGTCGTTGGGGATGAAGGGGAGGGGAGCAGACAGACCGGGCATGTCCACTTCTCGTCCAATCAAGCACACAACATGCAGTACCTATATCGGCATGATCTCATGGCAATGGCACTGTGGACAGTGGCATTTGTACCTCAAATCATGGAAAACTGCCCGACCAGCAGCGGGGAGACGGAAAAAAGGGGAAAGGGAAGGGGAAGGGGAAGGGGGATGGTCTGCTGGTCTCACTCTGCTTGGACGGTTGTTTGGCTTGGGGAGCACAGGGGCACGCGCATAAGAGAGCCATCTGGAGCATCGCCAGCGGTTATGATGCACCCCTCAGACTCCGGCGACTGCTTGTCGACAACCTCAACGACATCGTCTCCGACTCTCATCGGATCTTTCACTCGGCCCTTTGTCTCTCTGTGTTCAGCCGGGGTATTGACGCCGGTCTTACGTGTTTCAATCCTGATGTTTTAGATTCTCAAACGGTTCAGCACCTGCTCATTTTCTTTAAGGGCTGCCGGTAGCTACTAGGGTGTCTTCTGAGGGGAAGGCCGCCTTTTCCGAGTCGTTTGTTCATGTCACATAATAGATTGGATTTAGACTTCATGCCAGCACAGTCGCATTGGCTGTGAATGCCAAGATACTACTTATGGCACGAGGCCCGGGAGATTTCGGATTGCTGTACTCGTTGTTGACTTGGTGTCGTTGTGGATGGCCGCATGCAAGGCAGCGGTGCAGATACAGGTAAAGTAGGCTCAGCTCTAAACGAGACCGTGACGAGTAGGTAATGTAATCTACGGGCGCTTTAAGGTACAGACACAGGACATGAAATTCTTGGATATTTTGTACTTATTGGTTCTCTGAACGGAGACGACGGGAATATCAGTGAAAGTTATGCTACATTTGAAGCTCACCATGGCTCGCAGCAGTGGCATCGATATTGCATTTACGGATTATTTTCCAGATTGAGATGGCGAAAAACATTTGCAAGCAGGGTACTCGTCCTGGATCCGGATAAAGCTGCATCGTGTGGGATAAGTTAGGTGAGTTCGAACAGGCAATAGAAGGACTGAAGCCAGGCGTCATGGTCATACTATGTACCGTCCTACATGCATCTCTACCGTTAGTACCTTGGTCTCATTACCATTCACCGGGACATCCAGCCTCAATGCAAAAGGGGCATCATTGACAACACAGTGAAGCCCAGTTAACCAAACCAGTGACCTATGAGCCGTAGTCTGGTGGCATGTTGTCATTGACCCCTCCTCACTTCATGGATTTCAATGTCGAGGTTCAGACTACAATGTTAGAGACTTTACCCTCTATTTGCTAGGTAAGTTCTTATAGATATGCCGTTTGATGTTTCTCGACGTGGTTGGAAAGTAAACAGTCAGAAAAGAACATGGCATGAATCAGAAGGTTCAGTTTCCTCCCCTGGGGCGAGACGGCCTCCGTTGGGCACGGCAATCACCATCTGTCCACCACCAATATTTCAAGATTTGAAAGCGCAGTCCAATGATCTGATCACTAGTCTTATGAGAGTAAGTAGGGTTCTATTTCAGTAGTGCTGAACTAACATGAAATGCAATGTGAACTCATACGTCTAATGCGAGAGCTACTAGTACCTTAATAGTTACCTGGGTAAGGTAGCTGGCAACTTAACTAAATGAGCTTTTGATATATTGAGTATTGTACCTGCTCGACATGATAGGCAGAGTCTTCCTGCCATAAATCAAGCTTATTCCCGAAATCTACCTCTAGTTCAACTTACTAGTATCAGGCCCCTTGGTGAAAAGAGTACACTTCTTTCCGCCCCCCTTTTCTTTTCCTGTTACCTACAGTGATTATGGGGGATATAGCTTGATCACTACTGCATAGTAGGATATTTCTCGTATGAGCCTATTTGTAGAGACCCTTTCCGTATCCCGTCACCGAACGTGTACGTTTATCAGCATCAAGGAGGCACCCAAGCATACCGCCACCCAGGCATCACCTTACAGGAAAGTACTATGCTTGTCAGATTTCCCTTCATGGCAATATAGTATAGCACCTAGGTGTACCACCTGTCCTGCTGGTCTCTACAGAAAATGGAGGCTTACTCAGCCCCGGAATAAGTCCGTCCATGGAACCCACCAGGTAGTTCTACCGCCTGTCAGCACACAGTTCCTCTTAAAACTGATAATACCTAGTCGGTTGATAACTAGTAGTTAGTATCATGATCAGGGTTCTTGGAGGAAACTGGTAGCCCATACGTGTTTGCAAGTCAGCATCATTCGTCATCGGCTTAATCTACCTTGACCACTCATGTTCGCCATCCCTTAACTACAGTACCACGATACTAAGTTTGATGCTGGTGGAATCCTGATGTCACCAGCGGTTGGGGTTTATTCTAGCTTCATTCACTTTTCATTCTCAACGTTTGTCGATACAGTGACCACGACAGAGACCCTTGATCGTCCGAGTCTGCTGCCCAAGCCAGGGCGGCCAGTCATAACGTGGAAGCAACTTGAGCGCTCTTTGAACTAGTACTATATAAACTGAATTCATGCTGCTGTCATACGAACTCGGTTCCTTTCGATCTGTGGCAAGAGTAAAAAAAATGAAAAAGCCCTCAAGGTTTGGTATATCAGCTCGTCAACTGAATCCATCATGAGGCAGAAGCCCAAAGCAGCCTGACAACAAACTCCAAACAGATGAACCAACCCCAAAGTCCGCCATTTACATGCACAGATCCCATTCCTCTAACAAATCAACCTGCCACCATCATGCTTGAGCAGAGCCTAAGTCCTCATCCTGCCGTGTCAATTAGATAGTAGTGGTGGGTGGCGATGCGGCGAACCCGATAGAACGGGGTGCATAAGAAAGGGCATGAATGCAAGGCGATGTGCATGCATGCTGCGTGCGCGCTCACTCATCAGCACGGGCTCGCCCAATCTGGATCCCGCAAGACTAGGTAGCGGCGGGCTACTTGTACCCATCCCACGCAGCAATCCCCCCAAACAAACTCCGTGTCTGATGATTCATTCCAACCCCGACATCCTAATATATTCCCGGCGGCGAGAAGAAAGACGGCAAGACCCACAGCCTGAGGGAGAGAGAGCTCGCCATCTCCAGGTAACCTTCATCTGCTTCGCAGCCGGTCTGGTGCTACTCATCCCACTGCCGGTTCCATCAATTTCCCGCATTTCCAACCTCACCGCATCAGGCATCCGCGGCTTGCGAAATTGCGAACTGGGCCGCAAGAGTGGCAAGAGGCGGCGTTGTGTTGGTTCCTCTTCCCAGGCGGCTGAACCTGGCTTCTCAGTCGTAGGTGAATTGGGCTTGGTAGCCTTGCCGCTGCTGCTTGTGTGGGTGGTGAACTGCTTGCGGAGAAGATCGTGGACCCAGGTTGTTATTCCGGCAAACGTCAAGTTGGTAGGGAGAAGATGAAAATATCCGACGAAATGTCCCGATGCCTTGTTGTCATCCTGAACGGATAGTTCGTTATTTTTTCACAGTGCATACCCGGTGTTCACGTCGCTATAGGTAAACATGTCTAGGTCTAGCCCAAGGCCTGTGCCGAGCTCGATGCTGTGAGGGTCGCTGTAGGCTACATCAACGTGCTGGGGGTAACCGTGGTCCTTGAGCTGTGAAGCTTTGAGCGCCACGTATTCGGCGTGAAGCTCGGCGTATGCCTGGCTGAGCACATCGTTCCGTTGCTTGGCATCATTGAGCATCTGTTCGAGATCTTTTATCCTCTGGTCCTTCCGTTCGCGGTAAGCTCTCTGAGAAGCACGGTTCTGTGCTCTCCGCCGCTTTGTAAAAGGAACAGTGTTAGCAATTCTGAACGGGATCCGGACCGAATTCTGGAACTGCTTATGATTGGCAGCCGAGAGTGTTACTAGAGCAGTGTATGTATGTACGTACAGATAAAACAGCGGGAGGGGCATTCTTGTAGCGGTTTTCCCGCTTCCTCTTGGCGGCGGGTTTCTGCTGTTCCGTGGTTTGCGGCGAGCCCGTCTCCTCCTGCTCGGGACTCGGATACGCACTAGGGAGACTGCTGCTGAAGTCTGCCGCTGAAGTCACGTCATACTACGGCCGACTATCAGCATTTGTCCATTCTTTTTTCTAGTTAGGAGCCGAAGAACTCACTGCCGACAAGTCAGGGCTCAGTGACCCAGAACCGTAGTACTCTTGGTCCCCGTACACATAATCTGTAGGCGAAGACATGTCGGAAAGATTCCTGATATTCCCCATGGCCTTGTTTGGCAAAGAGTTGATATACACGAGTGAGTTCAATCGTTGGCAGCTGACGGCAGCGTTGTCAAGTCGATGTATCAACAAGGAGTGGCTACTGTTTCTGATGATGAGAATATGGAAAGGGGTGAGACAGGGCAGGGCCATGCCTGACGCCGGGAGCCCATTATTATATTCACGAACAGGGCTCCTGCTAGGTACACATCTTTCATCTTGGGCCTTTGGATGGAAGGCTGTAGGGCGAGGCGAGGTTGCACCCCCAGCGGAGGTGTGGAACAGGCACAGGGGCTTACCTTCGAGGCTAGACGGGGTTAGGAGCTGTAACTTCTTCTGTAAGTCGTTCTCGATGGGCTTGCATGGATGCCGGGGTCCTGCAGTGCAGGGGTACGTATCTCGACTTGCAGCAGGACACAATTTGGAGGATACGTTCCCCTACCGCCCTTTGCGTTCTCATCCGCAGCTTGCCGAGGCACATCGATGGTATTTTGTAAACTGGCTGCGGGATGGAATGTTTAGCAGAGACGGAATGCCGATCGTCGGAATCGAAACTGGTCGTGCTGGAAGTCCTCGGAGCTGCAGTCTGAATGATTGAGTATTCTACAGGAGTTCCGTGGGCGGTTCAGAGAATGACTCCAAGAATAAACTGCATTGCTCATTTTTGCTAGGTCTCGCGTTACTCTGGATGGTGCCGGTCCGATGCTTTGAGGTCCGGAAGGGGCGCGAAAACCGGTCGCTTTGAATCGTCTTTAAAGCCCCGTGCCGACTGCCGACACTCGAGATCATAACCTGGAAGGGAAAGCGTTTCATCGAGTGATGAGTAAACAAGAATGAGACATCAACACAGCTCTGAGAGCCAGGAAAATAGTTTACCACGACGCTGGATGGCCACAGCCACAAGTTGGCAGGCCTTCACTTCGAGAGTGAGACGCGCGCCTGTATTCTTAGGTTCATCGTGAGCAGGCGCTACGAATACCTTGACCGAACCTCAGGCCTTCGGAGATTCCCTGTTAGGCTGACAAAAACATCGGCCTCGGTCAGAGGTTACAATGAAGCGAGATGCACCACACCGATCAGGTCAGGTTTTTTTTTGGTAGCGTTTCCGTCATCTGATACCGGCCACTGGGTATACGAACAACCCAGTCGCGGTTCGGTATTTCGGCTCTTGTCGATCAGGTGCCCAACCTGCCGCTCAATGGCGCTTGCTGTGATTCTAATCTGGAATATTACTCGATGCGTGAAGCCACTTCTGTAACTGGCTCTATACTGGGTCCATCTTCGCTTGGAATGTTGAATCCTTTGGGTGCAAAGCGACTTACCCCTATCAGCGGGGATATCAGATCGTTAAGGGGCTTGGCGAGAAACGGCCTGAGGCTGGATCATTGGAGGGCTTGTGCCTAAGGTAGATGAACATAAACCTCGAACAGGCTCGTTTAGCGATTTCGGATGACGATTTCATGGTAGAGTTGGAATGAAAGTACCTCAGTTTCTTATCACTACCAGGTACGGTAGGTAGGTAGAAGTCAGCTGCCTCCCAGGCATTGGACGAGATCCAGGGCCCTGTGTGGCAAGCGCGATCTGCTTCGTGAAATGGAACCTGAGGGGGTTTAGGTGTGTGGGGCAACTGCGTATATGTACAGAACATACACGTGTAAAAAGGCAGTGCCCCGCAAACCCCCAAGTACCGTTCCTACGGCGATCTATCCCGTTTCCGATGGTGCAGAACTCAAGATCCTCGCAAGACGAGAATGGAGATGCCGACTCCATGTGTTTTTCATAACAGGAGCGTACATACACTTCTGAAGGCAGCCTCGTTAAACAATGTCCCCATTTGTCAGTGCTTCCAAGTGGCTCTGTTCGTCTAAACATGGCTGCCTCTGTCGAGAAAACGAACCCGGGCCGCCCTCTGGCGCTAGCGCGGATGTGCAGGACGCAAACCAGTCTGAAGACGGGAGGAGAAAGGGCGGAGGAAAGCACAACCTACAAGTCAAGAGCCCCTGGATGCGTTATGCACGGATCTAGTGTGTTACTTGCTTGGCTCGCTTGGACCCGATATCTTGGAATCTGTTGGATGGCATTTAACGTTATGGTGCAGCGGGGCCGAATTTCCAGAACGTGTTGTAGATGGGTGAGCACTGAGCAGGGGAACGCCGTCTTGCGATTCCACAAAGCTGCATCTAATTGCTGACAAGATCCGCAGGCCAGCAACATTGAGCGGGCTCGCCTAGAAAAAGGATCTAGAAGGATGCTGCCTAGCGCCTGTTCCTATAGTTCCTTCAACGCTTCTCAAGGGAGTGCTGCCGGGAACTTTGTCGTTGTAAGTGCTGGTAGCCGTAGCGTTGACGATGCTAAAGTCGATCGGCGAATGGAAACGGGCGGATCTGGCGCCGGCGCCGTATTCGGGCTCCACTCCGTTAGCGTGGGGCGTATTCTGCATTCTAGACTTCGCGTTAAAAATGTCCGAGACGTCATGTACACTAGGTAGGTAGCTATCCCGAGCCATCTTACACCTGACCATTCCAAATACCAAGACAGGGCTGCGGCTATGTCAACAAGAGTACAGGGAAGGTGCGTCTACATTCTGATAAGAACGCGACGGACTATCCATTGATGTGCCATGGAGTAATTAGCACGACTCACAATCGGTGGAGACCCTTGCATTAGAGATGGGTTGCATCCGTCCAAACAGCGAAATGTCGTCAAGTAAAGTATCCAGCGTCTGCGAGAGCTAAACAATCATTTCTGCTATTGGACTTGCCTTACTCCGTACACTTTGAGATGCGGTCTTGGCAACCAGGCGCCGACCGGACCCAACGGAAGGCGGGCCGGCGCTGAGCCCCTGAATCCATGAACGTCGCATTCCGAACAGATTCGGAGCCGTGACCTGAGACCGGTCTTGCATATCCGTGCATACACGAATAACTGCTTCGGATTGTACTCCGTAGAATCCTCACAAATTCCTAGCACTTGTTGAACTCGCATGTGAGAGTATCAAAAACTTGTCCAACACTTGATGCTGTAAGGAAAGAAACGGGACATATGTTGTCTCGCCAGGCGCAGCCAAGATGGTGCTGGCCAACACCATACCTCCCGGCTATCTGTCTCTTGATTTAAGCTTAAGTGTATGCCAAGACCTTGACATTTGGCCTTCGCAGCCAACATGAACTCCACCAGGTCGTCTTACACAGCGGGATCGCTCTTAAGTCAACCTCAGCCGATTTTCGAGAGTTTAGACGTCCCCTTTTCATCCCTTGTAGTATTTCCAATGCAGCAGTCAACGTACACACAATACAGACCGATTTCTAGTCACCATTCACAGCGATGCCGGGGTAAAGCTTACAAATGCTTAGGTGCTCATTCTGGCGCATGCAAACAAGCAGTTCAACCCCTTAGATAGCCATCCCCCCATTTTTGACTCTCTGAGTCTACAGATCAAATTTACCTGACCCAAGCGGTCCGTAACCTCCCAGGCTTGCATACAACGTTTGTTAGCGTTTCTTAGCGTTATTCCCGGACTTTGTCCCAAGTTCTAGCCTTCTAGGTGGTCAATTCCGACTCCCGGTGCCGCCGCGGCGGAGTTCCACCCCCCGGCATATATCCGACGTTACACAACCGCTGGCCCGACTTAGCACCGAAAATCCCCGCTCCCGCCCTTCCCCACCCATCGCCGACCTCCGTTTCAGAGGGAAACCTGAGCTTTCCCACAGACCGGAGGGATGTCCGGGCCCCACGCTCGCTTCAGGAACCGTACATTAGCTCAGGCGCGTACGAGCACACAAGGGGGCGGGGGTTAAGATGAGGGGATCGGGATTCACGATGTGGAGTCAGGTACAGTTACTAGGAGTTGTCGATCGAAAAGGGTACAATACCGATAGAGACATCAACAAAGTTCCCTGAAAAATAAGCTTCTGATAGCGTACTCTGCAGCTCTAGGCATCAAGATTCCAGAAATTCCCCAAGGTTCGTAGGTGGCTTCTTTGCGCGCCACGGCTGACCCCTTCTTGGGATTCGCCAAAGCGCCAAACATGTCATCATTCAATCCGTCTTCGGTTACCGACGAAAAGGCGGGAGTATGGCAAGAAAAACTTCTTAAAAGTCATGCGCACGATCAGGATCGTAGTGTATTGAAACGCCATCCCACTAGGGGGACGTGGATACATTCAGGGCGATAAGCCCTGAGCCATCCGTGCAGACTTTTGTCTATCAACATACACAGCGTGTTTGCACCTTGCAGGATATTTGACTTTCGAGGGTCCACTTACGCAGGAGCCACTGGTAAACGTATTCAACCGGGCGGAATAACCGCAGGGTAACGGTTGAGTGACTCCCGGCCAAGTGCGCCATTCCGTACCGCAGTCTGGTGGGTAGTGGACATATGCGAGATGCTGTCAGTGGGCCACCCCTTGTACTGTATGCACCAAGCGCCCAGACACGTGCGTCGACAGGGATTTTGGCTTTGATACGCATTTAGGAAGCGGTGTGGCTAACAATTTTCCCTCCACCACAAGGACCTCCATTCCATCGGCAAAAGGTGTGCAAAAGAAAAACGGTTGTTGCGAGGAATTGGCTTGATCTTTGGCCGCGCTCCGGAGATGGTCGGATCATGTCGTCACGTCCTCCCTTTTCAATCGGCTGTCATTTTGTGCCCCAAAGTTGCATCTGCTGGGACATCGCTTCGCATGGCAGTTTGCGGGTGTGAGAATCCTGTCCGGCCTTTCGGGTGAAGAAGGATTCCTTAATTCCGCATGAGGTCAGGTTGTTCGCTGACTGGACCATGAATACCACAGTATGGTTGTGGTTTTGGTTTGTATGCTCGTGCGTGAAGAACAGCCAATCGATTGCTCGCTGCCTGATTGTCTGCTTCAAGCCACATCGGCTACTCCGCTCAACTCGGGAAGTAGCGGACGGCGCAGTTTGGTAGCTTCATCGGTCCTGGATACTAGATGCTTTCAGAGCGGTACCCTTCAGCGACCGGCATCGCAATGGGGTAGAGGGTGTGGGGGGCATTGAGCTCGGCCGATGATTATGCCTGCGGAAGACCTAGAAGCCTAGAGTTGGCCTCGGCAGCATAATCGTCGAAGCCGAGCTTCTTGCTCAAAGAAACCGCTTGCTCGTACTTCTCCCGCGCTTCGGTCGTCCTGCCTAGCATGGCGAGGATGGAGCCCAAGTTGGAGAGCGAGACGGCGCAGGCTTGGTCGCACTCCACAGTCCTCCTCTCGCCTTGAGGCTCTGAAGCATGGTTAATGGCATTTTCTGCCCACCGCTGGGCGGCGCCGAGATAGGACGAGCGCTGATCTGCCGGAGAGGTCCAGCTCTTGGATTCTTCCATCATGCCGTGCGCCGGCGCGTCACCAGGAGGAAGGATAGGGTGCCCGGCAAAGCTTGTCGATATATTGTTCACTGATGAATTTCGTTAGGGCTGTTGTTATAACACACCCAACCGTTGCAGGACTTACTCAGGATGGCAATATGACATGGGTCTTGGCACAGCCTAAGGGCTTGGAACCACAACGGAAGGGCAAGGTGATGTTGACTCCGGTCCTCGTAACTCTGCGCGAGCGCTGCATGTTGGCGTTAGCGCTACGGAACCGGCTCAATGAGGAGGACTGTCCGAGTGACAAACCCACCTTCAAGACTCGCACCAACCTCCTCAGCGCTCATCCAACTCCCTTCTCCTTCCTTGAGACCCTCCTTGGCGCGCCTTTGTATCTCTCTAAGCGTAGTCTCCACCGCCCAGATGAGTCGCTCGTGGGCGAGGTCCCGCTCCAGGACATGCTCATCAGAGTAGAGACTAGCAAGCTTGACGCTGATGCTCACGGCTTTCGCCAGGAGCCTGGTACGTTTGCCCCAATATGTCTCCCGCAGCGGCTCTGGGGCATCGGCAGACTCCTTCTCTTTGGGGGCCGGGAGCGGGACCAATTTGGGCAAGGTGCCCTCGCTTGCACTCTTCTCCATTGCCTCCACCCAACGCTTGCAGTCAGCCAAGAGGTTCTCCAAGACGCTAATGGCATTCTGGTAACTTTCAATCTTTTCGAGCCAAGCGGCCACCTGTATCTTGATACCCATGACCTCGTCAGAAAAGTGATCCAGTCCTTCCTGGTCGCAGAGTTCGAGGGCTTGTTTGTAGTACTTGAGCGCTCGCTGGTGGTCGATCTCATGGTTGCTGAAGTACAGGGCCTTTCGCAACGCTCTGGCCACAGGCTCTGGGAACCGCGAGAATTGGGGGCCATTGAAGTAGTTAAAATATAGCAAAATACAGTAGGCGAGAATCCCAATGGCGCCTAGTACCCTTTGATTTTGCGAAAGTTAGCCGGGAAGGATGATCGCAAGCTCCAAGCCAAACACGTACGCCACAATAGCGGTGAGCCCCTCTATAGGGTTCTTCCGTATAACTTCTTTTAGACTCGTGTTCTTGATAGCATGCCATGTACGCTTAGTATCGCCGGTAATGCTTCGCCAGAGCAGTGTCTTAAAAGATGGGTTAGGATTTTGTGTTGCTTTCTGGGACGAGCTTTCAGCATCGGGATCCGGGAGTGACGTCGATTTGGCGCGGCATTGATATTTGTTCAGGCTTAAAGCGAGCGTTGAAGGAGCTGGCCGGCGAGATCGGTGAGATTCCAGTCGCAGGACGAGAGGTGAACCGGATGACAGGCGTTGTCGCGGGAGTCTGAACACGCCGGCAGACCGCAACCGCGCAACGCCCGAAAAGGGCATCGTGATGGTGTATATGATTTGGAGCTGGGCTGTATAACCCAATTGACTTGCTGGTTAGTTTATTGAAGATAAACGGAGAAGCCGTTGCTGTTGTCGACCCGGAGGTGGCGTGGCTTGGTCAAGAATTCAGTGCTCAGGGGAGCTCGAATGGCCCACTTGAACCGCGCCTGCAGGATGACGCGCTGGACATATCTGCCTAAGGCAGCACGCTGACCTCAACAAGCTTGGCTTGGCTTGAGCCATGTGGGGCAGGCCTTGCCCCACCATAAACCCCCACTGCTGGGATAGGAGCCCTGCAACGTCCCGAGGTCCATCGGCTTACCGTAGCTCCACTTTCCACTTGGGCTTCACAAGGGGAACGCAAGTATATCGAATTACAGAGCCGCATATTAGATTGATTCTATTCTCACAGCTCGTTGTTTCTGCTTCATCTTAACAGGAACGCATTCTTGGCCCAGGGCAACACCTTCTCTGTTTTTTTGGCTCCTTGGGAATCACATCCAACCGCTCCTTCCTTCCCCTCCCCCTGAGCAGCAATGGCCGGCAAGTTCGAGCCCAAGGTGCCCGTCCAACTGGACCCTCCAAAGGACGACCCCATCTCCGTTGAGGAGTTGGCCAAGGCTAACGGTACGAGCTTTATGGCTCGGCTTATTCTTGTCTTCGACCTCGGCCTACAGTGTTGCTGATATCCCTTGTTGCTCAGGTGAAAACGGAGGAAAGTGCTATGTCGCCATCAAGGTAAGTAAACATGTGCTTACCTACTAGTACAGCAACCATCAACGCCATAGTATTGACAATCAATGCCACAAAGGGCATCGTCTATGACGTGACAGGGAACAAGGCCTATCAACCAGGTGGCGCATATCATGGTAAGTCATACTGCCGGCCCGGCCCACAGCCTAGAGAACCCTCTCTTTGGTTTGCTGGACTGCTTCTTCATGATTCTCCGATGCCAACAACGTCGAAACAGTATTTGCCGGCAAAGACGCCTCGCAGGCCCTGGGCAAGACGTCGACAAAGGCGGAGGACGTGAGCCCGGAATGGAAGCATCTGTCCGACAAGGAGAAGTCGACCCTGAACGATTGGGTCACCTTCTTTTCCAAGAGGTACAACGTTGTGGGGAGGGTAGAAGGTGCGACCAACTTTGAGTAAGAGTATTGTGGATCACGGTCGCTCTGATGCTCCTGCTGGGAGAGGAGGGAACCCTTCTATCATCTTCTCTGGGATTGGTGGTTTATATTGCTGCCATTTTTGGTACAATTCCACGGGCAGTTCGATGCCGTCTGGTCGGCTCGACGGATCTATCATGTGCGGAAGCCGGATGGAATATCTCAGAAAGTTGTGAGTGTTGCCTGAGGGCGTGGTATGTGGCATTTCGATTATTATACCGTGGCTGTCATCGAGCTCGATGGAACGTGTGTCTTGGTATTGCTGGAATCAGGTACGTTGCGCCGGGATTCGGTCTCAGCGTTCCATCTTACCGTGACCCGTTCACCCAAGTGTGATGTATAAGCGTATTTCTTGACCGAAGCTGGCGAAGCAAAGTACTAGTACTATGGTATTATAACTAAGGTATGGTACTATTGGCAGTGGCAATGCAAGACTCCATATCATGCTGAGTCTCTCCGAACACAGAAAAAGAAGTGGCTCCCGTCTCCAGAGCTCCCAAGATCAACACTTGAGGGTTCCGGTAAGCTTCCAGGCCAACCACGAAGGGCGCCCCTTAAAAATGGCTACTACCATTACCCTGGCCTGGTGGAAGCGCTTGTGTCAGTCGACTGGCATCATTACTGGCGCACCACTTATCAAAAGCGATCTCTCATGGCCCGGGAGTGGTCTGTTTGTACTTACCTTGACCTTGACCTTGGGAGGCGTAATATTCCGCCTGTGCCTGGGTCACGGCAATTTCTTGCTGCCTCGCTAGTTCACAGGCCTCGCATGCGTTGGGCTGATACCAGCAGTCTCGCAGCTTCTTGACACTGTTGCATGCGTGGGTGGGATGGTTCCTGGCACGGTGGCAATAACTCTTGCGCCGGAACTCTGAGTGGTTGCAAGTGAAGATGAACTCTTCCCAGTCACACATGATAGTGACGTATACCTTAGGCTGTCTACCTGCAGTAGGTAAGGTAACTTTTGAAGGTCAGGCGAAGGAGGAGAGAAACAAGAGGCCTAAACCGCTCGAACCAACTGTGATACCGTTAGAGAGGGCTTCTCGTCAAGAACGCTGCCTGCTAGTAGGGACATACCTGGTAGCTCTCTTGCTAGTGAAGTAAGGTATCGACTAGTAGTTGAAGTAGCAAGGTTTAGCTGCTAGCAACGTCCGGTTTCCTCTGTCTAAAGAGACGGATCGACGTCCACGGTTTTATATGTCCTTAATCGACTTGAGCAGCAACATTAACAGCTTCAGGAGGTTATCAGCACATCTAACTAGGTAGGTAGGTAGGTAACTTAGTACCATTGAGAGAGGCAATACTGACTACAGCCGACTTCATGTTACCATCACACGCTAGTTGACAACACATGCATGATCCAGCATTCTCTCAGCCTAAAGACAGCGAGGCAAAAAAGGGTCCTGGAGCGCCCCATGCGAGACGATGCAAATGACTACGCTGGATTCCGTGATGCTCGAACATTGCCACATATCCGAGAGTGATAGATCACAAGCTCAAGAAGCCAGGACGAGAACGATTCGCCGGCAAATCTAGGCCTCTTGATGTTTGTCCGATGTAGGAGTCGACCACAACTGATGAATACCGTGACATTGGCGCTGGTGAAGAGGAGACAGCCACGATACAGGCACTAGGTATGTCAGTACCTTGCATGTAGCACACCAAGCATCTGCACCGCGACCTAAGGCAAACATCAGAGACTCGGAGCAAGGAGGCGTTGGGCCGTGGCGTCAGAGCCCCCGCTTCTTGCAATCTCAGAGAAATAAAAAGAAGAGACCGGAAGGCTGGGCTACAGGAACATGAACCTGCTTACCGGCAAGGCGACAAAGGGGGTGGAGTCACTGTCCCCAGCAGGGATGTTTTAGATGCATGTGTACCTAGATACACCATGAAGGTACGTGTCGTCGGACTAAGTCGAGACTGGTCTGGTAACATGAAGAAGGGGTGCAGATCACCTATCCAGATTCCAGGCGGACTGGACTGGAGCTGAAAGAGACCGATAAGTAACACTGCTTCTAGACCTTGTCGACCAACATCAAAAAGCATCATGTCCAGAAAAGCATTCGTGGCGGACTCGGAGGGGATCAAAGGATCCGATGCCATGGAAACAACAGCCAGCCGATCGGATTGTGTTTTGCAGCCGATATCAGGCTTCGGGACGTCGGATCGATCCGTTTCTGCATCATGGCGCCGATCTCGACTCGGTGATTCTTTCTGGAACCCTGGTTACAAGGACTGGAATATGACCTATCACCATGAGCTGAGCGTGGCTTGAGCAAACATTTTCGGTGGCTACACAACAAAGACATTGATAGCACCCACCGACCAAATGGCGTGAGGGGCGACAAGGGTTACACTGAAGCAGATTGGTGATGGAGGGCCGACTTCTTTCCAGTCACGGCGTGGTCCTGCTGCTAGTAGGAAGGAATTGCAGACATAAGTTCATCAAAGCCATATGCATATTAGTACGGAGTACTAGTAAGGTTAGGTAGGTACCTGCCGAGGGCAGCAGATGCAGAACAGAAGAGGTAGCCTAAGTAGGTTCTAAGTACATTATGTTCGAAAAAGGGGCTGGAGCTGCAGGCAGGAACTCTTCCGCGGGATGCCGACCGGGTCGGAACTTACTTCACTGAAGCTTGCCATCAGTCACGAAAAATGGGATATGGTCTTTGTTGTTCTCACATACGAAGGGGGGCTCTCACTGCTACAGGAGCAAAGTCTGGGGACAATGAACAACTTCATCGCCCTATTTACTAGTAGCTGCCTCCTCACCAAGCCTTACGCTGTGTTGTTCTTTCCTCAACGCCAACTTGAACAAGGTCGGGGCCCCACACCATCCCGCGAGTTGGAAGAAACCCTGCTCGACTTCCAGCATATGGACTTGAGGCCATTCCACAGAAAATAAGATCTAGGACGCTCAGCCTACAGCTCGGGGGTGTCGGAGAACTCCTGTCTGGACTGGTAGCGACTAGGGTCGTAGCGCTGGCCAGACACCGGGATCTGATTAGCCAGATCACGAATCTCCTTATCTTCTTCTGGCAGAAGCACCACCTTTGTGCTGGCCACATTCTCCTCCAGATACTTGATCTTCTTCGTGCCCGGAATTGGAATAATGTCACCACCCTGAGCCATGAGCCAAGCGAGGACGAGCTGGCCAGGAGTACAGCCTAGTGGATGTAAGTATCAGCTATCTGTGTCTAGGAGCAAGTTGGGTTATGGAAAGGAGGTTGAACAGAAGTAGCAACATAGCTACGTTACCTTTCTTGCTCGCCATTGCCTTGAATTTCTCGACCAGCTCAAGGTTTTTAGGGAGGTTCTCCTTGCTGAAGAGCGGTACCGTTCGACGGTAGTCGTTCTCGGCCAAGTCCTCGGCCGACTTGATCTGGCCGGTGAACATGCCACGAGCCAGGGGCGAATAGGCAAAGACGGTGACTCCAAGCTCGCGGCATGCCGCTAGCAGGTTTGTTCCTTTCTCACCCTCAATGTCCAGCCGCCAGGGGTTATACTCCACCTGGACAGCGGCAACAGGCACTACCTTGTACGCCCTTCTCAGCGTTCTTGATGAGCACTCCGAGATCCCAATGGCGCGGATCTTGCCCTCACTGGAGGTAAAGTGCCAAGGTCAGCCAGCGAGGGTCTACTACCCCGGTTCAAGGTTCAGGGGGATGTACTAATACTTACTTCTTGAGGTCTCTCAGGGCCTCCATGGTTTTCTCAATGGGGGTCTTGCCGTCAGTGCGATGGATGTAGTACACGTCTATCCAGTCAGTCCCGAGTCTTTTCAAGCTCAGTTCGCATTGAGAACGTGCTCGCTCCGGACTGCTGTCAAAACTAGACTCGATGGAGCCGTCCTCCTTAAATTTGACGACAATGCTGAACTTGGTCGAAAGGAAGATATCCTTGCGTCTCTCGGGGTGCAGCGCAAACCATATCCCCAGCAAGTCCTCAGAGTCGCCGTACGCATCCGAAGTGTCCCAGGTCGTACAGCCCAATTCCCACGCCCGGTCCAGGACAGCCAGGCGCTCTTCATCGGTTCTATATGGATTCACGTCAGTGAGTTATGATCCATGTCGTCATGCAGTGTCGGTGGAAGAGACGTACCCTACTGATCCGTACAGAACACTGAGTCCCATCAAGCCAAAGCCAATCGCAGATATCTCGGGACCGTCTTTGCCGAGCTTCTTGGACGGGAGGGATGCTGGAGGCGCCATAGTAACAATCAGAAAGCGGCTGGCGTGATGTCGTTCAGGGGCTCGATAGCTTGATATGTCGGAAGAGACTTGGCGAGTCGAAGGGACTGCTGGATACACTGTCTGGGCTCATTGGCGATATGAGGGGGACGGTCGCGATATATATACTTGGTAGCAGGTGCTCACGGCGTTTCGTCACCTGTACGGCCCTGCCAGCTCTTTTGCGAATCACCGCGATCATGATGCTTCGGACACTGCCAGCTACCCGTCGGGTTTGTTGAAGCGTCCCGCGATGGAGGGAGGTTCAAGGCGAAATGTCTAGAATATTGGAGGTATGGAGTTAATCGGAGTTTACCCCTGAGTGCACCCCAAACAATGCTATATTGTTTACCCTTTACGGCCTGGCTGCTCCCACTGCCACATAGGACTGCACATACCGCAAAACAGTGCCATATTGTTTACCGTTTATGGCAACACCCATTCCACCACAAGCGATAAGACTATGATCCAAGGTCCGACCTGATGGCTGCATGCGCTTGCAACTTGTCTGATGGTATGCCTTGCCGGGCACTCTCAGCAGCCCGATCTTGCATTGACGTTACTGCAGTGGGGGATAACAAAAGCTGCGTTGTGGATGTTGGCCCGACTACGGAGTACCCCCATTCCATCTCTCGCAGAACAACCGCTAAACCCCTGCCAAGACTTCCACCACATCCGATTCCGTAAGTGGTGCAGAAACAGTTTTGAAAACACCATCCATGGAGGGGTAAGACCCTGACGGGATTCTGGGAGCGCCTGGTCGATTGCAGTGGTGAAAGTGAGGCCAGCAGAGAACGCACCAGATCCTTTGCCCGGTTAACCCACCCTGGTGCGGCCGGCCTCCTACTCCCACTGTGGTTTTGCATGAATTTATACCTACCAGACTCCCTACTATACTGTGACGCCTCTCATCCCACAGACGAAGGATAAGAGGGCCTTGTGATGCTGCGACTGGCCAAGCTGTGGGCAACATGTGGTGTCGAGGAGGCCGTTCCGAGCCCTGGGAGACTGTGAGATTGGCGAACCCATCAAATTTGAGGCCATAGCAGTCATGGCCCACGCCAGAGACAATGCCATGCCTGCATCAGGTTTTATTTAGACTGTTGTCAAGTGTTAATTGATACCCAGGCAGCACCATGCCGACCGGAGGACGGGACTGGGACTATTATTGCTTAGCTATGGCGAGCTCTTTCAGGATCGAGGTGCCAAGGATTCGGTTGGATTACTTGTTCTGCTGGGAGGCGGCGAAATCTCATCGGGTCCGAGGACTTGACTGTTCGAACAAGTGCAATAGGAGGACTGATGAGGGTGAGTTGCATCGCGACCAAGATGCTGGGTTGACGGAAGTTCGGTGCAAGGTGGCGGGAGGAAAGTGCGACAGAGGGGTGGGGTTTATACTGATGCAAAGAGGAAGGTCCAACTGGCATTAGATCTCTTTTCGCTCCAATGCGCCTTCCGCGGAGGACTTTGAAACCGAGGTTGATGGGCAGTATCGCAGTTTCCTCGTGTCTAAGTGAGCGTTCTCATAGGAGAGGAGGCTTGCATAATACAAGGATGTACATACATTGCTGATGCGGGAAGCTCAACCGCAATACGGATAGTACAGCATATGGAATCGAGAAACAAGCGGGTTCTTCTCTGCTTTTCCACCACAAGTCGATTCACCGAAAGTTTCACGTGACCCGTCTGCATCGTGGGTCGTAACCCTCGTTACACAGCTCGATCGGGTGAGTTCAAAGCCAACTTGCTCACCGAAAAGTGCTGGCCTACTGTTGATTGGTTTCTTCAATTCTGCCCAACGAATCGCGGCAAAATAAGGCAACCAAGTGACATGCCCATAAAAGTGAGGCGACCCGTGCTTTTAGGGTACATTTGGCTGCCTTGTCGTCCACTTGGGGGCTCTAGTCTCTGACAGCTCAGACTACCTTACTCCCTCCTCTCGTTCACCGGTGGCCTCTTCATCATCAGGTACTGTACCTCATTGCTCATTGTGGCCCGCAGCGCGGCCAGTTCAAGACATACTCGGCTTTGGACGTAGGAAAATTCGACCCGTTCAGAACTTCGGTGTTTCGTACGTCATCGTCCAAAGCGAAAGGGAATTCGAGATACGAGAGACCGTACCTAGACCATCTCCGCCCCCTGCGCAATCTCTGCGCAAGCCTGCTTTTTGGGCCGGAATGCCCCGTCAGTTTATGGAAACTCCCTCCTTCTTTTCGCGCCGGCGGCTCGCGTAATCCGTCTGGACAAGCGTTTTATACCCCCCACGCCGCTGCTCCAGGGTATCTCTGGCTGCATTGTCTACTGACCAGGAGTGAAGGTAACCTTGGGCTTCCCTATAGTCCTCAGTTCTCGGTTCGGGCTGGCCTTCGCACAAGTTATGACTGCTAACGAGCTCTTGGGCAACCCAGTTGGCTGCCTTATATTCTGCTCCAATCCGTCGCACCCAACCCTTATGCTGTCTATCAGCTTCCTCAAATAGCACTCCATCATGTCACAACAGATCCAATTTCCGCAGCAGGATCAATTTTCAGTATGACTCCACAATGCTTCCATCCGTGGCATGGGCCCATCTTCTTACACGGTCCCTGTTCTACAGCCGCTTAGCCTAGCCGATCATCCTCCCGCATCGCCGGACTCATTCGGCATGAGCGGCCTTCCACAGCCGGCCGAGGCCGGCATGCCCTTCCTCGGGCAATACACCTTCATGGCTTCCTGCGATGTCGACAATCGTGACGCGCTCGGCGCTATGCATGGCTTCGGTGCCAGCCCGGGCGAGCAGTCCCTGTTCCTTCCTAATCTTTCCAACCAGCATTGCGAACCATGGACGCACCTGAGGGCCGCCCAGCCGGGAAATGGCCAACTCGGAACGAGACAGCCCAGCAGCCTGCCTTACAATCTGAACTATGAGAATTTTAATACCTTCCGGGATCAAGCGGCTCCTTCCGAGGCCGATACAATCAGTCGCAGCGCCTGCATGGTCCAGTCAGACTCTGGATACGGGAGCATGGCTAGACAGAGCGTTGGGAATCCGTCCGTCTATAGTGGGGATGGTGCCGAGACCCGGAGCCTCATAGGAGCCTTTCAGCAACGGGTGAACCTCTCGGCCGAAGAAAAGTCTCGGAAACGAGAAGAAAGGAGCCAGAGATCCACCTCAGCTAACCCCAACGTCGACGGTCTGACCTGCTCGATCTGCCATGCTCATGCCAAGACAAAATCAGAGCTCAAGTAGGTTTCATTCCCCAATACACCGCGCTCGACTGACAGGAAGAAACCAGAAAACACGTAGCCAGACACGAGAAGCCTTTCAAGTGCGATGAGCCGGACTGTCCCAAGGCTATCGAAGGGTTCAGCACGAGGAACGATCGTGACCGGCATAAGAAGTGTGTCCATGGCGTGCTTAGAACCGACGAGACGGTGTTCCGCTGTAACCTGGATCAATGTAAGGACAAGCCCAAGGACTGGCCGAGGCAGGATAATTTCAAGTCCCACTTGTCCCGGAAACATGGCATAAAATCCGAAGACGTGGATCTGGCCCCATTTACTCACCGGTAAGTAGAACGTGCTGACCGACTATCTGGAATCATCTCTTATACCCGCTTTGTACAGTCTTTCCAGCTCCACAGATTTGGCTGGTCTTGGTATGTCTGAGGCTATTTCCACGGAGCCACGTCGAATCTTGGGCTCTTATCCAGCAGCACCACCGCCGTGGACCGAACCCGGTCTGGACAGCTCGGTTCCTTTGAGACCGGTGAATACCCTACCCAGGGATGAGAGCAACTCGCAGTCGGGAAACAATACTCACTTCACGAACCATGCATTCTTGATGGAAGACAGAGACTTTACGTCTTTAATGCGAGCCGATGTACCTCAATTCCTAAACCAAAATCTTCAACAGGACGCCCCGGCCAGAAGTATGAATAACGCCCGGGCGCACTCGGCTCCAATCGAACCACAAATATCGCCGCAGGATGCCAGGACTATCTCCACCGAGGAGCCACCGCTCGCGGGACAATCGCCATATGTCGCCCCGGACGTCCTGAGCCGCACTCATGCCGAGTTCAGGCCCTCATTACCGCCGACGGAGACACAGTTATGTCCCAGGGAAGTTATACAACTAGATGCGGATGACCTTTCAGGAGGCCTTGAGCAGAGTGATCAGTCAAAGCGTAAAATTGAGGCCCACGTTCCGGATGAGGGTGCCCCTGAGGAGGCGCCAGAGGATACCGCCTGTGAGGATGATGTTCAAGATACTGATACCGAGGAGGCTACCTTGGAGAGTACAGACGAACAGGCTAGGCTGACGCCGAACTCCGGTATCGAATCCACCGATGTGCCAACGATAACTGTGAAGTCGCCTTCATCCGAGCAGGAGCCCGAGGATGATACGTCTAAGCAAGGGGGCCTCGACGAGGAGGGAAGTGCCATACTTCGAACGTGGATGGAGCGAGGCATTCTCGACAATCTGCTGAAGGAGGTCGGATACCTGAAACCAACGGATCTCGAAGCCAAGGGCCCATCGCCGCCGGCTGCTCCCTCTGTTTCAACCAACAAACCTGGAGTCAAGTGCGAGCAATGCGGAAAAACGTTCCAGCGGCCCTGCGAGCTAAAGTAATAAGATGCCGTGACCGATCCTGTCGATTTCTTGTGCTAATCGCCGAACCAGAAAACACCGAAAGCGCCATGCAAGACCCTATGCCTGCACCTTTGCCCGGTGCGACAAGACATTTGGCAGCAAAAACGACTGGAAGCGGCACGAGACCAGCCAGCACTTTCAGCCCGAGCTTTGGCGCTGCAACGAGAATTCGCCCGATCGTCCGGTCGACGAGTGCGGGAAAGCTTGCCTTCGGCGAGAGCTGCTCAAGTCCCACCTGCAGAAGGACCATGGCATTCGAGAGCACGACATGCTCGAGAAGAAGCTCGCCGAGTGTCGAATGGGACGCAACTTTGAATCTCGTTTTTGGTGTGGGTTCTGCAGGAAGATTGTCGAGTCTACCGGGACAGACGGCCCCGCGCACAGCTCGCGCTTCGACCACATCGACAACCATTTCAACGGCCGAGGCATGCCACAGGCGGACATCAAAGACTGGAAGCACGTGGATGCGGACCCCCTTGATGCCCCGGGCTCTGAAGGCGGCCATTCCGCACATGGACGGGTTGCCTCTTCTTCGGACACTCCTGCTCGGCCAAGCAAGCACCGCAAGCGGCTCCACCCTTCGGACGGCGACGCAAGCTCTGCGCGGCCCAAGCGTCCCAGGGGCAGCAGCGGCGCGAGGGAAGTCTACTGGTCCTGTGTACGTGTCACCAACTTTCATCCCCTTTCTCGATCATGATGCCGGCGCTAACAGTGTCGGGTCTCAGTGCGTGTGCGAGAATTACTGGAGCAAGGAATCCTATGTCATGTGTTTTGACAGCGGGTGCGGCCACGCGTATTGCAAGGACTGTACCGTTTTTGAGATGCCCGACGAGAAGAAACTGGCTGATGACGACGTATCGATGACCTGACGACAGAAATGATATGATACCCCTGGGTGGACTTGGATCACTTTGGAGTTTGCTTTTCGCTGGAAACTTGAACTGCATAGTGGCATGGTTGGTGATAGTACCTCTATCTATGACTCCTTGGATAGCGCCACGTATGTACCTGAGCGGGGCGTTTTGGTATCATCTGCATAGGTGGTTTTGAGCTGTGTAACCTGAACAATGGTCGGGTTGATCCCACCGCTGGTATATACGTTATACAGCAGGAGAGAACCGTTTATTGGGCGTTTGTTTGTTCAGATGGAGTTCAGCTGACCTTTGTGCGCACTCTGCCTCACGTCAACTGTGATGAAGACGCTCACGTTCAACCGGCCCGCCTGCTCTCGACCGGTCTCTTCTTCGGCCCGCTCTCATTTCGGTTCGGCTTCCAGTTGCCTCAGGGGAAAGAAGAAACAATAGCACCAGATTCTAGTGTGGTATGCGTGTGAACCTTGCTTTTCCTTGTGCATATGACACCCCTTGCCGGGTTTGTTGAGAGTTGAGAATTCGGGTAGATAAGCCTGGGCCAGGGGACATATTACTGACGTCTTTACATCACAGACACCATCACAGACACCAGGAAAGACATGGATCCTCCGCTTCACTAGGTAGACGGCAGCGTCGCTCCCCATCATCCTGGACGATCAAGTCCAGAAGCAGCCGCATACGCATGCGCAGAATACTGTATTGCACATACATAACGTTAGTTGGGTTCTTTCCCCGTGCCTCCCCCTCCATTCGGGTACTTGTAGCGAATACAATACTTACATCGGGGACCATCTGTCTATAATACTCCCCATTAAGACCAGGCATATAATCTCCTGCATTCACCATCTGAACCTCTTTGGAGCTGAACAACATTATGCAAAATTCCCCTGAGGATCTTTCCCCAAGCCTTTGTTGGATTCCTCAGCTGGATGCCATCATCGGATGGCGAACCCGGGGGATTGGCGGGGAGGAACCTGAGGGATCGTTGTGACTTGAGCTCTTCTGTATGTGCTGCACCTAGTTGCTACAGACCGGATGAGGAAAGATCCAATATATTGTTTCCATTTTTGTTCCCTGAATTCCCATTCTTTCTGCTGACTTCACTTACACTAGCGACTCCAGCTGCTTCAGGTTTTGCCCAAGTCGAAAACATGGCGGCCGCCGTGCCATCGCGCAAGTTCCATGATTCGATGTCCAGCTCGGCATCGTCCGTGGTCTGCTAACCGGGATCAATAACTTGGCGCAAAGTTTACGTGTAGATAACACTAAGCAGGCAAAGCCGTTCTTGGTGTATCCCGAGCTTGCGAGCAGTGGCGTTGTCTCAGTTAGTTTAGTTTAGAGCTCAGCGCAAAAGAAACGACACTTTAACGTTACCTGCACTCTTGTTCTGGCTCCGTTGGAGACTGAACCGAGCGGATTGGTCGATGTTGCAGAGTGCCCGTATTCCCCCAGAAGACTAACCGCGTGGCTGGTGCCTCTCCCAGGGTTGACAGATCGGCGGTAACGTTAGTGAACAATGGCGGCGGTAAAAGCCGCGTACTGTCTGTCTGGTATGTACTGTATGTACATACATACATACTTGTACCTACGGAGTATGTGTATGTCCATTAGATCTTGACAAGCAAGGTTCTAAGTCCGATGTGTGGGTTGAAGATTCTTTTGATCCCTCAGTAGAGTACTCCGTAGTTAGATATTCAAGTCGTGTCACCATACGGCCTGAGCTTAAACAAGTTTGCTTGGCTTGAGTGTGAGTGCTTGAGCGGCGCAGCGTTTCACTAGCCATTGCTTGGGCTGGATGACTGCATGGCGTAATTTACATGACGGGCGTGAATCCACTCAAGGAGGTCCATTTCTGATTCACTCAAACCGGGGGTGGTTGATGATTTTCGGTTTTTAGCGTCCGGACTCTCTGGGAGAGTTGCGTCCAGTCGGACGAGGGTGCGCGACTTTGATGGACAGGGTTGGCCATCTCATCAGTACCGTAAGCTGTCTTCCGGGTTGCAACAATGGCCTTTTCTGCCGGGATGAATCTTAAGACAGCAATTAATGGTCGCCGATTCTTTGCACTAGACCCGAGATGGTATTACATCGTGAAAACCCTGATGGAGGGGTGTGAGCCCCAGCCCGAAAGGCGACCGCGCTAGATCCCGACGCCTTGCCAGGCTCACTGCCAGCGTTACAGTGAGTTCCCTTCCCGTCCCGGTGGTCTTGAGATGTCCATCTGTCGGAGTTGGGCCAATGAGCTGTCGCAGTTTGACCGAGAGTGAATGGGAGACAGAAGCCCAAAGATGGGATCAGTCAGGCAATGACGGTGCTGGATTCCGGTTCGCTGCTTATTAGAATGCGGCTCCAATGGCCCAATGAGTGTGATTCTGGCTTGTCGAGTGCCGTTTGGTAGGAAGTCACTGGCGCGGCAGCTTCCTATCTGCCTCGAGTTTACCGTGGCCCCGGGAACACAATAAGCGCTCTACGGATGTACTCCGTATATCCGATTGTCTGCACTGAACAATTGTAGGATGGCGCTCCGCTTCTCCCGGGACTTCCTGGTCGCACACCTGGGGTTTGGTGATGGCGCGGGTTGAAGCACCGCTTTCAGGATTAAGAATCTGCAGGCCCGGGGCGTCTGATCGGAACACGGGAGCTGATTGGGGCCTGTACAAGCTTTCCTCACGAATCGCGGTCTCTAGACGGGGATGCAGAACAGGACCTGAGGAAGATGCGACTCTGCAGGAGAAATTGCAATCTGACCTTCTTGTTGTGATTTTGGCTGGGTATTGTAGTGTACCTTATGCAGGATGACACGAAGAAGGAGATAGCGCAAAAACTCGCATGAGCAGTGAATATGGCGTTCCAAACTTCCAATTGAATGCCGATGGGCAGCACCCGGGGCGCTGGAAGCTGGCCGGCTTCGGTCCTGGCCAATGAGAGAATACGTACGTATGAAGTCCTCTTTGCAGTACGTCAAGGTAAGTGCAGCAGAGCAGACCCATACCTCCCTGTCTGTAGTGTAGTTGAAGTTATGTTGTAATTGATGTGGGCGGCCCTCCATTGTACATACACTTTGGCCGGGCGCAGGCCCCTCTTCCAGTCTGTGGCTGTCAAAGTCATACCCGTCAAAGGGATGGTCGTGTTACCGAACCATGCAGGGCAAGCGAGGAATCGATCGACTGCATGCTAACTGAACGTTCAAAGTCAGATGCGCGGCGGTGAAGCACCAAAAAGCGGGAAAGCGGACAGCGGAAAGCGGAAAGCGACAGACGCGGTTGAGGAATTTGATTTGGACATGCACAATGGCGGAAATCAACGGATCACCGTCTCGCCCAAGCTCGCCAAGGTCCCACCTCTCCACAGACCGTGGGCCTCACTTTTAGCGTGCACTAAAAACGGGATGGACGACCTGACAAGGGATGGACAGCAGGGACGAACGAGAAGACGCGAAAAGAGTTCCGCAGGGTCAAGGGACCGGTGACAGGGGCCAGTGACTATCAATGCCAAGCGATTGAACGGTGGACTGAACATAACGTAACAAGAGCACGGCCGGACTCGCCGCTGTTGTTCATGATCTTCCCGTTGCTTTTTGGGCTATCCCAGAAGATGATGAGAGAAGTGGATCAGAAGACCGATTCGATGCACGGAATATAACGGCCGTCTGGGGAACAGGAACAAGGTGAGACTTTGTCAATTCTCTTGTTGACAAACGGTTGGACCCGCTCTTCTGATCTCAAATTCTCAACCAATCCAATTATCCAACAGCAAATCTGCTTCAACGTAAAAAAGCGAGGGTGTTTTCTCCTCTTCAACTGATATCTTTTTTATCTTCTCCGACGCGACGCAAACCGAACACCGCGGCAGCTGGGAACAGAGCCGCAAATCCATCGGGTCGACGAAAATGCCCGTTGAGACCTGTTGGTGCCATTCAGCATCACACAGCGGCACTGTGTAAGACGATACTCTGTACATACATACACCCCGCGGTCTGATTTGGAGGGGCGCGAACCACCATCAGTACGCCCGCTTGGTGACATGCCGCATCACCCGGACCTCTGGAGCTCGCCTGGTACCCAAATGTACCCTGAGATACTTCGTACGGATAACTTGGCTTTGCTTAACAGCTGCCGCCCAGCAGCGACAGGCGACAGGGGAGGGGTGTGAGGTGATGGCGCAGCGCAAACGATCCACCACCAGACCGTCCAGTCCGACGCCAGCATTTGGACCGCGCCAGCGGAGCTGCAGGGGTTTGCAGATGCCCCCATTTCGTTTCGAGCGGAGCCAAGACCTTCTTCATCAGCCCCGGTCTTGGCTTCTTTGAAGTACATGCCACCGTTCTTTTGGCGGAGAGATGAGGCTCTGCTAAGGAGAGGGCCTCCTTTCCCATCACCATGGCCGGCGTGAGGAGGGGCCCCCTGCCCATGAGCGCTGCGGCTAGTGAGAGACTGCCGCCAACTCGCCTGTCCCAACACGGCATGCCCCCAAGGTAGGTAACATACAGTGTGTAAGTTATGTACGAGACATTCGATGGTTTACTTCGTACACATACACATCATATGAATCTCTCCTCAGTCCCGGGCTATTTACCACTTGGGATTGCTCCCGCTTTCCATCTCTTCACACTGACTCCCCTGACCTGCGCCTCAAGGGGACTGTCCTGGGAGAAGTTTCCCATCTTCGCACCCAAATCATCCCATATATATAATACATTAGTTCCGCCGCCGCAGCCTCGCTTTTGTTCTTTGTGTCTGTGACTCGGCATACCACCCAAGCTAGGGGAACACCTTCTTGTTGTTGTTGTTGTCTCACGCACGAGGCCGAGCGAGTTGTTGGCTCCCGTACGCCTGGGACCCCGGGACCAATTCTGGACCCGACACTCACACCTTGGACTAATTGACACTGACAGTCTCTATTTACGACAATGGCCAACCCCTATGTTCTTGGGGCTGCTGCCTTTCCATATGAGGAGATGCCCTTCCACAGCCAGACTTACAGCGGGATGGAGGATGGTTTCGGCGACTCGCCCCTGACCTACATCGACCCTACTCTCCAGAGTCCTTCGCCCGCGCTTTACGGCAGCCCCTGGGAGCCGCCCGTCCACCGGTTCCCGAAGAGTACTGGGACGGCCCTCGTCAGTGGCGACATCCCCATGCACATGGCAAGCCGCGCGCACATGCGGTCCGCACTAGTCGTTCACCCAGGACCATCGCCCTCGCAGATCCGCTTCCCAAGCCCTCTCCCGTCGAGCGAGCCACCTTCATCGTCCGGCAGCGCCCACAGTCCGTGTCCAGAATCCGAACCGTACTACGAAAACTTCCCAAGGACGCCTCCTGACACGAACATGTTTTCGCCCTATCAAGCCCCGGCTCCCTTGGAACCCTTCTCGAGCGCACACGCCGTGCAGTTCACAAGCATGGGCCCTAGCCTTGGCTCGGACTGCGTGAACCCTCTCGACGTGAACCCCAACCAGCAAGCCGACTATTGCGAGAGCGACAATGGTCTCATCGACTTCAGCCTTGCCCAGACGAGGTACAGCTACGACAGCCACGCCGCAAGCCACTGTGACGCCGAGCCGGCACAAGCCGCCGTTGTCCACGACTTCGACACCGCCAAGCGTATGGCAAGCCCAGAAGAGATGCGGTCGATGACCGAGGCCGATGTGTACCCGCCCCTTCCCAGGGTACGAGACGATAGCCTTGAGAGGATCCTTCCACCCAAGGACGACGCCGCCGTGCCCAGGTCTAAGCGGCCCAGCGAGGACAACGGGGACGAGGATTACCGGCCGAGCAAGAAGCCCAAACCAAACACGAGAACAACCCCACAGCCAGCGGCCAAATCGAGGCCAAAAGCCGCCGCTCCTCCCGTCGGCGGCAGCGTCGGTCAATCGCCTCGCTCGGGCCGGAGAAGAAACACCAGGTCCAACCAGCTTCCCCCAACCGCCTCAGCTAGTACTTTAAGAGCACCCGCCGTCCTGACATGCCGAGACTGTTCCAAGAATGATTTCGAGGACCAGACGGAGCTCGACATGCACATCAAAAAGCACCACACGCGGCCCTTCAACTGCGTCTTTGACTTTGCGGGTTGCGACTCAAGCTTCGCGACCAAGAACGAGTGGAAGCGCCACGTCAGCTCCCAGCACCTCTTACTGAACTACTGGGTGTGCACCGAGTGCGAAGGCTCCAAACCATCCTCATCATCCTCCGGTAGCAGCAGCAGCAGCAGCAGCAGCAGCAGGAGCAGCAGGCAAAAATTTTCTTCCTCCTCCTCTGCAGAGAACAGCGGCAACCCCAACGGCGCCATCTTCAACCGCAAAGACCTCTTCACACAACACCTCAAGCGCATGCACGCCCCCGCGGCCATCAAGCACCTAGTCAACAACCCACCCAACCCGCCACCCCGAAAACAGAAAACCCCGCAGCAACCACACCCACAAACAGAAGAATCCGAAGAAACCACCCGTCTCCTAGCACAATGGAACACCCGGCTACGCGCCCTACAAGAAAGCTGCAAGCGCGACCGCTGCCGGCTGCCGAAATACATGGCCTGTCCCGTACTCGGATGCGACCATGCCGGGAGGACGGGTTTCCGCGGGGACGATGCATGGAACCAGCGCATGGAGCACGTGGCGCGGCACATGGAGCGGGCCGCGGCCGGGCTTGAGGCACGCGTCGTGTTTGGTGATGTCCGTGGGGATCCCACGCTGGTTCGGTGGGCGGCGGATCCGGCGGTTGCGATCATCGTTCCCAGCAGGCGGGGGCGGCGTGGGCATCCCAGTCAGGGTAGGCGTGGTCTGGGTTTGGGTCTGGATGGGGATGAGGATGATGGGGAAGGTGATGGGCAAGGGCAAGGGCAGATGTGGGAGCTCAAAAGTCCCCTGCAGAGAAAGCCCGGGGGGAATGTGGTTGTCTTGGCGCCCGTATTGGAGGAGGAGGAGGTGGAGGAGGAGGAGGAGGAGGTGGAGGAGGAGGAGGAGGAGGTGGAGGAGGAGGAGGAGGAGGTGGAGGAGGAGGAGGAGGAGGTGGAGGAGGAGGAGGAGGAGGCGGATGACGGGGTTGTCGTAGGGGAGACGGTGTTTGTTGCTGATGCTGATGCTGATGCCGAGGAGGTAGGCGAGGGCAGCGAGGAGGATGCTGAAGGGGAGGACGACTAAGTGCTGTTGTTAATGCCCATGTTTTCCCCTTTCCTTCTTTTTTGTCGCTTCTCTGTTTCATTAGGTCGAGTACGATGGAATTGTCCGGGCTACGGTTTCTTTACGATGCATGATCACCAAGTTCCTTTCCTAAGATACACATTACGATCGAGGACCGTATCTCTCTGTCTCTACTGATACCTCGGCTCTCTACACTTTCATTGGCACGGATTGTAAAAACCGAAATACAACAGGCTCGCGGGTTCACGCGTATGGATAGTATCTTTTAGTTATGATAGTTCTAATGATTCCTACAGAGGTGCTACTCGTCAGGAGCTTCATAATCGCCATCTGACCCACTACTTCGTAGAGGGTTTACTGTATTGTCTGGCCCAAATCTGCAAACTGAAGTTGTGGCGGGCGTTAAGTCACTGCAGGCCTTCTGCAGGCCCTATGCCTTGGGCGCATTCTCGTCAACCGCCCGTTGCCCGCCATGTAAGAGGGGCTGGACTGGGCATCTGTCTCCTCTCCAGTTTGCGCTTCCTGGTTCATTTTGCAGCACCCCGACATACCTACATCGACTCTAGTTCCAAGTCTTGTGTGGTCAGGAGAGGAAAGAGGAAAGAGGTACAACCGTTGTCCACGCTGTCCCCTTGGTATTCAGTTGCCTTGTCTTGACATATTTACTTGCAGGGCCAATCGGCGGTGATATGGCTATTCCTAACAGCATGTTGGTCTCGTGTGAACGTGAAACGCTGCCCCGTTCTGCCGAGGCTTTCAAGCCTTAGCCTTCGATGCTGTGTGCGATGCTGTGCACAAGATACACAGCAGAAACCGGTCACGGTTGGCGGTTGGGCTCAGCTTGGCCGCATCAGTTCTTGGGCGGGAAGGAACTGCCGAAGAGGGCAAATGGAATTTGAAGGTAAGGTACCTACCTAGAGAAGGGCGCGTCTTCCATCATTCGCGGCCGCACCCCCGGTCGCGACTCACCTGTTCCATGATGGCCTACCTGCCTCGATTTTGGCGGTGATGCCCGGCCATGGCGAGCCCCCTTTCGCTCCTTTTCTGTTCCGTTTGTTTTATTCTTTTGACACCAGACTCGATCATGTCTTGATGTCGATTGGGCGAGCCACATCGGCAGGTTTTGTTGCTGCTCCCAAGGCAGGTATTGGACCTTTTGTGTCCAGTTGGGCATTTACCAACTTCAGACGTGAGGAAATTGACACCTCATGTCAATTGTTAGCCAAGGCAACCCAGGCCCCGGATCGCGGGTCCTGCGCAGCGTCCTCGCCACCAAGGCGGACTGTGTACCATGGTGTATGACAATAGACTCACCAACGTTACTCTCAAGAGTAACCCAAATATGGCCTAGGGTGTTGAGGCAGACATGGCTGCCCGGGTGCGAGGTTGCTGGATGCCTGAACAAGGGTGCATAGCAACTAGAAGCTCTTTTGGGCGCCTTTGTCCCTAATCGAGAGGAGCAGGTCCTACGCTGCATTGTCGGCCAGCCCTCGAAGAAGGACGAATCAGGGATGCCATATTTCCGCGTCTCTGAGTGTCAGTTGCCGACATGGTGTGGGTGTCGAAGGGTTACACAGACGAAACGATCGCGGACTAGCTCGCTGCTCGCCATTCGCTACACAAAGATGCAAGTTCCCTTGTTGCAGAAAAAGAAACCACCTAGCCATCGTCCGGGGTGTGGCTGAGCTGACAGCGGCCCAGCCCCCAGCGCTCGGAGCGGGAGTACGGTGGCCCGATACGGAAATTCGGCGAGCGTTGAAGGTTTAGCCCCGGAGAACAACCCCTTGTTCACCACTTTTGCCACCCCCGGCCCCCGACGAGGACTCGACAGCCAGACCGCTTGCTCCATGACTGGAAGTCGCATTTCCCCGCGGTGATGGCGCCAGCGTAACATTACCCCAACTTGTAATTCGCAGCAGCGAGCAGGATCCGCGATGCCTGATTGGTACCGATCTGTTGCCCGCACTTCCACCTCCTTCAGGTGCCGGGGGCGGCGGCGCAGAAGATGCCAAGTCAGATAGATCAAGCCCATCACCATTCGTCGATCCTATTACTTCGTACATACCTTCACGAGGTATGCTGCTATCTACACCATCTGATCGGGTGGCGTACCCCAGCTTCAAGCAAATTCAGCTCCTCAGGCCCCAGCTGCTTGGCCTGGGGTTTCGGGGGTGCCAGAATGTCTCGCTCGCAAGACCGGGCAGCTATCTCTAGCGGGGAAGCGGCATGGAGATCGCTTTCTCGGGGAGAACCCTGAGATTTGCGCTGGACCGACGTCTCATCGATTAGCCAGGGCCAGATACAACATCTCTCTGTAGGTACGGAGTACCATGCAGTTGTGGCACTGTCTCGAATTGTTCTGGCCTAAACTCCCCGGAACAAATGCTTCACCCCGGCGCGTGATTAGCGTCTGGAGTTGAACGTCATGGCTCTCAGTAATGTACGAAGGTAACATGATCGGGAGTCCTTTTTCAAGTTTCAACCCCCCCTTAAGGTCCCTTGGTGAGGAAGGCGCTCGAAAGCAGTGCGATTTGGCCCCTGGTAGATCTTGGATGGTGGGATATTGGCAACCGCACCATGAGCAGGGGGTGGTGTGGTCCCCCTTTGAACTTGCACCATGACGAGCATGAATGGTTGGTACATACCTTATTAGGAACTCACTGCCTGCATATGTACGCTCTGTGTCACGTAGGTCAAGTTGCCAGGAGATGTTGTATGGTTCGATTACAAAGATCTAGACAAAGTCAATGAATAGATGCTTACTGGGGAAAAAGGGGTTCCTGGCATTAACTGACAGCGAGGAAGCCACCAATCTCAAAACGCTGGCACTACGGGCCCATGATGTCACTGGTAGGGCACCAGTGCGAGCCCTTATGGTAGCTTTAATGTCTATTTTGCTTCCATTTGGAGATATTCAGGGTCCCTTGCGCGGGTATCAGTAACTGTTTAAACTCAGGGGACTCCTCTCTTAGGGTTGCTGTTACGAAATGGTCTTCTCACATTGTCGTTTGGATCGCAGAACCATTTGGTAGAATATCATTGCTAGCATTTATGAACTGGTTGAAAATGCTCATGTGACGGCAAGTGGCACAAGGCGTGGTGTGTATAAGTAGGTAGGCTTCTTCTTCATCATCATACATTCTCCTTTACCTTACCTAGGTACTTAGGTATTCAAGGTGAGTCAGGACTACCTACTCTAGATAGGTGGTTTCTCTTGCCACTTGGGTGAAGCCAGGCCAAACACGGCCAGAAGGGGAGGGGGGGGGGGGGGGGGGGGAAGTCGTATAAGCCAGATTGAGGTAATACCGTCTTGCACGTTGGAATTCAGGAGCAGGATACAGATGAGAGAACAGATGGCCACAAAGCATCGAGTCACGAACATGAAAGGTGACAACACGGCAACAATAATACAGCCACGTTTCTTCAGCATGTATCAACACGTATAGTACTAATTCTGTACTATAAGAACGACGGACGCCGCTCAAAATAAAAAGGTCTGCTTTAAGAACTGACCATCTGCGCGATGCCCACCCAAGTAGCAGCTATCACGCGAAAGAAAGAAAAACCAGGGACAAGGCTATCATGACAACCGCGGAAAGCGGCAAGGAACAGGTCACGGTGGCAGATCTGAGCAAGACGAACCAAACTGGAAGAACAGCGATCCAACAGTCCACGCGGCAGGGGCTCAGAAGAAGAATGAGTGAAACCTTCAAGTTGTCACCCATTGAGCAGCTAGACGCCTTGATGAAGGAGCTTCTCGCGTTGCAAGATCTGGTACTTGAATCTGGCTCACCGAACGGTAAGCCGTCTGAAAGTCAGATGAGGCGACGTGATCCGGACGAAGTCGACGCCTTTTGGCACGATATCCGCACTCGCTTGTGGATCGGCGAGGACGAGATATACCCCGGGGTTGGAGAACAGTCGGACTCGGCAGAAATAAACATGGAGAATAGGAGGTCCTAACTTGGGAGGTGAGTTGACCTTTGCGACTGCAATGCGATCAACCCAGGCTGTGCCATTATACCAGCACCAAGATGCGACCTTATAGAGCTGTGGCAGACGTATAATCAGAAGAGGGACGCTAATGGTATGACAAGGGGAAAGGGGGGAGGTGGATGCCATGCCAAGCGGGTGGACAGAGGAGAGGAGAGACACCAACGAAGAATGTTATAGTAGTGTACAGACATCTTTCGCATGCGTATGCCTCATTAATGCTCTATAATGGCCACTTATATACAACGCCCTGCCGCTCGGTGGTGATCGGAATTGTATCCAAGCACATGATGACCGGGGCGGGCTGATAATGATACAGGCTCCCTGAACCCTTGGTCCAGGGGAGTTGCGTTTATATGCCAGACCAACACCCCTGCTGTCTGTTTAGATGTGTTGTACACTGCCTTGGCTGTCTTTCGCGGCGGATCGGTGGCGAGGTGTGGCAGCCAGATCTCGGCTCGCAATATCCTTGGTTCTTCGTACGTCGATTCGTGGTAAAATGTGACCTCACATAATTGGGCCTGGCCAGTCGGTCTGCCTCCTGTCCTCCGCCATCTGCTCGAGCTTGGCGCGTAAACCACGGAAACGCCCTCAGCTTCTAACCGTTGAGTCATTGCGTACCCTTGTTTCGCGCTCTCTGTCTACCGTGTCTCCGGGCAGAGTCGGTCCTAGCTCATCCACGGCTGTAGAGGCTTCGTCCAGCTGCCCACTCCTCTCACGCTCAACCTCTTCATCCCAAGGTTGCGGCATCGCACTTCCTAGCTCGGCTTCTTCACCGTCATGGTCCCAGCGCCCCCATCCAGCTTCAGCAGCGTCTCGCTCGCGCTGCTCTTCGATTTGGTTCTGCTGCATCTGGAGCTGCTCCATTGCTTCCGCGACCGCATCGCTATCTCTGGCAAGGCGCCGCGCCCTCCTTTCCTCCAACATTTTACGCGTCTCCAGCAGCTCCTCGCGCAGCATTACGTCATCTAGGGTAGGCGGGGCTTCCTGGGGCGGGTTCCGCTCCAGCATTGTGATCGCCGTGGTTCGGTTGTTCAGGCGTGCAAAGGCGCGGTCCACGTATTCGTCGGCATCATAACCTGCGCCAACCATCTCGGAATACGTCTTAGCGACCAATGCAGGATTCTGCCAATTTGCGTAGGCAAAGGTTAGCAGCGTCCAGGTGATCTTGTTGGCCTTGACGCCGTGTCTCTGCATCATTTGAAGGACGCGCTCCAATTGTGATTTCAAGTTCTCATTGGGATTGCGGCAGAACGCGTCGAGGATGATATTCCATGTCGTGTCCCTGGGTTCTGGGTGGATTGGTAGATCCGCGTTCATGCCTTGCTGCGGTTGCTGGTCTGCTATTGGTGTTATCCTGTCTGTTGCTGTCGTGCTCGCAGCCTTCCTAGCCGCGGTATCCTTCAGCATGTCTTCCAAGATGCTAATGGCAACTCGCAGCATGCCTTCAAACCGAGTGAGGGCCTTGATGATAAGGTCGTGAACGCGGCTTCCCAACTTTATCAGGGCAAGTGCGTGCTCGTCGCCCGCCCTCAGCAGGGAACAGAATCGGGAGTAAAAGGCAATGACGCCGTACGGGTCGGTGAGGCTACTGATGTAACCTAATGTCATGATGCGGAGAGTGTCCGCCTTTGGATCGAGGCGCTCTTGAGGCCCAAGGACCGGTAACTTATTGATGATGGGGGCCATCTTGCCCATCCAGTCCCATTCCTCACCGAGATTCTCATCTGTAAGCCATCTGGTCAAGTCGGACGGATAGAGCTTCTGCAACGGCTCCAGCTTGAAGAACCTGATATAGACCAGTAACATGGCGGGAAATACTCGCACGAAGGGGGTCCTACGTCGGGTTTCTCTTTCGGCGCTCAGCAGCATGAAATGAAGTAGATCGTTCAAAATAACAGGATTCCGCAGGACATCTGCAGGGGCGTCGCTGATTACCCGGTCGCCTGACCGAAAACTACCTGCCCACTTTGAGCCACTTAGGAGGATCGAGTAGACATAAGCGTTCGGCTCGATCCCTTGATTGCGCATGAGGTCGTGGACTGCCCACGCCCCGGCGTAATCCTTGTTGTGACAAAAGCCTTGCATCAAGGTTGTCAATGTTATCAAGTTTGGAGAGAAGTCTTTCCACGAATGCACACCCTCGAAGAGTAACTGTTCCAACTCGCGGAGTCGTTGGGGTTGGCGCAGCGACGTTCTAGAGTCGTCCTCCTCTGCTAGTGGAAATGTCAAAAGCGAGGTGACCACGGATGCGAATGCCGGCCCGTTGAGATCCATTTCGCGCTTCTCAGCTATCTCGTCGAGGATGCGGAAGGCCGCAGATTTGTATCTCAAGTCCTTTCCGAGGCGCGATGCGATATGGAGTCGGGTCCATTTGCTAAGAAAATGACCGTACCGCCGTAATTCCGAGTACAGGGTAGCCAGCGTCTGGGTATCATGACATGAGGTGATGACGCGGTGGATGATCCACTGCTTGAATTCAAAACTCTGTGGAGGACTGCAGCTGAGAATACGCAGCAGGAGGGGGGGAAGCTGGCTCTCGAGCGCTGGATCAATCTCGCCTTGTCGTATTGTCATCCATCGAACTATGAAACCAAGAACGTCGGCCACGGCGTAAGGGGGGGTCACGCCCGGCTCGACAGTCGCGTGTAGCAGCTCAATGGCTCTGGCCGGGCACTCTTTGAGGCACGCCAGCATGACAGAAGGCCACATGACCCGACACTGCATCTTCGGCTCTTCTTGCCAAGCGGCTGTAATCCTCATGTGAACGAGCTTCGGCTCTTCTTGCCAAGCGGCTCTAATCTCCTGTGGCGTTTCCCAATGCAGAAGCTTTTTCAAAAGCGCCGCGCCTTCAAGGTATGTTTTCGAGGAGCCCGGGCGCTGCGACTGCTGGCAACACATGCGAACCCAGGTGGAGTGAAAGTTCGCATCCCAGTACTTGTATTGCCGGAATTTCAAACTCTCGATGTCCCGGATGCTAGCGCCTGTCGGCGGCTGGATATCGTCCTTGGCCAAGGCGTATTGCTGGGCGCGCCGGCGCGGGAGGGAGGTCCCTCTAGGGGGAATCAGGACCTGCGTCCGGGGTTGCGGACGGGGAGTGATGTGGGCGGTCCTCGAAGACGGTGGGCTGCTGTGGTCCGGTACGGGGCTTTGTTGCAACTGGATATCGGGAGGTGGATGGACGACGGGTACGCCGGGACCGATCTTAGCACGGCCCGCCTCCGAGCGCTTCCCGGCGCTCATGTGCCGGATAGTTGGACATGGCAACCGCGGTTCGATCAGCCGTTGATTCGGATTCGGGCGCATCGAGAAGATAAAGCACCGATTGAGGACAAGCCCAGCCCGCCTTATCATTGCGCGGTCGGCGGGACTCTAAATGAAGGCCGACCTTTCGGGGCGGTGCTCATCGGTCCATCGGCTCTTGAAGCTGGGGAAAAAAATTAGAGGATCGCAGTTTCGGTCGCAACCAACCCGGGCCTTGAAGGCTTGTCTCTCTGCCGGCCGGGCAGGCCCCGCAAATTCGCCATTGGCTTGTGCGTTATCGTAAAAAAAGTGACGGTATCGTACGGTATGTAACCCATGAAATGTATTACACTACAAGTTACGGATTCAACACAGGCTTTGGTCCACTCCTGACATTGGGACTGCATTATATACTCAGGTAAACATCAGCTTCAACTCTCCATCGCCACAGCGGGCAACGACTTTACAAAGCTACAGCCCCCCCAATGTCCTCCCACGCAACACTAAGCGCAGCCGCCGACGAGCGCAAGGCGCGTCTCGCCAAGCTCAAGTCCCTCAAGCGCAAGCAGCCCGCCGAAGAGGAAATCAACCCCGCCATCATACCCGAAGCCGGCGACGACCAGGACGAGACTGCACCTACCCAAGATGCTGCAACTAAGAAGCAAGAAGGGGAAGCCGGCGGCACGGCGTCGTCGCCGCCAACAAACGACGTAGCCAAAATGCACCTCTCGCTGCGCAACTACGACCCGGAAACCCGCGGGCCAAAGCTCGGTTTTGAGGCGCCACCCACCCTCGACTTTGACATGCCCACGCTTGAAGAGCAGGCCCGCGAGCTGGAGGAAGAGTCCAAGCGCAAAGCGGCGATCGAAGCGCAGGACGGCAAGGGCATCGATCTGTTCACGCTACAGCCCAAGAAGCCGAATTGGGACCTGAAGAGGGAATACAACCAAAAAATGGAGGTGCTGAACGTGCGGACCGAAAACGCGATCGCCAGGCTAGTGAGGGAGAGGCTGGCCGAGAAGAAGGCTGCTTCTGCTGCTTCTGCTGCTTCTGCTGGGCCAAAGGGGAAGGGCAGTCTGGACGGGGATGCGGAAGCAGAGGGCATGCTGGACGGGGCGGCTATGGTGGAGGGGATACGGTTACGGGAGAGAGAAGAGAAGGAGGAGGCGAGGAGGGAGAGGGAGGCCGAGGCGGAGGAGTTTGGCACGGCCTAATATGAATGACTGATTGGTGGGCTTCACGATAGGGGACACTACATCAAGGGAATTGGGGACAGTGGCCTCGTCCTTTCTTTTCCATCTGGTTGACTAATGACCCGTGTGGGGTGTGATGCCAAAAGTACGTGCTTGATTGATACCCCATAATACTCCGTACCTATCTTCCCATATTCATTGTCCGTGTCAGCGCTAACCTTTTGCTGAAAGGACTGAGACTTCGCTCCCGCGACGGAGACGGCTGTCTCGCGGGCGATTTCCTTCCTTCTTGACGGCCATGTTCATCCCTGTCTCGGTAACGTCCGGGGCCGTGTCTGTCTCTGCGATCATATCGCCCTATTGGAGATTTGGACCTAGATCTAGATCTAGATGTCGAGTGTCCGCGACGTCCGCGCCCATACTCGCGATCAGAGCCACGCTCGCTTGGAGGGGAAAGCGACCGCCGAGGTGAAGGCGACCGGTCTGAAGGTGAATGCGGATGGCGTGAGGCCCTGACGGAGAAGTCCTGGCGTGGATCTCCTGAGGGCTCTCTGGAGTAACGATCACCTGAGGTAAATGACCGCTGAGCAATCTGCGGACTGGCGGGTGAAGGACTCCGAGAATACTTTCGTCTTGCTCTACGTGGAGGACTAGGGCTTCGTCTTGGGACTGGCGAGGGAGACCTAGTGGAAATACTAGACACCGAGTCATAAGAAGGGGATCGACGACGCCTAGCTGGCGGCGAGGCACTTGGAGAGGATTCTTCATCCTTCTCCCGCTCCCGTTTCCTTGCCCGCTCAGCCTCTCTCCTCGCCAGTTCCCGATCAGTCGCCCCCTCTCTGTAAATGGGACAAGGTTAGCAAGCCGTAGGGGGTATGGCTGAGTTTGAAAACCTACTTCTTCTCTAGGGCATCTGGTACCTCGTTTGACAGTTTCGGAAGCAGCTTAGGATTGAATAGCTGCTGAGTGCGGGAAGGCCTGGGAATATAAGGCCGTTCCTGTGGTGCTGCTTTGCACTCATACGAATAGTGACGTTCTGCGAGAGTTAGTGAAGGGCAAGGTATGCAGTATGATCAGAATACACATATCTCGTTTGAGGCACTTTTGGCATTGCACGTTTGATGGTGTCGCCTTGGATGGCCCGGTCCTGCCACGGTAGGGATACATCGGGTCGACGTCGTTTCCAACTGGGGCTTCAGGATGGAAGTGACGGGAGACGAGGTTTTGGGACGCGAAGCCCTGAGTAGCAAAATCCAAATCTGTAATTCAGCTGATGGAGTTTCGTTCGGTCAGGCTATCAGCCAGGCCAGATGCAGAATTGCAGATGCAAAGGGCGCTGGACCGCCAGCTCCAAAAGCGCCCTGTTGTCAGCTCTTCCGAGCCACTTCGGTTCGTTGGACGTTTGTCGGTCGGCTCGGTCGGGTACTGTAGCTCAGGGATACACAGCATATACACACCCCGAGAAAGCAATCCCAGCTTTGATGACCCCTAACAAGAGGCGATGCAAATGAAAATATGAAGGAGTAGGATTATGGACAGGCGTATCGGGATATGACACCTTGCTGAGACTTGAACCTGCAAGTTTGAACAATACCTCTACTTAATTCAGAGGACGCAAAAGCTCACTGAATGAATGAGCGGGATCTAGAGACGGCCACCGCCTTTTCCCATCGATCGTGGCAGAACTTGACAACCCTAACCCTAGTTTCAGACAAGAAAGTTTCTCAGAAGCAGAACTGTGCCATGCTCGACTCTTGAGAAATGAATCCATAGTTGAGGTTGGTACTTGCAATGTGGTTTCAGAACACCGTCAAAAAATAGGTACCTATGACTGAGAAGACAATGAGCCATGACAACTACAACAGCAAACTGAGCGAATGAGTTGATGTGCTACACTACCTGCAGTGCCCCGTATGTACTGTACATACAGCGTGGCGTGAACTCTTTGTAAGTGCCCAAAGGTTCACTCCCAAGAATATCCCCAAAATCATGCTTCCCTGCGTCGAACCGGTTTCTACCTCCGTACTATCTCAGCTATCCAATCTCATCAATGCCTGCACAAATGGCCTGCATTGCCCTGCTTACGATTGCGGACAGAAATTCATGTAACACTCGGGCATTCGGGGTATTGCCCGACAGATTGGGCTCGATTCTCGAAAGTGCGATCCATGATTGCAACTTTCTTCCAGCTTGCTCGTGTGATGAAAATATTTAATCCAAGCTTTTTTTTCTAGACGTTACCGTCCCCCTTTTCAACATTGTCTGTGTCTTGTCTCAGGAGACCCGGTCAGCCAAGGGGTAAAAACCTAGGAATAAAAAAACTGGGGTGACACTAACGTACTGGTAAATTCGTATCGATCCGCCTGAGGCTTCCCTATCGGCATGAAAGAGGTACCTGCACCACAGAAGCCTCCTCATCAGAATTCCTTGTGCAACCACGGCCGACTTCCTTGGGTAATCCAAACCCCCTCCTCTCGACCCAAGATCTGCCTTCTCCAGCAACAACGATCCAATTGCTGCGGCTCGTTCCGGACACACTGAACAGACATCTGGAAGAGCAGTGCGGAGACGAGAGCCGGCAGCGGGTTGGCGATAACCCTGTTCACCACCTCGAGCGCCGCGCTCTTTTGGGGAAACTATCGACAGACTGCACCATTCCGTGATACTAAATTCTCGACAATGATTACCTGCGCTCACCCTTCGTTCTGGACAGCCCTGCTCCGTTTCGCTTCTTGATTCTATTCCAGACCCTCCTTCTTGCGTTCTGCGCCCTTTGAGATCCCATCGGTCTATCCGCCCATCCTGCAGCCCTGCTCATTCCCTGGACCGGCCTGCCCTTCGCTCTCGTGACCTCGATCTTAGCGCTCCCTGACAACCCTCAGTTTGCTTGATCACATCTTCAGTTGCGACCATGGCGGCGGTTCCCACCGCGGCAAACGACACCACAAAGTTGTCGTTTGCGAGGGTACGTGATCGTTGTCCCACCACTTCGGCCCGTTTTCCTCGATAACTGACCACCGTCTGCATCCAGGTTGTGGCCGCGTCGACGCCTAAGGGTCCCAAGCCTACCACCAAAACGGTTGGCTCGCCGCCTGCCAGAACTAAGCAGCCAGAGGAGACCACACCGGTATCCACCGTCGTCCCCGCCGTGATCCCCGCTGTTACCCCGGCGAGCACCGTGCCGCCCGGCCCGTCCTCCCGAGCGGATGCTTCTCCGCCTGCGCAGAATACGGCTAGCACTACGCAAGCTGTCGAAACAGAGATTGTTACGGGGCTAAAAGATCTGAAGCTCGAGACGCAAATGACGCCCAATCTCGTCGTCAATGGCACTCTCTCGGGGATGACCGAGAGATCCAACAAGGCCAGCAATAGCCAAACGCCTTCTGACGACACATCTCAACGGGCAGATTCCAATTCCGAGCTAGGAACGAAACCGCCCAGCTTGGACGGGAAGAGCATTACCTCGGGGACCACCTTTGCTCTGGATGAGAAAGAATCATTGCGTCCCGACGACAGTGCCAGTGTCAAGGCTGCCGCAGAGGACGACGATGCATTCTCAATTCGAGGCTCGTATATTGCTGGTTCCCGGATGGGCTCGGACGTTGCGGCGCGCATCCACCGCATTCAGATAGGGGACATGCCTCCCCGAACGCTTGCCATGCACCATGTTTTGGCTGGGAGCAAGAGCCAGGGCGTCGCCACACCGCAGAGTGGCACTTCAGACAAGCAGACAACAACGGAGGCCAAGTTATCACTGGTCAGCGGAGCAGCTGCTCCCGACGCCTTGGCACCCACCGGCTTTTCCAGTCAGAATCCAGACGAAAAACTGTTAGAGGCAATGCAGTCTCCGAAAGACCGTATATTCCTGTTGAGACTAGAACAGCAGCTGATCGAATTCGTTCAGGATTCAAAGTATGCGCTGATCCTCCGTCCCCTCATACACCTCTGCATACCATATGCTGACAGAACCGCACAGAGAGCCCTACATGGATCTACCTCCGAGCAACTCTTTCTGCAGAATGTTGACCCACAGGCTCGCGGATTATTATCATATGACACATTCGTTTGAGGCAGCAGCGGGAGCGGTGCGCATCTTTAGGACTCCCTTCTGCAGGATCCCTCCCTCCCTGTCGAGTATCGCAGCATCCACATCGAATAGCAGCTCGCCGGCCCCAGTTGTTATGCCTCGCAAGATTATGCGACGCGGGGAGGATGGGGAACTCGCCATCGTGAGCGCGACGCCTTCCAAGCCAACTTCGGAGGTTGGCAGCGACTCCAAGGATAAGGCTGCTCCAGCCAAGGAGAAGTATGTTTTTTTCCTGGCCGTGAGAGACAATGGCCTCAAATCTAACACATTTCTATAGACTCACGAGAGAAGAGCGTGAAGAGGCATACAACAGGGCTCGGCAGCGGATTTTTGGGAGCACCGAGAAAGCAGAGAATTCTACCCAGGGTGCGTGAGGCGAAACAAATCTCGATATCATCAAACTAACCTGAGATACAGAGAGCGAAGATGGTAATGGTGTGTCCCGCGCCAGTTCTGTATCAGCCAAGGAAAAAGCCACGGGCGGCAAAAGAAAAGCCAACAAGCAGCGGCGGGATGACTCTGAAGGTTTCGAGTCACGATCTCAGTACGTTGCATGGTGTGGCCCTCAGCAGCCCACCTGGGCACCAGCAGCGCCGCAGTACTTTCCCGTCAATGCAGCTTCGTTCAACGGCCAGTTTCAGCCGCCTTACCCCAGTACGCCCCAAGCTATGTACGCTGCTCCCCAGCCATTTCCGCCGCAGATGATGCCCGCCAATGGGTTTGCTCCTCAGTACTCCGGGATGCCAGCTGTGAGTTCGCCTTCCCGTCTTCCAAATTAGCCGTTCTAACTCGGTTGTAGTACCCGACACCACCTGTGCCGCAGGCTGTCCCACCCCCGCCGCCGCCTCAGCAGGCTTACCGAACTACCAATCCTCCCGTAGCCGGTCCTTACAATGCTTCGGTGCCAAGCCTGCCTCAACCAGCATGGCCACAGCAGGGGTTCAACCCACCTGCTTATCCGCCGCGGGCTAGCCCGACGCCTGCCGGTATTCCTTACGCGTACGGGCAGCTGCCGGCCAACGCCAACCCCAATGACCCAAAAAGCCAGCATCCCATCCCGGGCAGCTATAATCGCCAGACGTTCAACCCAAAAACGCAGTCGTTTGTCCCGGCCAATGGGATTCCGATGCAGCAACAGCCGCCACCGCCGGCGCCGCCTGGTCCGTACGGCGGATCGAGCCCTCGGCACGGAAGCCCGCAGTTCCACTCGCCTCACATGAGCTATAGCGGGTTCCAGCAGCCCATGCCCCAAGCAGGTTTCGCGCCCGCACCGGGGCCGTACAACATGACAAGACAGGGCTCAAATAACTCCATGGCGCAGTACCACGCTGTGCAGCAACAGCCCCTTCCTCACGGGCCTCCGCCACCCCACGGCCCACAGCATATACCCCCGACTGGCCCTATGCATATTCCGCCCAAGCCTACGGGGCCGGCAGGAGGAGGGCAGTCGTTCAGCCATTTGCCGAATTATGGAAATCCTGCCACATTGCCGCAGAAGCCTTCAACATAGGGGCTAGAGCATCAAGCGGTGTAAGGGATCAATTGACTACGATCTGATTCATGAGGCGTAACAGGTCAGGGCATGTATCGGGGCGTTTTAGGAGTAGCAGGCGGCTTCTGTTGTAGTGAGAGTCGACAGTGTTGGAGAACTTGAGGGTCGACTGGCTCGCTCTGCACTGGAGCTTCCTCCATGGAGCAAAAGTGGATTGGGGTCGGGCATTGCTGGGCCTGTCCGTGTGTCGGCGAGTTGAGCCATCATGACCCAGACACTATACATACCCACACACCGAAGATTAATATGATATAGTTTCGATCACGATACCCACATCAGGTTATGATGTGGAGAATAGATACAAAAAGGATAGCAAAAACCATTTCACTCATGTGGTCGTCATCTCGATACCTCTTACTTTTTGAGCTCTAGCCTAGCGCCTGATGCGCTTACTCTGCCATCTCATAGGATAGAAGGTTCCAATCACCTCTAATCTTCAAGTGCATCCCTCCCCTGCCTGCTGCCCTCTATGCCAGTGTTCCTGCAGACTGCCACCGGCCAGACTGATCCAAGCGAAACACCTTTCTTTGTCTGCGTTTCCATGGTTCTGCCGTCATGCATGCAGATACAACTCCTAGAGTAGAAAAGTTAAAGAGGATGTAAGCCGACAAAGACAAGACTGGCTGGGATATATCGCCTGCTGTTGACAAAACACACAAACAGATAGTCCCAATGCGTCCTCTTGTTCTCCCTTTCAAGTGTCTCTTTTTCCTCTTCCCTAAGTGTACCCTTTCTACTCGCCATTCTCCCGCGAATCCCTCTGCTGACCACCGCCGCGCCCACCGGGCCTACCACCGCCCTGCTTGCCTCTCCTGGCTCCGCCACTTCTCCCGCCGGCGCCGCCACCGCTCTCCTGCTTGCCGCCCTCGTCGCCGCCAGCGCCGCCGCCCTCCTTACTCCTCTCGCCGCCATCCTTGTCGCCGCCGATGAGCGGGGCCGTGGCGAGCCGCTGGGCGAGGTCGATCTGGGTGCGGATCGTGTTGGCCAGGTACGAGACCATGAGGACGTCCTGGATGTGGTTGTTGAAGTCGAGCTCGATCTGGGCGTTGGACACCTTGGGCGCCAGCGACAGCGCGTTCATGAGGTACTGCCCCAGCGCGTGGTTGCCGTCGCGCTCCTCGTCGAGCACCTCGCCGACGTAGCCCGAGACGCGGTCCAGCATGTCGGACACGCTCTCGAGCGCCTGCGCGAGGCTCTCAATGTCGCTGACGACGGGGGCGGCGCGCGTCTCGGACTCGGCCGCGGCGGCGACGGTGCCCAGCGCGGCGCGCTCGGCGTCGCTGAAGAGCAGCCGGTGGGGCACCTCGATGAACAGGCACGACTCGGCCGCGCGCTCGGGCGAGACGGCCACGGGCGCCGAGACGTACGTCTTGGTCTCGATGGGCGCGCCGGCCTCGGTCGAGATGGTCAGGTGCACGGCCGGGTGGGGAAAAGTGCCCGTCTCGGGCGAGGCGAAGAAGTTTTGAATGAGGGCCGAGAAGCTGTTGAGCTCGTGCGACGTCGTGTACCAACCGAGCAGCGTCTCGCGCGGGGACGCCCGGAGCGTCAGCGCCAGCATGTTCTTTTGGTACTCGACGTCCACCTCGACCTGGTCCTCGTTCTCCGTGTGCGGAATGGCGAAGGTGCTCCGCACCTCAACCTCACTGCCATCTTCGCTGCGCGTGCCCACCAGGGCGCCAATCACCCTCGTCGACTGTGTGTCCCGTATGTCGCGCCGGACGGCGTGGTCGATGACGGAGAAGACTGCCTACAAGGTGATGGCGTGGTCAATACCCTTCTTTTCTCTTTTCTTCCCAACCAAAGTTAATGCATATGAAAGACGCGGGGTCGTCGGGGAGTGGCACTGGGGTGGTGATGGTGAAAAAGGAGGCAGGTGGTGGGTGGGCGGGCATACTTGCGGCTGGATGTTCACGGTGAGCGGGGCATTGCCGGCGCTGAAGCCCAGGAGGGTCGGCGCCAGAGGCCTGGCAAGGTGGACGAACTGATCTTGGTCGACAGCCATATTTTTCTTTTGTTGGATGACTGGTCAGCGATCGCGGCTCTGGTCCGTACCGCGATTTACTTGAAAAATTGCGGACGACTTATGGGGGAGCAACCAAAGAATGGGCGGGTCTCGGAGGTCGGGGAGAGTCGTCACAAGCAAAATTGGGCCCTCCCGTCTCCGTTCTTTCTCTTTCAACCTTCGCCCCCGATGTTGACCTCGAATTTTCGCTTTGCAGCCAGATGCGGGACTGGGTTGTGCGCGCTAAGATAAGCCTAGCGATAAGAGGTGGGGTGCAAGGCTGCATACGGCGTTTGATAGGTGACAGGGGTGCAGGTAGGTTCGGTAGGCTTGGCGATCGGCAAGGCTGACAGTCCCAGTCCATTTAACATTTTTTCACTTTTTGGCAGGGCAGTGATGTCCCACCTTCCCCTGACATTCTAGGACTAAACCATTTCCCAAGTTGAGTTTGGGTAAATAACTGTAATACAATGGCGCCGAGAGGGCGTGCGGGTTTCCGTGGCGGATCTAGGGGAAGAGGCGGCTTCCGAGGACGGGGAAAAGGAAAAGCTGTGGCTCGAGAACCTCGAAGTTCTCGATTTGATAGTGCACGCGTGGCTTCAAAAGACGAGTATGTGTTTGATTTGGCCCCGATTATGTCCAGGTTACAGCTGACACTTACAGCGATTCTGGCAATGAGGTTGACGATGTTTCTGAAAATGAATCAGACCTCATGGAACTCGGGTCTGAGGAGGAAGATGATGAGGAGACCAAGCCGCCCGCCCAGCCTTACGTGAATCTCATGCGGAGTCTCGTAGAAAGCGCTCCTCACAAGGCCAAGCGCCGGAAATTGAACCCCCCAGAAGCCAAGGACGAGGGGCAGCCCAAACCAGAGGCGGCACCAGAGACCGTACGGCCCGAAGGGGAGGATAAAGACGACGCCGAGGACCGGGATGTTGACTTGGTCGAGGAGCCAGAGGAAGACCCAGCAGATGTGTCTCCCGAAGACCTGTTTGATGAGGATGACGACTTGGACAGCTCCGATCCGTTTGAAGTTCACTTTTCCGATCCTAGCGGAGAGGTTCTGAATACGAGATTAAAAGCGATTCAGGAGGGGAAATGGCGCATGGAACGGGTAGCCGTCAAGCCTACGAGGATCTACCTTAGTAGTCCTGACACTGGAAGTACTGAGGGCAAAACATTACCGGCAGCTGTATCAAGGATTTCCGATCTCAAACTTAAGAAGAGGCTTCACGAAGCCATGGAGCGCAAATACCCCGACTTCGATGACGTCCAGCGGACTATAGCGCCACTGCTATTCAACTACCAGGATCTCTTGTATTGCAACCGCACAGTCCCCTCATCGCAGGGCATCCGGAGGATTGCTTGTCTCCATGCGCTCAACCATATCTACAAGTACGCAATCTTAGGGGGCAACCCCATGATACACTGAGGCTGACTTCACTCTCAGGACGCGCGACCGGGTGGTCAAAAACAATGCTAGGCTAGCCAAAGCCGACGGCAGCGAGGACCTGGAGCTCAGAGACCAGGGCTTCACACGGCCAAAAGTGCTCATGATTCTCCCCACAAGGCAGTCCTGCGTCAAGATGGTAGATATGATTGTCTCCATCTGCGAGCCGGACCAGCAGGAGAACAGGAAGCGCTTCGAAGATGGATACATTGACAAGCAGTCCAAGTTCTCAGATGACAAACCCGAAGACTTTAGAGATCTCTTTTCCGGCAACGACGACGACATGTTCCGTTTGGGCGTCAAGTTCACACGGAAAACAATCAAATATTTCTCCCAATTCTACAATTCAGACATCATTTTTGCGAGCCCCTTGGGCCTTCGCATGGCGATAGGATCCGAGGAGGAGAAAAAGCTGGACTTTGACTTTCTCAGTTCCATCGAGCTCGTCATCGTCGACCAGGCCGACGCGCTCCTGATGCAAAACTGGGAGTATGTCGAGTTCATCTTTGAGCATCTCAATATCCAGCCCAAAGACGCCCATGGCTGCGACTTCAGCCGTGTGCGCAACTGGTATCTCGACGACCAAGCAAAGTATTTCCGACAAACGGTCGTATTCAGCGCCTTCAACACGCCCGAGTTGGCTGAGCTCCTCCGGGCACACTGCCACAATTGGGCGGGCAAAGCGCGCCTGCAGCACGAGTGCCCCGGTGTTATCCAGTACCTGGGCGTCAAGACTCGCCAGACCTTCAGTCGATTCGAGACCAAGTCGGTTGCCGACGATCCAGACGCCCGGTTCGCCTACTTCACCAAGGCCATCGTGCCGATGCTCACCAAGCGCGGAGCCAAGGATGCAGGGGGCACCCTCATCTTCATCCCTTCGTATCTCGACTTTGTCCGTGTGCGCAACTACTTCGCAAACAACTCAGCCGTGGCCACCGTCACGTTTGGGACGATATCCGAGTACGCCGATGTGCCCGAGGCGTCGCGGGCGAGGTCGTACTTCCTCAACGGCCGGCACAAGGTGCTGCTGTACACGGAGCGTGCTCATCACTTCCGCCGATACAACATCAAGGGCGTCAAGAGAGTCATCATGTATGGGTTACCGGACAACCCTCTATTCTATCAGGAGATTGCTGGCGGGTACTTGCAAAAGAGCGAGCAGGCACTCCTGTTGGAACCCGGTCAGGGGACGATCCGGGTTATGTTCTCCAAGTACGATGTGATGAAGCTGGAGCGCGTCGTGGGGACAGCGAGGGTGGGCAAGATGATTCACGAGCAAGGAGACACTTTTGATTTTGTCTAAGCAACTCCTGTCATTGTTGCTGTTGCTGTCGTCGCACAGACCCGTTCCGTTCGCTCTATAGAATACAGCGGTTTGCTAAGCCCCCAACGCCGGTCTCTAAACCAAAATGATGACCATGCTCCCGTAATTTACAATTCGTGATGTACACCTTTCAGGGATCCCATCCTCCTCGGTTCCGTTTTCCGGCAGCCCCCCCCCCCCCCCCCCCCCCCAACCCAGCTTGATATATGATCCGTACAGTACAGTACACCAAACCGACCTCGACCCCCCACTCCCCCGGTAGGTGGTTTTTACAGCCCCATGTCCTCGATCTTGTTGACCAGCTTCTCGAATTCCTCGCGCCCCTCCTGTCGGTACCGCGTCACCTTGGCGATGTTCTTTTGCGTCAGGTCCGTGTGGCTCTTGCCCAGCTTGCGGTCGCGCGCCACCGTCGCCGCCGTCATGGCGAAGCGCATGTCCTTGGGCCCGTCGACCAGTTCCAGGATGGCGCTCGGAGCCTGGTCATAGGTGCTCTTGGGTTCCGTCCGCAACACGCGCGTGTAGCCTCCGGGCCGGTTCAGGTACCGGTCGCGGATCTCGCCAAAGAGTTTGGGCATTAACTCGTGCGGTGTCTATTTTTAGAGAGGGGCAAACTGTTTAGTTATGGATGGGAGGGAAGAGGGAGGTCGCAAGAAGGGGTAGGCAGAACTGACGTAGAGAATCCCTTGGGCTTTCCGCCGCGCCGTCTCATTGTTCTTCTTTGCAAACGTGATGAGCTTCTCGGCCAGTCGCTGGGCTTCCTTGGCCTTGGCCCATGTTGTGTGGATCGACTCGTTGCGGATGAGCGAGGTGACCAGGTTGCGGAGGAGCGCTTGTCGGTGCGCAGAGTCGCGGCTGAGGTGACGGTATTTTACTAAACCGCCGGCCATTGTGAGTTGATTGAAAATGGACCGATCAGTGAGCCGCTGCGAGAAGTTGGGTCTGCTGGGAAGGGTTGAGGTCTCTCTGCCTGGGCTGTAGTCGGCTTGGGGCTGGTTGCTGGCGATGCCGCGATTGAGCACGGAGCTCCAATCTTTCTCAATTTTTGCCGGCCCGTATCAGCAACCTACCGTACTAAGGTACCTTACGTACTGTATGATACCAATACGCTACTCCGTACACCTCCATACAATGATACAATCCGTTACATTACTATAATACGGTAACAGTGCCCGCTAAAAGACCCAAACCCGCAGGTCAAAAGCCCGTGCTCCATGCGATTCAGGGGCTTTGAATCCCGGACCCGCTGTCAAGTGTCAACACCCATCCTTTGAAAACCCCAACTACGTCACCAGCGAAGCGCCCGAACTCAACCCAACAAGCCAGGCTGACCGCCGCAGTTGTTCCTTCCTCGTACGCTGTGAGGAATTGTATCGTCAATAGCCAATTGGCTTCGCTCAACTATGTCAACCCATTGACACGAAATAGCGCATCCCTAGGACGGACAATGGGGTTAGTCGCCGGTTTTGTATGGCCCCTCAACCTCATGGCCTCATCACCTCCGTCAACTCTTCGTCTCCTTTTGCTGACCGATGCCGTGTAAATTAGACGGGCGGCGTGACTCTTACACTCTCGCTGACCTACCTCGCTCTTCTTACACATAAGCGCAATCGCGAGGCACAATCCTCCATCTTGCGCTCTTCGACATTTGCCGTAGACAACCTTGTCCCATCGCACCGGCACCGCAATGCGACCACAGTCTTGCCCGACGGTTCCTACAGCCCGCGCCCCAGCCTTGAACAGTACAGCGACCACCGCAAGGGCGACAGCTCCTTCCTCGAAACCGCAAAATCCCGCTGGAATGCCGAGGTAGCATCAGCCGTGCACTGGGCGCAGACCAAGGACTGGGCAGCCGTGCGCGAGGACGCCGAGGAGAATGTGTCAAGGCTGCTGGGCCTCAGTCTCTCCCGCGAGCCGAGTGATACAGCGATAGTGCGGCAAGACCCTGCTCGCCCGGCCCCCGTTCCACCAGTAGAAGCTGCACAGAGGACACCTGCCGCCCCTGTTTACAGCGCATCCCCCGCTGTAACGCCATCTCCGAAGGCAGCCGACACGCTCCACGATGCGGGGGCTAGGGTTGCAGAGGCCGCGCAGGCGGTGAAGGAGGAGGCCAAGGGGGCTGTTTCCAGGGGGATCGAAAAAGCCCAAGATCTTGTAGGGAAGGCAAAGGCGGCTGTTTACCTGGCTGAAGAGAAAGCAGAGGCAAAGATCGATGCTAAGTTACTACACGTGTCAGACGTCGAGAGGGCGCTCCAGGAGCGGTATGACAGTGCGCGGAGAGAAGAGAGGATGAAGAGGAGTGTGCAGGAGGTTCTGGCCGAGAGGTACACCCCTATCGGGGAAAGGGATAATTCGAGGTTGAGAGGGTTGTGAGCTGGGATTTTCTCCCTGTACCAGACAGGGGCGGTGAGACGTCCTTTTGCTGCTGTTGCTTGGGAGCATGTTATTGATACCTAAACCCGACCAGAATCTCAGCGAGCAAAATACCAATAGACGGCTTGCTTTTTTGACCTTGTGAAAACGGAATTCAGGCCAAGACAGCCCTGTGACTCGTGAGTGCGGGCGAATTCACAGCTCGTCGTGTAGCAATTCTCTTGCCCAGAAGAAATTCTCGTTCCGCCAGAATATGTAGAATTCGGACTACGACAGGGGCCACGACCATTGACGACAGCGCAAACCACGCCCTGTACCCGATCCCCCCGATGCCCGTTATTCCCCATCCCCATGCCCGCAGCAAGCAGACAAGGAACAGAGAGGAGACGACCGGGGGCAGGACGAGTTAGATCGCCCGCCGGAAGGCAAGCGAGGGAAGGGCGCGCTGGCGAAGCCGTCCAGTTTGTGGTGGCCGCAGTTTGTGTTTGTGTTGCGCGCGGGTGGTGGTGAACGTGCCGGTGAGATGGTGTGCAAGGGACTTCAGCGCTGAGGGGGGGTAGCTTGATATGACGAAGGAGAGCAGTGATCATGGACTGGCCCGAGTAAAAGAGGCGGATGGGAGGAAGGGCCAGCAACTGAGAAAACGGGGATGTTGTGCAAGGAGCACTCTCCCATGCCTGGGCCTTTAATCTGAAGTTGGGTCAATAGCGTACTCAATCAGGTTTTTATTGAGTGACGACAGAACTTCACTACATGCAGTTGCGGGATCTCTGGATGCACCTTTGGGTCAGGGGCTGTTGCTCCCGCGCTGTTCGCTGCGAGAATAAGTTGCGATTCCAGACACAGGCAATGCCATAGTCGCCGTCAAAGTAGCGAACCATGTCCCGCAGCCTTTTTTACACTCTCTTTTACACTTTCCTCCTGTCTGAACATTACTTTGTAGGTAGTTACTGGGCCATCCGTGGTGTGACGTCTCTGTTTGGCGAGACGCGTGGCACAAACTGTGTCACCCATGGGCTCTCCGAATGCTGTGTCCCGAGTACGGTCCGTTCAAAAAGCTCATTGAGGCTTGAGATGCCCGCAGCAATAGCGTGTGCCGATCCTTCTCTCACAGAGCAGCTTCACATTGACAAGTATCGAGTGGAAAAGTGCGAGCCCAATTCCGCGCCAGCTTCGTCCATCTAATATATAACACAGTAAAGGAATCCAGAGTTTTGCCAAACGTCCATACCATTCCTCCCATGGCACCTAATGCTCCCATACGCCCCCAACGCCGTGCTGTTCTAGCGATATTCAATTGGACAGCCAATCCAGAAACTCCGGGGTAAAATAACTGATAATGATGGTCGCGCCAGCTCTGAGAATGCCCTCCGTGCTCTCGAATGCCATGGCCTTGAGGTCGAAGACGCCAGCTTTCGCCGCTGCGTGGATCATGGCGAACTCGCCGCTGACTTGGTAAGCAGCGATGGGCAGATCCTTGCCAAGCTCCTTGGCATCACTAATGATGTCCAGGTACTGGCTCGCCGGCTTGACCATGATGATGTCGGCGCCCTCGTTAATGTCACGGACAATAGCGCGGCGTGCTAAGCCGCGACCACCGGGAGGCAACTGGTAGCACCGCCGGTCACCAAATGCCGGGGCCGAGCCAGCCGCATCACGGAACGGACCGTACAGGCAGCCGGAAAACTTGGCGGCGTACGACATGAGGGTGACGCTGTGGACGATGCCCTCCTCAATCAGCTTGAGCTTGATGGCGCGAATCCGGCCGTCATTCATATCGGACGGCGCCACGCAGTGAGCCCCCGCGCGGGCGTACGAAATGGCAACGTCCGAAATACGGTCCACCGACAGCTGATTGTTAAGGCTACCGTCGTCACGGAGGATCCCGCAGTGGCCGTGCGAGGTGTACTCGCACAAGCACACATCGACCACGATATACAGGTGAGGGAATCGCTGCCGCAGGAGTCGGATGCTGCGGATCACGGGACCCTCCGGGTCGTCTGCGGCGGTGCCCAGCGCGTCTTTGGTGCCTGGTCTCACCGGCACGCCAAACAGAATGACGGAGCGAAGCCCCTTCCGAACAAGCGGCTCGAGGAAGGGGACCAACTTGTTGATGCCGCGGCGATACTGATTTGGCAAAGAGGGAATAAGGACTTCTTCGTCGTCCTGGTCTGAGATGAAGAGAGGGTAGATGAGCATCGACTAGGCCTATCAGTCAGCCAGGCTCACTATGTACTGGTTTGGGGGCGGGGGGGGGGGGGGTAATGCTCACCTTTGTAAGCTGTCGCTCGGCTTGCCAAGATCTCGCAAGGGGATGGCAGTAGCCGGCATGGAGCTGGCTGGAAATATCGCCCGAGATGCTCACGCTCGTAGCGGCGGTGCTTGCGTACGACATTGTCCGTGAAACGTGGGAAGCGCGCTCGTCGACGGTGGAGACCGAGGCATCACCCCGCCGCCGAGGGACGCCAGAGTCACGGAGGGACAGATCCTGAACCAGGCTTGAGAAGGACATCTTGCTTGAATGATTTGAGTAGTCTGCGACAGATGGGCGATGGGAGGAGGGTTCGTTGGCCGATAGTAAACAGCCTCGCGAAGAGTAATCGTGATCGCGGTGAAACAGGTTTCGTCTGGACGCCGGAGGTCAGCATCAAATTACTCAGTAACGTGTGCTGGTAACGAGCCGTAAGCGTACTATGCTGCGGGTAAGCCCTATGACTGTCGCACGAGTAGTGGTCTCTTTGTTTTTCTCTCCTGGCCCTTCCCGTACGATGCGTCTCTCCTTTTCGTGTTCAAGAGAGTGTCGGGGTCAGATTAGCCAGGCAGGACAGCAGGGCATCCGGAGTACAAAAAGGCGGAAAACCACTCCGGGTATTTGTGAGAGAATTTCGCCTCCGGAACTCAGACGCCGAGCTTGTGTCTGGAATGGGCAGGAACCGAGCCTGCAGGGTGGAACATCGGCGGTGGCTCGGCTTTTGCGGGGTGACACTTCTCCGGTGCTCAATTCGCCAATCAGAACTTCAAGATTTGCAAGATTGCTTGGCACGTTGCTGACATAATCAATTCTTCAACATACAACGTCCATTGTTCTTGGCATCAACACCCGAAGCCATCACAACCAGCGTTCCGAATAAGTCAAGAGTATACAAGTTAAGGCAAACCGACCACCCAGCAAACGAGCCCAAACGGCCATCCTGGCAAGCCAAATAAGTCAAATCGAGCCGCCTATGCGTTTCGCTTATGGGCCAAAGTGGTGATATTTCTCGTCTACCTTTGGCTACCCACCAGCCGTCTTCCCGACTGGACTTTGCGCTACCTATCAACCTCAATGTGAGCGCTTGAAGTGTTTAGCCATCAACCTCATCGTGACTAGTTGACCTGGGAATCGTAAGGTAGGGATTACGTACTGGCCGGCGAGGAATAACCTCATTCACTGGGCCTTCCAAATAGCCAATTCCCCGCAAGTCAACTTGTAAGCAAGTCAAACTGTGCAAAAATGAGGCCACTGACGGCGTTGCTTGGCTTACTTGGTTTATTCGGAGCGCTTATTCACCACCCTTCTGGAATGATGGCAGATCTCTCAATCCTGGCACCAGGGGTACGCTCTATAACATGAATACCAGGACTTCGTGAATTCACTCACACCGGTGATATTTTGTTCAGCGCATATCAGGCAGAGAGCTTTCAAAACACTGATCAGAACTTATTCGTATTGTACCAATGCGCAAAGAGCGCTGGATCCATGCAGTGATCCAAGCCGCCAGCAGGTCTCGGGCTTTGATCCGATATCGAACCCCCATGGCTTCCATATCAACTACAATACCGGACAATGGCTCTCCATTGTCTTTATTGAGCAGTCAATAATACCCTTTGTTCCCATCATGAGCTACTATAGTCTGCTTCCCTCCAATGGTCCTATTGTCCATCAATCCAAACCTACTTTTATGTGTACTGACCGAATTATGAATGATCTTCCATTATACCAAACACTTCATCCCAACCTGAGTCTTGTTGTCTTTATATACCTGTCCCCAAGTGAATCCAGCGTGCTACTCTCTTGCTCTCCAAGCTAATCTGTCGACTTTCGCTGTTCTTCTCGGTGACCTTAGGTAGGTAGTGCCTGCCCTCACTGCTAACCTGGCCTTCGCCCTCAACCCCCCAATCACCCTCACCTTCCCCTTCACAAGCACCTCCCCCATGCAGTCACCTCTCCCTTGCCCTCACATCTCCCATTGCCATCACCTCTCCTATTGCCGTCGCCTCCCCCATTGCCCTCACTTCCCCGTTACCGTCACCTCTCCCATTGCTGTTACCCCTCCCGTCACCCTTACCTCCCCTGTCACCCTCACCTCTCCCATTGCCCTCACCTACCCCATCGCTCTGACCTACCCCATCACCCTGACCTCCCCCGTCACCCTCACCTCTCCCGTCGATTCGGAGGCTCCTTGTAAGTGGGGGCTAGGAGGTAGCTCCCACCCCGTTTTGTTCTCTAACAGCTTGTTCTCTAACAGCTTGTTCTCTAACAGCTTGTTCTCTAACAGCTTGTTCTCTAACAGCTTGTTCTCTAACAGCTTGTTCTCTACCTCTTTGTTCTCTACCTGCTTGTTTTTGCCTGCTTGTTTTTGCCTGCTTGTTTTTGCCTGCTTGTTTTTGCCTGCTTGTTTTTTGCCTGCTTGTTTTCTACCTGCTTGTTCTTTAACTGCTTGTTCTCAACCTGCTTGTTCTCAACCCGCCCTTGTTTTCTAAAGGTACCATGGTGCCCGCTCGCTGAGTGCCCGAGGACCTGTTATTACACTTACTGTTTGCTCCTTCTCTTGCGGTTCATGCGCTGACGGTTCCTTCTTTCCGGCCCTCCGTGAAGTTTCACAGGCCCTCACCCCCCATCGACAGCTTAGTCGCGATGAGTGCTGCGAGCGCTGCCGCCAAGGGCGGCTGTGATGATATCGCCGGGACAGCGGGCCCCTTAATCGTTTCTCTGACTCTCCACCGGGCGCGGCACATTCGGATCCTGCAGGTTCCCCCAGCTTTGCCCAGAACGATTGCAAAGCGTGCGCCGACACCCCTGGTACGTAGAAATAGCATACGATGCGTCCCAAAATCTCAAATCGGAATCTTCAATCCGCTCAACATGAATCCACGCGGTTTGAGCACCTCCAAGAGCACGCTGCTCGCAGGGGCTGCCGAGCCCTTCTACATCTGTTCGCAGAAACACGAGATTACTGACGCCGTGATCAATAAGCAGATTGAGATCACTCCCGCCGCCATGGAGTCTCTGAAGGCGGACACTGAGGCGGTGCTGCTTCCCCAGAGCAGCACCGCTTCAAAGGTCTCGCAGTTCATGCGCGGGAACGGTCTGCTCCGCAAAGTGTCCAGCGCCTTCGCTGGCCGGATGCGTTCCAAGAGCCACACGAAAGACCTTCCGGAGCACCCCGGCTATCAACTCCCCGCGCTTGCACCTCTTAGTCTGCCCGAGCAAAAGAGCCGGGTTTGTGACGTTGATCTCCGGATCAACGAAAGCCTCAATTTGAGAAAGGACAAGGTCCACAGGGTGCTCGGCGGAATGGACCCGCGCAGCGGCCCCTCAGACATCTGTTTCTCCGGAGACCCCTTTGTAGGCCTCTCCGATGCGACAAAGCCGCCGACTGAGTTCGAGCGCCGGCTCCGCTCCCTCTCACAGGGAAGCTCCGTTCTCAAACCACTCGACGAAGACCCTTTTGACTCTGAGAGCGTCTTTCGGAGCGATCTCGATTCACTTCTCCCGACTCCTCCCATCGCATCATCCACTCCCCGAAAGGGGCTCTCCGTCCTCGGCATCATCCCCGGCCCCCAGGTGAAGCGAACTCAGGGCAACGCATCTGAGAATGCGGACCCTTCCGGAAACGTTGTCGAAATGCGGCAAACCAACGTGTCAGCGAGGGCTTTTAGTCAGCAACCGGCCGAAGACAACATCTACCCAACACCGGACTGCAAGTTCTCCTACGTCCCTGTTGTGGATTGCCCGTACCGGAAGCGACACCCTTCCCCCGACAAGCGCGACCTCGATGTTCTCGTGAGCGAGTTGTGCTCCAAGTTCCCCGAACTCCTTTAAGGACAGCCGGCCAGCAACAGCAAGACGAGCGAGCATGCGCCGAGTGCCGCTGAGGCAGCAGATGCGCCGGGCGGACTACAACGATGTTAGTCTGCCGCATGCTCTTCCATGCCACCCAAAAGTTTCAACCACGGATAGAATCTCCGACATACCCCTGATGAAACACATTCACACTCCGACACTAAGGTCGGCTGTCATGAACTCAGCTTTTGGAAGTCTGGGACAACGCTTGGTTGATCGGGAATGCCCGGCGATAATGGTCATCTGTTCTTCACTTGCTTTTCATTCCCTGTTTTGACTCTTTCGCGATGTTTCCGTTTCCGTTTCCGTTTCCATTTCCTCTTCCTCCCTTCGATCTTGAGAAGGGCAAAACACGAGGTGTATTTACGCATATCCGGTCTTCATTGGGCACAGGGCACAAACACAACCCCAGGAGAGGTGGCATCCGGCGCAAGGATTAGGAAGATACCCCAAAAGTCTGGCTTCTGTGGTCTGGTTTGAGTTTTTTTCTTTTCGTTTTTAGTTGCTGTCGATGGAGGTTTGGGCTGCTGACCTGGAATTCGTTGGTGGACTGGTACTGAGCAGGAGGATCATGCGGCACTGGTTGTGAACAAGACGATCATGCATGAGCTGGTTGGGCGGGTTCACTGCACTGCGCACAAAAGGGGCTTTAATCAATTTTGAGAATGCTTGTTTTCTGAAATCCGAATGGTATCGCAAATGCAACTAATTGACTGGACCCCCCTTTTCGCCTTACGCGATCTGACAGCTCTATCCTATCGTGCTTGGGTATCTTATATGGTGTTGTACAATTCCGTCTCCGCGTCTCCCACCCTAAAAATCCAACTTGGTCGTGGCCTTAGATGAAATGACGCCGGCGGGCTCCGCGCCCGTCAGTCCCATGCATTCGACGGGTACCGGCCGCCTTTTAAAGACATGTCAGATTGCGACGAAAAGAAGATAGATAGAGAGGTAGCTAACTAGTATACCTTTTGCCCTGGCCGACCAGTCAAGGTGCCCTTGAGCCTGAGCAGGGCGCCACTGATCTTGTCTCCGATGGAGGTCCGACGCTTCTGATGATGTGGGACCGTCACCGGAACAGCACCGCGGCGGCCGCTGAAGAAGCCGCGGCGGCGAGGGGCAGGAGCTCGGCGAGGCGCTGCAGCACGGCGGCTGAAGAGTCCGCGCCGACGGGGGACAGTGGTGGTGGTTGTAGTGGCGTACGTGTGACGTGTCATGGCTTATGTCTCGTGGGTTATTGTTATCTTTGATCTCTGATTTTGAAGTTTCGGGTTTGATATGTCAAGGGTGAGATGTGTATGGGTTCGTATTGTTTCCCTCGACAATTTCCGTAGTTATGGAAACCGAAGCTTATATAGTCCGTTCATCGTGGTTGTTGCCGACGTCACACACCCCATGACATAGATGCTATGGATGACGATGCTGGCTATGTAAAACCACCCAATGACGGGATGGGAGAGAGGTTGAGTAGGCCGTCCGAGGCTGTCGACCCCAGAAACCTGCCAAGACCAGGACCCTGAAATCAAGATATTAACGGTGGAGCAAACGATCGTCAGTGGCGTCAGCGACTCAGCGGCACCTTTGGGCGATTGGCCGCCTGCAAAACAGCGCTTGTAGGGCTGTCAAGCCAAGCGCAGCTGGACCAATCGGGCCCAATTTAGCGGGGCTTTTGGGCACGTCCAGCGATGATGTCATCAGGGTTCACCAGATAGGAAGTGTTTCTCCATCGGACGGACAGCTGCACGTGGCATGGTTTCACAGCTTTGATGTGCGACAACACAAAGTACGACTCCTGAGTGAATAGCCTGTTAGGTATATACGAGGTTACCGGGCTCAACTGTCAGAAGTAAATCTACCGCTCTCAAGTCTCAATACGTATACAAGCAAACAAAGTGTGCCCCGTCAATTTTCCAGCACCAGGTTCCGCTTTATCTTGATGAGATCGGCGTCCGAGAACCCCAGCGTGCCCTTAACATAGCCCTCAAACCCACCATACTCTTTCTCCATGGCCTTGACAAAGGCTTCCCAGCAGCTGATCCTCAGACTGCACACGTTGTGAAACCCAGGCACGTCCATACTTTCCACGCCAGCCCCCTGCATCACAAAGGCTAGGAGCTGCTCCCTCGCCGGCTCCGTCCCGATCCTCGACAGTATGTAATCGAGCGCCACAGTGTCGGGACTGGCACCCGCCAGGCTGAGCAACAGCCCAGCCATGACGCCAGTACGGTCGCGACCAGCTGCCGTGCAACATCAGTCACTCACTGTTTAACCGCCAAGGGCACCTGGAGAAGGGAGGCGTGCAACTCACCGGTACAGTGGAACATAAACCCGCCGCCCCGCCCCTCATCCAGCCCATCCAGATCCCTCACGTGCTCCAACACAGCCTTGATCGCCCCTGGATACGCGCGCAGCACGTCCATGTACATAGCAGCGTACCCCTTCTCGCCTCCACCCTCAACGAACTCGTCCAGCTCCACCACCGCATCCTCCTCGCCGGGCTCGACCCAGACGGTCCGGATCCCGTCAAAGGCCGGGTCGGGCTGGCGCGCGTGCTCGCCCACGGAGCGCAGGTCAAAGATGGTCCGGATGCCCAGCTGGTCGCGCAGCACGGCGGTTGTTGCGCTGCTGCTGCCGCCGAGGAACCCGCCCGAGCGGTAGACCAGGCCCGGCCGGACGGGCGACCCGGGCACCCGGCCCAGGTCGCGCGTGTTGAAGCTCCCCGGCAGGGAGACGAACGGCGGCTGGGAAAGGGCCTGCAGCAGGAGGTCCAGGGAGAGCGGCTGGGAGACGTCCGTTTGGGCGAGGGTCAGGAGGTCGAGCGGTTCCGGGTCCATTGTGGTGGGAGGGGGTCTGTGTTGTGAATTAGATGCTCACAAGGTACAGTACAAGCTGGTATAAGAGGGGTTATCTGTATCTGTGCAAGGAAGAGAAGAATAGATAAACAAGTCGTGTAAGATTCGAGGCGGACAAGATTCAAGAACGGTTGCCTGGTGTATCTTACGGGAGCACTGTCACCCCGCAGGCCCCACCCTTTCCCCCGCGTCCCGCTCCTGTCATCTGCACGGGGCTCGCTCTTGGCGTCTGATGCATCGTGAGTCGTGAGACGCACGTGTTGCGAGCCAGGAGCCTGTGATTGCCCCGGCAATACGTTAGAAGATAACCCAGGCATGATAGAATCGGAATTGTAGACGCTTATACAAACCGTTAACACAACGAACTCGAATTCGACCTGTTGGATTTGGTTGCGCGACCTCGCAGGCAGCAAGGCAGGGTTTACTTATCGCTTTATAAGTGACCCTAACCCTAAATACACTCTCTCAGGGGGTAAGAAAAGGGGCAACGCAGGAAGGCCAGGGAGGTGGACCGCTCAGGCTACCGAATGTTATTGAAGCTGGCAATATTATAGCGATATGAAGTAAGTGATAAAGATCAGAGCAGGTATACTCCGCCTTTTTGTCTTCAACTCTCGGTTGCCTAACTCGACATGAGCCTATGGCTGCTGAGGTAGACCTGCTTCTCCGGCCCCGGGACACGTATGCCCAGGGTATCCTCACCAAGCTAGAGCCTGTTTTCCCAACATCAACTCAGAATCTGTGGGTTGGCTCGTTGTCCAAGCCCACACTTGGCACAGGCTCCTCGATGCCTCGACCCCACTGACTATCATGGCGCCAAAAATTGCGCGCGCAGTCTTGCCATCGGCAACACTGTAGGCCCAAACACAGGGCATCGCTACCCTTACTCTCAATCGAGGTACAGCCTGGCAGGATGGTAATGCGTAGGCGTCATCAGGCGTCGATTCTCGCCCGTGGCCCGCCGCATTTCGTATTCGGAAAGGACTTCCGGCGGAAATGGCGTCGTGTACTCAATCGGGTAAGATGACTCCATCAGAGAAGATCGAAGTCGTCCAGTTTGTCGCGGTACTTCATGATGCTCTGCTTGATTTTGCTGCCCACGGTCCACGTGACGAAGTCCTCCATGTTCCGCGTCACCAGGAAAGCAGGATCCCGAACTTCTTCAACCCCGACCCGGACGTGGCCTTGCTCGATGAGCTTCGTGGCCGCCTGGACAGTTTCTGCCATTCGCAGGCTGGAGCAAGAAAGTGTCAGAAAGCCTAGCAAACGCACATCCAGACGACAGCAAGAAATCTTCATACCGAGTCATGACAACAGGTAACCGCCGCCTCGCAAAGGCGGATACTGTCACGTTGTGCTCTACCTGTGAAAGCTTCGACTTGGTCTAGGGGCATACACGTCAGCAACGATCGGCAGGTAACGTCATGACAGGGTGCATACCGATAAGATGCCCATATCGTAGAGCTTGTCCAAAAGGAGCGTCTCATGTTTCCTCCTGACCTCGTTGTCTGGGGGAAGTAGCTTTGTAAAGTGTCAGCACACACATCCCGAAAGCTAGCACCGGTGGCGAAACATACACTCAGACGATGGGCTAACTGCCGCAGGGACTGATGGCTAAGTCAGTATGTGGAGGTGTTAAATGCGAGCAGAGTAAACCTACACCGCATATCCTGTTGTACTTGTGCTATTGAATCATTAGCAATTGTACAAAGGCGGATTCGAAGAAACAGCCAAGGCACTCGATCCAGGAGCTAATGGGGACTTACATAGTCCTCTGGCTTCTGGATCATATACCGCCTATCTACAGTCAGCGATATGAATAGAAAGCATCTAAAAGAGATGGATTTACCTCGCGACATCATGGTCTCTGTGCTTGTTATCTTGCTTGTAGTTGATGAAGTCGTGCCTGCACGGTTGGATTAGCCCCGAATACTTCAATAACCTCTCATCCACAGCTTACTTCTTCAAGAGCTTTTGCTCATGGAACTTCAGTTTTCGTGTCATTTTGTGGTGGGTTGGTGGCTTCTGTCTTGATCCGGATCAAATAAATCTGCTGGAAGGGTTGAACTGCTGGGCTGTGCCTCGACGCTCTCCCAAAATTTCGAGCGAAGAATGTCAGTGCCCCACATCAAACTGGGCAATTTGCCTGCCGCAACCCCTGCTTGTCAATGCTAGACCCACCTGTGCCAAGCTTCCAGATTCTGGGGACTGCAAACTCCCAAACTCCAAAAAAGATCAATGTCGGGTTATCCGCCCAATATCGACATCCAACAACCCCCCTGACGAAACCCATTGCAGACATCGGAACTGAGTGCTAAGCCGCGGCCAGTCACAGTACTCAGGCCAAAGGGGGGTGAAACAGAGGAAGCGGAAAACAGAAGCTCGCCATGTCGTGTAGACAGTGGCTCTCCTCGGCGGTGCGCCGATTGCCCTCCGGCGCCGGCCAACAACAGACTCGAGCTCTTTCAACATCGACACCCGACGCGAAAGGCTGTCAGTCTTCCCATTCCCCTCCATCCTGCACTACGTCAAAAGGACTATAATCCAGGTCTGACACTGAACCAAACCCAACAGTGCAAATGCTTCCCCGGGCAGGAGGAGGAGGCGGATCCGGAGGAGGAGGGACCATGATCAGACGTGTAGTCGGCATCCGCGGCGGCAACCCCAACAACAACAACAACCCAACCGACGCGCTGCAGTCCTTACTCTCACTGGGGGACACGCGGCGCAGCGGCCGAGGTCCCGTGACGGCCGAGGAGCAGCGCGAGATAATGGAGCAGCAGCAGCAGGCCAACAACGCGCGCCTGTCGGTCCGGGACCTGCGCAACAGCGCCACGACCGACAACTTCCTCAGCTACATGCCGCGCCGCTGGAAGGCGGGCGACGTCTATTCCCCGCGCGACCTGAGCCCCGTCGAGCAAAAGAAGTGGACGAAGCGGCAGGCGCCGCTGAAGGATATTGTTGATTTGCTGGGGTTTAATCCGCTGGATAACTACAAGGTATTTGTTTCATATCATTCTTTTCTTCCAAGGAGGGTCGGTTGCTGATAGAGAGCCGCTCTTGAACAGAACTTCTCCTTCATTTCGGAATTCATGACCCCCTTCGGCAGAATCAAGCACAGCAGGGAAACGGGGCTGCGGCCCGTCAACCAGCGCAAGGTGGCCAAGGCCATCCGGCGGGCCATCGGCATGGGGCTGCATCCCAGTGTGCACAAGCACCCCGAACTCATGCGCCTGTCCAACCAAGGCTTCCCAATGTACGTGCCAAGGACCACCAGTACCGCTGAAAAGAAGTTATAAAGAGGGGACCGCGGACGACGGGGCTGGCAACATTATTCTTCCCCTCTTGCGCTGGGTTCATGGCTTGTCTGGAAACGAACAGGCGTTGAGGATGAATCACGCTATCTGCGTGGAACGGGGTTGTACTGTAAATTGTACGATATACCAAGTTATCAACAACGTCCATGTGCCACCCACCATGGACACGGGGCACCCATCATCTTTTACGTATACAATATATACTCTGTACATGTACCAGTTTGCAGCGGGTCAGCACGCACCGACAAGTGCACCCGTATATTTACGCCTCCATAGTCCTGACAATGTTGAACTTGGTGCCCATAATGGTCTCCCTCCGCCCTTTGTTTTCGAGCTGGGCCCAGATCTCGGGGTATTCCGACCTTGCCCATTCTTCAAAGTGCTTCTTTCTGGTTGGGCCAGGAAGGGCATTGTACGTCACGCCGAGCCTGGACAAATGAGTCAGCAAACAGCTTCGACAAAACCAGGCAATGCAAATGTTGTGGTAGGCAGAAGGTGAGAGAGGAGGGAAAGAGGGAAGGAAAGAATAACTCACGTCATCATCCCTGGGGGATACCCCACGCTGGCGTCCATGCCCCTGATCAGCCTGATAACCTCGTCGACGTATCCCGACCCGGCAATGGCGCCGCAGTAGGACCAAAACACGTTGGGGGGCACCTCGAGGTCCATCCTCTGCATCTTCTGCCAGATGGGCCTGGCCGTGCGGTCGCCGTAGGGCTGGAGCTCGCAGGCCCAAAAGACAATGGCCAGGCTGTTGTACGAAGGGCCCTCAGCCGAGTTGGTGATGTCGCGCCAAAACTCAATGGCCGTGCCCGGGTCCTCGCAGGCCGCGTAGGCCAGCATGAGCGCGTTGTATAGGCGCGTGTTCATCTGCACCGTCGTGTCCATCTTGAGCATGTTGTGCACCATGCGGAGTGAGTCTGCGTCCGGGTGCCGGCCGAGGCCCTCGAGGCAGCGCACGTACACGTCGGCCGTGGGCCGCTGCTCCGGGTTGCCGTGCGCCCGCATGTGCCCAAAGATGTAGCACGCCATGTCGGGCCGGCGGCGCTCAAAGAAGGCGTCCATCAGCCGGATGCGGTAGGAGGGTTCCGTCTCTGGGAAGAACTGCCGGAGCAGCGAGTAGCAGTCCCAGACGCGGGCCGTGCTGATCTTCTTGTCCAGGCAGTAGTCTACAAAGGCCTTGCGGACCTGGGCCCGCTCCTCAAGGCTGTACGAGACCGTGTGCAGCGACAGCGTGTCGATCACGTCGTACTGGTTGTCGCGGCGGAGGAAGGCCATGCAAAGCGCAACAACCGTCTCGGGCTCAAGCGTCGCGTGCCGGTGCTCCAGGTCGGCCGTGACGTCGAGGATCTGCTCCATGTCTGGCTCGGGCCCGGAGCATAATGTGCGGAGGTACTTGTTCAGAACGGGGAGGTCCTCGTCGTTCCGGACATTGACTTCACCCCTCATCAGCTTGTCGTATATGACTTGCGCCCCGCTGAGGTCCTTTGCATCCAGGCGGTAGTCCAACTGGAGGATGTATGTGGTTGAACTGGGCCTGATGCCAAGCTCGGCGCCCAAGGAGAGGAACCTCTCGGCGAGGTAGGGGTTCTTCTTCTCGATGGCGGCCTTGATCAGAACATTGATGGTCGTTGCGTCCGGTTTCAAGTCATTCTGGCCGTCCGCGTGCTGCTCCATGGTTGTTATCAATTGCTTGATATCCTCGACCCCTTTGTCCAAAACCAACACTGCCCACTGGAACACAACGTCCCACCACTCTTTCGGAGGATTCGAGTTGATCAACTCCTCAAAGACGGACTGAAGCCATTGCTGCTCCCCGGTTCTAAGCGCAAACCTCACCACTTCCATGTACGATTCTGGGCTCCTCATCCAGTTGCCATATATAGGCTTTTCAAACCACTGCTTCGTCTCCTCGACCCTATCCCTCGTGGCATAAAATGTCGTCATGATTTCGTGGACAGGTGGCATGTACTCGACGCCGGCTTCTTCCGCCGTCCTGTACTCGCGAAGCAGCTCCTCTTCCCGACCCTCCTGAGCGAGACCCCGCAGAACCAGCGTCCAGAGGCTTTTCACCCCCTTGTACATTTTGTTGTCCTCCTGAAGCTTGCGCACGTATTGGGCGAGAGTTTCAGAGGCTTCCAAAGAGGCGCCGTACTGCGTTAGGGCCGTTAGAAATAGCTTGAAGTCGCCGCGATCCTTCCCGCCGCTAGCCTCCCGAATCATGTCCTCGTCAAGACCGAGATCGCGCATGCTCTGTATCCTGCGGTTGATCTCTCCGTATACGAGCCTTGCAAGCTCGAGATGGTGTTCGGCCCGGCCTTTTGGCGGCTTTACTGCGATTACCAGCGCGTCCCGGAGGTCATCGAAGCTGAGGTCCTCGGAGGGACTCCCGGTCTCGGCGTCCTCTGCCAAGAGGTGGCGGAGCAGTCTCAGGGCGAGCATAGCTTGAGTCGGGTTCATGACCCTGTGGTGTCTCTTTTTGTGGCGGATGAACATGGTCCAGCCTGTTACCAGGCCGTTCCGTTCCGGAGGGCGCGCATTTTCCGTCTCTAGACTGGCGAAATGCAGCAGAACATCGTAGCCAGGCTCAAGGACGGGTTCCTTGAGCTGCCGCGGAGGTTTCTGGAAGAGGCCGAAGAAGGTCCTACGACCCTGTGGGCATGCTAGGAGAGGGATTGGATGGAATGAATAGGGCGGCGCGGCAAGGCAGCGGCCGGGGAGGGCGGGACACGATGGCAGCAAACCATGGTGATGAGCTCCATGGATACGGCCGGCTCGCAATCGACGGTACACATTGCGCGTCAACTGCGACCGCATGGTGGGAGATGGGAAGCGCTAGTCGGAGCCAGTCCTGCTTGGCCTGCTATTAGTTAAAGACATCAAGGGCATAATAATTGTGCCCTCTGTTCTGCGGCTGCGTACCTGCACATGTTGGGATGACGTCCAATTGCCGTTCCAATGGTTTCAGTGAAGCCAGCTGTGGTCGCGGGTCAGAGCCCGAGCTTTTCCAGTGATTGATGACCTCAATTTGCTGTTGAGCTGCTGTGGAGCAAGCCTTGGCGCCCCCGCCACTAACTACCCCCACCCTTGTGACCTAATGCTAGAGCTATGCGTTTCGACCTGTATCAACCCTAACCCCAAATCTCAGAGCAGCATCTCATCTTCGACTTACATCCTCATCCTCACCACTCTCACCTAAATACGTACCTACAAATATCACCCAAGAGTGCCTAATCTTCAAAAATGGCACCGAACCCGCCAACAATCGTATCCCTGAAACAAAGCTTTCTCATAACGCAAACGCGCCTTTTATCCCAACCCCTCGCTCCAACCAACGCCTGGCGCAACCACAACAATAGCAACAGGGAACAAGAAGACAACGCCGCAGGCCTGCCCGAAAAGGCCGTCGACGATGCACTCTTCAAGCTCAACCACCGCCTCCAGCAACACGCGCGCCGTGTGTACGCGCCCCAGGCGACGCGCCACGTGGCTGAGCAAATAGACCAACTGTACTGGAACGCTGCCGAGGCCGCCACCACCGGCGCGCACGCAGGCGACGGTGAGGATGATGATGATGAGGATAGGGAAGTTGTGGAGGGGTTGAGTGTGGGTGCTGATCTAGGTACGATGCGTTTGTTCTTCCCCCGGCCCAATTCTTTTCCCATGAATGTCCCAGCCGTGCTCTATCCCACAGACAGATATACCTGAAGTGAACAGACCATGAGACATACAATACAATATGCACTGTACATCGGAAAAACTCCATTCAGTCCTCTATCCGTCAAGCCAGCTAGTGCGAACCAAACCAACTAACAATTCCCACCAGCCGACCCATCCGTGATCGCCGCCCTCCCTTCAGAATGGGACGTCCCCTCCGAGTCGGCAGCCCACCCGCTCGAGGCGAAGCGCTACGCCGAGCTGGCGGGCGAGCTGCGGGCCCTTGCGGAGCGGAAGCAGCAGGCTCTTGCGCGTGTTGCGCGTTTGCGGCGCATGAAGGAGCTTCTGGAGCCCTTTTCACCTTCTACGTCTCTTACTCTTACTGCTGCTGCTGCTGATGGTGATGGTGAAGTGGTCGGGGATCAGGGAGGAGATAGCAGTGGTGGTGGTGCCGGTGTTCAGGAAAATCTCGTCACACGTAACGGCGAGATCGAGGCTGAACTCCAACGCATGAGAGTGCTTCTTGCAAGAGTCGGTGGGCGGGTTGGGTTGCTCAGGGAGAAGCGGCAGCAGCAGCAGGGCGATGCGAGCCAAGGGGGTTTGGGGACAGGGGATGGTGGGGAGACAGCGATGGAAGTGGACGATGTGGATATGGATGTGCAGAAGAAGGTTGGGCAGCTTTTGGAGAGTTTTTGATGTTTTCTTGCCACCTTGTCACGGTCTTTGGGGGCCAGATCGACATACCGAGGTAAGGACTTTCGTACAACTGGGCTGGGTATTGTTGTTGGTTTGATGGTGGGAATGGAGTTACTCTGCAGTTTGTTGACTTGCACGGAGCATGGTGGTTGGTAGTGATACCCAATACTCGATCTGATCTAGACGTGATATTTAGGGAGGGGAAAATTGTTGGTTCTACACTGATTTAGACATGTACATCCGTGAGTAGTTAACATCACTTCATACCCCAGCCTAGAGAAACACGATCATAAAAAGAATGGCATAAACCATAATACTTTGATAATCCCTTCCGCACACAGCCCTGGTCATTATTTCCTTAGCTCATGAACAAATTCGGCCCCTTCTCCACTAGGCACTCGCACTTTCTCCCCCAAGATGTTCAACCTTGGGCGTAGCGAGCGTCGCATCCAAGGCACTATCGTCCACGTCGAGTACCTTTGTCTGATCCGCGTCTTCCTTCTCTTTCTTCTCGCCTTCCTCCTTCTTATCTTCCCCTTTCTTGCCATCACCTTTCTCATCACCGCTCCCTTCGACATCACTGCCCTCCTCATCATCGCTCAGCTCGTAATAATTCGGCCTGATCACGCGCAGCTTCACCAGCCCTTCGACGTCCTTGTCATCCTCTGCAACCTTGTAATAAATCCTCAGCCCCACCACGGCCACCGCGTTCCAGGGGCCACTCTCAGGTTCGTCCATAGACGGCGATCCTGGTCGGGAGGGCGATTCCTCCCTCTTGGCTTCCATCTCTTCTTGCTCCTCGAGGATGTAGTTGAGGTCGGTTTCGGAAATTTCCGACACACTGGGGAAGCTGCACAGCGACAAGCGGTCCTCGACGTCGGACGGCGACGGGTCACGTCGCGGAGGCACGTCCATGTGGCGATGGTCGTGGCGATGGTCGTGATGGTGCTCGTGGATCTGTCTTGGAAGACTGCCGCCGACATGAGGCCCACTCCGACCGACACGAAACAGCCCTTCTAGTTCTTCCCTCAGGGCGGACACGGCGTCGATTTCGGTCCTCAGTTCGCGCGTGAGTTCTTCGGGGGCCGGAACCTGGCTCAGCGGCTTAGGGATGGGGATCTTTTGGCTGTCTCCGGCGTTTGAACCGCTTTCCATAGGAATCCGCCCGCCTTTGATTGCGTCCTCTTGCAGAAATTTCCCGGCGTCTTCCGCAATGACTGCAGGCTGCTTTATCGTGGAATCACATGTCTCTTCATGTGCTTTCTGAGATTCAGTCTTTGCAGGAGCGCTCTCCTGCTTCCCCGCAGGACCTTCACTGCTGGAGGTGTCGACCTGATCTTCGAATTGCTTCTTCTCTGTTTCGGAGGCGTGTTTTTCCACCGGAGCAGACCTTGGCTCCGCTGGGTCATCTTTGGCGTCTTTTACAAGTCCGTTGCCCTCATTAGGCGGCTGCTCCGCGTTGCTGGGCTCCATGGCTGATGCCTCCCGGGGTGTTGCAGCAGGGATGAGCTTCTCAGCATCGGTATTCCCGTCCGATTCGACAGCCTCGAACTTGGTCTGTTCTTTACCATCCTCAGGTGCAGGTTGGGATTGGTCCTTCTGACTGACACTGCTTATAGCCTCTGGCTTGCCTTTGGGTTTTTGTTGGCTCTCATCGGCAGTACTGGCCTCAGCAGCAGCGGGGATTGTAGGCTGGATCTCCTGGGTAGGCTGGATCTCCTGGGCAGGCTGGGTTTGTGAATCAAAGAAGGGCCCCCTGCTAGGCTGTCCGTCCTGAGCGGCCCCAGGCTCCATTTCGGCCTGCCTTGCTGCTGCCTCAAGTCGGTTTTCCTCCTCCTCGGCCGCTCTTCGCCTAACTTCCTGCTTCTCGGCCAATTTCTTTTCGAAGTTCTTCCGGAAAAGAAACTCTTTCCGTCGGTACTTTAGGCTTTTACGCTGTTTATAGTCCTTCATCTGCCTTTCTCTCATGAGCTCCTTGCGCAAAACCTCTCGGCGCTTCTCTCTCTGGCGCTTCTCGTAGGCCTTCCGTGCCGCCTTCTCCTCGGGGGTTTCCACAACCCTGGCTTTGCTGTGCGCCAGATCGTACGACAAGCCAACACGAAGCAGTTTCTCACGGCGGAGCGGCGCGTTCTGGCGTACCACATCCTCGGGCGGCATGATTTCCTTGCGGCGGGTGGCGTCAATCTTGATCAGGACTGTGTACTCACCCGCCTCAAGCTCGAGCTCCACGTTGCAAGAGCGTGTCATGCGATACGTAGTCTGGGCGCGGACCAGATACTCCTCATCCCCTGCCTTGTGGAGGCGGAAGCCGAGCGCAAACGCATATTCGCCTTCGAGCCCACGGAAGTAGCGATCATCGAGCTGCGAAAGGACGATGACCACAGGGCCGGGCCTGGCTAGCGTGAAGCTGAACTTGGTGTCGTGGTACTCTAGGGCCCATGGAACGTTGAGCGTAGTCCACATGGACGTGATTTTCCACTCCGGGCCAAAGAGCCTTGTGCGGTCAAAGGACTGGTACTTGCGCAGCAAATCCTTGTATGAGATCCAAAATGCCCCGTCGTCACCGAACCGGTGGCCCAGCTTCTGCAACCACTCGGGCGTCCACTCCTTGGAGCCGTCACCTAGAGTCGGTTCAGCATGCAGTGAACCGGATATGGGGGATCAAGAGTGGCAGACTTACTCCACGCGCCACGCCACTCGCCCTTGCCCCAAGGATTCTTGAGCAGGAGGAGGCGTTCCCCGTCAATCTCGACGGCTCGCATGACCGAGTATGCGTGGCTCTCATAGATGCCATTTCTCACTCCGTAGCCGTTATCCCTGATTTTGCGTGTTAGTGTCAAGAAATGTCGGTTGGAAGATCTTGCGACCAAGATGTCGACCACTTCAGCAAGGCATACCAAAGACCTGTTGAGCAACCAAACAGAAAATCCTCGTTGACCTTCATGAGCTCTTCTTTCCAAAAGTACTCCTGATCCAACAGATTAGCCCCCACGTCCAGCGGCGCTCTTGATTGGAAGCGTAGCCCACCTTGTCCAATATGTCGGTCGTGAACAGTTCGGTGGTGACACCACCGGTGAGATCCTCGATGCCCTCACCAGTCGCCCCGCCTTCAATAGCGGCGTAGTCGCCATGGGCTTTGGCATAGGCTTTCTCCAGCAGAGGCAGCCAGGTTTCGTTTGGGTTGGCACACTGAGCAAAGTACAGGGCACTGCTGTTGGACTGATAGGTCTTTCTGTAGTGCTCTTCGGAGTCATCGCGATCTATTTCCTCCCACAGTTTGCGCTCCAGGTTCTCGCGCCTGTCCATGTGGGCCTGGTCATAGTCGGGCTTGAGCAGGTATAGCTATATTTCCTGGGGGTTAGATTGTTCGTTCGGGAGCTGTCACCTCATCTAAAGGTAGGCATACCTTGTCATCGATGATCTCGCTGATCCACTCCCCATCCCGATGGAACACAAACCCGTACACGCCCACATCCTGATTGTGGGCGACACAGACGCGCTCGATCAGACCCGCCTTGTTGCTCAGCGTGCACAGGGCGGCCATCAGCCAGCAATCACCGTCGCGTCCCTGGCGGACATCATTCGCCGTCGGACCGTCGACGTAGAACTTGGGATCGTCAAAGATCTCGCCCACTCGCTTGACCGATTTCGGGCGGAAATAATGGCCCGGCGGCCTGTTCCTGAGCATGGGCGGGGCATCGCTGTCGGAGTCACTACCGTCATCGTCGCCGCCATCGTCAGAGCGGACGTTGCTCAACGACTCTAGACAGTAACGGAGACCCTCTCGGAGGTCAAAGTCCAGATCGAAATGCGTGTCGCGGTACTTTTGGTTGATGCGACGGCACTCGGCCACAATCTTGTCGACCTTGGCCCGGCACAGCGCAGCAGCCTCCTCGTACGAGGTCGACGCCGTCTTGCTGCTCCCGCCGGCGAGGTCTTTGGCGGCCGAACGCTTGGCCAGTCGCTCAGCGAGCACATTCTTGGGGAGGATAGTCGTGACTGCGGCCTGGAGTAAGTAACGTACTCAAAGTTATTGGCTCCGTTGAACTGGAAGTTGCACCCACCTTTCCCAGGAGCTTTGGTGGTGAACTTGTCCCAGAATTCGTCAATTGTCTTCTGGGGCGGCTGGGGTTCCCGGCGTTGTTGCTGTCGCCCCCTGCGTCCGCCAACGAGCCCATCAGCGGCCATGATGAATTACACCATGTATTGTATGTACAAAGCAAGGTGTCAAGGTCCAGGATTTTAGCTATACAACTTTAGATTCTGAAAACGCTGCAAAAATGACTTCCGAACCATAGGGTGAACATGGTACGACGCGCTGTGGACATATATACGAGTCTAAAGCCTCGCTGCTTGCGGGCGGCACGGCTGAGATTGTGAGACCAAACAGTCAGCTTCAAGATTTGATATATAAGTCGATGCCTGGTGCTGCTGACTGCAGTGAGTGGCTCATGAGGTTGGCACAGGAGATTGGTTGCGTCCTCCACTGCCAACCCAACCACCCCCAGAAGGGCAGGGAGATGCCCCACACGCCCCGTGAGGCTGTCACCGAAAAGTTGGTGTCGAGGACTGGAGGCGACCGAAATGTTTGCCGGTAAGCGCTTGGCGGAGATTCTCGTACGTTCCCGCCCCCACCATCTCCTCCCGGGGCAGTTGTGCCTGGCGAAGGACACAAACACCCGTCCTTCGCATGCGATGCACGTTCAGGGGCTAGAAGGTCAGTAAAGAGCACCTTGATGCTTCGTAGCTATAACGTGACCATGGAAGCATACCTTTTCTCAATCCACGCCCCTGTACATACAGTAGCTACAGTACCCCGAGTTAGGTTACATCCAGTATAAGGCAGCCATCCCAGCCATCGTACAGTCAGCGGTGCTGCACCGAAGAATAGTTGCCTTCCCTGGAGTCTGCGGACAGGCCAGAAAGGAACGGGCTCTTACGTCCCTGGGCAATGATGTCCGCGTCCAGTTAACCAGGTATTGTCCCCACAATGCCCGTATAATACACTACAGCCTGACGATGCCATCATAAATTAGGTACAAGAGTGTCCTGCCTACAACCCCCATGAACCAGACATGATCACATAAAACAATTCAACATTGCATACACCCATACCCAGTAACACCACTCAAACCCGTTTCAACGTGTATCCCTGGCGCTCAAACTCGCAAACGCGTCCGGGGAGTGCCGCCCACTGGACCACTCCAGGCCCACAGCCAGCATGCTCTCTCGGCTGACGTTGTGCTTCGGCGCCGCGTCCATGGCCTGCGCTGGCTGCGTTGACCCGGTCGACAACCCCGTCCGACCCGCCCCGGTTCCCACAAACGGATTTCTGCTGCCCACCGATGGGCTAACCGGCGATGGCTGCGCCTGAGGCTGCTGCTGCTGTGATTGCTGAGCCTGCGGGAACGTCTGCGGTGGGAAGAGCGAATTGGGCGTCTGGGCGGGGGTGGTCTCGCCAGCGTCCTGGCTTGGGAAAGGCGATGGGTTCGGGGCTAGTTGCGGGTAGTTGTACAATGCCAATATTGACGCTTTATCTGGTCGCTGCGGCTGCGCTGTGTAACCCGTCATTTGCGGTACGACACCCATTTGTTGAGGCATTTGCATCTGCATCTGCCCTGGTAGCTGTTGCCCAGCAGATGCCATTTGGTTGAGGAAAGGATTGCTCGTGTGCGGCTGAGCTGGTTGCGAGTAAAAGTTTTGCTGTGCTTGCTCCGGTATTTGCGAGAGGGTTGGTGACTGGATCCTTGTCGGTGACCGCGTGAACGGATTGTTGCTCATGTTGCCGCTAAACTGGGCCGTATTCACTGACAGAGGCTGTTGCGTCGCCTGAGGTGGGAAGAAGGGGTTGTAGCTGGCCATGGTTGGATGCGCGGATTGGGGATACGTGTGGTTGCCGTTTACCGCTGCTGGAAAGTAGCCTGGCGTTGTAGACATGAGCGGAGCTGTTAACGGCGCTGTCAATGGTCCGTTCATCGATCCGTTCATCGGCTGCTGCTGATACAATGGCTGAGGGCTCTGCTGCTGGGCAAGCCCTCCCGTGTGATGAGGAAACAGCGGCTGCGATGCCGGTGCTAGCGACATGTTCTGAAAGGCTAGGTCAAGAGCCGACGGAGTTTGCTGCGGCGCGCCGAACGGGTTCGTGGATAGATAGGGATTTTTCGTCTGTAACGTGCCAGTCGACTGTGACGAGAGAGGCTGCGGCGGCGGCGGCGTGTCAAGCATATCGAAGGGATTCGTGCTTGCTGGACTTATGGGTCGTCCGTGGGATGCATCGGAGCTTGAGGTAGCGGTTGTTGGTGTCAAGCTCCTTGTTACAGGCATCGTCGCAGCCCTGGCCGGGCCTGGATGCGTAATGGATCTTCCATCCCCTTCGCCCAGTCGGACCAGCGCCTCGATCGCTTTCTCCAGATTCCCTCCTACCCCTTTCAACACCATGGTATTCCTATTGTCATCGTTGAAGCCCATGTCCCGCAATTTGGCAAGCTTTCGCTCCGTGTCATCCCCACCCGTGCGGTTCTGCTGAATACTGGCCCCGAATACCGGGGCCTGGCTGCTCCGGGGAGACTGCCGACTTTGCCCATCTCGCGGGCTGCTCGGTTCCTGGCTACCGGCTGTCTTTCTGCCCTTGGAACCGAGCGGAAATATTGAGGAGGCGGACCGCAGACCGAATCGGCTTGGTGTCTTGGGGGGAAGCGGCGGCGGAGTATCAGAGTCGCTCCCTCCTGTGCTAGGCCTTTTGTTTGCCGTCAATGTGCGGCTCATGTACTTTTGGCGGATAAATCGTTCCATAGCGCTATCGGCTTCGTCGGCGTCTACAGGAATAGACGGTTTCTTGTTTTCCGGGTTGTAAATCTTGTTCGACACAACGTTGCCGACTTTTCTCATGTTCTAGACACAGCATTAGCAGATGGTAAGGGGCAATAGGAGCCGCGAGACACGCATACATCGACTTGCTCGTTGGTCCAGCTGTCCATGCTCAGCGATTTCACCTTGGACACGTGGGTGCCCAACTTGCGGTGGATAGTGGCGCACCGCATGCAAAGGAAGATACCCAACTACCACCCACCCCTTATCGTCAGCGTCGCCTTTTCTCGTGTGCAGTAACACATATCTAACTTCCTAGCGATCCAAACGGAATCCTCAATGGGGAGGACTTACGCTCCATGATGCCCAAGCTGCCGAAAAGAGACGGGTTAGTCCGTAGGGTTCAGGATGTCGGATTGGGGTTGGGCGCAATTACCTGGATTTCGTGCTTGACAATCGGCGCAAAAGTTGTTTCCAGGCACATTGTGGAGGAGATCCTGCAGGACTTTTTCATTGCGCGCCTGCTGGCGCTTGCTCAGAGCTGTCGACATGCTGCTGTGAACCGCGCGTTTCTAATCCAACTTCCAGTGCTTCGAGAGCTCCAGTGGTTTAGATTTCTTGTCGTGTGGACGACTCGAACCAGAGAGGTTGAAAGCGAACCAGCGAATCCAAAGTGACCCGCGCCGCGCGGACTGGGGAGCAGGGGTTGACTAGGAGGCGGGGATTGTCGATTAATTGCTGGGTTAACATTAGCGGGATAGGTACTCCGTAGCTCACTGTAAATTCACTGAATCCAACAAACAGGTGTGCCTGCAATGGGAAACCCGGAATTGATGCACATCTGAAGTGTTTCCGGGTTTTCTTGCGGCGGAGGCCAATCTCCAAGAGACACACGACCCCCTCTTGCCTCCTGAGAGCTTGCAGGTCACAGCGAACATCCACAGCACTAGCGCGGAGCGGTGCCCGGGGGTTACAGGAAGTGAGGTTGTTTACGCAGCTTACGGAGTACATAGGGTTGCGTACCTATTTATGCCTGCAGAACTGCCACGAACTGGTTGCGCTTCTCAATTGGATACAATGGTATTGACTGCCCGAATACTTCTTCCATTTTCTTGTTCATTATCAATCCGAACGTTCAAGAAAAGCCAAATGGCAATCCACCACAAGCACCGATTCCTTTCCCCTGGCGCTAAGACCGCTTGGGCTGGTCCGCACAGGCGCTCGGACCCATGCGTGTTGCGATCCTTCTTTTTATGGGGCCTAGCCCAGCCTACACGTGGGGCCTGGGCCTGTGGGTTCACTGGGTTGAGGGTTCATTTCAAATTCAGGCCTAGGTTCACAAGTCGCTCCTCCGACCATGCATCCATGATTCTTAAACAATGATGGTCTTTTGTATCTGAAGGAACAAGTTGAAGGCTTATTTCGTCACCTATACCTTTCCTTCAAACAAAACCAAACAAGGAGCCTCGAGGCCAGATAGTTATCCCATCGTCAGAGAATCGAAGGACTTCAAATTTCTACGCAAGTCCAACCATCGGTCGTCTATGGCCTCCTCCGATTGATATAGGTACGTAGAGAGATGATCTTCTTCACTATGTCTTCACTTTTGATGTCCGATATTCCCACCGTGCCGCTACTGGATGTCCATCGTTTGCTATTGATTCAATGGCAAAGTCAGGGAAAGAGATGACGGCGGGTGATCACAGTGACGTCTTGAGTCGGTCCAGATACAGCGCAGCAGGCAAAGGTATCCGCGCGAGCTCATCCAAGGAACAAAGCAAGGTGATAGGCATCACCATCTTTGTCCTTCTGTGGGCTCTAGTCTGGGACGCATTGAAAGAGCAACGTTGAGCAGGGCGGCCAGGAGGTGAGGTACCACCCCAAGCGACTGTGTCTCGGAAGGCTAGGTAGATTTGAGCGTTTACCCACAGTCGAAGATGGAGGTTGGTAGCGAGGGCGCAAAGGTGCTTAATGAACCTTTACAAGAAATTGTGCTGCTATATCATGGTAAGGTGAGTCCTACTTTTCTGTGTAGATACATACATACATCATCGGGATGGAAGCTAATTCTTCAGGAAAGCTTACCATCTAGTATCCTCTAAGGACATGATTGATGGACTACCTAGTCACTCCTCCCGAGTCGTTCCCAATACTGGTCCCAACGAAAACAACCAAGACAGCTGCATACGCGGCCGTGCTCGCCAGGACCGCCTCATCCTTGTCCAGGAATGCCGCCATGAGTAAGCCGAACCCCGTCACAAACACCGTCGTCGCAACCAGCTGGGTGATGAGCTCGCTCCGCAACACCATCAACCACATGGGCCCGACGAGAAACATCCCGCCCACCGCAGCAATGACCGCCCGTCTCCGGAAGTTGAAAACCCACGTCTTGGACAGGTTAGCCCCGCGCGTACCGACTATCGTCAACTGTTTCGCGCCTTCAGTCTCCCATTCCCAGACCGAGTTGACCTTCCTGAGTGGCTGGCTGAGCAGTTCCGGCGGAAGGCAGCGTTTGAGCACGAGATTATCGATTAAATACTCGCCCGTGGCAAAAAACGGGTCCCGGCTCTCCCGCGCCCGCTGCACCATGTAGTCGTACTCCTTCAGTGTCGAGACGTACTTCTCCAGGTTGGCCTCCCACCCGGCGGCCTCAACCCCGTGGTTGCGCATGTACACGACGTCCGCAATAACCGCACACTGCAGCTTGCGCAGTTTCATGCGCTGCAATTCGGCGAAGTCAATTCGGAATCGTCGCTCAGTTGGGGATGATGGCTTGGGCCGGCGGATTCGTCCATCCCGTAGGAGAGATGTCAGCCAAGCCACAAGCCATTTCACCGGTTTCTGCTTCGGCGGGTGGAGCTCGAAGACAAGGTTGGACAAATGGTGGTTGAGCGCCCAGTGGCCCGGGTCATCGGGAGAGAAGCGGATCTGGTTACCCTGCTCGACCGTCCACCCCCCGCCGTTTGGCGGAACAGACCGGGACCACTGCGTTGAAATTGTCTCCAGCGACTCGGAAGGTGGTAGCCGTTCAATTGGCGGGCCTCTGCCGTCGTCTATGAATGCGGTTGAAGTGGTCCTCACGCTCTCCGTGGCGGAGGTGATGCTAGCGGTGCTGTTCCCCTCGCCGGCTGCGCCACGACTGCATCAGTTGAGCCCATTCATACTTGGCTTCCCCATGAGTTGGTAGGTAGGTGATCTGGCTTACAACTGCGTTGAAGCTCCGAGTCCAAAGCCGGGTGCCTTCTCGTCTCGGAGCCTGCACCGAGGGATCCGGTTTCGATGTCTCCGTCCATAAGAACTGGTCTACTTATTGTACCTGATCTCTTGTGCATCAAGTAACGCAAAGACAGAATCCAGCCAGGATGTATTATGTTACAAGGCGAAGCACCCAACCGCTGCGGCCTACTTATAGTATACCAATTTCAGGGTAAACAGCAGCGTAGTACGAATAATACAAGCTGGGATGCTGCATGCTGCATGCAAGATCGCCAGTTAGCCAATAACACCAGTAAGGCTGCATCCCAACCGTCGTTCTCAAACACCACAGAGATGCACTCAAGCGCCGCATGCAACCAAGAGTAGTAGACTGCCTGGTCAGTATAAGAATCTCACGACGTTTCTCAATCACGAATACACCTTCCGAGTCTCCAGCATTGCACTGAATTCCCGTCCTGACAGCCTTCCGCATTAAGTCCATCACCTACTCGCTTTTACCCATCTGATCACAATCACATCTTCACAACCCCCATAGTTATCCCTGTCCATGGCAAACGAAACCAGTGGCACCGTCTACGTGCGCGTACAAATCCACATCGGGTCGCCGCCCGGGGTGCTCCTCCGATTTCCCAACATCGAACTGGCCCGGTATTACTACACCATGGTCCGACGTTCACGCAAACGCAACCAAGTGCGTCCGAGAGAACCGGGTAGTACCGGACACCGCAATGAAGACTGCCAGGTGCTGCTGAACCTGCCTTCTGATCTGGGCGAAGTCAAAATCGAAAGCAGCCGGTCTCTGCGGGGCCTCATGCTACGTTTCAAATCCCCAAGAGACGCCAAACTATGGGCCGACCCCATCTTCTTTAGGGTGCCCGGCAGGTCCCGAAGCTCGCTTTTCGTCAAGCAGTGTTGGCAGCCCAACGAGCTGGAGGCTGCTCTAAGACCTAGTACTGCTAGTACTAGTATCAGGGACAGGCCCAGGAGTCGGAGCCGAGAGCGGTCAGACGGACGACATACTAGTAGAAGGAGGAGTGATGGGGACGGGGAAAGGGACAGGGAGATTGGCAGGAGCCCGCCCAGACCAGAACACACGTGGTAGAGAGTTGGTGAATTAAGGAGACAAGGGATAATCGCTGCTCGGAATGGAAACTGAACGAGTATTATGTTACAATTCATGGCCGTATACAAGGATCGATCACGCCTCGCCACCTGCCGTGTTTATGTCTCCCTGCCAGGAATGGGGTTTCCTGTCATTGCAGTGATACCCGCAAGGTGTTGAATGGAAGTCGATCTTGGGACATAGGCCTCCGTTGTGTCTCCGTCGTGTGCATTTTCCACATGCAGGTTGTCCATTGTCATCTCTTATCATTTTCAGGGACTGCGGTTGAGTACCAAGCAGCTGTTTCTCAACCTGCTGACCATGATAACGTTCTCTTAACTTCTTGACGTGAGCAGCGGCCATTCTCTTAGCGGCGTACGATGTGAACCTTGAAGACAGTGATGTCGAAAACAGCAGCGTGATGGCTAGCGCCCAGGGCCATGAAGGCCATGAATTCATCAACTTCCTGGATCACGAGAACTGAAGCTCGAAAGGATTATGGCCGTGCCATGTAAGGTACAGTAAGTGGTGCGAGCTAAGTGATGCAGGAGCGGTGAACGTCGCACTTCAATATCGCAGCGTTAGCAGAGGTAGAGTACGTAGCGTGCGGAGGGGTCCACCTTCCTCATCTGTCTCATCGTGGGAAATATTACTAATACTAATGGGAGTCATACTTTGGAGATATTCTGGCTCGCCTGAAACCTCTTCTGCTAAACAGCTGGTAACTGGATTCATTATGTATTTTCCCTAAAGATACGGGCACCCACAGGGCCACAACTTGTCACCAGATTCTCTAATCCGTGCTGTTCCACGTGGGAATTATGATTTGAGGTCGCACCACATCAGGAACGGTAAAGTACATTCAAGGTAAGGTAACATAGCACTCAACCAATCGAGACATCGAGACCAAAACCATGGGGCACCCGACGATAGGTGGCACCAGCATTAGCAGCCACACCAACAGCGCAGACCCCCCCGCCGAAGCCGACTTCCTGCTACAAGCGTACACGCGCCTACGACAGGCCATCACCACCAACAACGCAGCCTCGCCCGACGGCAACTCCGTCCTGCCCTCGCATAAAGCCATCACGGCCTGCCTCAGCGCTCTGCCCTCCCCAGGCTCACCGTCCTATCTGTCACCACTTGGCCCGTCCTCAACGCTCACCCACCTCCTCGACACCGTGCTACCAGCGCTAAACCACCAGTCCCTCTCTCCGCGCTACCTGGGCTTCGTGACGGGCGGCGTGCTCCCCATAGCCGAGACAGCCGACAACCTGGTTTCCGCGCTCGACCAGAATGTCCAAGTCCACATGATCCCATCCTCCGCTTCCTCGCCTTGGACCCACTCCGCCAGCACAGCGATCGAGGACTCTGCCCTGCGCATGCTTATCAGCCTCTTGGAGCTTGACACAGCTCCTTCCGAAAGCGACGGCGACCCCAGCAACGCCTGGCCCGGCCGCACCTTCACGACGGGCGCCACGGCGAGCAACATCCTCGGGCTGGCCTGCGGCAGGGAGGCGGTCCTGGCCGCTCGGCTCCCCGCTGCGGAAGGGAGTACTCCCATTACTGCGTCAGTGGCCGAGGTCGGCTTGCTCGCGGCGTGCCAGGCCGCCGGGGTGAGGGAGATCAGGGTGCTCAGCAGCATGGCGCACTCGTCGCTGCTCAAGGCGGCGAGCGTCATTGGGCTAGGTCACAGGAGCGTCAAGGACGTGGGGCTGAGCGGGCAGGGGGAACCGTGGCGGCTGGACTTGGACGCCGTGGAGAAAGAGCTCAAGAGGGGTGCTGAGGACGGAGTGGCCCATGTGATTGTCGTCAGCGCAGGCGAGGTCAATACGGGACGGTTTGCCACCAGTTTGTTGGATATGCCTAAGTTGAGGAGTCTGGCGGATCGGTATGGCGCTTGGATCCATGTGGATGGAGGTGAGTCCTGTCTGCTCTTTCCTTCGCGTCGCATCCGGCGTGTTTAAGCTGCAATAATTGTTGCTGACGAGTGGTTTAGCCTTCGGCATCTTTGCCCGTGCATTGCCAAAGATAGACCAGTTCCTCAACCTGCACGCAAATGTCGCTGGGTTGGAACTGGCCGATAGTATCGCGGCCGACGGGCACAAACTGCTGAACGTGGTATGTCAATGACCTTCGCGGTGGTGTAGCCAGTGTTGCGTGTATTTTGCCCCTGTCTGATGATCCCTACAGCCATATGACAACGGCGTTTTCTTCTGCCGCAACGCATCCATCCTCACGCAGGTCTTCAGCAACCCCAATGCCGCATACCTCTCGTCCCCCGGGGACCCTACAGCCATCCTCAGCCCCCTAAACGTTGGCATTGAAAATTCCCGTCGTTTCCGTGCCCTTCCAGTATACGCAGCGCTCCTGAGCGAGGGCCGTGACGGTATCGCTGCCATGCTGAGTAGGATGGTCCTCTTGGCGCGCGAGATAGCTACCTTTGTGCGCGACTCTGACGACTATGAATGGCTACCGAGGGAAGATGAATCGCTGGAGAGCACATACATCGTTGTGCTGTTCCGAGCCAGGAACCCGTCTCTAAATGAGGTGTTGGTGGATCGGATTAACTCATCCGGGAAGATGTTTGTAAGTGGGACCAAGTGGGACGGCCAAAAAGCTGCGCGGATTGCCGTTGCGAACTGGCGGGTCGATGTAGAGAGGGATGCGATGGTTATCAAGGAGGTGTTGGCGGATGTTGCCAAGGGTCATTCGTAGCTTGCTGTCATGGAGAAAAAGCCACTGATACCCGAGAAGCGCAAGTCGTACCTGTCTGATCGCAGTGCCGTCGAGCAGGGGGATGACCCGTTCAACCAAAGCTTCCATTCCTCATTCATAGGCGTAGACGAGACACCGCCGACAGGCTTCTCGTTCGGTCCCCTCTCTCTAACCAAACTTCTTCGTCCCGCCCCTGAACGTCTGGCCCTCACCCTTCTTCCTACCCTTGCCGATCAGCTCCAGATGACCAGCCCGCTCGCCCAGCATCTGCTCCGTCTTGGCAACTAGTCCCGCCGTGTACTTCTTTTGGATTTTGTCGGCAGTGGTTTTTGGTCGCTTCGGTTTGCTGACGGCAGCTTTCTTCGCTTGCTGCTTTCCGCCGGATTTGCTGCCTTTCCCGCCTGGATTGGGCTTGGGCGCCTTTTTGATTGCGCCCTGTGCCATTTTTGTAAGAGGGACTAGCAAATGGTCGGGATGCTGGTGACGACGGGAAAATTCGAGAGAGATGGAGACTCGAGAGAAATCTGTACGGGGCAACGATATTTGGGGGACAATTCTGCCACCACTTACCGCCTAGTTAACGTTACCAGTGATACGGAGCTACCTAGGGGCTACAAAATGACAACATGGGATGTTGGGACATGCAAGAACGCTCCTTAGTCCTGACTATCTCATGGCAAATAGCTACCTAACGATCATCTCAACGCCGGCTTTGTTCGTGGATTTATACATCCAGTCCATTAGATTTTCAGCAATCCAGATCCAGATCCAGCCCTTCCCAAACGTGACTGGTGAACGACAATTCAGAAAAGCTGGTCATTCGCCCAGCCCAGGCTTCAAGCCAGACGAGCACATTTCAAGCGGCAAGTCCTTCCACCAAACGAGACCGTCGCCTTGCCAAGGTAGGTATCAAAGCAAAATCCCCTCCCCTTCCTCCTCGGCCATCCCCTCATCCTCGCTCCATTCCACCTCAGCAGCGGCCGCTTCCGCCTTTCGCTGCACCTCTGCCAGCCCGCTTAGCTCGGCAACATACTCCCGGCTGTTCAGAGCCCTCTTGACAAACTCCCAACCCTCGGACTTGTAGGCCGATAAAATCGGACCACTGCACGCGCTGCACTGCGGGTAAGACCTCCCGTGGATGACCATGTTCTGGAACGTGGACAGAAACCCCCGGATCTGGTGCGGTACGATGCCCAGGGCATGGTCGTGCGGGTCGCGCTCGTAGTTCTGCCCCGATGTGGCTACGGGGGCTGGCGCGTGCTGTTTCCGGGGGTGTTGCAGGATGCTTGTGAGCAGCTCCACGAGCAGCGCCGAGGCTATCGCCGCGACGCCCGGGCGTGTTACGGTGCACTGCTGATCGAGCGTCTGATCTTTCAGGGACTGGAGACTGGTTAGTGACATGTTTCGCTTCATGTCCTCAGATGATGGCAGCTTACATCGGCAGCGACGACAACGTCGTTGCAAAAGTAGCAGCCCAAAGTCTCTCCACTGCCGTTCTCTGGGGCTGCACCGTGCCGCATCACTACGTACGTGTCAAATCCGAGAGCCGCATTCATCACGATCTTGTTCTCGGCCTTGCCCATCAGGGTTGGCAGCCACCTCGACTCCCGCGTGTCCATCAGGAGAAAGATGGCATCATGTGAGGCAATCAACTCCTGTAACTTGGTGAAATCCGCCATCACTTTGGACTCGTCTAGCACAGGGTGGCCCAGCATCGGCACGGACAAGACGTGACCCTCCGCTTCAACTCCGGGGTAAATTTCCTTGAGCGCCTCGGCAGCGCGAAGTGCCTTGGATTTACCTCCGTTGAGGCAGTCGTCAAACTGAAATAGCGGCTGGCGGACAGGATTTGAGAACGATACGGCACCATAATCGACAAAAGTAATCTTCCGCACACCCCAACCCATCAGGTTCCTGGAGACGTAACTCCCCAGGGTGCCTGCACCGAGCAACAAACATTTCGTACCCTTGATAGTGTCGAGGTCGAGGTTTGGTGCAAGCCGCCATTTCATTAATTTAAGGTTTAGATCGACAGCCTGGTCGGCCAGCCGTGTGGGATCCACGTACTCGGCTAGGTTGGCCACTCGGGCTTTCAGTTTGCCGCTCGGATCTCTCTCCCAACCCGTCACGTTGGGCATTTTTGCTGGCTCCGTATTCTCAGCTGGCTCGACGGAGAGCGGAAGAACTATACTTCGCGCCTCATGCCTCCTCCCATGTGTGTCACGGTAACAGAGCACCTTAACCTTGTCTAGACGGTACCTTTGCCTGATCAGAACTAGGAGGTTCCGGAGTGGCCACGCCGGGGCATCCGGATAGTTGGAGGGATCGACAAAGGCGACATATCGGTCATCCTCGGCGGCATTGTTGAAGAAGCCCGTCTCAAAGTCTCTAAGGGCGCCAATTTCCCATCGATACCCAAGTTCCGTCGATGAATCGTCAAAGGGGCCCTTGGGCGATGCGTCGACGCCGCGTACCTTCTTCGCAAGAAAGAAGCCGTGCTCTTTCTCGTTGCTAATGGAGTACCGCCAGGTCCCTACCGCCTCAACGAGGGCCGTGCTCTCCTTGGAGTCAAGGTGTCCAATTTCTCCGGTTCGCTTCCAGGGCGGGTCAGAGTGAAGCGCAGGAAATGCGAAGCGGTAAATAAGCCGGTACTTCTTCAGATCTGCAAATGAGAGGATGGCGAACGACGAGAGGAGCGATGGTACTGAGTAGATCGTGCCGTCTAGAATCGCATCCCAAATCTGCCGAGCGTCAGAGGCGGAGCAACCACCGCAGGCTCACGTAACGTACCTGGCGACCAGCATCAGTGATCATGGCGTTCGTATCTGTGTTTTTGAACTCCTCAATGGTGTTGACGTTCTTGATGTACCCCTTTGCTCGACACATGCCGGTGGGCACGCTGCTCTGCTGGTTAGACGCTTCCTCGGGCCACGGCGGGGCTCGAACGGGAGCGACTCACTCCTTACTTGTGAGCGCATGACCTAGAATCTGCATCCTAGTGCTCGACTCTGGGCTGGCTTGGGCGTGAGGCTCATACAAGCCCAACACCGGACGCGCGGAATCGTCAAGCTTGTCATGGTCGAGCTTCGACGAGAATAGAGCCGTGTAAAAGGGCAGCTCTATCTCTGAGGAGAAGGGCACAAATTTGAGCGCCGACATTGCGGATAGACCTTGACTGCCTCACTGTTTGTGAGAACGAGCACGCCTAGACTTGCGAGTTGTCAATGCGTGTTAGTCGTTCCGAAGGGTTGTGGCTGAGGATTACTTCAAGGTTCCGGGTTTCGAGCAAAGGGAACTAAGCTCGCATTTATTCAGATTTACCGAATGGTGCCGGATGAGATGATGGCCAGGCGTTTGCAAAAATGCGGGTCCCAAAGAATACGGAATGATTTGATACTGAAGCCTGCGATTTGTGAACAATGAGGCAGCAACAGGTAATCAAATAGCTTGTAACAGCAAGGACCCGGAGGCAAGACTGCTCAAGGTTCTCCGAATACCTAGAGGTCTGGTCAGCTGTATTGTGTCATGCGTGCCAGGTGACTGAAGTGTGTCATCAGGCCACGGAGAAAAATATGGTTGTCATCAAACGCTGCAAGCAAGGCAGCTGCTCTGAACTCATAGGTAAGGTAAGGTAGCTTAGGTTCTATGGATACGGTAAGCCCGGGAGAGGATGACCTAGGTGGATGGGCTTCCCGCAGCCTCACTGCCCCGCACCTCATCTCGAGATCACGGCTTATCGGTAGATCCTATCTTGCAGGTGGCCTTGCAGATGCCCCGCCGGCTAATCTTCGGGTGTCTAATCTAGCACGCGACACGTAAATTGAATTTTTAAGGCCCGGGGGACGCGTTTTCCGTCCATTGCTAAAAGCGGGAACAGGTACGGGTTTCCGCTGAACTGGAAGCCGTGCTAGAAAACCAAACTAAATTCATTCCAAACGCCTAATTATTCCTGGGCGAACAACCCAGTGGTCTATTCAAAATGTTTATCGGCATTTGTGGCAGTAAACCTCCCCCAAAACCCACTCCCCAACACTTCTCACTCCATCTCTTTCTCGAGGCCACTATTTGACTTGAACAACTACCAGGCATCTGCGCTGGAAAGCACACTATTGCGCGCTACCTTGTTGAGCATCACGGTTTCACCCAAATCTATCTCAGCTCTGCTGGTAACACTGTAGATGGGTTACCCTCAAGCAATAGCAGCTTGAGCAACAGCCGGCAGCAGCGAGTCTTTTCCGCCCCCGATGAGCTCCTCGACTTCATCACCAAGCGCTGGCGCGAGAGATGGGTCACCACCGACATCCCCAACGAGGAGATCCTCGACATGTACATGCGTCGGCCCTTTTTCCTGCTCATCAGCGTGGACGCGCCCTTGACAGTCCGCTGGGATCGCTTCCAGAGGCGACAGTCACTGCAGCGCTCGGCACCGGCAGGGGCTGCAAAACCACCAGCAGCAGCAGCCACCCCTAATTCCTCTTCCACACCCACAACGGACTCCGATTCAAGCAGTAGCGCCATCACCACGCTCGACTCCTTCGTCATCCTCTCGGACAAGCATCTCTACGACCCGGTGACGGGGCACAACCCGCTCATGTCGCGGGCGGCGGTTCGGCTGCTCAACACGTCGTCGGACCTGGCGCACCTTTACGCGACGCTGGGGAAACTGGACCTGCTCAACGCGGACCGGCTGCGGCCCTCGTGGGACTCGTACTTCATGGCGCTCGCGTCGCTGGCCGCGCAGCGGAGCAACTGCATGAAGCGGCGGGTGGGGTGCGTCGTGGTGCGCGACAAGCGCGTCGTCAGCACGGGCTACAACGGCACCCCGCGGGGGATGCGCAACTGCGGCGAGGGCGGCTGCGCCCGCTGCAACGCCGGCCAGGGCTCGGGACACGGTCTGACCACCTGCCTGTGCATCCACGCCGAGGAGAACGCCCTCCTCGAGGCCGGCCGCGAAAGGGTCCGCGAGGGCGCCGTGCTGTACTGCGACACCTGCCCGTGCTTGACTTGCAGTATCAAGATTGTGCAAGTGGGTATCAGCGAGGTTGTGTATAGTCAGGGGTATAGCATGGATGGAGAGACGGCCGCGGTGTTTAGGGAGGCTGGGGTGAAGTTGAGGCAGTTCGTCCCGGTGAGTAACCTTCTCTTGCCCGCTTCTTTCTTGCTCGCGCTCGTCCTGTCGCTGACGTATAACCCCTACACAGCCTGCGAATGGCCTAATTCACCTCGAAAAACCCGATATGTATAGCTAAGCCTCCAAAATCCGGTCAGCATCTGGAGCTTAGGGCCTAAATCTGGCACGCACTCCGCCCGGTTTCATAGTTATGAGCGATTTCTGTTCAAGCAGGAATACTCCATGTGACCGACCATCTCTAGCTGGAGTGACAGTCTCGAGTACAACGCGGCAATAGTAAATCCTGCTAGATCTTCGCTGATTCTGCGTTTCGTGCCAACTGAGAATAGACGCTTTCCGGATTTCAGCTAGTCCGGATGTGTGGCAAGGCCAAAGGCATGTTTACGTCCCTACTCAGACTTACCCCATGGTTAGCCGAGGGATGAGATTCTGCGTGAAGCATTCGGCAGTTTTGACACGCGTAAGGAGAATCATGTAGTGCCAGAAAGAATTGAGAGACGTTCTCAATCCCTGCCACCTCGAGATCCTTTGAAACCGTAAACAACACCTGCCCGCAATTGTGTCAACCTGCTTTCTCTGAGACCCTGACAGCACCAGCCACTGGCGGCTGGCCACGGGGGATTGTTCATGCAGCAACCCTAGGCAGCAGCATGAAAAGTGCATGGCGTTTCACGGCTCTGGTTGATCCTGACGCCCGGCCGCTCTGATATCGTCCAAGACAGCCAAGTCGCCAGATCATGTGAGCTGCAGCAGTTGCAAAGAGCAACGCAACGCAGAGGCAACTCAAAAGTTGTTCACTGTAAAGGTATCAAGTAGAATTAAGAGAGAATATACTAAAAGATGAACTGCCAAGATTGCCTGTGAAGTTGCGCTCCAACATGACATAAACATAGCGCACCGTATGTAATCATGGCCAGCCCGCTAAGGTTCGGTGAAGAGGTTCAATGTCGACGGAACAGCAGCGGCTCCTCCGTTTCAATCTGGCCCTCTTTCACGATCCTTGAACATCCAGCCCTTCAAGGCCTGGATACCGGAGCAACAAGATGGATCATGGTGTCACCGTGGCGCCGAGTTGCGAAACAGATCTGTAGGGTAATGCCGCAGACCATTCGATCGATCCGGATGACAACCGGCCCCTTCTCACTTCGAGCTCTCGTCGTCCGCGAGCTACTCCCAGGTCAAGCAGGTCGAGAAACCAGCCAACTAAGTCTCCACACCTTCTCCTCCATCACCCGAGTCATTACTTCATTCCTCGTCCCCGCGCTGCCAATTCCGCTGTCTTTCCGTTTCCCCAACTTTCCGAAAGAAAGACGGCGAGGGATTAAGTCCGGCTTATACGTGCTGTTGGGCGCGCTTTTCCCTGCGGGCGGCAAGCTTCTTGTGGATGAAGAGGGCTATGAGACCGACGGCGACAACGAAGGTGATGCAGAAGACGACAATCACACCAGCTTCTTCTTGGGCCCAGTTTCGCTTGGCGATTCGGGAGAAGGTGTCGCGGGCGACGACGGTTGCGCTGATAGCAGGCATTTTGGGCGAGATTAGAGTATACTAAGGGCTAGGCATTAGCTGGCGTTTTGCTGTGTATTTTGGCAATTGAAACAAATTGGCGCAATTGGAAGCTTCGCATAGCCGCAAGCTGGGCGTGTCAGGGTCTACGGCCTGATGTGTGTCGCAGGAGTCAGAGCTCAATCGCGGAAGAGCTGAGCGTTTTGTAGCTCGCCGTTTTATCGCACGTCACAGCGAGCTCGTGGAACTCTTGGCATCCGTCATGGAGCTGAAACATCGGACCCTGCAGCGAGACTAAAACTGCCCTTGAGGACCTCGGAGGCTCGACTTTGGAGGAGAGTATGGCCCAGGTGCTTCGGCCTGCCAATTGACTGTATGAAATGCGCTTACAGTTTGGTGTTGGGCGTGAGTTGCGGATTACAAGAAGACCAGGGAGGTGGAGAGACCGAAGGCTCCGCTAGTCCGCTAGAGGTGTGTCGTCGAAGGGTCTTTGAGGGCGAGAGGTTTGAGAGGGTGAACAACACAAGACGTGGCTGCGATTGAACGACGACGAGCCAATTGGGTGATCAGCGGGCCTGGCGGTCTCCTATCGAGCGAATAAGTCGAGTGAGGTTGAGGAGGGAAGGGGAGCAGAGATCGAAATCGAGGTGGGAATGGAGGAAACAAAAGACTGCCGGTGGGTCCAAAACGGCCAAACATAAAAAGCTTGGCTCGGCGTGGAGACATGGCAAAGACAGCCAATGCGCGAATTTCCAACCCGGCCTGTGCCAATGCTGCCCTACAATATAAGTGCGGAGAAGGCCCGACCGGGTTCCATGGGTGCCGACATCTCTCGCCATGGACGCACACGATTCATCAACCTTCACTTTCGATTTCTTCCGCATGGCAGCTCCATACACATCACGGCTATTGCCGATGCAAGAATCCACCGACAGGCGAGACCTGTAACTCACCGTTGTCTGATCTGGAAGCCCATCGCCAAAGGTGCAATACTTTTACTTTACCTAGTGTACAGTACAATCCAATACATTTCAGGTTCCATTATCAAGTCGCGCTGATCCGCGTGGCTGGAGACAGATGATCCTTCGCCCGGATTGGCAGCGAGATTGGAGTGGGGGTTCTTGATTTTGTGATCGCTTAGTTGCTACAGTGGAGCATGCTGGCTGTGCGCTTGGCTAACTCGTTAAATATTGTAGGTCTCTGTGAGATGACAACGACTGATCAACAAGAGTTCCCGCTACGAAATCCTAGGTAGCATCTCGCGCTTCGCACTTTGCCATGCCCGCGGCTGTCTGCCGAGGCTGTACTCGGCCGATATGTGTATGAGGCCTGAGATATATTAAGGCAAGACTTCTGCTCCTTGCCGCCGGGGACAACACAGATTCAAAGTGTCTCACATACATACAACCTGTGTCCTGGACTCCTGATGGTCTCAAGTGTAACTATGCCGCGCACAGCCACTACCAAAGACCGTACCTACTCTGTGGTGTATCGTACAATACGGAGGTACAGACATGACAGCTGTGTAAAAGGCTGGGGCGCTGGGCGGGCTGGCTCAATCCTCTACCCGTGTCCTGATGCGACAGCAACAATGTTGTGGCAACACATAATTTCTCACTCTCCGCGATATTTCCGTCCTCTGCTCTGTGTAATCGCCATTCCGTAGGCCGAGCTTCCGAAGGTCCCGTCATGACATATGTGGGGCCCGCCATCCGCTACAAGGGAGAGCCCGATTCAGCCCGAGAGGCACCGAGGCGGCGAAACCAGTGAGAGTTAGGGCCGTCAAAGATTGAGCTCCGCTCATGATGGACCGTATGGGCATTCTAGCTTTTGATTACTGGCGGTTACACTCTTCACAATACATCAAATGGTAGGTAGAAGCCGAAACCCCTGAAAACCCCGGGGTACTGCGAGGCGGCAGCACAAAAACAACCAGAAAAGGAACCCATAGAGCGTAAGGCTTGTCTTAATCAGGGGTCGATGTCAACTGAACGCACAAGGGACAGTACACCGCAGCTTCAGCACGAAGCAGATTTATTTAGCGCTTCCCCTCAGCTATCCTCGACATACGAGTAATCAAGATGCCACAACAAACCAAGCTCAGCTCCATCAAACAAGACCCAAGGCTCTGGTTCAAGTAGAAGCGATCATGCTCAGCACGTGATCGGCGCCGGTCCAGGGGGCGTGTACGGCTTCCCACCCATGTCAGGCGCGCCTTGCGGTCCGTAGATGTTGACCGAGATGCCGGGATCGCTGGCCTTGTACGCACCGGGAAAGCTGACGGTCTGCGAAGGGGTGAATGAGCCGGAGCCTGAGACGTTAATCTGGGCGCACGACTGGTAGAACTGTGCCTGGTTCGGCCGATTGGCCGAGTGGAGAGCCAGAACCTCCACTCGCAGGAGATATTGACCCGGAGCAATGCATTGAGGCATGTTGAAGTACACCCAGCCTTGGTTGCTGATCATGTTATCAACGCCCCATTTGCGGCTGCCCGTGTCGAACCCGTCTTGCCAGATCTTGAACCTGTCAAACTTGTTAGTCTCTTGATCAGGCTAGCCCACCTTGAAGGAGAACAAGCAACGGCATCAGCCACATACCACTTCAGACCATTCAGGCTCGCCGTCGCGGCATTGTCAACCTTGGCCAAGTAGGCCATCACGGGGCCCTTGTGCGACTTGGCAATCGGGTGGTCCGGGTCGTTGGCAAACTGAGCGCCTCCAATGACGTGTCCCCAATACGAGCCGATCCTGTCACCAGCAGCGACATTGATGACAGTATTCGACTTCGTCCCCGACTGGCCGCAAATCATGTTTTGGCTGTTGACATCCTGTACCGGGTTGTTGTTGTTGGGGGCTCGGATGCCGGTGAGTTGGCCTTGATCCTTGCCGTTGACGGACACTTTCTGCAGTGTATGTTAGTGGTTGCCCTCCCCGGCCAGAGTCAAAGAGCTTGACAAACCTGGAAGATGGCATGCCCTTCAACTGACAGGGCGCAAGCCAAGGCGGTTACCAGAGAGAACTTCATGGTGGCTGATTGTGCTTCGGGTCACGTCACAGATGATCGTGTTCCTTGCGGCTATACAACAGGACTAGCAGATCCATCTCTCAATGTTCCTGGCCCAGTATTTATATAGGGGCGCCCAGTCATGGACGGTTGCATCAGCAGCAGTTCCATACCCGGGCATCGCTTGATGAATCCGACTATTGTCCCGAGAGAGGCACCGAGTTGAATGTCCCGGACAAGTTGATGCCGACATGCTATATTGTGAGTGACGGCATCCCTGATCCTGTGGGCGACTGTGACAAATGGCAGTCTGCGGGCTAGAGTACCGAATGGTAAACTGCGGGCCAGAAAGTCGTATATGGCGGGGCCCCGGACTACCAGGACGAAGGCAATATATTCAGATAAACTGGGGTTATATTGCGTGTGGGTTATGCGGGATGGGTTGGACAACTGCCAGCGCCAGGACTCGCCAACAGCAATGCCGTTCGCTTCCGTCGTCAGTCGGATTCACTTTAGGCAGTATCCCGCTTCAGTCATGGGGACTGCACAAAAACCAGGGACGGCTCGTCTGCTTAGCGAACTCCAAATCAGGACAGATACGGAAGGTCTCCCATTTGAGCCGGGCGACAAATGGAAGCCGGCAGCTATTGATGTCGATCCGATCTCAGATGTTATGCAACACCGTTGACCAGATCCGTAGGGCATCGCGAGTGGTAGGTAGGAACCCAACCCTCGGAACACTGGCCGAGGAATCGAGCGGCCTCCAGAAGCCGGGATTCATGGACGATAAGCGAAAGGAACATGACGAAAACCCGGAACTGAGGGAAATGCATGACACCCTAAGGTATGGTGGTTTGAGAAAAGGGGCGCTTTGGGACTACCTTAGCCTTCGACTTAAGTTCGCAATGTTGTCCGTGAGACATGGTTAATGCCACTCTGAACGGAGGGAAAACCTTGGTATTTGCAAATGTGCGATTTGCACCTCTCCTAGATAGCAGAACGGAAAGGATGTACAGAGGCGTTCGCCAATTTGCCTGTAAGCCAGGGACATCATCGCAATTCCATCTTGATGTTTGGTTGTCTTGATGCTGAGAGGTGATTAACCTTGAACACAGTTGGTCGAAGGCTCAAAGCCCCAGGAGAAATGGTGCTATGCGCTTACCGATGTAATTGGCAAATTGCATGTGGGCTAGTAGTGCTCGGATAACCGAATAACCTAGCTAATCAGCACGCGGCTGACCAATCAAAATGCATCATTTGTCAGAGCTCCAGAACTGATGTTACCGTACGGTACGTCCCGAACATCAATCGCGACAAGAAGTTACAGAACCGATCTCGACAGCGCCCACACGGCAAGCAATTGCGACACCACAGCCAATTGACTCTGCCATTGCTCACATAACCGTAGCCATGGCGAGCAAGCTGACTCCATTCCTCATGCGGACCGCCATCCGGTCCGCGAGCCGCACATCACGGCCGCCGCTGTCGGCCCAAATCCGCTCGATTTCCATTTCGCCGAGGAAACAGAGCGATGCCCTCATGGTGGTGAGTTGCGCCTTCGGTCGCTGAAGGATGAGAGGCGGTTAGATTGACTTGTATACCCCTCCCGAAAAGCATCGCAACACACCCGACAACAACCCCGACATTCCTTTCAAGTTCACCGAACAGAACGAGGCGATTATCGCCGAGATCCTCAAGCGCTACCCTCCACAGTACAAGAAGGCGGCGGTAATGCCCCTGCTCGACCTGGGCCAACGGCAGCATGGCTTCACCAGCATCAGCGTCATGAACGAAGTGGCGAGGATCCTTGAGATGCCCCCAATGCGTGTGTACGAGGTGGCCTCCTTCTACACCATGTACAACCGGACACCAGTGGGCAAGTTCCACGTCCAGCTTTGCACAACGGTACAGTTTCCCACCAAGCGTCCTGCGAGGCTCCGTCACTGATTAGTGTCTACACAGACACCCTGCCAGCTCGGCGGCTGCGGCAGTGATGCCATCGTGAAGGCCATCAAGGAACACCTGGGCATCAAGCAGGGCGAGACGACGCCCGACGGGCTCTTCACCTTCATCGAGGTCGAGTGCCTGGGAGCCTGCGTCAACGCGCCAATGGTGCAGATCAACGACGACTACTACGAGGATCTGACGCCCGAGAGCATCAAGTCGCTCCTGACGGCTTTGAAGGAGAGCGTGATGGATGTGAGCAAGGCCGACAAGGTGCCCAAGCCTGGCCCGCTGAGCGGGAGGCACACATGCGAGAACAGCGCCGGCATTACAAGCTTGACGAGCGAGCCGTGGGGTATTGAGAAGACAAGAGAGGATCTGTAGACTAACGACATATATAGGGAGGCGATGAGGGAGGTATTGTACAAATCAACAGAGAACGATCTGGGCATTGTGCTCAATATTGGGCTATCTGGGACCGCAAACAAAAGCATGCTTGATAGACTACGCAAAGTTCACTCATTATGGATCAATGCATACAGGCTCAAGTCTTGTCTTGTACCTTGGATTGCCCTCGACATATTACAACTAAACCAATTTCATTTCAAACACTAACCAAAAAGCCTCCCACGCCGCATATCCACGCTACCAACTCTCTGATTTCGATGATCCTCCATCACACAAGCTCAATACCGGTCGTAATGGCCTAGCTAGCCTCAACTTGTCAGCCCAACCTCAGAATCCAGCCATCCCCGAGCCGCTGGTTCCCCTCCGCCAGCCCACCCCAGATCACAATCCCGTTCTCCTCCAAATCTCCCATGGGCGAGGTAGCAATCCACCCCCTCGGCCCAGGCCCCTCAGCGGAAGCATCGTCCTCGTCGTCATGCGGGCCCATCTCAACCTTGTACCACCGACCCTCGCCGCTCTTCCTCCCCACAACCGAGAACACGGTATCTGCCACGCTCGCCGCCGACATGCCCTGGGCGGGGACCTGGAAAGCCCAAACGTCATCCCAAAACTTGCCCGCCGCGGCATGCCCCGCACCCGAGGCCTCCCGCTCGCCAAACATAAGCACGAGGTACTCCCTGCCGCCGCCGACCGTGACGGCCTCAAAGCCAGCGACGCTCCTGTTGCCAGGCCACTCGTCCTCCGGGTGCTCACGGTCCAGCACAGGCCTAGCCGCCTCGTCTACCTCCTTGTACCCGACATTCTCCTTGCCCTGAACCAGACTCTGCCACCCCCCGCCACGGGCGCACAGGACTACCTCGCCAGCCGAGAACTTATCATCAAAACTATCCACCCCGAGCTCAAGGAAATCGAGCTGCCCTCCTTCCTGGTACTGCCCGTTGAACCCGCCGAAACGGTACAGCCGGCTGCGGCCCAGCGCCAGGGCGGTGCCGCCCCGGGCCGCGCCGGGCGCGTCGGGGAGCCGCTGCCACACGCGCGAGCGCACGTCAAACGCCCAGACATCGGCCGTCCGGCTCGGCGTGCCGGCCACGCACCCGCCGTGGATGATGAAGGTGCCGTACCCTTCGGCGTCTGATTCCCGGTCTGTCGCGCGCTCCGCCACGACGCCCACCACGGGCCGCTGCGGGATGCCCCGCTCCTCCATCTGCTCGGCGTCGCTGCCTAGGGCCCAGTCACGCCATGATTCGGCAGCGGACTGGTGATGTTGATGATGGTGATGAGCGGGCGCCGCTTTGTTGAAGGTGTCCGGCTTGGGCGTGGCCACGGCCGAGTGATAGCTGCGCGGAGGCGGGACGGGAACGGAGGAGGTGGCAGTACCCGACGCGGCCGGGGCAGGGTCAAGATAGGACCAGAGATGGGTGCGCGTGTCAAAGACCCAGACCCGGCCGCCCTCGTCCAGGGGGGTCATGTCCGGACCGCCGCGGCCGCCAAAGAGGAAGATGCGGTGGCCTATGACCGCCGTCGCATGGCCGACCCTCGGAGAGGGGACGTCAGGCAAATCCGGAGTTGCGGGGCCTTTGCCCTTGTTGAGGGTCGGGGAGGGCGTGGTGAGCGAGATGTCGGAGAGCTGTTTGTCGTCGCCGCCCTCTGCAGCAGCAGCAGCAGCAGCAGCAGCATCTGGTGTCGGCGCGCCCTCTCCCACGACAGGAGCGGCGTGTTTCTCGGATGAGGACCTCGCCGGCTTGGCCTTGATGGTGTAATAGTCTGCCTGGGCACCGCTGGAGGGGAGCGTCACGCAGTGCATGTCGTTGTCGACGGGTTCGCGAGGCTTGATTTCGCCGCCGAAAATATAGACGGTCCCCGCGACAATGTCTACCGAGTGCGAGGATCGGGGGAGCGGTGGGACTTGGATCTTCTCCCACGTTCCCTTCATGCCGTGGCTGCCGGAGCCGGCCAGTGACGGGAGAGAATGTGGCAGGGAGTTCATGATCTCGGCCGTGCGACGCCTGAGGAGTTTGAATGATTCCATCATGGACGAGTCCTTGGGCCGTCTGACTACAGAGCAATTGGGGAGGAGCGGTATTTTCTTTCTGCCAGACGTTGAGTTGGACTTGATGAGGATGGCTTCACCCGTTGTGATTGCCCCGCAGCGCAGATGTCTCGAGACAACGTAAATGTCAATTGATGAGATGCTCCAAGTAGCCCAGCTGTCGGGTCAAAGTAAAGACACTGTCTCGCTCGGCCGCATCGCAGAATAGTAGTGTACAGTTCAGAATGTATACAGCCCGGTGAAAGGCAGGGCTGTGCTGAGGCAGGGAATCCGTGAATCCTCAGTCGTCTCTCACGCTCAGCTTTGTTGCGTCACAGGTGGGGTCGACTCCCCCGCATCCATTGTCTTGTAGGGCACCCTGATGGCTGGCTCGTATCAGGCCACCGCAGGTACGGTAGCTCGAGGCCTCGAGCAGGTGCAGTAAGTAAGGTACAGTACTTGATGTACAGTACATACGCTTTCTCGCGCTTATTCGTGATGCTACCTTTGTTCGCATTAGTCATTGAAACTCTGCTCATAACGTTATCCTATCTTGCGAATATCCACTGGAATTGAGCAAAACCGAAAGACAGAACTCCGCGCGGGATATTTCATGTACCGCCCATACCTAGTGCCGTTCAACCCTATCCCATCCCCTGCCTGTGCAGTTTAAACCAGTGTAAACGCCGAACTCGTGCCCTCAAACGCCTCTATATTCCCTCCCAAGCTCTTTGCGTCGCCATAATACCGGATCCGATACACGCCCCGCTCAGCCCAGTCCTCCGTCTCCCAGACAATCTCAACTTCGCTAGTCCCCATGATCTCGTTTGTCCGCCACCAGTTGAACACCAAAGACCAATCCTCATCGCTTCTCACCTGCGTCCAATTCTGTTCCTTCCCGTTTAGTAGGCTCAACTGCTCCACCGCGGCAAACGTCCCCTCAAGCCGTAGATTGTTCCTCGGATTGGCCCCAACAAACACGGCATTCACCTTCTCCCCCCGGCGATAGACCCCGTTCACGTCCAGGAGCACATCACCAAAGTGTGTGAAGAGCGGTGTCCCGTCCCGCACTACGGCCGGGATGAACGAAAGCGACCGGTTTGAGTTGTCCGGGGGGAACAGTCCCTTGTCCTCGTGCGAAGGGGGAGGTGCGGCGCTAGCGCCCAGATAGTTCAGATTTGACAGCGTCACGTTTATGTATGCCGCCAGCGTGTGTGGACCGTACAAGGTGGAGGCGCCTTCGTAGCGCTGGATTGCGTATTCTTCCTCAGTGGTGATGTAGTGCGTGTAGCTGTTCGCAGGGCCGCCAAGGACCACAACCGGGGAGGAGAACGGAAGAGCAGGTACCGTCTCCTGCTGGAAAAGGGCCGCCGAAGCGTGTGCCACGGCTTCCTTCCACCGTCGACCGGCCATAGTGGTGGCTTCACCCGGACTGACGATAATCACCAGCTGCCCAACACGAAACACCTGCACGTCGACGATGTTGGGCGTCCATTGGTATGGCTTATACATTTCACCGACGTCCATAAGGATAGGCTTAGGGCTGTGGCATGCTCGTTGTTCAGCGGAAGGCTCCTTTAGAAAGTGTGACACGACTCTCCATACGGGTGACGTGGTGTTTTCGTTGCCCGAGTGCTGTGTGAAGTCGAATGCCCCAGGACCGTCGGACGTTCCAGCGGCGAATGAATACCCGAGTGCCGCCGTGCATGTGTGAGCCTCAGAGCCGTTCGGGAGAAGGAATGAGAAGCTGGACATGTTGTGGAAGGTGTGGAAAAATTTGACTGATGGCCCACGAACGGGGCTCCCTTCTTCAGCGAGACGGTCATAGATGTTCCAGGCCGCCTCAAACTGGCGTCTCCCAATCTCGAAGCACGAGCTTGCTCCGTTGTCTTTGACTCTGAACAATGGGCCTCTGGCATGACAGTGTTGTGATCGACCGTCGCTGCAGGTGCTGTTCTCGAAGCTGCACATTGCCCCTGACCCATCCTCGCACCATGCCCCCAGGACATTTGGGCTTGTATCGCCGACGTTGGCTTGCGAGAACCCGGCCACGAAATCCTCGGCTGCTGTAGCCTCGCCACGAACGCTCTTCTCGAACAGATAGGCCGCAACGCCCTTGTTATCGCCAGCAATAAGCGTGTTGTTGCCCAGTAGCGAAGTCCCGTGGGTAGGAAACCAAGTCAAAACACCAATGTTCTTGCCGTCTGAAGCTCGCTGGAACTTGAGCAGTGTCATGTCCTTCTCAACGGAGCCATCGTCTTCACTGCTGACGTTGTATTTGGCGCGTTCGTGTTCTGGGTTGGCGAGGTACGCGAACAAACTGCGATTGATGTTGGCACCGTGGACCTTGGTGGTACCAATGCTCAGATATCCTGGCTGCAGGGTCTCGTGAGCCCGGCGGATGGACAGAACTGCGCCATCAATGATCGCGCGGTATCCTTGACGGTCGAACCCTTTGCTGGTAATTTGAGGCAGTAGATAGTTCAGCCAACCTGCCGGCCCAGCATGCGAGTGGGTGCCAGTCACGGCAACGTTGTGTTGGCTGTAGACATGGTAGGACGGACCGAGCTCCTTGAGGCCGTTGAGGATCCCATATCGAATAGCCGTGTCGCCTGACTGCGTATCGAGCACCAAGTAGACAAACCTCTCCTCGGGCCGGTCGACGCTCCCCACAATGAAGGCCCGCGAATAGAGGCGCTGGCGTAAACCACTGCCGACTTGCTTGGGGTCTGCATAACCCATCAGGTTGACTTCAACCACGGGACCCGTGATGTCGGCTTTTCCAACCCCGATTAGATAGCGGTCCCCGTGCATCTGAGTCTCGCCGAATTGTCCAGCTACATCAAACCATGGAGGCGACCACCGCATTGAACCCTCCGGTAGGAATGACCGCAGAACCAGAGCAGTGACGAGGACCGAAGCCAGAAACAAACAAAAATATGCACCAAGTTGGCGATATAGCCCTAGCCAGAGAGACGGCTCTCGGCGGACTGTTTGGCGGCGTCGACTCGTGTCCGGGCATGTTTGAGGATCCTGGTAAAGAGGCTTCTGGTCGAACTCTCTATTGTCCTTGGTATCCATCCCAGGGTCGGAGCTCCGTGCAACGAAGAACTTGGGTCGCCGAGTATCGCGGATCGATCAGCCAAGAGTCAACATGAATGCATCTCACCCAGCATCATTGAGAATTCCGCTATCAAGATGCATGAGCAGAGCAAGAAGCACCATTCACGATGAAGTCGAGATCGAAGACAGCTGGTTGTCAAACATTGTAGGCGTGGCAATGGCCTTGGCAATCGTCATTGTCCGCATTCCTTTAGGGAACGGATGGGAAAGGCTCCGATTTGTCTAAATAGGGCCATGTAAATTACGTTTTGTAATTACCGGTCCCGCTACCAGCGCCTAACGGTGCCAAGCATTTGGTCTCAACACAATCGATAGGAGTAACGACTCCATTCCGTCAATACAAAGTAGATAGGGTCTCGCAATGGGGCATGAGGGTGAAATGGGGCAACCTTGGGGAAATCGCAGCTAATCTGTACGTGCCCTCAGGCAGAATATCAGATCCCCCATTTTAGTTCCTGAGCGCCGTCTCTCTTAGTCGCCGGCCCGCGTCATACTCTCGAGTCTTTAGTCTTCTCCTTACAACCGTGGCCATTCCACCCTCATAACACAACCGCTTCATCCACCCCCGGCCTCTCTCTAACTCAGCTTCAAACCCAGCCCTGCTTTAAAACCGCAGGACCCTCCGCAACGCCATGCCAATAAATAATTAACCGCGGCTCTGTTTTATCCCCTTAACCCCGCTGGCCCGGACTCCTCGTGCCACCACATCTTGAAAAGCCTCAACCGCTCCGCCCGGCGCTTAGCCACCTCCTTCCCCACGCGGGTCTTCATCATGCCCTCCAGCTTCAGCAGCTTGTCGTCGACATGCATCATGGTCTCGCCCATGCTGCGGTCCGTCTTGGCGCCGCCAAACGTGAACATGCGGCCGATGCCCACCGCGCCGATCGCGTCCAGCCTGTCGGCGTCCTGGACGACGGCCAGCTCGGCGAATTCCTCGATGAGGGAGGCCACCTTGGCCGGGTCGCGGGTTTCGCTCGTGTAGCTGACCCCGGAGCAGATCTTCTGGATGTCCTCGGCGAGCTTGGCCGGGCAGTCTTGGGACAGGAGGACCGACTGGATCAGGGTAGACGGGTCCTGCCCCGGGAGGAGATACCTTGAACAAGAGTAAGTTGAAGGGCGGAGGTAGGAGGTCTCAGAGTGGATTGGTGGTCCTTTTCTCGACATCAACAACTTCGGGGACGGGAATGACTGACTTGCGGTCGCCCACGTCGTGCAGCAGAGCAGCGAGGTGAATTGTGCGTAGGTCAAGCGTCGACCTGAATGTGTCGTCCGACTCATCGTAGATACGGTGTGCCATGTTCACCACGCGCTCAATATCTGATCAACAATGTCAGTGTTATGATTCCTTCTCGGGGGAGTTTTGACGCAGTAGAGGCTCTATGGAAACTTTGTTCTAATTATACTGTACATACGGTCCCAGCTGTGTGAGGCATCATAGGCTTTCATGTAGTCCCTTACATAGGCAGTAATTGACCGGACAAGTGCATCATCTGGGAACGAGTTTATAGCGTTGACACGCATTGCTGCGGTTTGCTCTTCAGAGGCCGAGAGCATCACACTAAAAACGGATATGTGTTGACTGATTTGGTATTGTATTCAGGTACTAGAGTACCAGTAACTCCCGTCCTGAGTGAAGGTGTTCGTAGTGAGAGTTGAGACGAGTTGCTGTTGAACACAAGCTCGGCACTAAAATTGTGGGTACTGTACAGATGTGGAACAGGACCGTAATGCTAGATGCTTGTTCCTTCTGTCAATATAGTTGGCAACCTCACTTACCGGCACCACAACGTAGGTCCAAGAGGGATCGGATGAACCGAATCATCCCTATGAACATATAGGATGACCGTTGATCGGCGGGGTTGCGCTTCATAGCCGCTGCCGCGGTTCCGAGCCTTTGGGAGCTCATCAAGTCCTCGGCTTCACCTTGGGCACCTAGAGGTCCAAGGCAGGGAACGAATTGTGAATTCGTGACAACCCTTGCGGACGGACTTCGGAGCGGCAGAAGGCTGGCTCGGCTGCGCTACAAACGCGGAAGGTGGAATCGCGGCGGCTATTTTGCGCACTGGCAGAGGGGCCACGAGCAAAGCTGGCCATTGAGATGGCAGGGCAGCCGAGGTGGACTTTGTTCAACGCATGTCCATGTCACATAAGCAAGGGACACCCCGACAACTATTCCCTCATCTCGATATCGCAGCATCCCGAGTGTGATATTAGTGCCTCCTCACATACAGCATACCCGCCGACTAAGCTGATTGCTGCATGCACTAGGCTGCCTCTAGCATACTGCAGCTCCGCAGTTCCGGACTAGGAACAGTTGGAAGGCTGACTGATCGAGACTGGCATAGTGGCAACACAAGGTGAGCTGGTGAGGACTGAGGAGCCTCCCAGAGTGAGCGAGGTTCGTCATGCTGGCCCAGCTGAAGCAGTCCTGTCCGCTGGTGATGCAAGATGAGATTTGACTGACACCGGGTCCTCGCCCAGACATTCTCGATGGTGGAGAGGTCAGCCGGCAACGGGAAAGTGGTTATGCTTGGCCGACGAACATTCCACGGGCATGTCCCTCCGCCGAGGCAGAATGCTCTGATGCACCGTTGCGGCGCATCTCTCCGATGTAGCTCTCGGATTCCCGGAGCACATTCGACTCGCAAGATCGCCTACCGTAGCATCGACTGGTCCACTTGACCGGTTTACCTGCAATCGCAAACTATTGATCACTGCGCGGCTATCTTTCCCTACATCATAGAGTTCATTTAGTGCGTTACTCGGGACAGTGGAGGCTACGACCTAAGCTGCTAGTGGTCGGAGTCTCCCACGTTTTCAGGAATCATATGGCATGGCTGAAACCTCTCGAAAGGGCGTTGTCTGACTTGTCGATGGGTTGATGCCCCCATTTTCCCAGGTTGCTCCGATGGCTTGGGTCGGACCAGACTTCTTCTTGTGCAGCATGAGGTCGGTGGAAGTGGCCTGGGAAACCTGAAGGGAGCCTTCAATTATTGGGGGGGTTGCTGGCCGCCTGCATGAGCTGTTGTGTGATGGAAGTTGCAAGAGGTGCACCTGCTCTCTTGACGCAAAATAGAGCAGACGTTCTGTGATTGGGTGGAGACGGCAGGGATTTAGACGCCCAACTAGGCCCAATCCTGCCTAGCGCTGTGATCACCCACCTCCCTGTCGAGCCTCCGGATTAGGTCAACTGCGGGGGTAGCTTCCCGATTTCTCAGTGTTGATATCGGGTCAGGTCCCGTCCACGCATTCATGCAACCTTGGAGTCAGGCTTTTCCCGATCGCACCCCGCTTCTTAACCGCCCATATTGCAGTGAGTGCTGCATATTGCCTACACAGTAGTGCTGGGAAGACTGCTCCTTCCAGGCGTGATAGGGCAGAGCAAGGGACCGACATGCTCGGAACCTTGAAGGAAGCCTCTGCTCGGTAACATTGACTGCAATGTCGACAGAGCACCATATGCAGCTTTCCGGATGCCGGCCTTCCCATTGGCCTCGCACAGCAGCACTTTTCGGCCGGCAATCATCATCAACCTGGAAGTTCCCATGGTCTAAGGTAGTGTATGCCATGCGGCCAGCCTTCTGTGGTGCTGCAGCCGGACCACCTAAGCATGGGAGGTGGGAATTGGGCTCATGCTTGGGAACCCACGTCGTCACCCTCTCAACTTGGTCCAGACAATGATATAAGGCCCGCCCCCTCGGCCTCATTTCCTCCCCTTTTCTCTTTTCTTCTCCAGCAAGCAATCGTCAATCATAAACCAGTTTTTGTTTTTTTCTTTCACTTTGCATTTTACAACCCCCTCCACAGAGCTGTGCTCTGTTGATCCTAACTAATACCAAAAATCCAAACTCTGTAGCTCGCTGGTCTTGCTACACCCCCCCTTAATTCACTTCACTCAAAGCAAAATCTGGTTTACTTGCTCAGAGCGATCTCAAACGCGAAGACCATTCTTTTCAAGACGAGGTTTTAATTCTTTTGCATCCGGTCTCTAACAACGAAATTGCCAAAATGTCCGCCATTCAGCTTTCATTCTCCCTCCGTGTCTCCTCTGGCGTCAAGACCGTCCACCTTCTCGGTTCCTGGGACAACTACTGCGGCCAGCTTCCGCTTTCAAAGGACAAGACAGCTTCGAAGCCCGGCACGTGGAAGGGCACCTTCCGCTTCCAACCCACCACGCTCGAGGCCGGCCAACGCTACTGGTACTACTACATCATCGACGGGTACCACGCGGCGCACAACCCCAGCCAGGACTCGACTGTTGAGCCCACCACTGGCCGAACGCTAAACATCCTTGATGTCCCCAAGTCCAAGTCTTCCTCTTCCTCCAAGTCATCGTCTCGCAAGTCGACCTCATCATCCAAGAGCCGGTCAAGCTTGACCGTCGACGTCGCCAAGGGTCGCCCATTGTCCGTGTCTCAAATCAAGGCCCCCAAGCCCATGTCGCCTCATGCCACGCGCCATATCCTCGACGGTGACTTTGACGAGAACGAACTCAGCAGTCGCTTTGCTGCCACCGGCATCTATGACGAGTACGACGACTATATCGAGGATGTCATCACCGACTTTGGTTCTCGCGGTTCCCCTGTTTCGTCCGTCTCCTCGCTCTCGTACAGCTCCGACGGCTCGGGCTTGTCCGGTTATAGCACTCCGGCGTCGGACTGCTCATCATGCACCTGCGAGCGCTATGGCATCACGCGCAAGGGCGAGCGTGTACGCATCGACTGCGGAGGCACCCGATGCTCGTACGAAGAGTCTTGCTCCTCATCCGAAGATGAGGCTGCCTATGTTGAGCGCAGCTCCCGCCGCCACGGCATCGTCGTGCGCCACTAGGCTGTCCTCGCCGATGCCTCGGGTGAGGTAAAAATTCCAGGAAGAACCACTTTCACTTCGGAAGACTTGGTTGGAAAGCATTAATAGGAGGGCCAGAGGCGTGATGTCCACTCCGCCTCGCAGTTTTGTCCTCGTGTCTTCCAAATCCAGGAACATGCCGATTCCGACGTCACAGGGCCGATTCGCGGAGAGAGAAAATGGCCGTTCACTCACTTCGTTGTATGAAACACGGCAGCGGTGAGGCGGACGCCCGGAGGGTGGTGTGTCTTGTGTCAACCAGCTTTCTGGCGAAGCAACACAGATGGACTTCCCCGACTGGTTCGGGGTAGGTCCATTTGCCGATGTTGCTCTCCGGCCCCCGGCTAAGGCACCCCGCCGCTTCCGCGTGGCGCTCCGCTCCCGCTTGCTTTTCACTCACTTACTAGTGGGTCGATGCTGCGGCCTCGCTCTTGGGATGTAATAATCTCTCGCGTTCCCTTCATGTTTCACCCTGTTCTCCGTCAACTAGTCAGAGTACGGGCTCCCCCTGGCGGGAAGTCTGTCCAGCTCATGGCATCATCCGTCCCTCTGAGGGCATTTCAAGTTTCCCTTTCTGGGCTCATCTGCTTCAGGCAATTTGCGATGGGGCTAGCCTGCCGGAAAAGGGTTGTCAAGTTTTGTGGTCTTGAATCCTGGTCGTTACGTTGGGAAGGGTTCAAGCCAGCCATGCATGTAATACTGTACGGTGGAATGGTCGGGCAGCTGGTGATTTCCGGGGCTCCTTTGGAAATCGGCCTAGGTGTTTGATGTACTGTACATACTCTACGTACTGAACAATTCTGCCTGCCATTATGGGATGAAATGAAGCTCCAAGTTCCAATGTGTAACTGATGATGAGTCTATTGGCTGTGTTGTCAAGATGGTTGAATTGTCCGCCGGCGAAAGTATCGCTTTAACTCATGACTGACCGGTGTGATAAGATATCTATTGTAATTGACCCCTAACCCGTTTTAAATGCTGATGAGCGCTAAACAATCTAAGTCCATGGCTGGTATTGATCTATATACATTCATCACAAGACAAGAGAAATACAAGACAATCAAACCACCTTTAGCCGGGACTGACCTCCCTCCTCTGCACCAGCCCACCCTTGACCGTCCTCCTCCCAGTCCTCACATCCCTCCTTGAAACGCAGCAGCAGCCCATGCCGGCGTGCACCGCAAACGCCCAGATGCTGAAGCCCGTGGCCAGCCACATGAAGACAAACATCTTGACGCCGACCTCGGCGCGAATGTTGAGGTCGCTCTGGGCCTCGGCGGCGTACTTGAAGGCGACGCTGATAGCGGAGCCAATGGCGCTGGCCACCAGGACGAGGGCCATGACGATAAAGGACAGAATCGCAAGCGGGAGGGAGACCCAGCGGGAACGGACGGCCAAGGGAGACAAAAACACGAGGCAGAAGGTCAGGACCGCGGCCGTCAGGAAGAAGCCGAACATGAGCTGCGACGAGAGTTGGAGGATGGACAGGATGGTGATGACCTGCGTGGGCAAGGCAATGGTGGCGCCTGAAAGAAGCTCGGACATGAGAACCTCGACTGGGTTGAACCAGTAGAGTGTTTGGGGTTGCGAGCAGAAGGTTATTCCTCTGTGACAAGGTTAGAACCTGAATAGTGGGCAGATAAACAATGTGAGACGGCATCTAAGTAGAACTTACACATTCTCGTAGCCCTCGCAGAAATTCCAGAGGCCGACTTGGTAGAAATCATGCAGGCCAATGGTTTGGGCGATGCTGTTGATCAGCTTGGCGTTGGGGACTGATGTCGGGATGATGTCGGCCAGGTTCAGCTTGAAGAAGTAGATGCTGTTGAGAACGGGGCGGGAATAGGTGTTGCCGATAAGGACCTGGAGAGCAAATTAGCATGCGTTCACTGAGGCGGGAGGAGTAAGTAGATGGGAAGTATATACCAGCACCAAGAAGATCCATGAGAGGATGTATGCAAAGGATGCGCTCAACGCAAATCCCCTGCGTAACCTCGTTACCCGCTTGATGATATCCTCGGGAACGTCGGTGCTCCCATTTGTCAAGGTAGGGCTTGTTGGAGACGGGGCGTCATTCTTTTCCGTGAAAGTGTTCCTCTTGCGAGGACGAAGTATGGACGGTATAGCCATGTCTGATTTCGTCGCTGTTTTGGAGGGAGATAGGGAGTATTAGGAACTAGAAAGAAAGGACCAGTTGAGTTGTACTAAGTCGGGCAGACACCGGACCAGAAGCTCGGAGGCAGGCCGGCTGTAATCGCTCGCTTCAGTGACGGCGCTCTACTAGCAGCATCAAGATGGCGCGCCGCGCAAAACACCAGACAAGAACCGAAACACAAAAAAAGATTGCAAAACAGTTGCAAGAAGCTCCAAGGTGAAGATCGTCTTATTTGATGAGGAGAGGCAGGGAGGAAGAAATGGAAGGCCCTGCCAGGAAAAATGAATGATCGGACGGGAATGCCAAGACCGGGTGACTTTCATGATGTCGTCTGCCGGGAGATAGCTTGGCGGCGCCCTGCTAGCGCGCGTCAGGGTTCCGCCCAGCGGGGCTCGCAGTGGGTTACGTTTTGAAAGCCGCTGCACCAGGGGTTCATCAACTGGCTCCGGATGCTCACGAGAATCTGGCGGTCAGCAGGGCTGGGCGCAAGGTGCAGAACAAACTGGTGGCTCTGGCCCAGTGTCGCAAATGGGCGCCTGTCACGTCATGGCTTGTCTGCTCTGCGGTCTCCCATTGGGTCATGTATCGAGCCAGAAAACGATGGAATTTGCAGTGTTCACGTTGAAAAATCATTCGAGCTGCCGAATCCACCAGGTAGCAAGTGGAGCCTCATGTAGATCTGCGCTTGAGGATGTCTTGCCGACGATGTGCCGTTGCTGGGAGTTGCGGTGGCTTGAAAACACAACGTCATTGCGCATGTAGATAGAAAACCTGGCTGTTGTAAACAACTTGATGAATCTACAAGCAGCAGAAAATGCGGTGAAGACCAACATCAAAACAGACCAAGCTGTGAGAAAAAGTAGGATTGAAACAAACTTCAACAGACGCGCGGTAATGACTGGTTCACAGTTTACCGCGGCCTTCGTATTGTCCAGGCCAAAGCGTTGGTGGTTGCAGGGGTGTTACGGTGCCTGTACCCACTGCCCCGCTGCTGCGGCAGTGCTGACAGCGGATCGTCTCCAGGGCTGCCCCCCTGCCTTGTTTTAGAGTTGCCGCCCAAGAGCTTTCTTTCCACACCAGCAGCTCTGATGACGGGAGGTGTGCGAGGTGGCAGGTGAATCACCTAGATGTCAATACATAAATCTAGAAGTACTGTCCGCCTCTCGCGCCGGTGAACCTGACTCCTACTACCTAGAACCTCTTCTTCTTGGATGATTTGTCCTGCCGAGGGACCCTGACTCTCGCCATCATCCTTCACGATGGGGTCGTTAAAACACATCGGCGGCCTGATCTGGGCACTGTCGCTCAGTATCAGCTTGGGCCACTGTCAGGAGGTCAGCGAGGACGGCGATTCAATAACGATTCTGACGGGAACAAGAACGGATGCTGTCAAAACTTCAACGCCCCCGCCTTCTCTATACCAGACATACTCAACGCGAGTGACACTAGCATCAACCAGTCTACCCACCGACCTTGGCCCGCTCACGGCCAACAGCGTCGGCACCGAATCCCCTTCCCTCACCGAAACCGTCACCTACATCACCGGCTCCGTCTCTTCCTCCACAACCGGCGGCCCCGGGGGTAACGGAACCGCGACATCAACCACCGTCGCCCCGGTCCCGACCAACACCCGGCCATGCAATAACTACCCAGAACTCTGCGCGCGCAAATACAGCAACATCACCCAAGTAGGCTGCCACAACAGCCCCTTCGTGCGCTCCGGCAGCGCGGCCGCCAACCAGGAGTTCTCCGTGACGGACCAGCTCAACGACGGGGTGCGCTTCCTGCAGGCGCAGATGCAGTGGCCCGTCAACGGGACGGAGCCGCATTTTTGCCACACGTCGTGCGACCTGCTGGACGCGGGGCCCATCAGCGCATGGCTGGGCACGGTGCGGGACTGGGTAGCCTCGCACCCCTACGACGTGGTGACCATCCTGCTGGGCAACGGCAACTATTCGACGCCGGACCTATACGTCCCGCACATTGAGCGGTCGGGCATTTTGCAGTACGTCTACACGCCGAGCGTGGTGCCCATGCAGCTCGACGACTGGCCGACACTGGGCCAGATGATCCTCTCGGGCCAGCGCGTCGTCATGTTCCTCGACTACGTCGCCAACCAGACGGCGCACCCCTGGCTCATGGACGAGTTCAGCCACATGTGGGAAACGCCCTTTGACCCCGTCGACCAGACTTTTCCCTGCACGGTGCAGCGGCCACCGAATTTGGGGGTGGAGGACGCGAAAAAGAGGCTGTATTTGATGAACCACAACCTGAATGTCGAGGTGTCGCTGCTGGGGCAGGCCATTTTGGTGCCTGCCGTCAGCCAGTTGAATGAGACCAATGCGTCCAACGGGACGGGCAGCTTGGGCATGGCGGCGAACAATTGCCGGACCGACTGGGACAGGCCGCCAAATGTGTTGAATGTGGACTATTATAACTATGGGAACTTCCCGGGGAGTGTCTTTGAGGTGGCGGCGAGGATGAACAACGTTACCTACAGCGGAAAATGCTGCGGGCCAGAGAGCGCTGCTGTCAGAGTTGAGGCTGCCAGGATGTTGGCGTGGGTAGGATTGGCGTGGGCGATGGTGTGGGTGTTGGCTTAAGGGATCATGCAGGTATTGAGGAGAGGAGGAAATGGTTTATGTTTTCAAGACTCGGCTGGCCCTAGGTAAGGTGGAGGAGGCATTGCATGGCGTTTACTGGTTTGATGGCATAGACGGAGTTACGGTTCTGAGGTCGATCGCAGCAGAATACCCAAGATGCAAATCTGGGCTGCGGGTACTAGACTGCTTCAATGTATAAGATTAATGAGATTCAATCCAACAAAGTAAACAACATCACTGCTTATGATGATTACCCCTGAATCCTTTTTAACAAACAATGGGGGCCGGGGGTAATGACGTCTGCGGGGTAGCACGGTCCAAGCCCCTGGTCGAGACCTCTTGGGGCCCGGCGATTGTCAACCGAGCCGAGGCAAAACGAATTGCGGGAGCCGAACCGGGTTCATGGACTCCTCAACAACGGCCACTCGGCGTTCGACGCTTAACAATCATCTCGACCTCGCTGAACTGCTCTTTACCACCACTCATTTTTTTTATACGTTTTGCATCATACTTGCGGATTCTCAATACGATCTTGCGACGATAGCGATACCCTTGCCTATAACGGAAAACCGCGGCAACAGTCAAAGGACACCACAACCTGCCCGCAATGTCCAAGCAGTTCACCAAGGCCGAGGTCGCCCAGCACAAGGACGAGAATGGCATGTACATAATCATCGACGACGGTGTTTACGACATTGCCAGTAGGTCCTCATATATTCCATCCTCTTTCCTCAATTGTTCTCCGCGACAAGGAAAACGAATCACCTGAGTGCTGACCGGGACTCGCCATTGCGGACAGACTTCCTAGACGAGCACCCGGGCGGGGCCAAGATCCTCAAGCGCATGGCCGGCAAGGACGCCACAAAGCAGTTCTGGAAGTACCACAGCAAGAATGTGCTTGAGAAATACGGCGGCAAGCTCAAGGTCGGGACGCTCAAGGAGGCGGCCAAGCTATAACGGCTTGGGCTGGCCAGGCATGCGGCATGTGGCATGTATTTGTACGAGGCAATGATTGGGCTACTCTTTCGGCATAGCATTGATACCACAATACCTGCAGACGCTTGTCCTTTGGACAGGTCTTGCTACCTTATCATCTCCCGTCTCTTGAGTCTGGAAAAGGGGGTGAAGAGAGAGGAGGGAGTGAGAGCATCTGTCCTTCCGGAACATCTGCTGATTTGATCATGACACTTGGAACGAGGAAAGTTGCAGCAAACCCCACAACTAGAGTTGGACCCGAAAATCATGCATCCGGTGCTTACCACCCCACGTGCAACACAGAACAATTCTTGTAGAACACTCGCGAGTTCACAAGATCAACGCAGAAAGGCTCTCCTCGGTGCGACAGGGAGAGGATGGTTCGGATGCCGGCGAAAGCAAGGTACCTAGACACGACATGGGAGGACTGCTAGTGGCTAAGTGCTAATGCTGTCTTATTGTTGGGAAGCCGCGAATCTGACAAGCCGTTTGAGGAGCAGGTGGACCGGTTGCGACTGCCTCGCTCCGGCTTGAACTTCGTAAGGTAGGCAGCTGCTCTTACCAAACGACCTGACCGCAATCTCAAGCCGTTGGCCTTTTTAACCGCTTAAGCACCTACCTTCCTTGACGAGAGCTGTTGAGAAACTGACAACAGCCGTAAGTCCGTCACAAGCTTTTCGTTGTGGGAAATGGATTTGTACCGCTACGCTGCCCCCAGCTTCCGGGCAGACTGGGTTCACACAATAAACGTAGGTAGGTAGCGGTTCAGTCAAGTTGGTTCTCCCAATGGACATAACTGGAACGGCAGCCAGCTGCAGGTGGCTTTCCCAGATGACCAGGCTCGCCAATCAGTTTCCCGGTCCCGCCTCACCCGCACATATACACACTCAGGGCGGCATCCAACAACTGTCGACACATCTAATACCGGAATCTCTGCCGTAAAAGTCCTCATGATATTGTCAAACACTATCGAAATTGTTCCTACGCTTACAGTGGAAGCATCTAGCATGGTCTCTTCAAAACGGGCCGCATCTGACGATGTCACTTGGGATCGCACACGGAAGGTGACAGCGCTTCCAGTAGGTCAAGTCTTTACACAAACACTGAGCTCGAGATCTTGGCTGCTCAAACTTGGATTCATCAGCTGATTCGGTGCTCGTCAATCACAGTGTGTCTATAATGACACGCCCGTGACAGGGCGACAGGAACCAGAATGCAGCAGTTCCCAATCGGGTATCCCAATCACCGGACCAGGCGAACGCGCGGAAACCCCAGTTCTTACGAGTATCGGTGATGAACCACTCGGCTGCTTACGGGGAGACTACTAATGAGAGCAGCTTTGAAGGTCCACTGGCAACAACTCTGAGCGAGGACCAGCTGGGTGAACATTCTCGGCTGATCAAGCCCCGGTCCATCCTAGCTGACGAGCTCAGCGGCGAAGAGAAAGTGGCAGGATGCTTGGAGGAATATATCAGACACCAAGAGGGGTTGGAAGTTCAAGACGAACGGAAGGAATTTCTCGCCGCCGAAGTACAGTACTTATGGCATTCCCGTGCTCCCCGCTGAGGAAAAAAGGATACAATTTGGGACCAGGGTCAGAGACACCCCATCCTGTTGCAAGAGTCAGGGCTGCGACTGTCGTTGAAAACCAAATTACCGTGGACATGGTGGTCCAACCGTCGACTGGCCAAGAGACGGCCACGACTCGCAGAAGTAAGCGTCTCTTGACCCCTTAATTGGCAGACTGCGATCTATCCAGCGGCCGTGTGGTTGTATTTTCGTGGAACTGGATCCCTCTGCACCTCTTCAATAGCTGACTGCGGCTCTCTTGGGCGGTACGCAGTTGTTGCAAGTGTTTCGTGAGCGTGAGCGAGCTGCCTTCAAAGCAGCGCGGAAAGAGCAAAATGCAAGGCGAGTTATGTGGGAATCCGCTGTAGTCAATCGATGGTTGGCCCAGGACAAATCGTTGCATTTGAAGGCCTTGTGGCAAGGTCCATGGCGACAAGCCGATTTGGAAGGCTTACAGGAAGCTAAACGGCATCTTCTTTGCATGGAAACTGGAGTCAGAATAATCGACCCTCTAGCCAACTCTTGCACGGAAACCACTCCGACGCTGGCAGAGCCCAGGAACGAGGACGATTCTCGCATGTACCGAGAATGGCTTCGAGTATGTGACGAAGATCACAGGCACGCCGACTACTACATTGCCATACTGCCAGCCAGGGTAATCGTTACGAACCGGAGAGCAATGGGACGATACATTACATTGACCCATCGTTGGCAGACGGACACTCCGAGAACTACTCAAGCTAACCTAGACGATCGACGACAGGGTATCAAGCTCAATGATCTACCGCAGAAATTTCAGGACTCTGTACGCGCTACGAGGCAGCTTGGGGTTCGCTTTCTCTGGATCGACTCTCTTTGCATAGTTCAAGACGACGCGGGGGACTGGGCAGCTGAGCCGGGGAGGATGGCCGAAGTGTATGCTTCAGCTTACTGCACGATCTCCCTTTCCCCTGCCGAAAAGGCACGCGGGAATTTCGAAGAGGACGTGGAGAAGGGGGACTTGAGCCGGCGAGGATGGATACTTCAGGAACGGGTACTATCACGTCGGATTCTCCACTTCACAGGAGACGAAACGTACTGGGAGTGCGGTTCTGCGATTCGATCCAAGTCTGCCGGCGAGATTGTGAGACCCGGGGACCGTGCGGGCGCTCCGGAGCCTTCGAGGCTTCTGCGTGGCGCACCGGAAGTCGGATTCGCTATGTTTCGCGATTTGTTTGTTCGATACTCGAGACTTGAGCTCACGGAGAGATCGGACAGGCCAGTTGCCATTTCGGGCCTTGAATATCGATTAGAAGACCTTCATCGAACAAGGAGCTTGTACGGAATCGTTCGACGCTATCTCGGCGAGAGCCTGCTTTGGCAGCGTTCCCAAGACAAGTGGATGGAGCCTCTATTCGACTTCAGAGACAAAGTCTCATTCTGGTGTATAAAGGGCCAGAGAGTGCCGTCATGGTCTTGGATGGCCTATACAGGGGAAATTGGGTATATATCTATTCCCACGGATGGATTACGCTGGAAGACCGACACCAAATTCTGGGTTACGGGTGAAAAGGATCTAGGCTCGGGCAGCCAAATGAAGGGGCCCTATAGGTGTGTGCTAATGGCTCCGTTGGGGCGGATTTCATCAGGATGCAGCCTCGAACCCTGTGAGAGAGATTGCCTGATCAGAGACGGGCAATATGTGGTAGGCTGGGTGCGATATGACTGATGATGCGGATAATGTTACGTGCCGGGAATGCATCAGTATCGCTGAAGGACCTAATGATGGTCGGAAAGATGTTTTCCTTTCCAACGATCTAGAAGTCAAACCCGGGCCCTCTGTCTATGCCTTACTCTTGAGACTGGCAGAACCCGGGGTGTACCGCAGGATAGGAGTTGCGGTTATCCTAAGGCCCTTACGTATCGGCTGGTGGGGATATGGCACATGTGTATTGACTGGATACCTTAGGCCATTTTGAATCTTAGAACATCTTATCTGTAACCTAAGCAACCTAGGACCCCTTTATGTGAGCGTATATACCTTACCGTTTACTGAAAGATCGTAATAGCCTGGTTTGCGCTACTTCTACCTAGCAGATACACGATATCATGTTCGCCCTTGGCCCTGAGCGGCTCCGTCATGAATAAGGGTTAGTGGAAAGGCATTGTCAGGTCACCCAGTCTTGCCTTTCACGTCAAAAGGAAGGGTGTGTTACGGTCAGGCAATTACCCCTGTGTGCTTGATACTGGTAGCCCAGATACTACCTCCGTTTGAACCGCTGATTGAATTTGGCTACAGAGTGCCTATCCCCTTAGGGAACGTGCATCGGTCGTTAAGAGTGGTACATGTACATGGTTTGTTTTAACGGTGAATGGGTTGACGCTGCTACTCTGTTTGCACCTTGCCGGCTGGTGCTTCCCTTAATGTCATACCGCCCATCCGTCCCGCCTTCACACTTTATGTGTGATGGGCCATTACGGCTGGTTGACTGGCCGGCTGGCGCGTGATTTCTGTGGAGGAATGTTGGTGTGATCACGACAAGCATCGTAGCAACAGCCTAGGGATGTGATTTCTAGCAATGTCCTATGAGAAATTGGTTGGTTCGTGTAAGCTGGGGTTATCGGGCTTGGGATTCGAGACGCTGTTTTCTGTTTGGTTGGTAGTCATTGGCTCGTCTGTTGTGTCGGCGTTTGTTTGTGACAATACCTTATTCAGTTCCCTGTTGGTCAGGAAGGAAAGCAATCACACAAACACAGCATCCGGTACAACACATAGGACAATTCGCAGAGGTATTGAGAAAATGAAGTGCTGTATTACCCTGATACGGGTAGGGTAGCTGCTTAGGGAGGAAGTACCAAGCTGCCACTGCAGCGGGAACTGAACAGGAAGATCAATCCATCCTCTCTAGCAGGAACTTGATCCAGCCAGCTCCCGGGTAGTAAAGTGGATCCCACCATACGATACAATACAAGCCAAAGATGCCTCCGCCTGATGGATCGGATATGATACTTTTGTGTAGCGCCGTACCTTGCCCTTACCCGCCTGTCCCAAAAACCGAAAGAAAGCTAGAAGAAAACAGATAGAAAAGGAAAGCCGTTGTTGACTGCTGTGCCACTGCACTATGGCAGGGAAGAGAACTCCAAAAACCCTGCCGACTCCGATAAATGATGGCCGAAATTGATATGAATGGTGTAATAAAGGTCGTAAAAGAAAGCTTTTGCCGATGGCACACATAAAATTTTTGTGTACCGTGAACGGAAGTGTTGTGTGTTAGATGTGTAATCCGGATATGAAGAGATGGATAAGCTCAGGAGCCGATGAGACCGTAAACGCCCGATGATTTTTGACTCTCAAAAACAATAACTGGCCTGGATGACAGGCTTAGCGGCGCATCGACACGGGCCAGTGGTCGCGGAAGCTGACGGGGCTGGGCGGGGGAGGTGCCGGGACAGAGTAGTCATGCTCCTGGATGTGGTGGATGGGTGTGACCAGCTGGTCCATCTTGGACGCCAAGGACGCATTCAGGCTGGTGAAGAGCTCCTGGGTCGTGATCAGACCAAGACCCCGGTGACGCGGCGCCGCCGGGATGGGGATCGGCGCAGTGAGCTGCGAGGCGACCTGGGAGACGGGCATGATGACGGCTCTTTTTTCTTGGGTCGTCTGGTGTGGTTTGTGAGGCTTTAGGCTTTGGCTGGGTCAACACTGGTGAACAAAAGCTGAAGAGCTAATGAGATGACTAACCTTTTTCTGAGGAACAGCAACGGAGCTTGTTGATATCTGGTCTGAAGGTTTGGCGAGCGGCCTGGCGAGTATGTCTTCAAGTGAAGCGAAGGGTTGGCGAGCAGGCGACCAAGGTTGTATTAATACCTGGGTAAAGAGTGTGATCGACCCAACGATGTATGGTTTGGATCAAGCAATTAGCTACCTTAGTTATGGCGGGAGGTGGTCGGTCAAACTCAAGACGATGTTAGTGTAGGATAAGAAAAGAAACGGGAAGCAAGATCGGATGGCTCTGAGACACAGTCTTTATGTAGCAGGTCCGGCCAGGGAGGAAGGGGAGACCAGACCAGACCAGACCGGCCGTTTGACAGGGACAGGGGGGGGTCAATCTGAGAATTCTCGGCGCGGGCCACTGGAATTCTGGGGTAAGCGGAGTACATACAATTTGTACCATAGCCCCGGATTGTTTTTATTGCCTGCCTGATGGTTTACAAAGATCCCAGAGCTCTCATTAGACATAGGAAGGTATTATATGGGACCTTTGCATTGACTGCAGTAAGTGCATGGGCGGTTGGGTTGTACTAATGCTGTACTGTATGTATTGTATTGTATAAGTACAACCCCTATGTACTCTTCCTCCCTTCCCAAGAACAAGAGGACTCTGTTCACGAGGAAACAAGTTCTAGCCAGGGAATTACCCGCGGCTTTTCGGCATCTAAGGAGAATGGGGATGTCATCGAACTTCTCGAGATTGCGCTCATGATAAACAAATGAGAAATACACCCTCGGTAAGGGTGTAGTGTAAAATACTCTGTAGTCCGTACATGCCATGGTACTTGTATTGTACCTAATCAACAGTGGGTACCCGAGAGCCGACATACGACAGGACAAGCCGGGAGTTGGGGCCGGAGCCCTGTTCGAAGAGAGCTCCAGGCTGGACCGCTTGAATTCAACAGCTCGGCAAGTGAACCTCGGTGTTAAAGAGAGCAACATCGTCAGTTTCAGACCTTTCTTCACAAGTAATTCCGGCTTTGCCGTCGGTCCATCTGATGAGGCGCTCCACTTTGAAAATTCTATTATACCGTACGTATGTATGTACATGTGCAGTTCAGATAACTTACGTACTTTAGAAACTGTTGGTAGGCCCGGGAGCGTCGGTCAACCAGGATGTTGCCAAGGGATTATGCCGTAAGCTTTACTTTGTCTTTCGGCATTTTAGCAAGGAAAACAGCTTTTCTGTGATTTTGTGGCCCTGCCAACAGGCGGTAAGGAAAGCGTCATGGCTGGCTTACCAGACCGAAGACGAACGTGGTTGGCAACGCTTGTTGCGTGTCCGGGGATCTGAGCCGGGGAAAGATTCTCAGAAAATTCTACACATGCATCCATGCATGCCCCGTGGGGCAACTTCGGGCTTGTCCCAATCAGGCAACGTAACCCACGATTCTGAGGCTGCTAAAGCGACAGACTGGTCGCTGCAATATCACTTGCTACTTCAAGCAAAAGTTACCTAGCTCTCTTTCCTTCCTGTTATCCCACTAAAGTCAGCTTTCTCCCGGCTCTAGCAGCTGTCAGGAATCAATTCCACAAACAGAGCTTAGTGACAGAGAAGGACTTGGTAAGGAATAATTCCTGCTTAAACCAAGCAATCGAGTCTAATGCTTTAGAACATCTCACTTCACAGTCCCACTTAGGAATTGAGGTTTTCTCAGGGGTGCCTGTGGGTACCTGTGGGGTGTAATTCCGCGTTCTCTCAGCCCCCATGGAACAGGCCACTCCAGGCCAAAACACACCCAGAAGAATCGCTGCCTACAGACCGGTCAGCGTTTCACGGATCCCGTCGAGGCCAGAGTTATGCGGCGCTGCTCTGATGAGACGCAGCATCGACAATGCTGTTCGCTGAACGCTCTTCACTTATAGCTCCAGCAATTGAAGCACCAGGTATGGTGTCACCACGCCCACCAGTCAGATTGGCAAATGCCCACCGCGCCTCTCACATCACTTCCTCATCTTGGACTTGCCTAGCTGCTCTTCTATGGCACGGGCGAACCATGTAGGTAGGGAGCCCTCACATTGACCAGGAAACGCCCGGCGCATTCTATTCCTCACCTGGTCGTTGCTCACAGTCGTCGTGGACACAGATGGGGATGGGCTAAGAACCGCAGGAATCCGGCTTTCTAAGGCTGTTGATCCTCTCTGGCAACTTGGCCCTTCTCACCTATTCTTACCCTAACCCTATGAGGGCGGCAAAGCATGCCAGCCACAACCATGCCCTCCGTCAGCGCAACAGATTCTAGCTCCGATATAGGTATCCCAATCCCATCAGCCGTGTCGGAGATGGGCTCACGAAAACAAAGAACTCCTATTGCTGGGCTGATGTCGTGCCTCGCTTCGACAGGAATTTGGTGACGCAAAGCCCGTGATTCTGGCATGCAATTCCTTTTCGGAATTCTCGTCCGTCCAATTTCCAAGAGCTGCCCGCGATCTACCCACGATCTGCCCGTGCCTGCTTCATCCCGTTTTCAGCCGGTTCAAGCAGGAACTGGACTGTGATCCTTGGAGTCACATTCTACATACGTAAGGTACTTGTACCTACACGCGGGAAATGTACGTATGTAGTCCAGTGTGCTGCAGTTGAAGCCGGCTGTCGGCGCCGTTTTCCGGCTAGCGAAATGGACATGCGCTGCTAAATTCGGTGCCTGACAGCTTCCCCAGATTTTCCGGACTCCTGGGAGCAGCGCCAAGACACGGATCAGCTCTCTTTCCCATAGAGGCGGGTATAATTTCCCTTGCCATGGACGGATATTTGCTGCATTCGGCTGTTAACCGTTGCAAGATTTGCAACAAAATTGCCTTCGGTTCAGTCTTCAGGGGCCTTTTCCCCGTCGCAGACTAGCAGACCCGTGATGTGTCATGGTTCCTGGCAATGGTTGCTCCTTCCGGCCGTGTTCGCACCCTAAAATCCATTCCTTAGGTAGCGAGTGATGTCTGATGGGCCTCCCGCATATACTGCTGGGTTTGGGCATGCTCACTGACATTGGACAAAGAAGCCTGTCGAGCGGCATCCTTTAAGTACAGAACACTTGTTGTGGGTTTCCCTGGCTTCGCAGCATGGTTAGCCGGGAGTCGACATACTAGTACTTCGTAGACCACCCCGATTTCTTGTTCACGCTCCTTGTCGAACCCAGATATATCTGGAAGCCCTCACGTATTCTGGGACTTCTCGGCATTTAACTGGATGACAATATGATATCATCAATCCGGCGATGGCGGTTTCCGTGTTGGACGGTTTGCGCTCCTTCATCGAATACCCATCTCACAATTGCCTCACCTACACCCTGATGACATGCATTACCAACACAGCAGCTTCTAAAGCGAAATGCAGAAAATCCGCTGCGCAAATACCTGCGGGCGGCGTCGTTTCCCTTCAGGAGGACATAGCAAAGGCCAACCCACGATCAACGGAGGCTGCGGCAGTCAAGGACCTCCCGGCTGGCCTCGATAAATCGGCCCATCGCCGCTCCTATTTTTTGAATACTTACACAGGAGAACATGAAACGAAACAGAAATCAATAGGGCTGTGCTTGCGGGCCGGTTAGTTCAGATCCGCCGCTGCGGCGCGGCCCTGTCCGGATCCTCTTAGCAACGTGCCACCTCCTGATCGGTGATCTTGGCGCGGGTTCTGCGCCGAACGACACTCAGATGCCTTGCTGTCGAGGGCACCGCGAAACATTATTGTATGTCGCCTGATACATCAGTTCAATGGGTATTCAAGCCTGTCCTTGCAATTGCTAGCGTAGGCTGTCACTCGTTCAGAAAGTCTGACGGAGCGCTTGTTGGCCGGCTTAGATCATGATGCTGCCCTCCGAAAGTTCGGATGGGATGAGAGAAGAGCAAGACTACCGGTACTCTTCCTACGGCCGAAATTTCTTTTGAGCGGAATCAAAGTGAATCAAGGGCCTGGGCCGTAAATGAGCCCTTGGCCAACTGACCCCTTCAAGTCCATAACCAACCAATACTCACCCTACGGAGGTTTTAGTTGAGAATTGCACAGCATAAACTATAAAGTAGTGCTCCTGATACTATCAGATAGACTAGTTCTTTGCGCGTGATGACTTTATCCATTGCACGATATTCCTGAGCCAGTGTCTCGTTTACAAGACCAGCCTGGGTCGGCCTGTCGCAGCGGTTGAGGGCACTATCCCTCAATACCGTAGGCCTTCTTGGCCGTCCCACTCCAAAGCATATCACGGGCCTCCTGGTCCAGGCTAGCCATATCGCACATTTTGTCGACGATCGTATGCCACTTCTTCCAGGCGTCGTCACCCACACCTTCGGTACATACCGGCCAGTCGCTGCCAAACATGATCCGGCTGGGACCGAAGGCGGCTATCACGACCGCCAGCCAATTGGAGATGGCAACGAGTATGTCCCAAGCTGAACGCCCTTTGAGGTTGTCGGGCATCTCACTGAAGCAGCCGCTCAGCTTCATGTACGTCCGGTGGCACTTGCTGAGGGTAAACATGGCAGTGCGCCTAGACTACTGTTAGTTACCGGCCCTAGAGGGACGAGTTGGCCTGCTTGAGCAGACATACCAAGCAATGAACGAGGTGTCGCTCGTTTGGTTGAGTATGGCCAGATCTGGCTTGCAAAGATGGTCTAGAAGCAGGTCAATACGGCATTATCTTTGTCATGGGAAATGGGGAACTTACTCAGAATGAACACAACCTTATGATCTTCCTCAACTCCCTCATGGGCACGGTCTATCATCTCCACCGCCTCCTCCAACTGATGTCTCCCTCTACGGTGCTGATCGACGCCAATCTCAAACACATAGCCCTTTCTCCCCAGCAGTTTCAGGCTGTCAATGAAAGCATCACTCAGACAGGTACCGTTCGGCTTGTCCTGCAGCAGATACCGGAAGCCTTTGACCTTGTCCCAGGCCGGCCCGGCCTCTTGCTTGGCGGCGTCGAGATACTTGCTAAGCTGCTCAGGGCCGAGAGGCATGGGCGCCCAAGGGATAAGCGCCAGACAGAGCCTGGCATCCTCTGCGGAATGGCCTTCGCCTTCCTTTGGCTGACCCGTAGCAATTCGCCGCATCCACGCGATCTCCTGCAGGGGCGCGGTCCAATCCTTGGAGTCGTCATTCTTCCGGTCCGCCTCGACCAAGACAAAACCGGCTAGGTTGGGCGGCGAGCCGGTCGCCGCGCGGAACTCGTCCACGGACTGTTGTTTCCCGGCCAGGTCGTTCTCCGGAGTGTACCACGCAAGACTGGTCACCTCGGATTTGGGGTACAAGTGGATGTGCGAGTCAATGATAGTAGATCCTGTGGTTGACTGTGAAGAGGCCATGGCACCGAGCTTGCGAGTGTGCGGTGAAATAAGGGGGAATGGAATTGCCAAAGTAGTAAAGTTAAAGTAGCTGAGAGCCCTGATCGCAGTGCAGCTGGGGAGTCTGTATCACAAGGTTAGTAACGGTAGGAGTTCGCCTAAGCTCATCTTGCAGACGGTAGGTGTTACCTTAGTTGGGAATTTTGAATAAGCAAATCTATCAACAAAAAAACAAATCGATCTTACTCGAGAAACCCTCTTGGATGTTGAAGTTGCAGAGTCTCCGAACAAGTGAATTCAGTCGTTCTCCTCAAGCTCACCGACACAGCGGGGGAAGTGCCCCACTATCCGCTGAGACAGTCCGCAGATTGGGCGATCTTTTCCCTGCATTGCTGTGTTCTTCATACCCTGCGGAAGGGATCCTGTGGGTGTTCGGCGGCTTGAATGGCTGACAGCTTATGTCTCACTGTGGCTCTTCAAGACCTTTGAGGACACAATGATGAAATCAAGTTGTAAAGGTCAAGGTACACCTTGTTAACGGTTGTCAGATGCAACTTGAAGTTGTTCCAGGGAGACAGGAAGGTGACTTGGAGTCGCACTTGCACATTTGGGACTTACACTGTACTGCACTGTACGTGCCAGAACCGCAATTAATTACATAATCGGACTCGTGCCCCTCGACGCGTCCTGCCTGTAGGCCCAACGCGACCCCTCCAACCATGCAAACCTTCCATAATCCATTACACAAACGACTTTCGCCGGCGATCCGGAGTCATCAAAGATCCATTCGTACTTTGATCTAAGCAAAATGGCTCAGCAACAAATCACCCAGGGCGTAATAGAGTAAGTTCTCGCGGCTTTATCATAGATTTTTTCTCTGACGGTTTTGCCTAGGGCTATTGTCACCAACGAAGAACGCGCGGCAGCCCAGTTTCCCGTGCCGGTGCTGCAATGTCTACAGATCAAGACTCTCGAAGCGAAAGGGGCGACGACTGGCGGCCCTGAGAGATACCGCATCATTTTGAGCGACATCCGCCATTATGTGCAGTGTATGCTAGCGACCCAGGCAAACCACGTCGTCCACGATGGTCTACTGCAGCGCGGCTGTATTGTCCGCATGAAGAAATACCAGCACCAGACTATCAAGGGCAAAAGGTCCGTTGTGCCGCCGTCCCATCCAACTATGTGGCATAGCTTACTGGTTCTAGTATTCTGGTCATTCTGGACCTCGACGTCATCTCCTCGCTCGGCATTTTGGACAAAATCGGCGAGCCCGCACCTATCACACCCCCCGAGACGAAAGGACCTGAGGCACAGACCACCACAATGGGCGGCGCCGGCTTTTATGGTGTCAAGAGCGAGCAGACCCAGGAATCCAAAACCCAAGTGCAGAAGCAGTTGTCTTCGCGAACCGGCGGCGGGAGTGACCGGCACGGGGCGAGCACTATATGCCCGATCGAGGCGCTATCTCCGTACGCACACAAATGGACCATCAAGGCTCGGGTCACGAGCAAGTCGGACATCAAGACGTGGCACAAGGCTAGCGGCGACGGCAAGCTGTTCAGTGTGAATTTCTTGGACGAGAGCGGCGAGATTAGGGCGACGGGCTTCAACGAACAAGTCGATCAGTTCTACGACCTGCTTCAGGAAGGCCAAGTCTACTATATCTCGAGCCCTTGCAAGGTGAACCTAGCCAAGAAGCAGTTCAGCAACCTTCCCAATGATTACGAGCTCACATTTGAGCGCGACACAGTCATCGAGAAGGCAGAAGACCAAAGCTCTGTCCCGCAGGTGCGCTTCAACTTTGTCAATATCCAGGAGCTCTCAGATGTTGAGAAGGATGCAACGGTGGATGTTATTGGCGTCTTGAAGCAGGTGGACGAGGTGACATCCATCACTTCCAAGACAACCCAGAAGCCCTACGACAAGCGCGAGCTTACCCTGGTTGACGACACTGGTTTCTCGGTGCGCGTGACCATCTGGGGCAAGACGGCGACCGAGTTCGATGCGCCTCCGGAGTCCATTGTTGCCTTCAAGGGCACGCGAGTCAGCGACTTTGGCGGGCGCAGTTTATCTCTCTTGTCGTCGGGCACGATGGCTATCGATCCTGATATTCCCGATGCGCATCGGCTGAAGGGGTGGTACGACTCTAGCGGCAGGAATAATGCGTTCCAGACACACAACAACCTGTCGTCGGTTGGGGCTGCCACCGGCCGCACCGATGACACCAAGACGGTGGCGCAGGTAAAGGAGGAGAACCTCGGGTTCGACCAACCCACCTACTTCACGCTCAAGGCAACGATTGTGTACATTTGGCAGGAAAACTTTGCCTACCCGGCGTGCCGCAGTGAAGGGTGCAACAAGAAGGTGACCGACATGGGCGACGGCACGTGGCGGTGCGAGAAGTGCAACATCAACCACGACCGCCCGCAGTACCGCTACATTATGAGCATCAACGTCAACGATCACACGAGCCAGCTGCGGTTGAACTGCTTCGACGACGCGGCCAGGGTCGTCATGAACGGCAAAACAGCCGACGAGCTGATGGAGATGAAAGAACAAGAGTCACCCTCGCGGCTGGCGGCCGAGTTTGAAGCGGCCAATTGCAGAAAGCTGGTTTTCCGATGCCGCGCAAAGCTGGATACATACAACGACCAACAGCGGTATGTTTATTTCCCTCTGCCATTTCTGCTGCAGTTTGTCTCTTCCTGCTTCCATCTGCATTCCCGTCTCGTTGAGCGTATACTGACATATAAGCTTAGAGTTCGCTATCAGGTCATGAGTGTCGCACCGCTGGACTACAAGGCCGAGGCCCACAAGCTGGCAGATTTGATTAAGCAAATGAGTGTCTAACAAGGAGAGAATGAATGAGTTTACGAGGGCAAAGTGCTGTAAGAGGTCGTCGCTATGGAAGGCTGGAGCCGAATGTATCACCACATGACCGAGAACACAGTGCTGGAGGTCCTTCAATGACAGGAAATACCTTTCGATTACCACTGCCACCTTGTCTTTTGTTGTCGATGCTGTAGTAATCCCAGTACATAGTGATAGACGACGTTTGCATGCTGCCTTGTGGGTGTTAACGTTCGGGAAAGTGGGGCTTCTAGGCAGCCCAAATCGCGGGGCAGGGACCGGGAGCTCCAGTTTGAACTACAACATCTCCGTACCTCCCGAACTCGGTTCCTTCTTCTCCGAAATCCGCGCCGACAATCACAGGTAGTAACACCATATGCGGGACAAAGGATGACAAGCAGTTTTGCCGAACCCAAGAGTGTCTTGTAGCGTTGACCGTTTCTTTTCCTTTTATCACGACACACGCTACAACGACTTAGAAGCTGAGATCGACGTCACGGTTGCCCTTGTCATCGAGTGTCGAAGTGCCTCCTGGAGGGTATCCCACCTGCCGACTCGCCGGTTTTTCTTTGCCGGTCTTCCTTGACCGAGGCATTCCCACAAATGGACCACCTTGCCTTGTCGCTCCTAGAATTTCCGCCGCCGAGCGGCACCTACGATGATGCGATATACCACAAGGCAGCAAAGGCGCACTGCCAGAAAGTGGAGAAGCTGATGACCTCGTCCAGCTTCAAGGACTTTGCTCCTCGACTTCTAGATGTGGGTAGATTGTTTCTAGAGCCAATTGCCGCGACTGCTGACAGTGTTCCAGCATGTCCATCCAGAATACCACTCCATCTCGTACCTAAGTCTGCTGATCGCCATCAAAAACGCCGGCAACCTGCCTCTCGGTGACCTCCTGGCCAAGATTACAGTTTTCCTCAATACATTCGACAGCATCCAGGTCCGATATGCTGGGAAGATGTTCACCACCGTTCTCGAATGGCTCAGCAGTGGGACTCTGTTTCCGGTAGGTGACAGCACCTGTGACAAGTTTCAGGTTGACTTCGGGAATCGTTAACGCAACAGCCCAGGCTTCTGTTGCAGCCGAACTTCTTGCAACTGCACTGCTCAAGCTCGACCCTTGGGGCTCGGTACTCACCTCGCACCATGTCGCTATGGTCAAGCTCGCATATACCACCGACGACATCCAACCCATACTGCCCGTTATCGAAAAGGACATCGTATTCTACCCTGGCATGAAGGGGTCGAACGAGACACGGCCTTTGTGCGACGAGAATGTGCCGCCGCCGGCGTACCTAACAGTCGAGTCCGGCCTGACAAGACAGCTCAGCAGCAACGATGTGCTTCAATACGATTTCCTTCGTGGGTTGTGCTTCATACAGCGGCAGTCATGGAAGCAAGCATTTGACGCTCTGGAGCGCGTCATCACATATCCGACCAGAGAACACACGGCGTGCAGCAAGATCATGGTGGAGGCGCACAACAAGTGGATTCTCGTAGGGTTGTTGCTCAACGGCAAGGCGCCCGCCCTGCCAGCGACCACGGCTTTGGGGCCCCAGAAGGTGTATTCGTCGTTGAGCAAACCTTACCAGTCTATTGCCCGAGCGTTCGAGGAGAACACAGCCACCACGCTCAAGGGCGAGTTCGAGGCGTTGGGGGCCCAGTTTTGGGCCGAGGAGAATAACCTGAACCTGATGCGTTTGGTGCTGCAGCACTACCAGCGCTGGCAGATCTTGCGACTACGGGGGGTGTACACCAAGATATCGCTCGAACAGATACGGCAGCGGACCCAGAATGCCGAGACGGCCGCGCCTCTACAGAGTGAAGCGGAGATTGAGGAAATTGTTCAGAGCATGATCGACAATGGCATGCTGACTGGTGTGATTGAGCGGCCGGAGAACGGTGACCCCAGGTATCTCACCTTCCTCGACGGAGCTGAGGAGCCTTCCGAAGCAGAGTTTGCTAGGAAGATGGTACGCACTGCGCAGCGTCTTGAGGGTCTTGGCCACCTCATCAAGACGACCAACGAGCGGCTTGGCACGAGCCGCGACTACATACGGTTCCTCGTCAACCAGCAGAAGAAGGAGAAAGACGCTGGGGCCCGCGATTACAATCTTGCCTTTATAAACCAGGTTGAAGATGAGGATTTGATGACGGGCGTTATGGCAGGTTACTGATTGGGACAATGCAGTAGAACGATTTGGCCTGCCCCTGACGGACCAGGTTGGGCGGGGGTAGAAGGGGAAGTTTTCCCCGGGAGCCTGATTACGTAGCTTCCCGCACAAGGGGGGAAGCAGGCCGGGCTCTTAGATTACGGGCAGACACGTGTTGCTGGCTTATGCAGCGGAATCCAGGTTTACGTCGGCTAGCAAGATACGGAACGGAAAACGCGGCGTAAAGGTGCGGCAGCCAGGCGTTGGAGAGGACGGGTGCATAAAGCCACACGACGTAGCAGTCGTCACGATAGTCCGCTTGGCTGGAAGTCAAGCAACAGACGCTGGTATGGCAACACATGGCTGCCTTTATTAAATGCCAGCAGATAGCCGCTGCCGCTGGGGGCAATCTGCCGCATTGATGTTGGTTGTCTGCCTAGCTAGGGGTAATGCAGAAAAGAGCTGGGTGTCTTGTCTGCCTGCGATTCGTGAACTGTGACTCTGTTCGGTGTTGATTGCCGGCCTGTCTGTGATGACCTGCTCGTTTCCTATCTATCGATTATTATACATGCAAAGAGGGGATATTGCCGTGAGCTCTCTGATTGAACTCTGCCCGGTTTTTGAGGACTACATTCTAGGTGCTTTTGACACATCAGGGACCCTGGGAAAGGGAACAGAGAAGGGATCAATGAGCGATGCATCGTCCTGTGCTACCCAAAGGTTCATCCTGACTCTTATAAGATCATTAGCAGTGCTTAGGAAGAACAACTCCATCTCCAGGTCCGCACCAAACCTATGGAATGCTCCTCCTTCCTCACCTCCATCAGCAAGGCAGTGGATTAACGAGACATAGATTAGGAGGAAAACCTGTTGCTGGGTGATCTGTTTATTCAACCAACCAAAAAGAAGTACCCCTTGAATTACATGTCTTCTCTGTCTAGTAGTGTAGTCCCTTTAGCTTGTTTTCTCCTCTCCTATCTTGAAAAAGTACCGGAAAAACACAAGGGTCGCGAAGACAAGAGAAAGAAATCTTCCTTCTCGTCGCTAGCTATAGCCATGATCGTCTCTTCGTCAGATAGAATGCCCGAGGCCAATGGAATGAAAGAAGTAACCAAGAAATCCCCCTATGAGAGGGCCAAGACTCGCGGCTCGGGCTGCGGTGAGATGATTCTAAGTTACGGGCCCAAGAAGAAGAAGCTCTGCGCAAAGCCGTTCCCCTCGTCCGTCCAGCAGTCTCATATCATAGCCATGTCATCATTTTTATCATTCCAACGACGTTCGTGATGGAGTAGAAAAGACACCGAGGGAAAAGACAGCCAGAAAAGAGAGAAGCGAGAAATGGAAATTGGGAAATAACGGGATGTCAGAGGACCATTAGAAAGTAAGGTCTATCCATCAAGCCATCGAACACGTCAACAACTGTCGTTGGCAAATCCATACATTTCTTGCTCCCACACCCAAACGTCGTGTTTCTGTCATGAAAAGAAGCGATAAAAGTTCTTTTGTCAGGAAGGTTCCTTTCTCTATGGCCGGGTGTCGTTTCAGAGCCTCGCATGCCTGTGCTCCGCCGAGTCCTGTGCCTCGCCAGACTGCCGGGTCAGGCCGGCCATAATATCGTCTAGATGCTGCTGTGGTAGCTGCTGCAGGCGGGGAGGAGCAATGGGCCCGAACTGCGAGGGGGGGAAGGCGGAGAATGCTGTTTGTTATTGATTTTAGTCATTGTTTAACTTATCATCCGTGATGGAAGAGGTGTGCGGGTCTGCCAAGCAACGGGGATAGGGGGTTGCAAATGTAAACAAAGCAAGGGGCCAGACGAAGGAAAACTGGATGTGGTTACTTACCCCTGCCACCAAAACCAGCCGAACCGGTCTGATTATTCTGCTGGAGATGGTGATGCTGTTGATGATCTGCCATCAACCGGCCGCCGCCAGTTCCGGTACCAACAGCGAAATGCTGCTCCCATGTTGACCTGGTATGCGACCGCGGAACACATCCGCCTCCTCCTCCTCCTCCCCCTCCGGAGGCAGTAAGACCATCGCCGCCGCCAAACCGGCCGCCACTGGCGACATCGGCACCACATCCGCGCTCGTTCCGGCTGCTCAAAGTGCCATGGCCAGCGCCGCCGGCTCCGGTACCAAAGCGGTACGTGGCCAACTCCCTTGCCGCTGTTGTTGCTGCGCCGTCAAACCCCGTCGTTGCCGTCCCACGAAGGCTCTTCCGTTCCGCCAGCACTGCTTTGTGCTGTTGCTGCTGCTGTCGCTCCTCTTGTTCTTCTCCCTCCTCATCTCGGCCTTGAGACTGAGCATTGTTGTTGGTGTTTGCGTTTCGATTCGGCGCCGACCGCCACGACTGCATTAGCTGCGGCCGGTGCTGGGCCTGCTGCTGCTGCTGCTGCCGGGGACCAAAAAGGGAACCACCCTCCATCGCCCACCTACCCATCCCACCAGACCCAGACCCGGAACCGCCCATCACCCGCTCCCTAGTGCTAGCACTAGTACCCCCTCTTCCTACCAACCCGCTCCCGTTGTGAGTGGCATTGGCATCAGCGGGAGCAAACGACCCCCACCCAGCGACAGAGGCAGCCCCTTTGCTACCACTATTACCACCATTGCCCCCTTCTCCTCCCCCACCTGAATGAAACTGCCCCTGCCCCTGCACCTGTTGCGTCTGCTGAGTCTGCGCCGCCGCCGCCTGGGTTGGTTGAACAACCTGCAATCGTGCCAACTCAGCCTGGCGTTTCTTGAACCAGGCCGGCAGGCCATGGAACAAGCCCAGGGTGTGCTGCGTGGCCGTGTCAAGGGGCATCTCGTGCTTGAACTTGCACCCCTGCTGCGTGAAGGCACAGACGCCCTCGTGCACCCACTTGTCGCAGTAGACTTTGGCTCGTTTCGGTGGAGGTTGGTTTGATTGTGGACCAGGTGGAGGTTGTTGTTGCTGGTGTTGGGGAAGATTGAGGGGGAGCGGGAGGGGGAGGGAGAGTGGCCGGGAGGTGGTGGTGGTGGTGGTGGTGCATTGAGACGGGTAGTGGGATTGAGGGGGGTAGGAATGGCGGGAGAAGGGTGAATGGGAGGGATGGAACGGGTGGGATGCGTTGGGGTGGTGGGTATGGGTTGGGGAGAAGGTCTGCCAGGCTGGAGTTAGCTTTTAGGTTCGTCTCATCACAGGAGGTTTGGATTGAATTCAGAGAACGGAGGGAATGAGGAAAGATTCTCGGACTGTACTCAGGGGAGCAAGTGATCACATACCTGCATCAGCGCATTCGCGCCCTCACCATTTCCCCCGAGCGGATACTGTATTATACCCGTCAGCATTCTTCCTTTTTCCTCGCACCCATAATCCCGGTAAATAGTAAGGTACTCACCGCAATCCTTAGACGGTCCATATTACTCGATCTCCCCTCTGCATCGACCCCCCGCGGAATAGGCAGCTCAACCAGCCTCTCAGCTGCACCGCTCGCGTCCTCCCTGGCCGGAATGCCCAGCAACGCGACAGGCAACATATCCACGGGCACAAGCCGTGTGCGCTCCCCGTTGGGACGCACAAAGCAATAGCCGAGCGTGTCGGGGCTGAGCCTGACGCTAACGCTTGTACTGCCATCCGCATTTGTCCTCGTCTGGCCGCTGCTGCTGCTTTGGGTAGTCATTGACTGGCTACTGTCGTTCACCACACCCGCTGGGTTGCTGCTGCCATCAGCAAACCCTGCTTCGGTCCTCGCCGCTGGTGAATTCGGGTGCGTGTTGCCGCCGTCGACTCCAGCTTGCTGCTGCTGCTGTCTGAACCCGGCGATGCTCTGGTTTGTGGGTGGAGAGAGCGGGCTACGGGATGGGGTGTACCCAGACGAAGGATGTGACACAGGGCGGGTTGCGTTGTGGGTAGCCGTGTAGATGCCGCTTCCAGAGCCGCCCGAAGCTATGGGAGATGGATGGATCGGGCTGTTGCTGCCGGTTTTGCTGCCGGCGGTGCCCAAGAGACGACCTTGCTCTGCTGTGGGGGAGTTCGGACCTGGCTTTGAGCGCCAGTTATCGGAGGTTATCGGACGGGAACCCGGGACGAAACGCTGGTAGGCAAAGGCGCCGATCTGGCCGTGGCGATAGGGCTGACGCTGCTCGTCCTCACCAGACGGGTTGTTGACGGTTGAGTTATCACAGTCAATAAGTCGAGAGCCGCTGGAACTAGTCTGTGGGAGATGCTTGTCGGTGTTCGTATCCTCCATAAACCCGAGTAAATCGATTCCATCGAGGCCGTCAATATTGCTACATCCACCGTATCGGTCGGTTGCGTGATGGGCACACTCGTTGACGACGTCGGGTGCGAGAGGAAATGTCAGCTTGGAGTCAAGCGGCGACCGCTCAGAGCAAGAGGGGCTCGGAACTGAGACCGTAGAAGAAGCTTCCGTTTGAACTCCCGATGTGGGGGCCTCGAGAGAGGAGGGTGTAGGGGGTGAAGAAGGGACCGCTGCAAAAGAGGTTCCGTCTCCACTGGTCGGTGAATCCCTCTCCATCTGCCCGGTGTTTGGGGTGGCAGAATCGCGATTCATGAGATCAGAAAGAGGAGGCGCGGTATTGACAGTCGAAGCGTGTTCATCGGCAACCGACAGCCCAGCAAGGTCCGTAGATAAGATGCATTCTCCGGTTTGTAATTCCCTAGGCGGATCAACCGACTTGGTCTCCCAAAAGGTGTCCATGGCAGTCAAGTCAAGAAGCTGAGAAAATCCTGAGGAGGAAACAGCGTGGCTTTTCGAGCAGTGAGCGGGATACAGTCACCCCGCGGGACGACACAGGGAAGATGAGATGGAAGAGGTGGCGAATCGGTTGCTGTTCGTGACGGCGCAAACGACAGCCCAGCACAGGCGTTTAACTTGTGTTCTCCCCGATACTGCTGTTGTTCTAGCAACTTGACTACTGTTCGTCAAGAGAGGAGCTGGCTGAACGGTAGAGGAGGCAGATGTTGACGAGATATGCCTAGGTGAAGTCAACGGTTGACGTTGTTGAGGAGAGGAAACAGAGGCGAAGCGTAACACCAGTGTCACAGAACGCAGGCGGGTACGGCACGTCTCTGATGTCTAGTACGTAGACAAGGCTGCTTGTGTAGCTTTAACAACAACAACTTGGACGGAACGGGCAGAGACGCGTGCGGGCAGAGACAGCGACGGGGGCCAACGGACGACGGGAGCTGGGCAGGGATTTTAGCAGCCCCCCTCTCGCGAGCTTTTGCTGTGGCTGGCAGATATATAAGTATGCCGGTGAGCATCTGAAGTGCCAGGAGAAGTCATGGACATACCTGGCAAAAATCATCGATTAACAGCTCCCTCCCCCTTTCTAACAGGCCGGCAAGCAGTCCCGGCCCCCTCTTGCGTCTCTCTCCCCTGTGGAATCTTTTGTTTCTACCTTCTTCTGTGCCCACCTCAACCTGCTTGGCCTGTCCGCAACTCCCAACACTGTCGGGCGAGAAAGAAGAGGCAAACGCTCAAAAGGCGTGGATAAGGTTAGTTACATCTGGTCGGCGGATACATGCAGCACCAGGCTTGTGTAGACACACGTGACAAACAGGTGCCAGGCGGTCCAAAACAGCGGCCAGGTACGACATGAGAGCACAGAGAAGAAAAGTGGTAAAGTCCAGAGGGCCTGATCTTGCCAGGGGACAGCCTATTACGGTGAGCATTCCTGTACATGCAGTTTGCATGAGCCTTGAAAGGGGAGAACAACAACCAAGTGGAAGACTCATGTAAGTATGTTTTGCGTTTGGTGGCGTCTATCCCTATCTCCAGCATGCAGATGCAGGTCACCCTAGCCACGTGGGATTCGACACCGCTTGCCGTGCGCCACCTGCTGCCATTGAGGTCAAGGAAAGACTTCCAGGGGTGACCGGGTTCATGTGGGGAGGTCAAAGTGTGTCCAGAGCAAGCACATCGTATCCACAGGTTTGCGCTCGCCCCTAGCCGTCTTTCCTCCATTCCATACCGCCGGCAAGTGTCTTCCGCTATTCCGAATTCCCATCCCCAATTCACTAAGCTGCAAGCCAGCAATCAGCTGTGACACCGCCCAAGCCTCCCATAGACCACCCATGCTATAGGTGAGGCGCAGAAGCCCTGCAGCAGGTATTGCAGAGAACCAGTGAGTGAAGTGAGAGGAAAGTCACCTGAAGAATTATGCCAGAGAATCTCTCCGTATCCGGATGCCATACATGTTGAAGAACAGAGCAAACCGGGTCTTTTCGCCATGCACTTGCGGCCGAGAAAATGCCCCCCAATTCTATAATAACCCGCCATGACACACGTAAAGTGGTAGCTTCTTGAAGAAGCAGAATCCCCTTATCAGTTCCTTCCTGCCTTAGCCACGCATCCTGTTGTGCCGGGCCGTCCAAGGGTTTGCGTCTGTTCTTGCTGTGCGCAGAGAGTGGTAGAGGTGAAAATTTCTCGCCCGGTACCGGTCCAGGTCCATCCTAGCTGTTCCTGAAATGTGTTAGGGGTAACGGGACAAGTCCCGTTACCCTTTTTAGCTTCGCTTGAAGGAAAAGCCACCCTTGCATGAGCTCTTCGGCGCTTGCCCTTGGCCTGCTTCTCAGCCGGTCCATGGCCAACCGCAGGTGTATTTGAGAGCTCATTTCCGGGCACTCCCAGTCACTTGGGTGTGAATACTCGCAGACAAGACACACGTTATTGAATGGCGCTGGTCTGCGGGGTGGAACTGGATCGGCTAAGCCAGGGGGTGGGGAGGAAAGAAGGGTAAGGTCGGTGTATCCGGGCACTGATGCTGGCTCAGCGCCGGCGACTGCGGATCTTGTGATGCTGACAGGTTGGACTCCATAATCTGATTGTATGCCGTTGGCATGGGCTGCGGTGTGTATTGGTATGCCGCTGAAATCGGTTGTTCGGCGATTGGGGTCATCTCCGCCATTGAGGTGTCCTGCGGATCCAGCTCCAGCTGACATAGGGACTGATTGTTCTCTGCTTGACAGCCGGCTGCGACTGTCCTGCTTGGTGTGCCTGGCAACTTCTCCCGAGCTGTGATGTTCCCAGGGTTTGGGGACTGGGACTGGAGTGACTGTTTTCGCGGCGTCTGCTTGGTCTTGACCGCCTTTGCCCTTACGGGAGTCCTTGCGATCGCCGTCTTTGCGGGAGTCCTTGCGGTCGGCGTCCTTGCGGGAGTCTTTGCGATCGCCGTCTTTACCGGAGTCTTTGCGGCTGCCGTCTTTGCGGGACGCGCTCGTCGGGGGGTGGGCTTCGGGCTCTGCATTCCCTTGGGTGAGCTGCTTGTTCGACTTGTAGCTTTCTTGCCGGCCTTGGGCGTTGCTGCTGCACTAGGTACGCCTTGCGTGCCTGCGTTTGAAAGATATGGGTTGGAAGAAGATTTCTGTGATTTCGTACCTTGTGAAGCTTTTGTCCCTGCTTTCCGCACGTTAGACTCCGTGACTATAGACTCACCCGTAGCCGGTGTGGCAGCCTCCTCATCTTCGCTTGTTTCCCCATCACTCTTGTCGCTGCCAACAAAGTCCCCATCCCCATCGCCATCTCCATGATCGCTCTCAGGTGCGGCGGCATCTTGGCCATCATCGAATTCAAATCGATGACCAGAGTAATTGGCAGTCTGCGGTAGGTCAGTAATCCCTGCATCCCCGTTCTGAAAAGCTCCATGGGTAGTACGTACTCCGCGGCGGCGACCTCCACGGCCAAGTATCTCCCTGTTCCGTTCCGCCTCCCGCTTTGCTTCTTCCTCACGTTGCTGGAGGATTTCGTCCCAGACACTTGCGTTGACGTTCTGGTCAGAGACCTGCAGATCGTCCGCAAGTGCGCCCTTGTCGTTGGCCCACACCCGAGCAAAGGCAAAGGCGGATTCAGCCGACTTTTCCTCGTTCGTCTTGGTTTCTTCCACGGCGGAGCGGTCCAAGAGCTTGTCTACAGCAGCTGAGTCGTAGGTAATGGCCTCTTTTTTGTTTCCTTCACCAAACAGCGCTGCCGCACCATATTTTAGGACAGACTCAACGTCATTGGACTGTTCAGGGTCGTTGTCCATGCTCTCAATCAGCACGTGGTCAAGCGCCAGCTTCTTGCGCCCAATTTGCAGGATCTTCTCTTCGGCCGAGTCTACTGTCACCAGCTGAAAGCAGAGCACCTTCTTCCGCTGGCCAATGCGGTGGGCACGCGAGAGTGCCTGAATGTCTTGGTGCGGGTTCCAGTCAGGGTCCAGGATGATGACAGTATCGGCTGTTGCCAGGTTGATGCCCACGCCGCCCGCACGGGTTGAAAGCAGCATGACGAAGATATCCGAGTCCGGGGCGTTGAAGGCGTCAATCTTCTTCTGCTTCTCCAGGCTGGACTGGGACCCGTCAAGACGTTCAAACTTGACGTTCATGCCTGCGAGAAAATCCTCCAGGATGGTGAGCTGGTCCAAGAACTGGCTGAACATCAATACGCGGTGGCCGCGCTCCTTCAGTTTTGGGAGCATAATCTCCAGTAGCATGAGCTTTGGCGATGCCTCGACCAGGTTGCGGCGAGTGAGCTCAGGCGAGGCGGTTCGGTCTTCGATCGCCTGGCTGTAGATGAAAGGATGGCACAGGCACTTTCTGAGCTGCATTAGGATGTTGCTGAGGGAGCCCCTTTCACTGGCCTTCATTTTGCCGCGAATGAAGATGGACCGGATGAGCTCCGGATTTCGTTCCATGATTGACCGGCACAGCTTCTCCTGAAGGACACTCATGCTCACAGGCACGATAATCTGTGCCATTGGCGGCAAGAATGTCAGGACCATGGCCTTTGTCCGGCGAAGGAAATATGGCCGAATGAGCTCATGCAGCTCTGCCAGGTTCTCGGACGTCAGCTGAGCAAACTTCTCATCGAGCTGCTCCGCTTTCAGTGAAGGGTCAATAAACTGTAAAAGGTTGAAGAGCTCCCGCTTGTTGTTTTGCAGCGGCGTTCCCGTCAACAGAAGCTTGAAGGGAATGCGCAAGGCGTTGAGCGCCCTGTATATTCCATTCTCGTCATTCTTGAGAGCCTGGGCCTCATCAACAATGAGACCCGCCCACTTGGTCCCATGGAATCGGAGGCGAGTGTCATTATCCTTGACCGAGTCATAGGACATAATTACGACGTGCGCCTTTAGTTCCCGGCTCCCGTTGGGAAACAGTTCATACTCGAGAGCCAACTTCTGTGGCGTTTTCCCGCCGTAGTAGGCGACGACGCGGAGCTCGGGGGCCCACTTCTTGATCTCACGACGCCAGTTGGGGCATGTCGCGTTGGGTACGACGATCAAGAACGGCCAGATCCTCGGTTGGTCTTGGATCATGCTCGCAAGCAGGGCGACAACCTGGATTGTCTTTCCGAGACCCATTTCGTCGGCCAGAATGACACTCCTCTCGTGGCGGTAGTTGTAGAGAATCCAGTTGAGACCCTCGATTTGATACTCCATTAGCTTGCCGCGTTTCAACCCTTTGGGCTGCCCCTTAACGCGGATGGCCGATTCGAAATCAAGCTGGCGGAAGTTTTCCACTCTGTTGTTCATATCGCGCCACAGCTCGGGCTGAAAGTGCTTGCCGTTGAGATATTCGCGATAGGCGTCAAGATATGCGTCATAGATGGACTCCATATCAGGGGTTGGCGGGGTGTCCCAGACGGCGTCGTCATATCCCAAGCCCTCAAACTTGACATAAATCTTGATGACATGAAACACCCTGTTGAGATCGTCTTCGAATTTGTCCTTTCGAGACATAGCCCTGTATCTTTTCTCGTCCTCGCGCGATCTTGGGGCGTAGTGAACGTCTAGGATGATGTCAGGCGTGATCCAGACATCGTGGATGGCTTCCTTCTCTGTCCACCGGAGGAGCGAATCGACGTTTCTCTCGGTATCAAGACCCTCTTCGGGGGCTTCCCCAAAAGTTCGCTTGACGAACGCCCGGCGCATTGCGGGCTTCACGACGCCGAAAACCCAGGCACCAGGCATCCACATGCAGTGGTTATACGATTTTTTCTCCCATTTGATCAGGTACTCAAGGCTGTCCTCGCCATATTTGGTGATGTCTTGGCCCTGATAGCTCTGGCGGTTTACTGGGCGCCACGCCACAATCTTGTCGACCTTCTCCTCTTCAGTCTCCTGACACTCCTTGCAAAACCAAGTAATTTGGTACTCTTCGCGCCGGTGCTTGCGCAGATTCAGAGGATCGTTGATCGCTGGGTCCCTTGCTTTGGTAGGATGGGGCAAGTGTTCGTAATGCCATGCGCGATAGCAGCGACTGCACCGGAAGAGGACATTCTCGGCATTGTTGATGAAGTTGGGCTCGATCGGAGTAACAGGGTCCACGCCGCCGTTCTCAAGACGTAGGGTTTCCTCTTGTTTTGCCGTCTTTCTCTCGGAGAACGGGTTGCAAGAGCGGCCTTTGAGGTGGCACCATTGACATACGCCATGGTTCGGCGCACGCTCGTCCTTTTTCTTGTAAATGCCGATGCAGAACCGACATTGGAGGACAAATGCGTCAGGCATCACCTTGGTGACAACATGATCACGGGTGCTCCGGACCCCGAGACAGAGCTTGTGGTAGGAGTTGGAACAGCCCTGGCAAGGAATCATAGCCCCCTTGTTGTGGTCATCTCCACGACCACAGGTGGTGCAGATGGGTCGGTGTGCCTCCTTGAATTCAGGCGGGATCGATGACTGAAAGACCTCACGCACGCCCACAACTTTGGGGGCGCCTAAGGGCTTCTCTTCGACGTAGTAGATGTCGTCCTCGTCATCCACATAGCTATCCGTCATAACTTTGTGAGTCCTGGTTGCCCGCGAGGAGCGACGAGACTCAAACTCGATGTCCGAGTCGTCATGCTGCAAGCGGCCTGCGGTAGACGTGCGTATCCTTCTAGAGAGCTTCCTAAGCTTCCTACGTTTGGTCTGAACTATGTCAGACTGGACGAAGGAGAAGGACGGGTCGCCACCGTCCCCATCTGACTCCTGCAATTCATCTTTATCCTCATACTGGGTGCTCTGACTGTACATGTGACTGACTCTTGGTCGCAGCCTTCTCGGCCCTCTGCCTGTGTCGGCCGAGTTCCCACGCTCGCCTTCGCTAGAAGCGAGGAGAGAGCTCGCGCGAGTGCTAGCGCGAGTGCCCCGTCGGGAACCACCACCTTCCAGATAGTAATCAATGGATCCAGACTTGGGGCGAGGACCGCGCATGACTGGCATGTCTTCATCATCGCCGGAGTCATCATCACCTTGGTCGAACTCGATGTAGGCTGCGTCGTCATCATTTCTTTTCCTCTTTCTGGCACCCCCTTCGTCCAGGAAATCGTCGGCTAATTCGTCATCCTATCGGCGATGTTAGTAGCTGCCAACAAAGGAAAGTACCATTCAGAGACGGCCGATAGAAGATGAACGGGTGCTGTTAGGCAAATTTAAAAGGCAAATGGCAAAAGTGAGCCGAGATCACGCATTGGTGAAATCGTCAACACCACAACGATCGGTCGCTAGGCGCTGCCACTTGGCTCAGCGCACCATCGCGCATGCAATGGAAGATGAAGCTGTCAATTTCATTTCCCTTACCGAAATGGGGTCGATACCTCTGGACGACTTGAGGATTATTTTAACCATTGCAGCGACAGTGAGGACCAGGATATGGAGGTGAAGTGATGAAACCGATCAGGCAGTCGGAAAAGATGACCCAGTCCAGAAAGAAAGGGACGCAACTCAGATTGATCTGCACAAGGGCTGTGAATTAAGAACTGTGATTTGGAAGAGGTTGTTGGTTCAAGGTAAAGTGTGAGATTGCCTGAAGGAAAAAAAGTAAGTGGTGAATCTGTGATAAGAGCCGCAAGACGATATAGAGTAGGAAAAGGGTAGAAATATATAAATCGCCAGGCTGAAAAAGAGAGTGAGGAAGGCGCGACCTGAGGATTAAGATCTTGTTCAACGGGTTGGGGAGCTCTTTGCATTGCGTCACTGCTCAGCGAAATTCAGAACTCGAACTTGACTGAAGGCCTACCCTCGACAACCCGTGCTCTACAAAGAGCAGGTAACCGAAGGGACAGCTGTGATTCTGGGAACCAGAAGGATAATGAAGCAAGCGATCCAATCTCAGTGACTTATACCCCAGAGCAGCCACTTGTATGCCCCTGGGAAGCTTTCCCACGACCCCTTTCTTGAGTCCAAGATATTCCATCTCGACCAGGCTCAGCTCTCGGCTGGGCCGACAGAAGCTCCAAGGGCAATGTTCAAAGATGAATGTAAGTCGGTCTTACCCCTAGTTGCCTTCTCCTTAATCTTTGGTACTCGTCATGTGTCAACAGTGGCACCTTGATGTACTCGTAGGCTGCTCGTCGTGCTGGTGACAGCCAAGGCAGGCGGACCTCGATGTCGACCGGCCTGATGCGCGCAGCATGTCCGTCTTCCTGTTCCCTTGCGACATCATTCGCCTGCCCGTTCGTGGCCGACTGAGAGTGAGAGGAGGCCTCGGCTGCAACCCAATCCATGGCGGATGGTTGTGGGTGTTGTTGTAGAGTGCCCGTCAGAGCGAGGGATGCGGATGCGATCGCGTCGAGGGTCAACGGGTCGGGCTCGTCCTCAGACAGGTCAGACTGGAATTCATAGGCAACGGGCTCAGTGGCCGTTTCACCGAGCGGTGCCCCGCCGTCCGAGGTCAGGAAGCCGTTGAGTGTCGACATGGTTGCGAGTCAGCCCAAGAAACGGGGATCACTAGAACGGGCGGCGTCAAACTAGGTATTTTCAACAGCTAGTTGGACATGCAAGCAATCGCTGTGTCGGTCGCATAGTTAGTCGAAGGCGATCGAAGGAATTGGGCGTGGCTTGCCGGTTGTGGCAGTATATCAACATATCAACATTTCGTCAAAGTGCCCGAAGTTTGATGATGGTAGTAGACGCGACAGCGGCCCTCGGGACGCGTTTAGTGGCATCGAGAAAGTAACCAGCAGGGGCCCGGAAATCTCTGCGCTTTGGTTGGCTGGCGCATTCGATGAGTGGGTCACTGAGCTGAGATAACAGGGTCTGGTCCCTTTATCGACCTTTTTTCCCTTTTTTTGTAAGAGCTCAAGTCTCATACCGTTGTTGATGAACTACTCAAAAACACTCCGTTGTATATGCACCAGTCAATTTGTCTAACTAATCGAGCTTATTTTAAGTGAAGAGGGCTGTGATTTCTTCGATCTATACTCAGCAAAATCACCTCTGAAACGTGGTTCAGTACTCGGTTGCGTCTCGAGTCGAGGTTCTCTTCTTCGACCCACTGGGTCTCATGCTTAAAAAGGCAGGCATCATGAGCTTGCCTTTGTCCTACCGAGCTATCAGACATGCACTTCCGGCCAATTCAATACGGGCAGTTTCTTGCAACAACTTCTCAATCAGAAATGCCTCTACCTCGGCCGTTCACGAAGGACTTTTTCGATCTGAGAAAGCTCGGCCTCAGGGACCCCGGCCTGGCAGGCTCGCCCCTACATCAGACAGCTCGAAGCGGTTGACATATGCCGAACGGAAAAAGATGCGAGAGGAACTGGCGAAGCAAAGGCCGACTTTCAAGATACGCAAAGGCAAGAAGGACATTACTGAGTACCCCGACGAGGTCAAACCGCCGTCAAGAAAGGCCCGTTTCTATGACCCGAACGACCCTTTTGGCAAGAAAAGTCTTGTGTACCAACTGAAGAGCGGCCTGCTGAGCGACCAGTTGAAGGAACTGCACAAGGAAAACCGGGCAGAGGAACGATTAGACTCGACCTCCCAGTCCCGGTCCGGCTCCCGCCAGGGTCGGGGCGCCAGTCGGTCCGATCGGAACAGCAGGGATGCAAGAGGGTCTCGGCGAGAGGCGCACGATGACAGCCCCATGTCAGACGATCAGTTCCGTGCAGCCATGGGAAGCAGCCCGGCCGAGCAGCCAACACGGGCAGCACGGGCAGCACGGCCGACACGGACTGTCCATCGTCAGCCCACTCCTGACAGAAACAGAGAGGCTCCTCTCTTCGACTTTGATCGGGGTGAATCCCGGGACAGAGCACCCCGAAGGACGCTCGAGCCCCTCTCCATCCCCTACAGCACGGCAGCCTCCCAGTTCCTCTACGGCCGGTCCACGGTTGAGGCCGCCCTCCGCGCGTCCCGGCGCAAGCTGTACAAGCTCTACATCTACGACGGCCCCAACCGGCGCATCACCTCAGACAACGCGCTGATCCAGACCCTAGCCAAGCGCAAGGGCGTTCCCGTCACCATCTTGACCGACGACAAGGGCCTGCGGCTGATGGACAAGATGGCCGCCTCCCGGCCACACAACGGCTTCGTGCTCGAAGCCTCCCCCCTTCCGCAACCACCACTAGCATCCCTCGGCCCGGTACCGGAGTCCGAGTCCGAGTACGCCTCCCGGCCGGGATTTCCCATCGTGCTAGGCCACCAGTCAGCCGAGGAAGCCGCCGTCAACGGGACACGGACCTTCATCCCGTCCCCCAGCGCAACGCACAAACCGCTCGTCGTCGTGCTGGACCAGATCCTCGACCCGGGCAACCTGGGCGCCATCCTGCGCACCGTCAGCTTTTTGGGCGCCACGGCCGTGGCCATCACGCGCCACGGCACGGCGTCAATCACGCCCGTGGCGCTCAAGGCGTCGGCGGGTGCCGCTGAGGCGCTGGATCTGTTTTTCATTAATTCCCTGCCCGAGTTCCTCGCCGCGTCGCGTGAAAATGGTTGGGCCGTGTTTGCGGCTGTTGCTGAGGGCCCTAGGGGCTCTGGCGCTTCTGCGGCGAAGCAGCGCAGGTACATGGACCTGCATGGCCTGGAGGAGATGGATCCGCTGAAAAGGGAGCCCTGTGTTCTGCTGATTGGGAATGAAGGGGAGGGACTGAACAGGTTGGTGGTTAAGAAGGCGGATTATGAGGTCAATATCCCCAACCTGTCCGGGTCGACGGCTGTGGATAGCTTGAATGTCAGTGTTGCGGCTGGGCTGCTGTGCTCGGCGTTTCTGAAGGGGATGGGGAGGGAGAGGTTCAAGTTGGGAGGGGTGGAAGGGGCTGTTAGTGCGAAAGGGGGGGATGCGATTTTGTGGTGAGTGATTGCTTGGGCTGAGAGGGATGGGATTACACTGTATAAAAAATGTATGAGTATGTTTGAGTGTACCATTGGATAGATGGTGTCGATGTAGGATAGGATACCCTTGGTGTTGTGGCAATATGGGGCAGAAATCAGGGGCTGAGAGCAAATGTTTACTTTGGTGCATCTAGGCGACCACACGGTGACTGAGGCTCCGGTGGATTGATCGTGCCGGAGATCTGATCTGCTTGGCACGCAGCGGTACCTAGAGGCGTGCCTGGCTGCCTGCAGGGACCGTCAGGGATCAGCCCGCCTAGTCCACAGTGCTGCGTGCAGCTGTCACAGCTTCATTTACAGAGGTGCTCCATCTGTATATCATGGACCAGCATCTTCGTACCTTTCCAACCCCAACCATACTCAGTGTTTTGCTTGCATCCTGGACCTTAGATTTGTTCTCTCTTATAAAGAATGCTCAAGTCAGCAAATGCTTCCAAGACGTCCAAAGACATCCATGGATGGCAGCTTCAACTTCAGTCCTCCCGGCCAAGCACCCCACCTAGCCTTTTAGGATCGGCATCTCTCCGCCAGTCAACAGAAGTGCTTTGTTTTCATCCAATCCACCGTCTGCTGAATGTCAACAGTCGCAACGCCCGACATCCGATCTTTTGAAATGACACCCGACGATTCTTGATGAGAAACCAACCCTTTCTCGGGTGAAAAGCTCGAGGTCAACCTTCTACTCATCTCACCTTCCAACCACAGAATTGCGACAGCAATCCCGTCACTCCCAAATCCAGACACCCGCAGCTCAGACCCGAGATGCGCCTGCTACCTCTCCCACTATGGCTTCTCGTTACCGCGCAGATCGAAGCTCGCACGCAAGCGCAAGCCCAGCCTCCGCTCTTGCCAACCGCAATTCGCAAGATGCCTCCCGATCGCGGCGCCAAATTCCACCATTCCTACTGCGCCTTCCCCGAGGCCAACACATTTGCTGCGGCAGCACAAAAGCCCATCGCGGCAATCGCGGCGCGGAGGGGGCTCGAAGCCGATGATGCCCTCCGCTTAGCAGCCAACTCCTCAGCCGAGCTACCCTTCCGCCCACCGTTCGCCATGCTCTCTGGTCCAGAGCGACAAGAGGATGCGACGTCGTGGGACCTCTTTCGCCGGGCAGCATCGGCGCTCGCATTCCTTGAACGGCGGCAGTGGTCCTGCCCGACGGGCACGAGCAGCTGCGCGTCCATTGGCTACCCCAACAGCTGCTGCCGCGAGGGCGAGACGTGCTTCGAGGTGCCTGACACGGGCCTCGGGCCGGTGGGGTGCTGTCCCACGGGCGCGGCGTGTGGGGGAGGTGTGTCAGGCTGCGGTGACGGGAGCATGGCGTGCGGAAGTGAGGTTGGAGGGGGGTGTTGTATCCCGGGGTTTGTTTGCGGGGGGGTCGGGTGTACGTATCTCCTCCCATACAATCTTCCCTTCACGGTTCGTTACTAACCATCATACCAGGCGTCCTCCCACCCCCTCCTTCCACCTCCTCTCCCCCTCCAGCGACACCAACGACTCTAACAACAACCTCCACAACCACCATCCCCGGCGCCACACCCTCCACCGTCCTCGTCACGGTCATCATAACCATCACCCCGTCGTCTCCTGACCCGATCACCAGCACCGTCACGCAAACCAGCACCGCCCCTAGCACCACTGGCGCAGGCGCCCCGTTCCGGCCCACCTCGTCTCCCTCTCCCTCCCCCAATACTTCCCAGTCTCAGTCCGCATCCGAGTCATCATCACCATCGACGCCAACAACAACAACAATAAGCACCTTCTGCCCAACAGGCTTCTACCCCTGCCTGGCCAGGATGGGGGGTGGGTGCTGCCAAGTGGGACGGGACTGCCAGACGACGTCGTGCCCGGCGCCGGCTGAAATGACGACGGTGGTGGACGGGAACGGGGTGACCGTCGTTGTACCCGCTAGCGGGGTGCCGAGTACTACTGAAGAAGCGGGGAGGTGTGCTGACGGGTGGTTCCTGTGCGGCGCTGACGCGGGGCCTGTGGCTGGGTGCTGCCCGACAGGATATAGCTGTGGCACGGCGAGCTGTTCGGTTGCGGATGCTGCGGGAACGGCGACGGTTGCCAAGGCGTTTCCTTCTGCTTCTTCTTCTTCTTATTCTTTTGGTGCTAATGGGGGTGGGCGTTTAGCGTGGGCCATGGTAGCTGTGGCTGTTGGGGGGTGGTTGGCATTTTGATATCACACGGGGAGGTGGTTTTGTTGAATTTCCATTGTCTGTCCGGGTACAAAAATGTTGCATGGCAAGGGAGTTACTGTCTACCATACCCTACATACATAGACTATGTTTGTTCTAGACATCACAGCGTTAATGATCATGTTCCCCTTTCACCCCTCCCACATCTATCATCTCATCACGCATCCAGCCTGTTGATTCCCCTCTCCTCGCACAACTTCCGCACCTCCTTGCCCAGCATCTCCCTCCGCCTCTGGGCTAAATCCATCATATCTTCGCACTCCTTGCCCAGCTTGCCGCCGGCAGCACCGACAAGCTCATACAGCCTCCCCATCTCGTCCAGGACGGCCTGCAGCTGGTTCGGCAGCCACGTCACAATGGGACTGCCGCCCGTGGCGGTCGGGTGGTTCGTCCGCTTGAGAATGTACTCGCGCGCGAAACACCAGTGCCGCCACCGGAAGTCCCGCACTTGGTCCAGGACTTGCAGCCACAGTCGCCTGCTTTCATTGACTCTCTCCTCCTCCTCCTCCTCCTCCTCCTCCTCCTCCTCCCCACCCCTGACTACATGATCATCACCAGCAAGCGCAAGCGCCCAATCCTTCAACCGCACCCTTTCCGCCTCAGCCCCAACCCACTCGAGGAACTCACGGTGGTTGCTGGGGCGGTAGCGGCGGAAATCGCGCAGGATGGCCGTCAGCGGGGTGTCGGGCATGGGAATCGCCAGCAGGTTGTCCATGAGCGGGATCATGGAGTCGTTGGCGCCGCTCTCGCCGCGGAAGGCAACTCTTTTGCTGCTACTACTACCGTCACCGTTACCGTCGCCAACACCCTCGTACACGACACCCCGCGGAAACATGCTCTGCGCGGCAATGCCAAAGATGAAGGTCCGAAACGACGTGTAGGCCCGCGGGCGTGAACGGGACCACATGGTTTCCATGACCGCGTTGATCCGCCGGAGCGAGGTGAGGAGTGTGGCTAGGGCTGCGTTTAGCTTTAGCCTCTCTTCTCGGGAGCCGCTGGACGGGGTAGGGGAGGCGGCGTCGAGGCAGGTCAGGGCGGCGGACACCAAGGGGCCGGAGTGCTTGACCATTTCGACGTGGACCAGCACAAAGCCCGCCTCGGACGAGGCCGAGTCCAGGCCGTGCTCAAAGGCGCGGATGAGGCGCAGGTTGGAGTAGTCGTCCAGCCCCTTGGCGGGGTCGGCGAGGCGGTAGTTGAAGAGGGCGTAGGAGCCGGCATATTCCATGAAGGGTTGGAAACCGCAGCTGCTGGGGTGGTTAGAACCAAGACTGAGATTGGCGTGTCAACGGAGAGGGGGAGGCGACGTACAGCGCAGCACACCTTGCGATGGGCCGTGCAATGTTCGCCGGCAGGACGTCCCTTGCCAGGCCGTACTCGCCGGTCCGGACAAAGCGCTGATGGCACGGCTCGAGGAGGTAGGCCGAGGCCAGGAAGGAATAGTCCCGGTACAGTGCGTTCATCAGGGGCAAATTGTGCTGGTACTTGTCGATGCGGTCCGTCAAGTCGGGCAGCTCCTTGGTGACGGCGTCGCCCAGTTCCCCGCGCGCGAGCAGGCCGGGCTCCCCCGACAGCGTCTTGATGGGCATGCGCTGCAGGAGGGACTCGAGCGGGTCAAACTCGGGCGGCAACGACACGATGGGGTCCATCCGCGGGAGGAAGCCCCGGCGGGTCGAGACCATGAAGGCCGGCAGGGACATGTCGTCCGGACGTGGGTCGTCGAGGACGGGGAACTTGACGGGTACTTCCATTGTTGTTGCGATAGAAGTGGTTTTGATCGGTGGTTCAAACCTCAGAGTGATGCTTCGTGAGAGACAAAGCGCTCAACACGACACTGAAATCAAGACTCGGTTTCGCCGGATGCCTATATAGACGGTGGCCGGAATGGATTCCGGCCTCGTCCCAACCCTCCATCCCCGCTTGGTGCATCTAGCAATGCGGTCCCCATCCATCCCTGAGCCGGTCGAGTTTCTCTTTGTCAAGTGCAGTGACCAGCAGGACAAGGCACTTGTGTGGGACTGTGGGTTGCTCAGTTCAGGCAACTTCACCTCGTCAGCGACAAAGGCGTGTGAAAGCCGTCCTGAGGCCATCCCGAGAAGATACCATACCTTACCTATTGCAGGAGCTGTTACACTTACATCTGTCTCGGATTTCATGGCTCGTACAGCATTGACTACCAGCGTTAGCATCGCTGAGTAGTGAGTACGAATACGTCATCAGCAGTAATGGGCCATGCTCTCCGGTAGTCCAGCACGAGCACCGACGCCCGTGACTTCAACTTGGTATGTGAATTGTTGTTGGTTACCAGGTACCTATATGTATTTGCTTGGTGCTAGTATGTAATGGATTCTCAGGGCTCCGCTCTTCTCCGGCCTTAGCCGGCCGCAGCCGGCCTCAGGAGTCCATGCCGAGCCCCTTGGCCGGAATCCATTCCGGCCTCGTTCGGGTGCTCCGGGGAAACGGCACCGTTGGTGGATCAGCCATCTCCACAGTCCACAAGCCAAGTCAGAGGGGACTTCTTGGCTCATGTCGGTGCAGATTGGAATCGGTAGAGGGGTTGCTCTCACCTTCCGTTATCGGCTCTAGTTCAGGCGTCCATAGTGTATTGTACATCGAAGGGCGGATGGATAGTAGTGTGGATGAATTGAGGAAATTCAAGATTTAAAAAATAAAAAGGAGTGAGTGCACCGAATGCATCCACCCCTTCCGTCATTGACCAACCTCACCACATCTCATTCCACAATCAACAAACATATCGTAATTCGTAAATGGCCGACCCGTCCACGTCGCCCCCGCTCACGCGGGCATCGGTGCAGGCCGCGCTGAAGCTGATCGAGCCGTACGTGCACAAGACGCCGGTGCTGACCAACACAAGCCTGAACCGACTGGCGTCGGCCCCGCGGACCGCCGCCGAGCTCGAGGGGACCGAGTGGGCGGGCCAAACTCCGGCCAAGCCCGTGCTGCGATTCTGGTTCAAGTGCGAGAACCTCCAAAAGATCGGCGCTTTCAAGGCCCGCGGCGCATTCCACGCCATTGAGCGCCTCAAGCTGGAGCCCGGGTGGGAAGAGAATGGTGGCCGTGAAAGGGGCGTTGTGACACACAGCTCGGGTGAGTTTTCTTACATTACCGTACACACTCAAGTCTCCCCTGAGCTCACATATCCCTCTTTATGTCCTCCCTATTTGCGAATTACACCGTTCCCCCAAGTCTTGTTTCGACCGCTCCCTTTCCAATGTATTGAATACCCTTCTGATGCCATCCCCTCCCTGACCATCTGATCACTGGCACCGCAAGTCACAACATGAAGCATCCCCTTTCCGTACTTACAGCCCCTTACCCCCCTACCCCTTACCCATCCACCCCCCTTCACTACCTTACCTGAACAACCCCTATCACAGGCAACCCAAAGTTGCATGTGCAGCCCATACTACAGTACTACCCAACCCAACCCCACCAGTCAAACCCGATGATATTAATGATGATCAAAAAGGCAACCACGCCCAAGCCCTCGCCTTCGCAGCCCAAACCTCCCGCATCCCCTGCCACATCATCACGCCGCACAGCTCCTCGCGCGCCAAAATCTCGGCGGCACGCGACACCTACGGCGCGCACATCACCTTCTCCGGGCCGACCCACCCGGAGCGCCAAGCCGTGTGTGACGCCGTCGCCGCCCAGACCGGCGCCCGCTTCGTGCCCCCCTACAACCACCCCGACATCATCCTGGGCGCGGGCACGGCGGCGCTCGAGCTACAGGCGCAGTTTTTTGCCTCGCCTAATAATAACAGTGGGAGGAGGAGGCTGAATGCGATCATCACGCCGTGTTCCGGGGGTGGGTTGCTGTCCGGCACGGCGCTGAGTTGCGAGGGGACGGGGATTCTGGTGTTTGGTGCCGAGCCAAGCTATCAGGGTGCTGACGATGCACGGAGAGGGTTTTACTCGGGCAAAAGGATAGAGTTTGTCAAGAGTGAGACCATTGCGGATGGGCTGCGCACGCCGCTCGGGGAGATTCCCTGGGGGGTTATTTACGAGCGAAGGCTGGTGAAGGGCATGTATAGTGTTGGGGAGGAGCAGATCAAGGCCGCCATGCGGCTCGTCTGGGAGCGTATGAAGCTTGTTGTTGAGCCGAGTGCCGTTGTGGGGTTGGCGGTGGCGTTGTATAATGAGGAGTTTCGGCGCATGGTTGAGGTGGAGGGCGGAGAGGAAGGGTGGGATCTAGGGGTTGTGTTTAGTGGAGGGAACGTGGATCTCGAGAAGGTGGCTGACTTGTTCGCCTGAGCATCATGATCTTCTCGAGGTGAGAAAACATGATATGTTGCACCAAATCGCATCACCATCTAGCCTAGCACATCGGCTCGAGTATATGTACAGAGGACAATTGCGAGTGCGCCACCATTATTAACGAAATCGCATGCGAAGCAAGGCTTTTTTGGTCCCTTTTTGCCCGAGGTATCCCGTCCCGGTCACGGCGTCGCCTGGGGCCGCCCAACCGTTCCCATAACCCAGATATCAAACTGTTGTTGCCCGAGCAAGAAAAATTCACACCCCTTAGCCAATGACCCCGCTTTACTTCTGGTTCTCGGGCCGCAGAGCACTAGATGCAAGTTAGCAATGATATGAAAGAGTCCATGGGTGCACAGGGGTGCGGAAGCAACTCACCGGACGGCCTTGCCCGCGCGCCAGATCTCGAGGTTGCGGATCTCCTCCATCTCCGCCTCGTACTTCTGGCGGTAGTCGGGCTGCGAGTTGTACTCGAGCGAGCGCTTGGTCTCCTCGCCGTTCTTGACCGAGTCGTACAGCTGGTTGAAGACGGGCTTAAGCGCGTCCTTGAAGCGCGGGGTCCAGTCGATGGCGCCGCGACGGGCCGTGGTCGAGCACGCCTCGAACATCCAGTCCATGCCGTTGGCGCCGATCAGAGGGTACAGCGACTGCGTCGCCTCCTCGACCGTCTCGTTGAAGGCCTCGCTGGGGCTGTGCCCGCGCTCGCGCAGCACCTCATACTGGGCGAGGAACATGCCGTGGATGCCGCCCATCAGGCAGCCGCGCTCGCCGTACAGGTCCGAGTAGACCTCCTTCTCAAACGTCGTCTCGTACAGGTAGCCGCTGCCAATCGCGACACCCATGGCAATAGCCTTCTCCTTGGCCTTGCCCGTCACGTCCTGGTAGACGGCGAACGACGAGTTGATGCCCCGGCCCTCGCGGAACAGCGAGCGCACCGTGCGGCCCGAGCCCTTGGGCGCGACGAGGATCACGTCGACATCCGTGGGAACATCGACCTTGGTCAGGTCCTTGAACACGGGCGAGAAACCGTGCGAGAAGTAGAGGGTCTGGCATCCACGTCAGTCTGCTGACTATATCTGACCCCCAATTCCATCTTATAGAAACATACCTTGCCCTTGGTGATCTGGGGCTTGATGGCAGGCCATGTCTCGCTCTGGGCGGCATCGCTGAGGAGGTTCATGATGATGGTGCCGCGCGAGATGGCCTCGTCCACCTCGAACAGGTTCTTGCCGGGCACCCAGCCGTCCTGGACGGCATCCTGCCAGGACTTGCCGTTCTTCCGCACGCCAATGATCACGTTGAGGCCGTTGTCACGGAGGTTGAGGCCCTGGCCGTGGCCCTGGGAGCCGTAGCCGATGAGGGCAAGCGTGTCGTTCTTGAAGTACTCCTAAGAAGAAAGATGTTTAAGTAAATTGTTCCAATGATCATAATAGAAAAAAGGGCATCTGTGATTGTGACTCACCAGAAGCTTCTCATTCGGCCAGTCGGCGCGCTCTGCAAAACCACACCACCGTCAGCAACCAATTCCAATTCGAGTTTTTGCTCTAATTTCGATTCCGAAACTCACCATAGACGTCCTCCTTTGAACCAGCAAAGTCAATCGTCTTAACGCCGCGGACCTGTTGCCTGGCAGGAGCCGGAGCAGCAGCGCGCGACGCAGCGACGGCCGAAGCACGCACCAGGCCGGCAGCGGCGACAAAGGTGCGCCTCTGGACGGCGGGCGATGCCAATTGGCGGCTCAATGGCGAGCGCAGAGCCTTGGAGAAGCTTTTTGAGGCCATCTGGAATGTGAGAATTGAGCGGGGATTGGGGGGATTGGATTGGAAAGAGTGGCTGGAATGAGGAACGGGAATTTGTTTTATGGGCTTGCTTGCTTCACCGTTCTCCGGCGGTGGGCTACAGTCATCGGAGCTGGCGAGTCAGAATTTTTAGTTTTTCGCAGCGATTCAGCGGTTGCCAGGCAAGCTGTCACCGACTTCGGGGCTCTAAGCGTGGGGCCGCAGCAGGGATTTCTGGGTCTCTGATTCGCGCTCTTCGCTAAAGTGAAATCCGGGGTTGACTCTTAGCGGGCACTGCGGGGCTTCATCACCCGTGAGGTGTGCATGGTTCGGGGTCCCAGCAACGATATCATCTCCATGTGAGCCATGGATTGCCGGGGTGTATTCCCAGAACTGAAGTGTAGATTCCCTGGCTGAGGAATGGAAATAATTAC